AGAGCTCCTTACTGACCAGAGCTAAACTATAGTATTCAGATTCAGCACTAGACATAGCAACGACTTTTTGCTTCTTACTTTTCCAGATAACTGGGCCATCAGCATATTTAACAATGTATCCGGAGGTTGATCTGCTATTGGTGGTATCTCCACACCAGTCGGCGTCACAGAAACCAATAATTGAAGATGTATCTGTTTTCTGATATCTAATACCAAACTCCATAGAACCACTAATATAACGAAGCATGCGCTTAGCAGCTTTTAAATGGTAGGTGGTAGGAGATTGAAGGAATTGTGATAAGCTTGAAACAGCAAAGCTGATATCGAGCCTGACAGTGTTTGCTAAGAATAACAATTTTCCAACGAGACTGCGAAATTCCGTAGCATCAGCAGGACTGGCGTCAGCAGGCACATCCTCTAAGTGCTGATTGGCTAATAAGGGGGTCCGAACTGGATTTAAGGAATTCAGTTCAATTCCATAAGATGTAAAAATGGACTTACAATAATCTTCAGCAGTGATTCCTTTAGTTCCATCATGGAATTGCTGAATGTTAAGGCCTAGGAACTTGTGGCATTGGCCGAGATCTTTCATCTTGTAGTATGCCAGTAAAGTTGTCTTGAGTTCGAGTATTTCAGCTAAATTGGAACCACTTATAAGCAAGTCGTCAACATATAAAGCAATAATTATGATTCCTGATGAACGATGTCTAATATATAGACCATATTCAGATTCCAAACGCTTAAACTGAAGTTCCTTTAATGTAGCATCAAATTTAAGATTCCACTGGGCCGCAGATTGTTTTAACCCGTAAAGGGCTTTATGCAATCTGAGAACCTTGTGGTCATCGACTTCATATCCTGGTGGTTGACGTAAATATAATTCTTCATGGAGATCTGCATTAAGAAAGGCAGTCTTAACATCCATTTGGTGAATAATAAGGTGTAGTTGAGCCAGAATAGCCAATAAAAGTCGGACGGATTCGTACCTAATAACAGGCGCGAATGTGTCGTGGTAGTCCACAGAAGGTATTTGTGAAAAGCCTCTAGCGACTAGGCGGGCTTTATAACTTCCATCACCTTTTATGGAATAAACCCACCTACAGCTAATGGCTTGACGACCTTCAGGAAGCCCAGACAACGTCCACGTATGATTGGCAATTAAAGACAGATATTCATCATCCATGGCGGATTTCCACTTATCATGATCCTGGGATTTCATTGCTTGTTGAAACGTATTTGGAACCTTAATGGGCAGTTGGACATGGTAAATATAATCCACAGGAAAGGCATCAACATAAACAGCATATTCTGGATCATCACTAGTATCATCGGCAATTGAAGAACTACTGGGTGGTGGATGATCGGAATCATAATACATGATTTGGGGTTGTTCTGTCGTACGACGGAGTTTCTTGGAGTCTGGAGCATAAGAGTCGGAGTCAGTATAACCATAGTCTGAAGTAGCTGTCATTTCAGGCTGATATGGAATTAAAGCAGTGGAATGTAATATAATGTTACTGGACGGATCAGCTTCACGTCTCTTCCGTTTCTGTTGTGAACGCAGAACAGTTAAAAATTCTAAAGGTGATGGAGATACGAGATTTTCTTCAGCATCCGGCGAAACAGCAGGTTTAATGGTATCGGGTACTTCGATAATGGAAGTAGGTTCAGCGACATCTTCTTCGTGGGAAGTCATACTATCATCATCACCATCATAAACATCTCCATCATAAACATCTCCATTATAATCATCTCCATTATAATCATCTCCATTATAATCATTTCCATTATAATCATCTGCGTGGGTGATATTAACTTCATAATCAATAGGGTCGGTATCCCTAACATTTTCTGACTTAGTTGCATCGAGTTCATTCATACTTGCATCAGATCGGTAGTGATCATCATTGGTAACTCTAACAGGAGGTGGCGAGCGGTCGGAAGAATTATAATATCTAAGAGAGGAAATTCCACCACTAATCCCCAATGTGGTATTAGAATGAACATTAATTTCACCTTGGTAGGCTAACTTTTCAAAAGGAAATTCATCTTCTATGAATCTAACTTGACTGGCAGAAAAGATTTTCCGAGTGACCAAATCATATAATCGATAGGCTTTTCTGTTTGGGTCAAATCCCAACATAATAGCCTCCCTTGATGTAGAGTCAAATTTGGACACTCTTAATTTTGGGGGAACCAAAGCATAACACAAACACCCAAAAACTCGTAATTGGTCATAATTGGGAGGATTCCCAGTCCATTTCTCATATGGAACGACCAACTGATGCTTGGGAGCATGACGAGGCATTAAGTTAAGCAAGTACGTAGCAGTGAGTACAGCCTCTGGCCAAAAGTGATCTGGAAGTGATCCATCACGAAGTAAAGATCTAGCAAATTCTTGAATTGTTCTGTGGGAACGTTCAACAACTCCATTCTGATAACTGTGATATGGTACTGTCAATTCGTGACGAATTCCGGTTTCATGAAAGAAATTAGTAAGTTTGACATTATTGAATTCAGAACCATTATCTGTTCTAACTATTTGAACCTTTGCAGAATTCTGACGATCACAGGATCTAATGAAGTTGATAATAAGTTGACCAACTTCAGCAGTAGAAGTCATTGGAAAAGTTGTAATGAATCTTGATTTATCATCAACAATAGTGAGAAAGTATTTGCAACCATTATAGGCTGGTGGAAATGGACCACAGACATCCATATGAAGGATTCCTCCAAGTGTTGTAGCTCTCCGAGTGGAATACTTTGGAAATTTGAAAGTCATCTTTGACTTCATACAACTACGGCAATTCTTCAGGTGACACTGAATTCCGAGTTTTCTAAAATTATCCTGAATACCACGACCTGGGTGACCAAGTCTCTTGTGTAAAATTTCCTGAGGAGTTCTAGCAACATTACCAATAAATGCATTTCCAACCCCCTCATTTTTCATAGTATCAATTTCAATAGTATACAAATTTGCCCGTAAACTACCATGGTGCGATAATTTATTCGCAGCAAGATCAATAGATGCAAAACCTGCATAGACTCCAGTTGAGTCAAAGACGAAGGTAGCACCCCTACGGGCTGCTGCAGGGATGCTAATGAGATTAACCGCCGATTTGGGAATATAGTAGACGTTAGTAAGATCAAAATCTGGAAGACTTACTTTACCAATACCTTCAACTTGCATGGTTGATCCATTAGCACAATCAACATTATGCTTAAAATTAGTGTCAATTTCAGAAAATAATCTAATATCCTTAACAATATGGCTTGAAGCACCAGAATCAAAATGAAAAACAGCATTTCTGGGTTTTTCAGAAACTTGAAAAGCCAGATCACCAACGTAGAAACTACTTCTTGATGTAGACTTGCTCGTGTTTGTACCATTGGTCGATTCATTTCTGGATTGTTCATTTTTGAGTTCTGGACACTTATTCTTCTTATGGCCTTCCTTCTTACAATGATAGCAAATAACCTTTTTACTACGATTAACAACTAAAGCGGTATCCAGGTTAATGGTAAAGTCTAAATTATCAGGAGGATTTGTACCAATACGTAAAGCTAATTTCCGAATAGTAGCAACATCAAAAATAGCATTGATTTTTCTTTCTTTAAGGGAGTGAAAAGCCCTTTCAATTTGTCCCCATTTAGTATCAGGAATAGTTGCAAAGTATATAAGTCCACTAGTTTCTTGGCCATTAAAACGGCAGAAAACATTTTCTCCAAGCATTTCCCAATCGTCAGCAGTGGGAGAACCAAAACCGTACTTTCTAATGAGTCTAGCAGCAGCTGTAAAATCAATGTTACCATACTCCTCACAAATTGAAAGGTAAGCGGTATCACCTGAATAACCTCTGTATTCCTTCCAAATGGTGTCAGATATGGTCAAGGATAGAACATGATTAAGCATTCCTACAACACTACTCTTCAATCTATTAACATCCGTAGGACCAACTTCTTCAGTAAATTGAAAAAAGTCATTTCCATGAATTAAGAAACCTGAGATCCCAAGTTGATTGAAGACGTCAACGAAACTGCTCTTCCAGGTGTAGAAGTTTTCAAGTCCTTTCAACTTGACTTGCACGCTGGCAGAAGCAGGGCTCATAACTTGTCGTTCGGTCCTCAATCTTACAATGAGATCATCAATGTCTTGTACATTTAGAGTTAAAGATTCCATAGTTAATGTTTCTTAAACAAAATACTTATATTATCATAGTTACTATATAAAACCTATATAATTATCTATAGGGATATTAGAGGTCTATTTATACCTCTGAGTTCACACACATGTGTTGTAACAACAACTCTAATAACACATTATTAGAGTACCCCCTTTCTATTGTTACAACCCCCCTTTTATTGTTACAACCATTTGTAGCAAGTTACAACACTCTACCTGTCTTCACAACCATTGTAGCTTACAAACATGTTGCAACAAAATCTTTGAACGTTAATATTAGCTTTAATAATTTGGGCTAATTTAAAGGCTAAATCTTGCAGTATCATTAAGGGCAATAGTTGGTCTGACGACTGGAGGTGGAACTGGTGAAACAGTAATTAACATACATCACCTAGTATCACTATGATTAATAGAAGTGTTTGTTTTAAGAATACATTATGGATTCTGATATATTAACCAACAAGATATAGGTTGTTTTGTGGGGGTGGTAGTAGTAATATGTATTGTAATTTATAGTTGATTATCGATGTTTGTTAGAATTGAATTTGACGAGCCTGAGCTATATGCCATTGTTGTCTTTAATTTTATTATTAGCCGTTTAAGTTTGATGCTTTCTATGAATTGCGTTTCGTGGGAATTATGTATTGTTAGAAGATAGAATGTTGGAATATTTTAGAGAAGGAAAGGACAGATTTTGGTAACGAAGAGTATTTACAAGTTCAAATTGCAGAATTGGCATTATATAATAAAGACTTGACAACAGTTTTTATTTCATTGCAGGAGAGCAAAAGTGTTTAAGAGATTTTGCATTAATATATTATGTGAAGTAATTATCTTCAGTATTTAAAGAAATAAGTTTTTCATCATCAACACCTAAATATTGAGAATAAATTTTTAAATCATGTTCATCAGGATATTGCAATTGATTGATACTCATAGATGTACTATATTCAGAAGATCTATGATATGATGAGTTAGAAATTAGCTCACAATAAAAGTTATAGATTTCAACATCTTTTTCACTTGGCTGAAAATTGAGAGAATTTGTTGAAAAGCTAGACTTATATGCTGGCACAACACAATTCAATTCGTGGTGGAAATTTAACTGTGATTTGTAAAGGTTTTTATCAGATTGGCTGACAGTAGGTTTATAAAAATTCTCTTCGGATTCTGAAAAGCAATCAAATATGGAATCTTGAGTCAACATTTCCTCTGACTCGGAATATATATTAGTTAAGCCATCATTATTAGCACCGATCATTCGATTTCCATTATAAGCAAATTTCTCAATCTTTTTTGAAAGAAAGCTTTTGATCTTATCTGGCCTGGTTATTCTTAAATAATTGCTTCTGTTTTTATTAGCATTTTTATCTGTGGAGTAGAGATCATCTTTTCCTTTCTGTAATTCTTCAGTGGCACAACTATCCAAATATCTCAAATTGATTTCTCCACTTTTTATGTCTTCAACTATTGGCTCCTCTGAATTCTTCGGAATCCTTGGCTCATAAGGACTATAGTCAAATGATTCAAGACTTAAATTTGTAGGGAAGTATCTCGCGTTAGAATTCATCTTATACTGCAATACTTCTGTAAACGATGTGAATTTTCTGGGAACATAGCATTCATTAAACCAATTGTCATTATAATCTGGAAAGGGATCAAGCCTCCAATTTTCATCCCAATATTTTGACAGATAGACCAGCGAAGAATTATATTTATATCTTTCGGAAGATAGATATTTATCATTGAACCATTGTATGTAACTGATCTTTCTTCTGATGTCTGCTATTTCCATATCATTATGCAAATAAAAATCATTCTGTAATTCCCAAAGTTTGGGCTTGGTGGGTGAATATACATAATTACCCAAAAATAGGTTGATTGCTTCTTGTCTTATCAGATCCATGAATGAATTCGAGTATATTCTTTTAACACTATTTAATATATCTCTTGTATGAGAAGACCACTGATTGATACGTCTGTATGAGTCCATCGTATTAACCAAATTTGAACCACCATATTGAACAGCAATCGTATCACCATGATCATGAAAAATTTCAGTTAAAATGTTTATCAAATCTGAATCATACTCTAACGTTTTATTCGCCGATATCAAGCCTAAGCTTCTTAATTGATACGTGAGTGCCTCTTTGCAAATTATAAATTGGGCAGCATTAGTTCTATCTAAGCAATCAATACAATTAGTTCTTATAATTCCGGTCTGAAGCTTTGTGTGCTTTAAATCATAACCATTATGAAAAAAACCGATATCTTTAAGAGATTCGGCTGCTATAGACTGTAAAGGAGTAATCACATCCAAGTTTTTCTTGGAATTTTTGGACATATCAAAGCTATAATACCTAAGTTTATTCTTGATAGGTAGGAACTGATTTAAGTATTTGATGCAATTGACAAAATGCTGATTTAGTTTCAGTTCTCTTGGCTGTCTTTCCTTTTGCTTGATTAAATTTAGAATTACTACTGGCAGTCCGTACCTCTTAAATAAATTGTTGAAGTGAATTGCTGAACTTTGGTAAAACGGGTCTGACAAATTAATTTCTATTGGAGGTTTAGGTAATTTGTTCAAATCTTGTGTCCAATATAATGGAATTGAACCTCTGTGTTGAACAAAGCTTGAATATCTTGGACTGTTATAGAATCCATACTTTGGATCATGAAAAGACGATAGTAGCATATCTGAAACAATTTGCTCTGTTTCAATTTCATTTGCAACATTTCCTTTGTCGTTAACACCTCTCTTTAAAAATCTAGCTCCAGCAAAATGATGAGACCTTCTAGCAATAATAGTAATATAAAAACTCTTCCCATAATCAGAAATTTTTGCCTGATCTATAAATCCATGGATAATGGGTTGAAACCATTCAAAAATAGCAATATCTGGATTTGCGAGGACTGGTTTTAGGAGCACATTGTTCCATACAAATCTTTCATTATGTTCAAAAGTCCTAAAGTTTTCATTTTCATTTCCTGTGGATTCATTAGATTTATATTCAGTTGCAGCCTGTTTATATCTCATAAAATTAGTCTGTAATGAATTGGTCACATCATATGCATAGCTGAAGTAGAAAGTCTTACCTAGATCCAAGTATTTAAAGATAGATAGCAATCTTTCTTCATCACTATATTTAGGTGGTCGTTGATAATTAATCTCTAAAGGTATTAACTTTGTCTCATCTATATGATATATTATATGGCCACCAAGTATTGCAACTTGGCTACACTTGGTAATGATGCTAAGATAATAGCCTTTTGTGAATCTAATATATCCTAATAAGCCATAACCATGAGCTATTTTGTGAATACCACCCTCTATAGATTCATCTAATCCATTTAACAATTCAACGATATCTTTTCTTGTATAAAAATAACTCTTATCTTCAATTATCATTAACTCAACTTCATTTTGGGGATCCTTACTAATTTCAAGAATTCTAAATAATGTCTCCTTGGCATTACTTCCCACTATATACATCGTGGTTAAGGAATTGTATACAGTGAATCTCTGTAAAATAATTCTCTTATTATTAAATTCTGGCGTCTGGGAACTATCATCTCCTTCATTGCTGCTATCATCGCCATGATTCATGCTTTTTGGAGGGGAGTCTGGTAGTTGGCTCGGTTTGTCAGTAATTGGGTCGGGCGTTGATTCATGTCGGGTATCATTTATCAGATATTCATTGCTCATACTAATTTGAATATTACAAATATTTAGAACTATTGTGCCAGCACAGTTTTAGAAAAATCAAATTATATAACGCTCAATAATAATTCAAGATTACTTGTTTACAATTTTTAGGGACATTTTTTATGTGTATTCTCACTATTGCGAAAAGCTTGACTATTTAAATTTCACCCAATACGGGGATTTTCCACTTTAAACCATCTTTATCATAACTACAAGCTCGTTCATATTTTTGCTTATCTCTTTCCTGGCTCACTGAATTCTTATAGTCTATTTCAAAATCTCCGAATTTATTTATAAATTGCCTTTTTTGATAAACCGTTTGAAATTTAAAATAAATACTTCTGAACTCATTATTAAAGTAAAAATCTGCATATTTCATAAGACTCTTTTCATCATAAAGTGAATCTTGTGAATAATTATTCTTATCATTACTGTATTCATCTTCTATAGTATAATCACTAAGAAAAGTCTTATCAAATTGATCAAGTATTAGGTTAGGATCTCCCTCACCATATAGTTTTAATGCATTTTGAAAACTTAAATTATCCGAGGCACCACCGTTTTGTACATGATTCAATGCCTTATAAAGATTTTTCAAAGGAATATTAATGAAATAGCGATAGTCTGCTTGATTGGCTGTATAATATAGTAGATCATAATCATTAAATAAAACAGACGGTTGAGATATGTCGATGAAAAATATTCTAAACCCCGATTTTAAATACAATCCTATTTCCTCCATCACTAGTTCCACTCTGTATAGTTTGTTATGATATCCAGGACCACCATTTAATTTTCTGTGTTTACTCCACTTCGGTAAATTGATTTCTCCAAGTTTAAGAAGACAGAACTGTTTTTTTGGAAGTATTTCATTAATATTGGTCTGTGGATAAAACGTTTGAACTGTAGGTTCGGTGAGTTCATTCTCAAACTTTACTTCAAACTTTGTAGTACCCAATCCGCTTCCATGTTTCACTACCAATCCTATATTAAGATTATAGGTTCCTGGAGCTAGCCATAACGACTTTCTATATGATAATAAATAAGTTCTATTGATTTCAACAAAATGATTATAGACATAGTTAGAAGGCTCATCTATTTTATAATCTGAATATTCTGCAAATAATCTTTTGTTCTTAAGGATTGAATAGATATATTTCCATGAATCTTTAATATAAATACAATGCAAGGGATTTAAATCATTCGAAGCCGTCGAGGTTAACTTCAATCTTGAAGCGATCAATTGCCTAGACTGTTTTCTGAAGACATCCAAACTCTTGACATATTCCTTCAACCACGGCAAAATCTTTAAGAGAACTCCCAAAATGTCATCCCCAAATGTTTCTATGATTTTGGCATAATAAAGGTCATTATATAAAATATAGAAATGGGAATTGACATGCTTGAGTTCACTAGTTGGAACTAGTCGTAATAGTTTGACTTGTATTTCTAACGGTAATCCTTGTATCATTAGTTGTATGAACTGTTTGTATGTGGTAAACTTGAAAGTGGAGCAAATGTGGTGGAGGCAAACAATTATCTTGTGCTTGCTATTCAACAGATAACTGAATCGAAATGTCGCACCCCTCATATCAGAAAGTTGCAGCAGATAAGGTACATCAAGTAATGAGTTCCATACTTTATGCTCATGGTATGCACCATATTAATTTCTCAATATAAATGAATCACTTAGAACTGATTCAGAATACTAGATATTATACAAAGGGTCACAAATTGTAACACACGACATAGCCTTATTACTTAAAAAATTTGACAGCAATTTAACAAATCACAATCAAAAGCTATGTAGATTATGCATTGGTTACAGCAGTGACATTTTGTTTTATCTATAATGTAAAGGGTTACTTTGGAGATTATTAATTGGAAAACACCTCTTTCATGAACCATACATTTCGAGGAGTCACCAAAGATTGCCTTGCCTCACACATTTGCGACTGATTACAATTCGCAGTTCTTTTGTCGGTCTTACCTAATTTGGAAAGAACTACATATATCTCCGGTTATACTATTCTGATATCTGAAAGGTATAAAAGGAGGTATAAGAATCGTTTGGAAATGGTATCATGATATTAAGCTCAAGAATAAGATATTAACTTAAGGAACTAACTTCAAATCTATATTTTCAATTGTGTTGTTAAATGACTGCTCAAACTGTTATCGTCACTGGTGCTACCGGTTTTATAGCTCAACACGTCGTTGGACAATTATTGGATAGAGGATACATTGTTATTGGTCAAGTAAGACTGTCTGTTAAAGGTATTCAATTGCTTAAAGATTTTAACCATGAACATTTTTCTTATGAAGTAGTTGAAGTTTTAGAAAAAGATGGTGCTTTCGATAAGGTTTTACTAAATCATCCTGAAGCTACAGTATTTATACACACTGCTTCTCCTGTTTCTTTTTCTGTTGAAAATAATGAAAGGGATCTATTAGATCCAGCTATCCAGGGAACCAAGAATGTTCTCGTATCAATTAAGAAGTTTGCGCCTCAAATTAGAAAAGTGGTTTACACTAGCTCAGCGATAACAGCGACTAGCTTTTCAGGCATGGGGGATACAACATTTTCTTGTACGGATGATACTTGGAATCCAATCTCATATGAGCAGGGAATCAGTGGTGATTCTTTTGAAGGATATTCTGCTTCTAAAAAGTTTGCAGAATTAGCTGCTTGGAATTTTATTAAAGAAGAGAAACCGAATTTCACTCTTTCAACTATTCTTCCTGTATATGTACTTGGACCCCAAGCTTTTATTTCCGGACTTAAGAATTTAAATCTCACAGCTCAAGTTGTTGCTGATGTGTTGAATTTTAAGAAGGGCGAACCCATCCCCGAATTAGAGAACTCTTTTGTCGATGTCCGTGATGTTGCACGAGCTCATATTGAAGCGTTTGAAAAAGACGCCGCTCAAGGAAAAAGATTATATCTTACTGCAGAAAAGTTTTCCAATGAAGAAATGGTAGATATTGTTAGAAAGAACTTCCCTGAAGTTGCAGGTAAGTTACCAGTTGCTAAACCCATTAAGAGAACTATGTTAGATAAATCAAACGATGCTTTTATAAAAATAATTCTTGGTAAGCAATATTATGGCTTAGAGAAAACAGTTGTTGATAGCATTAAACAACTTTTAGATCACAGCACTTAATACTGCGATGTGTTTGGTTTTAGATAGCAATTTCAGTCAAAGTAGTTAATCCATATGTTTTTTTAATTTAATGAGATTGCAAATTATTTTATTTTTCTCAAATCTTGTGCTGGAACTTACCGACTCATTATAAAACTGTCTCTTTTATCTCCTCTTTGCATGAGCCGCACTTCCGTATTGCGCAACGCGATAAGAATGGCTCCTTGCCAAATGCTTGTTAAGCTTAATAATTGGAACAGTATCTTAGACAGCAGACTATAACTTCGATGGAGAAAACAAGTCAGATTAACAGATATGCACCTTTTTGGAGGTATCTCCATATAGTTATTGCATTGGTAGTTTTAGCCATATTTTATTTCAATCAATTGAGCTTTCCTATTAAAAGCACAAATGAGGTTTCTGCTCAATTGGTTGAGGAAAAGTGCCACCAGTATGATTATGCTAGGCCCAGTTCCTATTTGGAAGACAATTCCACAGTATTCAGGATTATTCTGGACGAAAATTTTAGAAACCAATCGGCTAAAAAACTATCAGGATCTGTCCGTGTTAAAACTGATGTTTATGATGATAGTCCTTTAGTTGAAGACGATCCTAAATATTGGGAAGACAAGTTTAAACCTTTTCATGAATATTTAGAAAATACATTCCCAATTGTTTGGAAACACTTTAAGATCGAGACAGCTAATACATGGGGATTAATTATAACTTGGGAGGGTTCTTCCTCTTTAAAGCCAATTCTTTTAACTGCCCATCAGGATGTCGTTCCTACTCAAGATAATACAATCAAAGATTGGACTTATCCTCCGTATGAAGGCGTGTTTGATGGTGAAAAAGTATGGGGTCGAGGTGCGGCTGATTGTAAGAACCTTTTAATTGGATTATTGGAAGCCGCAGAAGAGTTATATAAATCAGGATTCAGACCCAGAAGATCGGTTATCTTTGGTTTTGGTTTTGATGAAGAAATAGGAGGTCCAAGAGGTGCGGGATCTATTGCTGAAATATTAATTGAAAGATATGGTAAAGATTCCTTTTATGCGGTTGTTGATGAAGGTGGTCAAAGTTTAGCTTATGAAAATGATGTTCTTTTGGCTTTGCCGGGAACAGGAGAGAAAGGATCAACAGACGTTATCATAGGATTGAATACTCCTGGTGGACATTCCTCCGTTCCTCCTGATCATACCTCCATTGGAATAATTTCTCAATTGATTGAAGAAATTGAAAATAACCCATTTAATGCCTTTTTCACCCCGGTTAACCCAACCTTCCACGAATATCAATGTATTGCTGTTTATTCACCAAGTTTAGATCCAAAGATAAGGGTTGATATTTTGAGATCAGAGTATGATGAAAACTCGAAGAAGCAAGCTATAAAATATCTTCATGATAAATCATTATTGAGTAGATATCTCATAACAACTACTCAAGCAATCGATATTATTCATGGGGGAGCCAAGTCAAATGCCTTGCCAGAATATGTCGAGATTGACATTAATCATAGAGTAGCTATCGAAAGCAATACGGATTATGTTGTCTCAAAAGACTTAAACCATGTGAAATATATTGCTGAAAAGTTTGATCTTGGCATTGTATTCAATGGAGAAGAAATTAGAGCAAAGACTCCAAAAGGATATTTCACAGTTGAAAAAGTATCTGAATTAGAACCGGCACCTATTACACCAACTACTGGTAAAACTTGGGAACTTTTCTCGGGTACAATCCGTCATGTATATGAAGAAATTGCATTCGCTGATCCTAAATCGGAGTATCATGGGAAAACCGTAGTTGTAGCTCCAGGGATTGCTACTGGTAATACTGATACTAGATACTACTGGGATTTAACTAAGCACATCTTCAGATATAGACCTGGTGCTTCCACTACAGTTGAAGCTCATGCTCATGGAGTTAATGAAGTAATTCCGATATCATCACATTTACAATTAATTGCCTTTTATTATGAGTACTTACAACTCATTGACAGTGTAGAAGATTGATTTAGTTATTATAATAAAAGTATGTTTCTGCTATTTTTCGCAACCTTCCTCTCTTTTGCTCACACGTTGTAAAGAAAATTCTCGAATGTTTCGAGTGCGTCCATTGAAAATTTCTCCATACTTAAAAACTGTATAGTAAATTGACAGCTAGTAATTGCTATTTATTCCTTGTCACAATTGAGCATAATCTAATACAAGGATTTAACAATTTATTATCATTGAGCAATTAGATAGACAACAATTAAGAAAATGACTGCAACAATTAATCCTAATGTTTTATGGGCACAACGTTCTAACGCCACTGATGAATCTAAGAATGTACTTTTCGTAACTATTGAAGTCCTTGATGCAATTAATACAAAATTAGACTTGACTTCAACTCATTTAAAATTGTCGTGTGATTCACAAGACAATGGTAATCATTATGAATTAGATATTGAATTCTTTGATGAAGTTGATCCTGAAAAATCACATACTAATACCGAGAGTGGTTCTCATATTTATTTGGTGATTAGAAAGAAGGAAGCTAAAGAAGAATTCTGGCCAAGATTGACTAAACAAAAGTTGAAGTATCATTACATCAAGACTGATTTTGATAAATGGGTAGATGAAGATGAACAAGACGAACATGTTGATGCTGAAGATGATTTTGGAGCAGGTGGTTTGGGTGGCCCTGGTGGCCCTGGCGGTTTCGGAGGTCCTGGTGGTTTCGGTGGTCCTGGCGGTCCAGGAGGATTTGGTGGTGCTGATGGTCCAGGAGGATTAGATTTCTCTCAACTATTACAAGGTGCTGGAGGTGCTGGAGGTTTACCACCAAACTTCGACATTAGTTCATTGGCTAGTCAATTGGGTCAAGCAGGAGCTGGTAAATTCGGTGAAGATGGTGATGATGAAGACGATGACGATGACGAAGACGATATCGAAGAGGTCAATAAATGATGACACTCTTTTCAACAACTTGTATAATACCTTAATCTTTTCTACTTTTTACAGTCAAGCCTAAAATATACACTCTATCTAAATATAAAATTCAAAAAAAATCAAAATTCTGGCAGTATTACCTTATCTTTTAATACCTGAAAGTCTACCATTTAATGTCTACAAGAATATACAAGAAATTCACAATATAAAGACTATTTAGTTCTAGTTCACATAGTTGAGATGTATATATAGTCTCTACACAATTAGCTTAAACGAATAATCATTGATATATGTATATTTTATTCTACCACTTTTATTTTACCAGAAGCGATAGTGTGTGATTGATACAACAACTTACTTTAACCCATTCTTTAATGCTTCTTCAAATATCAATCCAAAAGGATGAAGATATCAACTCATTATATTATACAGGAAAGGTCGTGCATTGTGTAAAATATTCTCAAGACAGTTGGTGAAAAATTTTGAATTTTTGAATATGGAGGGACCATAAGCACAGGACTTAAAGCCTAGATTTGGAGATCTACCAGCAATGTTAAGATTTAGTGGATCCCGTCTGCAAGCTATAATACTGAGGAGGAATGTTCTCAGCTTCAACGCTTTGAGGTATAACTCTTCTGGCACAGAAGTTCCTACTTTATCTCAAAGAGAACTTCGTGAAAAGGTTGTTGCAGATGCATTAGCCAAGGATGAAGAAGAAATAGCTAGAGCCAAGGCTCTTAGAGAATTAAATAAACATACGACTGAGTTAATAAGTTCATTAAACAAAATTCCTTCCGATTTAATTAATTCAAGATTGCAAAAGCTTCAACAAGATTTAGATAAAGTACCAAAGAAAAAAGTTAAACAATTAGATCAAGAATTGGAAGATTTTATGGTTAATCATATGAATTTGCCATATTCAGAGGTTTTCAATAGACCATGGGCTGAAGAGCCTGTAAATTCGTCGGGAGGTTCAATAATTTCGAATGATGAAGATGGAAATCAAAGAATCTCTTCTAGTACTTCTTCTAAACTTTTGAATGAATATCCAAATTTAAAACCAACTGCTGATCATAGACCATATTCGGAACAAGAACTTTATTTAAGGCAATTAGAACATTCTCGTCAATCAGGTTATTTAGGGTCAAAATTGACTAATATTTATAAACCGAGAAATGATATAGTTAATCCTAAAGAAATTAAAGATACTACAATTGCTTCATTAATGGCAGCTGGATGTCATTTAGGACATTCTAAAGCCATGTGGAGACCAAGCACTCAACCTTTTATTTATGGTGAATATGAAGGAATTCATTTAATTGATTTGAATGAAACTATAACTGCTCTCAAAAGAGCTAGTAATGTTATCAAGGGAGTTTCTAAAAAAGGTGGTGTCATTGTTTATGTTGGTACATCTAAAAGTTGGGTACAACAGCGTGCTTTAGAAGAAGCTGCTAATAGATCTAACGGATTTTACGTATCAAAGAGATGGATTCCAGGTATGATTACAAATTATACAGAAGTTACTAAACAAATAGAAGGAGAAAGTAAGATCGAAGTAGATATGGCCAATAAGCCAACTGGTAGATTATTGGGTGAAGATGGTAAATCGATTATAAAGCCAGATTTGATTGTTATTTTAAATCCAGTTGAAAATAGAAATTGTATTAATGAATGTTTATTACTGAGAGTTCCAACTATAGGGTTATGTGATACTAATATGGAACCAACCTTATTGACCTATCCAATTCCATGTAATGATGATTCTGTAAGATCAACTTCTTTGATACTTGGTGTGTTATCTAAATCTGCTGAACAAGGTTTGAACGAAAGATTAGAAGGTCTCCAAGCTTGGAATTCTAACAAAAGTAAACTTGCTGACGAAACTGCAAAAAGAATTCCAGCCAGAAAGCAGAAACAAGAAGAACAACAGCCTGAACAGGATACACCTGCCATTGCATGAACATATACTAGTCATATATACATAGTCACAAGTTATTATTTATACTCTGTAAATAGACATAATAATGTAAATCAATAAGAACTTGATGTTAATAATTTAAAAACTTTTGATCAGACGCTTTCATTCTTTTATCCTCAAAGGAATCCTTTAATGTTAGTCCTTTTGTCTTAATCTCCGACAAGAAGTTAGCTCTATGGATTCGTTGTGATTCTATGAACTGTTGGACATTCAGATTTTCAAGGATAAGACCTCTGTTGTTTTCTAGATACTTGTCCAACGTTTCGGGATCGACTTGTAAATTGTTTATGTCAATGGTGTCCGCCATAGACTCCTGCGATGAGTCTTGAGTAACCTGTTTATTCAGTAGGACATATTTTGTAATGTATTCCGTTCGAGGACTCTGTGGATAATGGGCACTATGATACTTTAATAAGTCGGCTACCGATATCAGTATTGCCATGCTTTATAGCAAGGTCCGATGGTTGTCCGCTGGCTGTTCCGTCTTCGTTTTTATTTTTGTATTTTTGTCGCACCAAATAAAACAGCATACAGCTTGTTCGCAGCCATTACAACTCAATTTCAGTAAGAAACTAACATACATTCTACAGGAAGGTATTATTAACTATATATACACAGCTCTAAGGTGAGAGATAAATAAATATTAAAGAGTTTTGCTGGCATAGAAGTTTTTTTTATGTTAGTCTTACTACGATTGTTCTTCTGAGTCTGACTCGTCATCACTTCTTTCATCTCTTGCAACACCTCCAACTATATATCTCCATAAAATACGCAAGATAAGGAAGAACCAATACAAATTGACTATTTGCAAGACACCAATTAAGAAGAAAACAATTGGTTGAGAAATCCAGCATTTATATTGTTGGGTCTCCCAGTTTAATTCCCAAGGACCCACAGTTCTAAATTCAGTTAAAACGGAATATAATATTTTCAAATTAATATAATGTCTTAAATATGCCCATACGATCACGAACATAACTAGGAATGGACCAGTAAAACGAGATTTGATGTAATTCATAGTCATGGATGTAGCCAAGAAAAAATCTGAGACATCCATAGTAATGTATACCGCCAAACCCATCCAAGTAAAATGGAATCTATATGAAGTCCAAATTAACGCAATAGTAACTATATGATGGATTACCAAAACTTTGAAATCTTTTCTAGGTTTCTCCAATTGTAAAATTAAAACCATTACTTGCTGAACCCAAAATGCTGCTTGACCTAAATAATATATCTTAAAGTAAAAATCATGAGTTTTATGAGGAAAGTTGGTATAAAATGGAGTAGTTTCAAAGAACCAAAGTGGTAGACGAGACATGATCCATAACCCAAATGGACCAGAACACCCATAATAAAATATAGAGTAACTTTGCTCCATGAATCTCTTTATTCTATCTTCCTTCTTAATGCCAAAATGTATTGAAAGGGGTCTTGAAATCAAACACATGAAAAACTCTCTTAAGAAAGTAAAGAATATAGAATAAAATCCAACAAAATAAAAGTCATTTATACCTTTACCATATTGATCAGTACCTTCTATATAGTAAGATGGGACAATTAAACATTCTAGAAACAAATGGATTCTAGATTTTGGAGATGAAAAATAGAATGCACTAAATGAAAAGATTAATACAATGAGTGGTGCCACCCAAGTATGTCTGTATGAAAGTTCAATTAACCCGACATAAATTTTTTTTACTATGGCAATATCAGACTTAGATTCCTTACTCAATTCCAAGATTCTTGCCTCTGATTTTCTTCTTTGGACTGCCGCAGTGTGAATGGTTGATAAACCTGGAGAACTAGTATCACCCAAATCGATTTTTCCGACTGATGAGCCTCTATTTCTATAAGCCGAAGCAAACGCCGAAGAAGACTCTTGTCTTACCTGAGCTGACAGACTCTTGGCCTCATCATTGTAATCAGACATTTACAGTTCCACGATCTAAATCTCTTATTTCAAAGTATTTAGAAAAACATTAACAAAACGCAAAAATTTGATTCGCTGATGTTTATGTTTACTACTACTAAAAAAATAGGGGTCCAGTTATCTCAACAAAAGAAGTACGCGACTAATAATTGTTGATTTACCTTTGATGCTGATGTAGGCTATATATACTAAGAATCTATAATTCTCTACAACAGAGTTCGTTTTGGGACTATCGGCTCATGGGATAAATTTCATTGCAGTGTACAGTTTACTTAATATTGAGCGTGTAATATATGTTTGCAACTTTAGGTGCAAAATGTTGGTATTGGCAATATAAATATGAGTATTGATTGAACTATACCGAATACCAGTAATCAGTGCATGAGTTATCCTATGATTGCATTACATCTCTCAAGTTAAATCGGAGTTACTATAATAACTTAATCTCTCTTCGAAAGCAAGCGGTTAGGTAACATTGTTCATTTATGCGGATAAAAAGCTTATTTAACAATATTTTTGCGCTTTTTTTTCGAAAAAGTTACATTTTTTGCAATTAATAAATATATCTATTAAACTTTGAAATTAATAATAAACAACATTACAAATAAAATTAAAAAGTATATCTACAAGTGGGTTAAGTATTAAATTATTATGTAGATGTATACATGCTGAGGAGTATAATTTTGTACAATGAGTAAAGAATAGATTTGATTGGGAATTATGTATCTATTGGTGTTTCTTAGATTCGTCTTCACTGCTTTCTTCAGATCCGGATTCATCATCACTTCTTTCATCTTTAGCAACTCCACCAACCACATACCTCCATAAAATACGGAAAATAAGGAATAACCAATATGCATTAACGATTTGTAAAGCCCCAATTAAGAAGAAAACAATTGGTTGAGAAATATAACATTTATATTGTTGAGTAACCCAGTTTAATTCCCATTCACCAACAGTTCTGAATTCAGTCAAAACAGAATACAATATTTTCAAATTGATATAATGTCTGAGATAAATCCAAACTCCAACGAATATAACAAAGAATGGACCAGTTAATGGGGAATTTATATAATTCAAAGTCTTTGAAGTAGCCAAGAAGAAATCTGATACATCCATTGTAATATAAATAGCCAAACCCATCCACGTGAAATGAAATCTATAAGAATTCCAAATCAAGGCAATAGTAATGATGTGATGTAAGACTAATTCTTTAAAATCTTTTCTTGGAGCCTCTAATTGTAAGATCAAAACTACCGATTGTTGGACCCAAAACGCAGCTTGACCCAAATAATAAATTTTGAAGTAAAAGTCGTGAGTTTTATGAGGGTAGTCAGTATAAAATGGAGTAGTCTCAAAGAACCAAAGTGGTAAATGAGACATGATCCATAAACCAAATGGACCAGAGCATCCATAGTAAAACATTGCATATGTTTGTTCCATAAATCTTTTAACTTTGGCTTCTTTCTTAAGGCCAAAGTAACCAGCAAGAGGTCTCAAAATACAACACATAAAGAATTCTCTTAAGAAAGTAAAGAAAATAGCGTAGAATCCAACAAAATAAAAATCATTTCTACCTTTACCATATTGATCGGTACCTTCAATCTTATAAGATGGTACTATCAAATCTTGTAACAATAAATGAACTTTTGAATCAGGAGCAGATAAATAGTAAGTACTGAATGAAAGAATTAATACAATAAGAGGTACGATCCAAGTATGTCTATATGAAAGTTCAGTAAATCCAACATAAATTTTTTTAACTATAGCAATGTCAGACTTAGATTCTTTACTCAATTCCAAGATTCTTGCCTCTGACTTCTTTCTTTGAACTTTTGAAGTATGTAATGTTGATAAACCAGGAGAACTAGTATCACCTACATCGATTTTTCCTACCGAGGAACCACGACGACGATGAGCAGCTGCAGCAGAAGATACACTACTAGCTTGAGATGACAGGCTAATTGGAGCCAAGTAATCTTTAGATGAAGGCATACTAATTAACTTCCAGCTCTAATTAACCAGAACAAAGTAACATAAAACGTCAAGTACAACAACAAAGCTTTTTTCGCTAACTCAACACAACCAAAAAATAGGAGACGGAAAGGGTTTTGTTTTCCTGTAGCGAGCAGAGGTGACTGCGCATAAAGAAACTTAAGGAGGCAATAACTAATTCAGAAGCAAGAACAATACAAGACAATACAAAACATTAGTAAAACATCATGGCAGGTTACAGGGGTACCTCCATACTGTTGGAGAATTTAATTAATAGAGCTACCGATGCCACCTTGACTCAAGATAATTGGCAATATATACTTGATGTTTGTGATAAGATATCTTCTAATCCTGAAGATGGAACTAAACAAGCTATTAGAGTTATAAGTACTAAATTATCAAGTAGAGATGCTAATGTGATATTAAGAAGTTTATCACTCTTAGTATCCATTGCTGAGAATTGTGGATCTCGAATGAAACAAGAAATTGCCACCAAATCATTCATACAAGATAATTTGATTAAGAAGCTAAAAGATAATAAGCTTCATAAAACTGTCAAATATAAGATAGTTGAGGTGATTGATCAATTGTATCACGAATTCAAGAGTGATCCATCATTAAAGCCTATGACCGATGCTTACAACAAGGTCAAATCCGAATATTCTCAATATTTCAAATCGTCTTCTGCTCCAAGTAAACCAGAAAAGAGAGAGATTAGTAAGGTAGATAAAGTAAAAGAAGATGAAGAACTTCAAAGGGTCCTTAAATTATCATTGCAGGAGTATGAAAGAGAACAACTGGTTAGAAAAACTTATCTTAATTCAAAGCCATTACCAGAAACCAAGCAAGAGCAAGATCAGGCACAATCTGAACGTCAACCAAATCAATCACCATCACCAGAGGCTCAAACAATAGCTACTGTATCGAAAGTGAGAGCTCTTTATGATTTAATCTCTTATGAAGCTGATGAGTTATCCTTCCGAAAAGGTGATGTGATTACTGTAATTGAATCAGTCTATAGAGATTGGTGGCGTGGTTCTTTACCAAATGGTAAAATCGGTATTTTCCCTCTTAATTATGTTACACCAATAGTTAATAAAACTCCCCAACAAATTCAACAAGAGTTAAGTGAAGAGAATAAAGTCTTAAACGTTGATCAGAAGAAGATTGATAGATTATTGGCTATTTTGTCTACTTCTGCTGCAAATTTGACAACAATTAATGAAGATGAAATTACTCAATTATATAACGAAATCATTCCCTTAAGGCCTCAACTTGGAAAGTTTATTGACAAATATAATATAAGGAAGGAAGAATTGGGTGTATTAAATAATCAATTGAATAATGAGGTGAAGTACTATAATGAATTAATGGATTCCCTGATATCTAGAAGAGCCAATGCCAATCCATTCGAGAATAATTCAACACCTTACCCTAGTGCATACCCCCCTGCCCCACAATATACTACTCAACCACCACCTCAACAGCAAACTCCTTCATATCCTCAATATCCAACCTACGGATCTCCAGAAGCTCCTTTACAGCAACAGCCAACCAGTGTAGGGTTCGGTAATAACATTTATCATCAAGCGAGCGCGCCTTATCAACAAGCACAGCCTCATCAACAAGTACAGCCTCCTCGTCAGGGCACTCAGGATTTGCAACAGTTCCTGAACATTGAAAGGTTTCCGGATGTAAGTAATCTATAATATATAGCCTATATAGTGTGAATAATAAGTATTAATCATTGATTGTAACGTAGCAATTGGCAGCCGAACGTTTGTTTTTGTATGGTGCGAACTAAAACAAAAATTATCACCGTTCATAAATATCATGCTCAGCCATACTATAACATAACGTAATATAGACAACACAAGTAAGACAAGATCAGGTATGGGTGATACGCTATATTCACACAGGGAAGATCAAAACAATCAACGATTTGACCAATTGGCAAATACGCTTCATCAATTTAGAAACACTGTTAATAACGACATCCATGGAGCCATACAACAAGAGAACTCTATCTTAGATTCATTAAATGATAACTTTGGGCAGCTAATGCAACAGGTTAAGAGAACTAGTGGCGATTTGAGAACTGTCATGAACAGAAACGCCAGTTTGACTAGAATTGTTGGCTTGATCTTATTGGGTTTCTTTATTATATGGATGCTCTACAAATTGCGGTGAAATCGAGCACCACCGCATTTAATGAATCGTTTATTGTATATTATATCGGATTTTGTTGTATAAAGTATAGTATTTAATATTTAATTATATATCAGTTCTACTGTTTGTTGACAACATCAGAACCCAATCTGTAATTACCAATGGCATTCCCCCAATTGATCTTGGATCTGGTGATGGGTAATAATCTTCTCAAGTTCTTAAAGTACCTCTGATTGAGTTCATTAAAGTCGTCAACAATCTTTAATGTGATGGCATTTTCGGAATTATTGATGGCATTGATGATTTCTGAAACACTAGTCCCTTTTAAAGCTACATCTACTTTCTCATCAAAATTTAAACGGACATTGCCTTCTTCATAATAATGGATATCAAGCTTAACATCTCCACTCAATTGTGCACCTTCTACTTTATAGATTGATTTCCATTGTCCAGTATAATAATTTTCATTATTTAATCTTTGACCGATAAGAATAATCTGAACTGAATTACTATCGAGTGGTATCACGGTAAAGGCAAATCTCGAAGGATAGTGATCTTGACCGTATTGCTCTAAAGTTTGGACTAATGCATCATAATAGCTAGGATATTCAACTTGGGGGTCAAACGATTCTAAATCACTAACACTCTGAGAAGTTATCTGAACATTGAACTTCTTCTTGGATATGTAATCAATGTACTTAGTAGATGTCTCATCTTTATTATATTTCGATGCTATATATTTACCTGAAAATATAACTCCTCTATCTTGAATATAAGTTTCTAACGATTCATTAATTACTCCTGCGGAGCTAATGAGACTAGACAAATTTTGTTGAACTTCCTTTAGTTCACCAGGTGGAGCACTAGACACCAACCCATCAACCAATTGACCCAATTTAATCGACGACATACTAATTAACCTACTCAAGCGTATTAATTACCTTACTGAACTGAACAACTATCAAAACTATGTAATCCCTCAGTATTGGATACACGACATTATTAGTACATTTCTGCTGCGACATATTCAAATGTCGTCTAAAAATCTACTAATTTTATTAATAGTTTGATGTATCAATAACTGGATTTTTTATGTATTGTAGAGTTATGTATTGTAGACATAGCCTGATTATGTAAAGCTTCTATATGTCAAAAATAAATCAAGTTATCCCTAAAAGCTAGAGTTTTTGTCTTAAAAAGAAGAAATCTAAACTAATTGCCTTACTTGGTTATAATACAATCTTTTAGCTTGGTTTACTATAATACAGAGGCATTAATGTTGGAAAGAATAGATGAAAGTGTTTATGTTTAGTACAATCCTATAGTTTAACCAATTGTAAAACATAATAGTTTTTCTAGTATATATTAAAACATAAACATACTTTAAACTTAAGAATATTAAGCTCAAGGTAATGAAATTAAACCAAAAATATAAAAGAATTGGAGAGGTAATCCAGAGAAATACCAAATAGGTGTAACACCAATCTTAGAAGCATGTTGCCACCAAAAAGAAAGCAGAAATAACCAACAGAACTTCAATAATGAAAGTCGATGGTATAAGCAAAGCATTTGCTTTTGCTTCATACGCAACAAAACTCTTACCGGATGGATCAGGAAAGGAAGTTTGAGTGTCACTACCAACTTTTCTCTTTTTAATACCGACATTAGTCACGTCAATGTCGGTTGTACTTGTCGAGTAACTTGTTCTGTCATCATCTGAAGAGTAAGGGACATATTCTACCACAGTCGCTGTACCATCAATTGGATCATACTCAGTAGTGTAACTTGTAGTATCACCAGTCCAGGTATCAGTCACATATAGCTTTGGATAAGGCACATATTCTACCACAGTCGCTGTACCATCAATTGGATCATACTCAGTAGTGTAACTTGTAGTATCACCAGTCCAGGTATCAGTCACATATAGCTTTGGATAAGGCACATATTCTACCACAGTCGCTGTACCATCAATTGGATCATACTCAGTAGTGTAACTTGTAGTATCACCAGTCCAGGTATCAGTCACATATAGCTTTGGATAAGGCACATATTCTACCACAGTCGCTGTACCATCAATTGGATCATACTCAGTAGTGTAACTTGTAGTATCACCAGTCCAGGTATCAGTCACATATAGCTTTGGATAAGGCACATATTCTACCACAGTCGCTGTACCATCAATTGGATCATACTCAGTAGTGTAACTTGTAGTATCACCAGTCCAGGTATCAGTCACATATAGCTTTGGATAAGGCACATATTCTACCACAGTCGCTGTACCATCAATTGGATCATATTCGGTAGTGTAACTTGTAGTATCACCAGTACAGGTATCAGTCACATATAGCTTTGGATAAGGCACATATTCTACCACAGTCGCTGTACCATCAATTGGATCATACTCAGTAGTGTAACTTGTAGTATCACCAGTCCAGGTATCAGTCACATATAGCTTTGGATAAGGCACATATTCTACCACAGTCGCTGTACCATCAATTGGATCATACTCAGTAGTGTAACTTGTAGTATCACCAGTCCAGGTATCAGTCACATATAGCTTTGGATAAGGCACATATTCTACCACAGTCGCTGTACCATCAATTGGATCATATTCGGTAGTGTAACTTGTAGTATCACCAGTACAGGTATCAGTCACATATAGCTTTGGATAAGGCACATATTCTACCACAGTCGCTGTACCATCAATTGGATCATACTCAGTAGTGTAACTTGTACTATCACCAGTCCATGTGATGACTTCATTGGCCGTAGAATAAGGTAAAAACTCATCTACAATTACTCCATCTGTAACCCCACCATCAAGAACAACAATATTTGTAGTATAACTGATCGTTGAACCAGTCCAAAAGCCGGTATAAGTAACCGTATTATAAGCAGAAACCAGCAATGGAAGTAAGATCCATAAGTTTATCAGATGTCCAATTGAAACCATCATGATGTTTGACTAGAAATACGGCAAATTGATCGTATGTGGATCTAGGGTTATATATATACAAGAAATTGGGAGACTAAACTTGTTGTGCCATAGGGGGTATGGTTAGGTGAGGCGGCTCTATTTCCATATATGGATGTAAGAGACTTGATCGCAGTAATTTTGATTGTGTCATATGCGTAATTATTGCTAAAAGCTTAAAAAATAAGCGATTTTTGGAGATCAACATATTATTTTATAGTGCAGTGCAATTCTACCAAAGATTGATACCTCAATATATATTTTGAAGCTAATAAGGACTCAGTTAATCAATACTAAGCAGGAAACTATTAAGTTCAGTGCTTCTCCAATTCTATACATAAAATAACTTTGAAGGAGGCATGATTCCTTAACAGTAAACAGTCGGTCATACGATAGACAGAGACAAGAAATGGGACATACATTCTTTTGTGTTCAATTACCTTCGAAATATATAATTATTCACAAATTTGTACATACTCCCAAGAGGTCTTTTACAATCTTTATATTTGTCCATATTTTCATGAAGACTATTTACCTTCGTAGAAATACTCAGCGAGTTTTGATAAGTTACGCAAAAAGGAATTAAGAGAATATTTATGCAAGATAGGGAACATTAGAACAACCGATCAACAGACACTAGAAGAAAAGAAAACAGACTAATAAATCATAACAATAAATTATCAATGTGAGGAATCTTTGTGCTTGAAATGATAAATTCGTATAGACTAGATGTTTCTTGGGCCAAACTTTGAGTTGACGTATATAGAATTCGTGCATATGCAACCATAAAAAAATATGTCAAAAAGCCAAAATGAGATATTTCGTAATTAAAAGTTCCTTCACGAATGCTCATTTTTGTATATATAGAGTTGAATTTTTAAACTGAAGTATTGTTGTATGCATTATTCTTCTAAGCTTTCGAGGAGATCGGTCATTAGCTGGGCTAAAGCTGCTCTTTGTTCAAATACGCAACGCAATTTAATAATTTAGTAACAAGCATTACACAATCATATTTTATAAATCAAATTCTAGGTCTTGCAGAATTTATTTTCTAGCAATCTATGTAACTAAATTTGTCTGCGTGGCATAACTCTATTCTATTTCCATATATATGTTTACTCGGTTATTCTAGCACATAAACACGACATTGCTAAATTGGCCCCTTCCTGTTGTTGTTTTGGATTAACAACTTTCTTAGCAACTTGTAACCAGAAGGGGGGGGGGTTGTTTTTTTGGCTCCCCGTTTATTTAATGTAAGTGGCAATGCAATGTTGTTCGTTCCCCATGACTTCAACATAGGTATGTACAGCAATAATTTGGCAATAACCGTGGGGGAAAATTATTGGTGCTTTGCCAGTTTATTGATGATATCGAGAATATCACGAGTGTCAGGAATTCAAACTCATTGAAATAGTGAAGTTAATAGTCAAGCGGCCAATGCGTTTTTTGAATCTGACAAGAATAAGAAAATATATAAATCGCTAAAAAATAATTATGTACAACTGATTCAACAACTATTAATGTTTATAGACTAGTGTAAATTACAAGGTAACTTAGATGTGTTAATTCCTATTACTATTTGGTAGGTTTACTTACAAATACATTACAACTATAACTCTATATACAACCCCTAAGACAATAAGAAAGCTCCAGCCCCTTCATTGATGGCCTGCAATAATCGACTCTTCATTAAATCTCTCGAAGAATATTTAGGTAACTTCAAGTAATTAGCACAAGTCATTACACTCGGTAAATAATCATCATCTTTTAATCCGCCTTCACCATGTTTTCTAACCACCGTTAATTCTGGTCTAAGAGCTTTGAAACCTCCAATAGGTAATTTAGGAGATCCAGTTAAGAATTGGAGAAATACTCTTCGTTGATCAGGAGTAAATTCCACAAGAATACTAATTAATGATTTTATAGCTTCTGATTCTTTATTATAACCATGATTAGCATTAACTGCTGAAGTTAAAGTATCTACTGACCAATCTTCTTCTGCATTACCAAATAATCCTGCTAATTCAATTGGAGAAAATAAGATTAATGAATTTATAGGAAATACTTTTGAAAATCCATCCATAAATGCTTTAGTTTGATGAATAATTCCACTATAAAGAGTTGCTTCAAGAACTTTAGATACATATAATTCTACATTAGATGCATCTACAGGAATATCTTTACCACCAGGAATTAATTCATAATCAGGATAACCAGGTAATTCAAAATAAATCAGTAAATCTTCAAGTTTAGTACTATTAACATACTTTAAAAGATGATCTAATGAATTAGCTAAATCATTATCAACAAGTCTTAAAGTAGCTAAATTAGCCATTTTCTTTAAATTCCGAGAATTGGATTTTTGAGCTCCATGGAAATTAAATGTTTGTACTAATTTTAAAAATGTTGAATTAAAATTAAAATCAATTATTCGAGAATCTAATAAAGCTCGAGCAATAAATTTACCTAATGAAGAAAAGAAATAAAGTACTTTCCGACCATTTTCACTATTTAATTGAGCTTTATCCATTGGACAAGGAAATAATCCTTGTTTATTAGTAATATATTCATTATGATCATCAGAACCATCATCTCGCCATAATTTTAACATTTTTTTAGAGAATTCCTTAGAAATAGTAGCATAAAATTCTAATGTTGGACCTAAACCTGATCCTACTTCATCAAAGTATTCAATTTCTAATATTCCTGGAGTTGAACCATAAAGTCCAAGAACTTTTACAGCACTTTGTAATATCATTTTTCTTGAAATTCTTACTTTTCTTCTAGTAGGTCTACCTAATTGCACGGCTTGATTAGAATTATTATGATGATTATTCTCTTCAATAGCTTGATTAGTTTTAACTTGCCAATGATGAATAAGTCGAGAATAACCAAATGATGTAGATTGTAAGAAAAAGATTCGAGTTTCTAATGGGAATAAAAATGGAAATTGTTTAGTTACATGAATACTCCAACCTGGTAAAGTTCCACTGGCCACTACTAAAGGTTCTTCTAATTGACGATTTAATTTAACTGTTAATTTCCAATTCATAAATTCACTTTCTCTAATAACATTACCACCAGAAATATTATTTCTAACAAGAGTATTCATTTCAAAAAGTACTTTTAATAATTTTAATATACTAATGGTAGTTTTATCATACAGTTCTAATTCATTCTCACTAACATTAAAATTATAAGTTATAGGTTTACTCTCTTTTGATACTTCAGAACTGATTTTTCTATACTTTATATTATGAATACTAGTCCAAATTCTCAGAGGGTCAATGATTTCATCGGGTCTAGTTTGTAAGGATCGATAGATGGCTCCATAGATAGTGATTTCATTAGGAATTACTTCATCATTAAGGAGAAATTCCAAATTAACTTGATTCTTTCTACTTTCTTCAGGATGAGCTAACTCTTCAAGCATAGAAGCAGGACCCCTTAATCCTAAATCATTTAAATCTTCTACAAATTTAATTCTTTGCTTTAAGAATGCATCAACAGATTTAAAAGTAGCTATAGCATGAACTGATAATATCATACTTTGCATACTTGGAGGTAATTTCTTATCACCTTCATCATCAGAAGATAATTTCAATTTAATTTGTTTAGCCATAACTGAGGTTTGATTTTCATTATGAAATACTGAACCTGTTGTAGTGGTAGTTGGGGTTGTACCTGCAGAAATGATTTCAAATGATTCACATCGAGTTAAAGCTTCTTGTAATTTACATACTAAGAATTGGGCACCTCCCTTCATACGATCTCCAAAGAATACTCCTATAAATGCTTTATAACAATCATTATATTCATAACCAAAATCATAATTATCCGATGTGAATATATGTGCAAGTGAATCAATAATTCCTGAAGATATTAATTCAAAACTTGAGATTTGTTCAGCATTATCAAGAGCAGAATATAACTTTTCCCAGAGTTCCTTCCAAATATCCAAAGAGAAAGTCTTGATTAATTTTTGATCTTGTAAAGTAGTCACAATAGATTCTACTGCCTTCATATGTTCCGGTACACTATCATAAGTGATATTGAATTTGGCATGATGATAGAGAGTTTCTATTGAAAGACAAATACTTTCAATATGACTAAAGATCTTATCAGCTGATAATTCAATCTCATAATCTCGAGTGAATTCTACATCAATAAACTTATTGGTATAACTGGAAGAATATGAATGCATACGAGTACTTTCTGCTTTGGGTGCATTGACTTTCCCCTTAAGACTTTGAAGAATACTAAAGGTATCATTTAAAAGTCCTTCTCTTTCAAACGCCTGAGTAAACGTTACTGGATTGAGTTCCAAGAGTGTCTTGGCGATGATGAGTGATTCGAGAAGAAGTACGTTGGAGTTGAGCTTAGTGCTGTCGTGGGCAGATGACTTGCGGAAGTAGAGCTGGGTTGTTGGATTGCGAGTTTCCTCTTCCTCTTCCTCCTCCTCTTCTTCTTCTTCTTCTTCTTCTTCCTCCTCTTCTTCTTCATCTTCATCGTCCTCTTCTTCTTCATCCTCTTCCTCTTCATCGTCCTCTTCTTCTTCAATGTCTGCCTCCTCATTTACAACTGACTCTCTCTCCATATCAACATCCTCTTGACCATCTGGTTCAATTGCTTCTACAGATGAGAACTCACTCGCAATGATTCCCTTCGAATGATTGGCTACCGAAGCCAAAAGATTCGATATAGCATCTACTTGTGCTGCAGTAAATTGAGCTTTATAACTCGAAGTGGCTATACGATATAAATTAATTAACACTTTCCGTCTAATTTCATAATCCATAGTTGCTTGGAAACTAGTAATTAATAAAGGAAATACATCCTTAACAAATTCATGATACTTATCGGGAATAATCTCATTACTTAAAGTTATTCTAGCTTGATTAAGTTTAGCTCGTTCATCTAAATATTCATAACCTTCATTTAAAAAGGGAGTATCTTTAGATGAATAACTTATAGGAAGTAAATAACCAATTAGATTTAAGAATTGAGAAAGAATCTCCTTTGGAGCTGCCATTAATGCTTCAATAGATATCAGAGCCACCTCCACTACTACAGGATCCATTGAATCTATCAGTTGATTAGGTTTTGATTTGGAATACTTATTAAGGGAATGAATAATGATTTCTCCAATTGAACAATCTTCAATTAAGATTCTAGAGATATCCACACTAATACTACTTAATATAATTAAGGATCGTATTAAACTTAAACATGAACTATAATTTAATGCCACTTTAGAAGATTCTGTATCGGAAACAGAATTCATCGACTTATTACAACTGAAATAAATCGTTTGACTAAGACTTTTCAATAAGGCTCCTTTATTCAGAAACAATTCTTCTAATAAATCTTGCTTTGACTTAAAACTAATAATGATTCGTGAGATAGTTAACCACGCATTCTCTACCACCACAGGATCGGAATGATTCTCAACTACTTGTGCTATATTATCAATAATATCTCTAACCTTAACGAAATTCGATATAGAAATATTCGTACAAGAATTAGATACAATGGATAAACATTTGCGTTGAGCATGAATGGTTAAAAAATCCAAATATAATAGACAAGCTCTTAAACCATCATGAGCTATAATACTATTATGAGATATAGTATCTCTAGAAATCATTTCAAGTGTTTGAAGTGCTTGTTCTGTCAAATCAATATATGTGATTTCTAATAATTTACTACATAATGCTTCTATGGCATGATTATTTAAAGCTTCATGAATAAAATCTTGATTAACTTCAAGAAAATTATAGAGACATCGACAAGCCACTAATTGTAATTCTAATTCTTGTGCTAATACTGGATCTGTCATAATATTAACTAAACTCTTGGCTAATTTATTGGCAGGGATAAGTCTTTCTGCTGTAATCCCATTCATCATTAATAATCGTTCAGATAATTCATTAAGTGTCTCAAGAATAATGTATGTATCGCCTCGTTGATTTAAATTATTGATTAATGCTTCCATTTCCAGATTGTCTCGATTCATTCCACCTCCAAATATAATTCCTCCTCCCATTAATCGTTGAACTGCATCCACAAATCCTTGAGCTCTATCTCCATTATTGTCTCCTCGAGCATTGGTGGCTACGCGGGGAAGGGATCCAAGGGCTCTCAATAATTCGTGTCTAGGATCATCTTCGTCGCCATCATCCTCATCATCTTCATCTCTATCCACTTCCTCTTCCGCATCTTCATGGTCTGCTCCATGGATACCAAAGTTCTGTGCTTGGCCTGCATCCATGATTCTTCTTAGAAACTCCGCAGGTTCGATATTGTCTTCGTCTTCTTCATCTTCTTCATCTTCGTCCTCTTCTTCTTCATCCTCTTCGTCCTCTTCGTCCTCTTCCTCTTCAATATGCTCAACCCCATCCTCATCTTCATCCACTTCTTCGTCCTCATACGCAATATCCTCGTCGTAGAAACTATCGTCACTGGGCCTGTTACTGCCTCGTCTTCTTTGAGCCTGTTCCGATAATCGTCTTAGAGCTTCTGACTCATCATCCTGCGTGTCTTCATACCTTGGACCGGCATTGGCCAAGTAGAGGTCTGGATCCTCCCGATCACTTGACAGGTGACTTTTATGGGACATCTGTGCACTGTACTGTAAAATACTATAGTATACTACACTATACTATTGATTGGTTAGTGATTTAGTTGTTTATTACTAAGTGTGGTAATGCTTCTTCCTGCTTAGTGAGCTAACTTATAGTTAGGCAACTTTTTCTCAGGGTGGTATATGGTCTCAGTAAATTTGTCGCTAATTGGATTACGGTACTGTACTATCTCCCTAAACTCTTCTCGCTATGCCTTTATAACTGTGGAATCACTTAGTGTAGTTTTATAGTTATAGGGAAGTAAAGGATAGTGAGTCCGATATCTCCTGCCTAATTTAGTATGCTTGTGCAGTGACGAAAAAATGGGAGTGTGTGTCGCAAGTGGCAAACAATTGTGACACGCCTAATTCTGCGACAAGTATTTGTCATATTGATTGTCATTAATTGACATACCCAGTGTTACTGAATACTGAGTCAATAAAGGACACTGAATGTACGTATACGTATCTTTTAGTGCCTACTGTAAGTGGTAAGTGGTAAGTGGTAAGTGTATACGTGTAGGTGGATATGTTATCCATACGTGATTTATCACACTGAGTGTATATACACACTGTAAGCATTACTGCTCTTATTAGTGAGCATCTGTGATTAGATCATGCTAATCTAAGTAGTTCAGAAGAGAAGATAATGTACATTCACCTTGGGACTAGAGCTACTTTAATGAATTTCAAGGAATAGGGATCTCTCAAAAAAACAAATGTATATGTAAATAAATAACGGAAATTGATATATTCTATTGACCTGTTACAAGAGTGAAATAGGCATACAAATACTATGCTGAGATACTTACGGAGACACTAACATGTGGTTATTTAAGAAGCCTGCTTTACACCTAAATCGCAAAAGTTTCATTATCAGTTTACGGACTATTCACAAATGGAAGGAACTAGAACAAACAAATGGTTAGAAACCTAATGGTATTTTGACACATGATATTTTCAAAGTAGTGTAAAGAATCACTTAAATAAACTAATTTAAGAAAAAGGGCACCTTAGTAGTCGATTTCACCTTAGAAGTGCTTTTGAATATTCTAGTACTGTGTTAAACGTTTTATTCACACTTCCGAATTCATGGGCACCTCAAGTAATTGAAGTCTGATAACTCCGGAGTTAGATTTACTTACATTATTTCAATATATCCACACACCTCTACTGAGTATGTCATAATCCTTTTGTTTATACAATTCTTTCATGATATAGTCTGTATCATGAACAGAAGCATCAGATGCCGTTAATTTCAAACGTATATCATCTTTTGAAATTGACACATGTCATGTGTTCAGGATTTGTAATAGTTCGTATTGTACCTATAACTAGTTTGTCCTTTAATAATTTCGGAAAGATTCAACCATTCAACATTAGAAAAAAGAATTATGCTAATAAGGTGCAAAAATATTTGGAATAATATAATAACTACAAGTCAAGAAATCACCAACAGATAAGATATGGGGAAAATATAGAGCATAATATTAAATAAGCATATGAATTCAATATGTTTAGCTAGAAATAGTTGCAAAATATCAAATGATGAGCAAAAGCGCAATAAAAGATGAGAATAAAAAATACAACAAAAAAAGAGAATAAAAAAGGGGGCCAAAAAATAATTAGATGCGTAAAAAATATATATCCTTGCGTTTTGTACTACTATAAAAAAGCCATTTTGGGTAGCGACAAGTGTTCGCTGCATTTACATGGGGCTTGGGCGGGTTAAATCTCAAGGTAGAAGGTTTGGGTCAAATACGAAAGGGGACCACAATTCGATAATATAGGTGAACTTGTAGGATTTGAATTGAAGTCAACGATATGGTTCAAAGTGAAAAAGCAAGTTCAAACTCTTAATCCTAATGATCCTAGTACGGATGTAGTAATAGAGGATAGAGCCTCATAAGTTTATATTGTTTTTGGTAGAGGTTTATGATATTCCACATATATAATTTTCGTAACTACATTTACAAAACTTTTTTGAAATTAAGTCATACTGATTCATATATATATATAGTTATGCTAATACAAAAATCTAAAATCTGCAGCTACCTTCGATGCATCATTACCTTGACCTAATTCCTTGGTCCAATTAATTGTTCCTCTTTCAATTCTCTTATTTAATGTCATTAATCTAACTCGTAAAACAACAGCAAATATAATGGCACATAAGATGAATACACAGTTACAAATAAAGGCAGTTAAATATCTTGGGGCAGCACTAGCAGGATATAAATAAGCATTCCAAATAGATGTAGAATTAGAAATACAGTTCATTAATGCAAGTGCAACTGCTCTTTTGGCTGGTGGTCTGGGACAACAATTAGACATCCATGACAATATAATCGTAAATGAACAATATAATGAAGGAATCATTAAACACATGGCAAAATATCTAGCTCCAGTATTTAATGTTGATGCTGAAATTATGAATGATATTAATGCTCCAACTAATGGAATCGATACATGTAAAAATCTTTCTCCAGTTTTATCAGCATGCCTTGACCATATGTAGGTTGCAACAACAGCAATACAATATGGAGGAGCGGTTAAACATAAGGTGACGGTCTTACTGAAATTCAAGGTTTGAACAACGGATGGGAAAAAATTGGTGACACCACAAGCAGCAACTAAGAATGTTAATATAAGTGTTACCAACCAAACCTTTAAATCTTTAACAGCTAATAAGAATCCAGTTACAGTAGATTCTTGAGCTTCTTGATCAGAGTCTGAAGTACCAATATCTCTTTTTAATTTCCATTGAATAATATCCTTTTCTTGTTGATTAAGAAACTTAGTATTAGAAGGATTATCAGGAAGAATAAAATAAGCAAATGGAACCGAAACAACAGTGATAGCACCTTCAATGAAGAATAAGTATCTCCAGGATCTTAAACCTCCTTTTCCATCCATATTATCAATAATACCAGCGGCAATTAATCCACTCCATGCACTACTCATTAATGAACCAGAATAAAGAATAGAATTCCTAAATGAAAGACTCTTCTTGTCATACCAATTAGAAAGAATTGCTAACGCACCACTGAAAAATCCAGATTCAACTATCCCTAATATAATTCTAACTGCTAATAAACCATGATAACTTTGAACAGCACCAGTACATGTAGATATTATACCCCAAACGGTCATAATTGTCGTGATATATAATGAGGGTCTACCTAATTTATTTAATAACATATTGGAAGGAATTTGGAAAGTAATATAACCAACGAATAAAATCGAAATAGCAGTTTGATATTGAGAACCAACCAATCCTAAATCTTCTTCTAATCCACCTAATCTAGCAGAAGCAATATTATTTCTATCCAAATAATTTAAAATATAAATATAAATTAACATTGGCATTAAACGAAGGTCGATCTTTCTGGTTGTTTTTCTATCCAATTCACGTAACTCGTCTTGAGTTAAACCTTGAAGAGATTCAGGAAGATCATAATATTCTAATTCTTCTTCTTGATCTTTTAATGAATTAGTTTCTAAAAATCCAACATCTTGTTCTTGTGTGATTTTTGAATCACTTACCCCTTCAACCTCAATATGAGATATATTTGCTTTGGAGTCACGATTTTCAATATGTGAAGCGTCAACTTTAGACATTATAAGTTAATTTTACTTATAATAATTATACTAGCAATAATTATATTTAATAAAAAAATGATAGAAATGTAATTGGGAATTTATATAAACTATTTATAACGAAAATAAAATTTGACTAAAATTATTGGGGTAATCTGGAGAAATTAATGGGATTTGACTCTAAATGTGTGCTCGAGGCACCTATAGAATCTGTAATTCACATTGTACTCCGTGTCTGGATATCTTCGTATGATTCAGATGGTGTAAATATCCTCCAACAATAATTTTGTGTATTGTTGCGATTTTGGTTATGTTTCTTAAAAAATATTTCTTTAAATCATATCTATTCCATAATTCAGAATTAATTAGAGTTAGTCCAGGCGAGGTGATGATGTTCACTAGAATTGATTAGAATTCAAAAAAAATGGCTTTGGCTTTTATGTTTTTATTTTATCCCTTCTAAAGCCCCCTTAAGTGGAAACTGGCACGGCTGTTAAAGGCTCTCAAGGATTATAAATGAACCGTCAATCCCATTTTCGACCCCTTTAATATGGTTATTATTTGGTTCCCACATTCCCCGCCTTCTTTATTTTGACACGGAGTTCAACATTTTATTTGGAGTACACAAACAATAGCTAATAAAACTGAATTAGCTGTAGCAACTTGACGTTTGATGAATTCAGGTCATATTCTTCCGTACTTTATTTTTTAATTTATTTTTATTCTTTCGAGGTATGCCTTTCAAGAGAGGAGTGAGCCTTTACAATTCAGAAAAATTGGGGGATTTCACTTTTTCCCCCAATTTTCTGTTTTCAGTTGTATATATATAAATTGTAATGTACATTTAATTTAAATTTAAGAAATATTAGAGGAATACGATAGAGAGTATCCTAGATTTGAAAAATCAATAGTTATTCGAAATGATTTCCTGAAATTTGTAATATAATTGTAATTTTGACGGATTCGATGTAATTTCTTGGCCTCATTGTATGTGTAGTAGTTTTTCCAGGTTACCCCGCCCCCACTTTCTATTTTTTTATTTTTATTTTTTTTTGCTCACATAAATGCCAAAACCTTAAATGAAAGGTTGTGTTTTTTATACTATAATGAATGTTAGTTATTAGTCCTAGAAAAATTCGTTAATCTAAATCATTGTTCGCTATAAATTGTAATGTCAGTATTTAGCAATCCTAAATTCTTCTCTGAAGTTAATAATGCAACCGTTTTTTTTATGTAATCCCCACCCCAACCTGGAAAAACTTTCCTAGAAATATAATGTTAATGAATTAAACCGTATATATAGGTTGAACGATAATGAAAAATCAAAGATCTTGATAATATGAACAACGTCCTAGTAATGAATAAGAATTTATTCTTCGAGACCCGGGCCCGGGCACTATGATTGACCTACAAATATAATGTTAAAAAAATGAATGGGTATTACAGTACCTTGTGTGTCTCTAAACTATGTAAGACTTCTTTCAAACCTGTTATTGTTAAATTTAGGAAAGTGAAAGTGCCAAAATTGTTTAAAACTTAGGAAATTAGCAAATAATTAATAAAAAGTTTTATAATCATTTTGGATAGTAGTATGATAAACAATATTAATCGTAAATGGCAATTTATTTCCAATTGTCAAAAATGAGAAGATGTATCATAGAATGTTTCACGATCAAAACATATCACCACATGTAATTTGACCCAACTCCAACCCTTAAAACTGAAAAAAAAAGCCCTCAAACAACCCCTTGAAAAATAATAGGATAGCAGCATTCTTAACACGGCACATTTTGAGAAATAACCTAAACCAAACAGTCGGGACAAAACACCCTTAAATCACCATCCACCATAGCCTACAAAACAATAAGTTAGCAGCATTCGTAACAGCATTAGTAACACAGCACATTTTGAGAAATGACTTAAACCAAACAGTCGGGACAAAACATCCTTAAACCACCATAGCCTACAAAATAATAAGTTAGTAATCAGGATTCATAATACAGTACAATCTATCCTTCTGGACCCTTTAATCACCAAACACTCTGAGAAATGCCTTAAACCAACCTAGTCGAGACAATAATGAATTTTAGAGTAAAATATAATTGAGTATTCTATATTCAACTCCACATAACGTTGCTTTCAAAACTATTTTCTTACTTTCACAAACTTCATCTTCAATCTGTTGATCGTAAGAATTAGAATTTCTGTATAGTTCTTTGTCGATTGAATCTTAGATTTAGATTACCAATCAGACGTGATAATTTCCAGGGGAAACCACCCGCCTAGTCTTAGTGGCTGATACGACAGTACCAACCTTCCCTACTAAGTGAAGAAGAATCAATCACCAAATTCTACGCTGTTTAACTTTCGGTTCCCTCTCCAGCCAAACCTCTAGCAATGACCTCCGTACTTAAACTATAATCCCCTGCCAAAGGAATCATAGTCGTTTCCGAAAGGTTATCACACGAACATGGATCTCTTTTGCTCCCTCACTATAGTAAATCACAAGACATTCTGGGCTGGGACTTCCAGTATATCCTAAACTTAACGACCACGACATCCGATTCGGAAAGATCAGTAGAAAATAGCTATCCCGCAAGCTAGTTTTATTGGATACATCATAGACCAATTGAAAATAAAGAATGATATTGAAATAACTTAGGAAGTGGTTGTAGTATAACTAATGATATGAATGGTTGATTTAAGATATGGTCATGATGAATATGATTGACTTGAAGGAAGAGCTACGGAGAATGGATGTGAAATATTTTGGCTGTAAAAATTTAAACGCTGTAGGGTATCGAGTAAAGTAAAGTAAAACGAATCACATGACGTATCACGTTTATAAATATACACTAAAAGAATTCAAAAGGAGTTAAAGATTGTATGAGCTACTAAATTATTTAAATATAACTACAAGTAAAGGATTACTAACTATATGCTTAGCGTTATGATTATATACTTAGTCTACTATATGTAATTACAAAAAATCGACCAAAACACTAATTAATGAAATTCATTAACTACTACTTTATGAATCTTGACTGCATACAAATATGTGCTATTTTTAAGGATACAGTAAAGGAAGGAAGGAAAAAAAAATTAATCAAAAAAAAACTTATCTACAAAACATAGGAGCAAAGGTCCAGAAAATTAGGCCATAATTGTGTTGTCGAGGGTCAGATCGAAAAACAGGAATCAACCGCGAGTACGATCAAGGAGTTAATATTGCTCAGTGTTTTATCGTTGTTGTAAAATTTTGTTTGTTCGCTCAGCCATAAAAAAGAGGTTGTATCAATCCCAGTATGAGGGGGAGCACAACGACAAGTAATAATCATCAACTACACTACCAGCAAGAAGAAAACCAATCGAATAATACTATAGGGAATCTGGGGATGTCGAGTCTAACATCAACTAATGCTAATATTAAGGATATAGGAGAGAATAATAATTTGAATAATAATAAGAATAGTAATAAGAATAGTAATAATAATAATAATATTAATAATAATATTAATTCCAATAATGGGAAGAGAACCAATATCAATAATAAAGATAGTTCTAATGATAGTAATAATGGGAATATATATGGAAGTCAAAATGGATATAAGCAACACCTAGATTTAGAGGCTAGAAATATAAATAGTTTAGAAGCAACTAATGAATTTGATCATCATTCTCCTGATAATTATATTGATTCAAATTGGGCTTCTAGTATATTTATGGATCCTAATGATAATGACTTATTATATAATGTTGGGTTGGGAGCTAATTCAGTAGGCCCATCATCTACCAATCATATCATGCAATCTATCCAATTCCAAAACAATATTCATCCGGAAAATCCAATACCACAAGGTCAACATTCCACTAATGATCCAATAACAGATAATTCATCAGCAAATCAATTTTCTACGATACCTACCAAATCCAAACAACGTCGTCCTTGTGATCATTGTAGAAGAAAGAAAACAAAGTGTGTTATAATACCCAACACCAATAATTGTGTACAGTGTGAATCCAAATCATTAACCTGTACCTATACCAGTCCATCTATGAAGAGGAAAACAACAGAACCAGATTCTGGTCCTTCATTAAAGCGTAAAAATGAAAAGGGTAATGATTTATCCATGTTAACATCCATTCATAATGATCAATCAATAATAGTAGCTCCAGACGTACCAATAAGAGATGTAGCACCAATCCAAGATTACTCAGTTATTAATAATTCTTTATTGAAGAAAACATTATCCTTACAATTTCCTAGATCAAGCTTTTATGTTGGTCCAACATCTTATTTATATGATGTCAATTTATTGAATTTAATAATTGATGCTCAGAATAATTCTAATAACAACAATAATAATAATAAAGGTGGTGATAGTAATGGTCCATCACCAAGTTCTTCAATGGGAAAGATTGAACAAGTAAATCTTAGTAATGCAATTTCATTAAGAAAAGTAAGTGATAAAACTCAATTTGTTCTTAAAGATGATCAATCACCTCAATCATATCAAACCATGTCTAATGATGTTGATACTATTGAGAAATTCATAGCTCCTCATGGTCAAATCTTAATTGATTTATATTTCAGAATTATTCATCCATCTTACCCTATATTACATAAGAAAGTATTCCTTGAGAAGTATTCTCGCACGCATCGAGAATTCAGTGCTCCATTATTAGCGGCCGTATATGTGTTAGCTATACAATGGTGGGATTATGATCCTCAATTAAACAGATTCCCTAAGCCAAATGTAGAACTTATTTTAAAAATAGGGTTGAATAATTATTTCTTGGAAATATTAAAGAGACCCAAATTAAGTGCTGTGCAAGCTGGATTATTATTATTACAATGTAAACATATTATTCAACATACCAAAAACAATGCAGCAAGTAATAGTCCCAGTGATCCAAATCTGACTCAGAATAATAACAATTCAGCACTTGGAGATACTGATTATAGTGAATGGGTATTATGTTCACAAGTTACTGCTTTGGCTGAAGAGCTTGGTTTAGGTTTAGACTGTAATAATTGGAAATTACCTAAATGGGAAAGAGGATTAAGAAAGAGATTAGCTTGGGCTGTATATATGGAAGACAAATGGTTGTCTTTAAAACATTCTAGACCAACCCATATAAATGAACGTAATTGGGTAGTTGTTTCACTTGTTGAAGAAGATTTTCCTGAAAAACATGGTGATGGCGATTTAAAGGAAGGATCATCAGATATAGATAATGGCAAGAAGATATTCATGAATCTAATTGAGTTATCAATGATTCTTTCCGATCTCTTAGATCAATTTTATTCAATGAGAGCCATGGTTGATATTACAAATGTTAATGATGTATTAAAAATTGCTAAGCCTTTACAATTAAGATTAAGAACTTGGTATCATTCATTACCAATTGAATTACAAATGAGTTCAGTTCAACCCAGAAAATTGTGTTCCAATGGTTACTTACAATTAGCTTATTTTGCTACAGAATTAACCCTTCATCGTAAAATAACTTCTGTAATTTATCAACAAACTTTGGCAGGTAATTCTCCTCCAAGAGAATTAATAACTGTTTGTAGAGCTGCTGCCAAAACCAGATTATTGGCTTCAATTGAATTTGTAAGAGATTTAAAACCTGAACATATTCATTCATTTTGGCATTCATCATCATCATCCAATTTTACTTTAATAGGAACATTTGCAGCTATTCTATTCATGTCTTCACCAAATAAAGAAGAGGCTGACTTTTATCGTGATCAGATCTTTAATTATAGATGGATCTTGAAGATCTCATCAAAGGGGTTTGATCAAGTTGGAGAGGCACTTTCTCAATTGGATCTTGTATTAAGTCGTATTCCTGGTTTATTGAATGATGGAGCTGATTTGCCAATGGTATTACCCAATGTTCCTAATTTTGATTTTCAAAGGGCCAATCAACAATCCCAGCAAAAGCAGCAACAGCAACAACAGCAACAACAACAACAACAACAACAACAACAACAACAACAACAACAACAACGTCAAAACCAAAGACCACAGACCATTATGAGTAACACATACGGACCTAGTCCACCAAATAACTTCTCAGTGAACAATAATTCTAGATCCAATTATGCTCAGGGTAGAACAGCAACCTCCAATCCCAGGGGTAGACCACCACAACAACAACCATCATCTCAACAACAGAGTTATCGTGGTGATTCTCCTTATTCACCTCAAACTTTCAACACTCCACCAATCAGTCAAAATCAATCAGGATTACCCAATGCTAGTTCACCTCCAACTCAACAACCCATGTCTCGTGGAGGTCAATTCATGATTAATTCTCCTACATCATCACAAGGCTTATCCCCTAAGGAAATTAAGCAACAACCAAGAAATTCGATAGGGTCTAAGAATACTAACAATAACAATAATAAAACCAATCGCATTAATGATGTAATTGATTCTCAGAATAGTACTAATAATAATACTCATTCTAATAATTCCCCTCATAATCGGAATAATTCTAATTCCACTTCGAATTCCACTTCCAATTCCAAAGTTAATAGTCCGGTATTAATTCGTTCACCCACAAATATTACCACCACTTCGTTGATATCTAGAACAGACCTGAATTTTGGTAGAGATTAAATTAACTGTAAATTTTTTAGTTCATTTCTGTATGTATGTAATAATTATTTAAACTTATTCTCTTTTAATTCAACGCATAGCATAATTCAGTAACTGCTACAATAATCAATTAACTAATTAATTAACTAACTAACTAATTATTATTATTAATATGATTTCAAATCATTTATTCATTTTTTTTTTACATAATCATATACATTATATATGAGACATACATATCTAATCAAATGGAGTCAAATAAGATTCAGCAATGACTCTGGCTCTAGCATTTAAGAATAATTTCATTTCACTGATTTCTTTATCTACATCTTCCATAAATTCTATAATGAAATCAACTAATTTATCCTTTAACATTTGTTCAGTATGAAAATTTGTTATTAAAAATGAGATATCATAACCCTTTATTGGGATTCTTCTTAATATAAAGAAATTTTCTGCTCTTGAAGTTAAAAATCTGGTAAATTTATGAACTAGAATTTGTTCTATTTCATCTGCTTGTTTAATCTTTATTGATACTCTAACAGAATTAATTGATGGTTCAATTAAGATCTTTTCATTTTCATTACGAGCAATAATCATAGGATTTAATATTAATTCAGGATTATGAGTATTATCCACCTCTATTTCTGGCCTATTATGTCTCTCCACCAATTGTGAAGAGAAATCTTCTAAACATATGGCTGCTGTTAATGAAGATCTTACGGCCGTTAAGTATGGTTTCAACGATTGTGACTATACATACTAAAGTTAGTAATCATTATCCAATTCAATTCAATTAAATCACCTTCACACTAAACTAATACATACCATTCTATCTTACTGTGCTAGTCAATTCTGCACTGCGTTTATATCCGGTGATGATACGTTTGATGTCTACATCCATACCTCCTTCCATTCCCAGTTTTTGATTATAGACCTCGCTCAGGTTTTGGTACGGGATACATGTGTGCAGGAATCTCTTTTTTTGGCTATAAATACACGACCCTATATTAAAAATGCTATACATAGAAAATTGCAACCATTAACCATTAACCATTAACCATTCAATAATTAATAATTAATAATTAATAATTAAGAACTCGGGGTTTGGACTTTTCTTCGACTTTTACTCGTTTGGAGTGAGACGATACACTATCAATACTTCTCTTACGAGAAGATTTATTGTAGTATGTGATTAGACCGTCAAGCACATCTCGAACAGCATTATTCTCCTCTAACTTTTTGCACTCTAATATGCTTACGAATAGAGGAAATTCTTTAAACTTAGTAAGGATTGTGTCAATATTATTATCTGACGCTAATTTATAAGATGTTGCATCATCCGATTGAATATGAATTAATCCATCTTCAGTATTCTCACCAATAATTCCCTGAGTATCCTTATTATCATAAAGAAATCGAATAAACTCATCAACATTTTTATGATATAAGTTCTCTATAACAAGAATATCATATAAGTCTTGATAAGCTTTGTCAAACTCCTTAGATTCAAAATCTATACCTTTAATTCGATTATCATTGGATTGTTTTAATTTATCAATGAATAAATCCTTCGATTCAAGAATGATAGCATATTCAAACTTTTCATTATGAGAGGTCTTAAACTTCAGTATAATTGATTCTAGTGATTCTTTCATTACTTTAATAATATCTTTCTTTTCATCTATGAAATCAAAATATAATTCTAAAGGATTTGATCCTCTTCTACCTAATAATTCCATAAACAGATCCTCTACTTCAAGTAATGGTAATACATCCTTCAATGGAGTATTAGGATCAATATTAAGAGTTTTAAGTGTTTTCTTAAAGGCATCTCTAGCTTTCCTATCTGATCTATAAGTAGATTTTTCATATTCATTTATTTCCGTTTGAATTTGTTCAACAGCCTTAGGATATATTTTTGTTTCGTACAATATTAGTATATCAAGCTTAGATAATAATTTAAAATGATCATTGGCTTTAAATCTGGCATCATTTAAAAGACTTTGATATAACTTCTCCCATACCGAATTAGCTCTTACTATAGAAGGATTAATTTCAGTTAAATAAGATTCTAATTCATTTAATGCTTGTTCTTTCTTAGTTTTTAAATCTTCTTCATATTCCTTAGTTATTTGATCTCGGAACTTATAATATATTTCTGCAATTTTCATATCGGGTAGTACTGATAACTTAAAAATAGAATTCTCATCATCAATTAAATAATCTTTAAATGTTATCCATCTTGTATTTCGATTAATCTTTCCATTTTGTTTATACTGAAGTAATACTTCTCCAAAATTCTTTTCAAAATTCTCTATTAAAGAAGTTTTATTATTTAATTCTTTTTCAAATTTTTGTACTAAATATGTATCATATAATATTTTACGATGTAATGCATCTGGTATAGCCCAATATACTGGTTCTTTAATAAGTCTTGACATTACTGATTTGAATGACCAAGTTGAATCTACTTCATTTTTCTTTAATAGTTCTATAAATGCTTCCTCGGCTTCTGTAAATGATTCAAATGTAGGTGGATATACTAAAGAATCCGTTAATACTTCTTTTGATGATAATTCTTTATCCAAAGCTGTTTCGGATAATTTTTTGGATGATGAACTAGACTCTTGAGCCTCTGCCAATTCAACAGGTATTTCCCAAGTAGTCTCACCTGTAGATTCATTATAATAATAAACCTTACCATCATCAGTTGTATATTGTTGCCATCCTGTACCATTATTGATTTCAGTTGATTCTTTGGTTCCATCTACTTGTTCTGTCTTTGACTCTTCTGGTACATCCCAACTGGTCTCATTAGTCACAGAATTGAAGTAATACACTCTTCCTTCATCATCTGTTACCTTTTCCCAATCACCCATGGCATGTATCACCTGATTTATTGAATATGACTCTGATTATTACTATCTACTTTGTTACTCCGATATTGCTATAGTTAATAATTTTGCACTAATAGAAAAGGTCGTGCGACGAGCCCTCAAATTTGAAATGAAAAAAAAAATTGTGGAGCGGCTTAACTTCTCATGCGTTTAGAGAGCCCACTTCTGAGATATAAATGTTAAAAATTCCCCTTAGTCGCATAACTAGATCGACCCTAATATACTTTCAGCAAATTGCAAGATCGAACAATTGGTTAATATGAAAAGGATCTGTAGCAATTTAAATTAAATGTTCGTAAGCCGATTCCACTAGTGCATATTATCGACCGTTTTTGGAAGCGAGACTCATCGAATCGTATGAGTAATTTAAGGTGTAGATGGTTGCCGTAATTTAGAATCTATATATATAAGAAGGTGTATTTATCTCATTGCTTGATTAAAAAGTTAATATATTTTTAGTTTCTTCTAATTTCATTAGTATATAGAAAATGACTGATTTAGAAAAAGAAGTTCATACTGAAGCTGTAGCCGATGCAAATATCAGTGCTGATGTAATAAGTTCTCATAGTGAAGAAAAAGTCTATTCCGATTCAAATAGTGAAGACTATGATATGGCATTTAAGTTCCTTAAGGAAAATGAAGAACAAGATTTAAAGCTCAAACATCAGGAATTACCTAAAAGTGTCTTAAGAAAACTTGATTTGGTAATTCTCCCCTTATTATGTGCTATTTATTTCTTTCAATTCCTTGATAAAACTTTATTAAATTATGCTGCTTCAATGGGGATTAAAGCAAATTTGGTAGGCAATCAATATGCTAATCTTTCAACTATATTTTATGCCTCATATATATTTGGTGAACCATTTGTTGCTTATTTCTTACAAAGATTCCCGTTATCCAAAACTTTGGGAGTATTCATTGTTTTATGGGGTATTGTTGTAGCTTGCCATGCTGCTACTAAGACTTATGCTGGTTTGATGATAGTTAGAACTTTACTTGGTTTATTTGAAGCTTCATCAGCAGTTGCATTAATTATTATCAGTGGTATGTACTATACCAAGCCTCAACAAGTGGCCAGAATGGGTTATTGGTCTGTCATGTCTGGTTCTGCAACCATTGTTGGTGGATTATTATCCTTTGGTTTCCAGCATGTTCATACTACTAGATTTGTTTCTTGGCAAATCTTGTTTTTATTCATGGGGATTATCACTGCTTTCTTTGGTATATTTGTTGCTTTTTATTTACCAGATAATGTTACATCTGCATGGTTCTTAACTGATGAAGAAAAGATTTTAGTTTTAGAAAATATTAGAGCAAATCAAACTGGTACTAAGACAACTAAATTTAAAAAAGAGCAGTTATTCGAATTATTGTTTAAAGATAAATTAACATGGCCTTTCTTTATCTTAACTATTACATCTCAAATTGTAACTGGTGCTATCGGAACTTTTAGTGTTACCATTACCCTTTCTTTTGGATTTGATAACTATGAATCTGCTCTTTTACAATTACCAGTCGGTGCTCTTATTATTATTATAATTATTATTGCTACTCAATTAGTGTCTCGTTATGGTCATATTACTTATATTGCTACTTCAATGTTTATTCCAACCATTATTGGAGCTATTGTTCTTTTATCAACTGATCTTAAAAGACAAAAAGTTGGTAATTTATTAGCCATGTACTTATTATATAGTGGTTCATGTGTTATCACTTTGATTTATGCTTGGATTGGTGCTAATACTGCAGGTACAAGTAAGAGATTCTTCAGAAGTGCTATGACAATGATTGCTTTCTCAATTGCAAGTATTATTGGACCACAATTATTCCAAGCATATTCATACCCTGCCTATCATCCAGCAAAAATTACAATTTTAGTTACCCAAGTAGCTTGTGTTCCATTAACCCTTCTTGTTGGATACATCTGTAAAAAGGAAAATGAAAAAAGAGATCAAGAGCAAGAAGCTGAACCTTCTAATTATGAATTTTTAGATTTAACAGATATTCAAAATAGAAACTTCAGATACTCTTATTGATCCATTCTGTATTATAGAGGCCTCATGGCAAAACTTTAAAACTAATTTAATACTTTAATAAATAATTACTTAAACTATTACTATTAATATAGAAAATAAGTTCGATATGAAGACCAATATGTAAAATTGCTTGCAGTATTGCAAAAACACAAAATTTTTTTTACACAAAATATGCATCATTTTGTAGATATGCAGGATTGGAACGTGATGGATCACACGTTTATCACGTGATATTTATAATCTGCGATTTGCATTTTGATTTTTCTTTCGCAAGAAATGACTCCGTGGCCAAGCTGGCTAAGGCGTAAGACTGTTAATCTTAAGATCGTGAGTTCGATCCTCACCGGGGTCGTCATTTCTTTCAAAGCCTTTATGGCCAAGTTGGTAAGGCACCTCACTAGTAATGAGGAGATCGTCAGTTCGAATCTGGCTGAAGGCATTATTTTTTCATTTTTTAGTTAAATACACTAACATTAGCTTCATAGCTATGTTACAATTAATTTTGAGTTGAATTTCATAAGAATACTCTGCTTAATTTTTGTACGCACAGATTTTTTCCGCAAATGGTAGCGTTTCAATTTTGCAATTTCCTTTTTAACTCACATATGATTCATTCGTTCCAACCCATTAGTGCTACTCAACTATTACTATTAATAGTTAATGATTTCAACGATTCCAATAATTCCAATGTCGTGGAATTGTCTTTCAGCTGAATCCAATGAGTCTGATCCCAATACAGGGCGGGCTTCTTTGCTGTGTGATCTTTTCAATACATACTCGAATTCAAGTATACTGGGAAAACAAACAGACTCTGATACATTAAGTACTTATTTCAAAGAAGAAATTCTGGATGCATGTAACGTGAAAGAGAATACTGAAAGGACTTATTATTACAATTGTACAGGTATGAGTGAAAGACTAAGGGCTAAATTTGAAAAGTATACAAGAGATATAGAAGTGTGTGATAAACCACCCAAGCCCCTTACTAGAATGTCTAAAGAAATAATTGTACCAAGAACTAAGTTGGAAGATAATAAAGAGGAAAAATCTTGTGTTGAAGACAAGTGTGAACTGATATATTCTGAATTTACTGAAGAAGCTCCTGTAACTAAAGATTTATGCCTATTATCCCTGAATAATAATTACATGTCTTTAGCGGCAAGGTTCTACTCATACAGGCCTATCTTAGAAAGATTAGATTTTGAATATTTTGAAGTGATTGATGATTTGAAACCTTATCTTGCAAGAATTCAAAAGACTGTGAATGAAATATCTCCAACAATACCCCGTGAAATAACAACCGGAATTGTTGAAAATCCAATCAATTTATATAATAATAAAGAGTTTATTCAAAGCTCGTGGCATCTCAAGAGATCAGGTATATTACGTAAATTCCTTTTCAAAAGAAGGAAAAGCTTAAAAGTGTCAAATTATGATTCTACAGTAGAGAGCATCAATCCTTACTTTACTGCTATAAACTACCAGAGACAGGGTTGTGACGAGTCTTTATTGAACATTGATTACCCTACATTTGTAAAAACAAAGACCAAAAACAATTCAGAAGTATCATCTATAAACCTGGAACAAATTTTAAAACCTACCATCACATTATGTTCTAGTAGGACTGGTCTGAGAACATTTCGTAACAAGCTCCGGAATCGATTTCCCCTTTCTTTATCCTATAAAAAATAAGTATAAATAGCACAATAGTAAATAGCTTTCCAATACACCATAGTCTTTACTTCATATCTCTTTTTTTCAAATGTGTAATTGACCCACCAAGGAACAGAACAGTTGGTTGTGAAACATTTTATTTCCATTTTGCAATTAAAAGAATTGTGAACGCGAAAATTAAATTGAAGAGTTTAGGTATCTTTATCAAGGTATGAGTTTTGTTGGACGGAAGGCTCTTGTCACGGGAGCATCCAGAGGATTAGGTAAGGCTATTTCGCATAAATTGGCATCTCAGGGGTGTTCTGTATTATTGGTTTCTCGAAATGAGGATTTGCTCAGACAGCAAGTCAAGGATTTACCCCAGTTGAGTACATCTCAAAAGCATGACTTTGTATCTCTCGACTTGAATGATTTGATAATATCGCCAGACAAGAAAAAGCATCTATCGCTGTATTTAGGAGATGTTTCTATCCTTGTGAATTGTGCAGGAGTCACCAATCATTCATTGTTGTATAGATTAGAAGATTCCGAAATAATTTCAACCATTAATTTGAATTTAATTGCTCCAATACTTCTAAGTAAATTACTATATAAACCAATGCTAAAGCTTTCAAAAGAAAGTATAAACAAGTCACAACCTATATCACAAATATTGAATATTTCTTCAATATTATCTTTGACGGAGACTAACGTGCCCGGCACTTCGGTTTACTCCGCTAGTAAAGCAGGAATTCTAGGGTTCACAAAATCATTATCGGCTGAGTTTAAAGGCAAAGTGAGAGTTAATTCCATCTTACCTGGATTAATTAGAGATACAGATATGGGTGCTGGAGCCAGTTCTAGTTTATCAGATAAATCTATTAGTCTAGATCATGTGGTTCTGAAGTCAATGGATATATTACTTGATGATTCAGTCAATGGTCAATGCATAATTTGTGATAATGAACCTACAAAAAAATTTGAATTTACGTCATGATGTAAATAGTATAAATAATGTATATAATGTTTAAATTTATTCTATTCAATATCCTCAAATAAGTCATATCGCATGTCTTCTACAAGCTCTTCGTCAAACCATGAACTCTTACCATAATGGGCAAGAAAGCATTCTCGTGCCAATTCGGCATTGTTATGTCTTACGAGCCAATAAATAAAATGTTGGAAACTATCATTTGCCAATTGGTTAATTGATGATACTTCTTGGATTGCTACGATTGCTTTGGCGATATCGCGGGGTGAATTATCTTGCAATTTCACTTCATACTTGTCAAGATAATAAGTCCTAAAGATTTCTATTGCCTTAATAATATTAATGATCCAATCCTTAAAGAATTTATATCGATTTATTATAACTTCATAATCAGTGTCATATTCAAGAGTCTCAGCCATGAGTTCAATTACCTTTGAGATTTTGTAGTTGATGAATTGACAAAACAGTAGAACAGCAGTAAATATATCTTCATTTCCATCCTGTAATGAGTTGAATACCATCTCCCTCGTTGACGTAAAGCCTAACCAAAACCTTATGAAGTCTAGTAGTATTATTGAGGAATTCTCGAAAAGATCAATAAGCTCAGACGAATCTCTACATCCGGCAATGCTTGATCGATTGGAAGATATTATTTCACTGATTATATTTGTTAAGATAGTATTAATGCTATGATGCTGTGGATTCAACAGTATTATATGGTAAATGTTTACAAGGAACTCTTTGAAATTGTAATTTGATTCTTTTATTATTCTATTATCTATGACTCCACTTACTTTGATAGATTCAAGCATTAGACACTCATAAGTTGATTTACTGTCATATGAGCTTTTGATTTGTAAAGTATTTATGAACTCTTGCCAGTAACCCAACTTATGAAAAGTCCAAAATTGTTTGATCTCATAATCACCTATGATCACCCCATTCAAAGAAGTAACCAAATTCCTTTCCGAAGTATCGAAACCACTACCAAAGGTCCAATATTCTTGGAAGATACGATTTGTGATAGTAGATAGTATTGGTTTACTTTCGGGATGGTTAATCAGCTCTTCGACTAACCAATTAAGAAATATGGGGATTAGCAAATAAAGAACTCGTCGATGAACCAATAATAAGTATGCAATGTATCCCATAAATAATTCATTCGTATACTTACCGAAGATCACTTTTGGTTCCATATCCAACCAATTATCTATATCATCAAATAACTCTTGTTGATAAGCTCTTATATCTTGTGGTACAGTATTAGCATCAAATAGTCGGGATTGGTTGACTTTGTAATATGAAGATTTGGTAGATAACGCTATAGATTTTCCTAGAAGAACACAGCAGCCAGTAGATAATCGAGGTACAGTATCCTCCATTGGAGATTTACAAGTCAACAATACAGACAGCACGATATTTCGAAATATCTGAAAGATTTCACAGTATGAGTCAAACAACTCTGGTTCCACTAACAGCTTCAAAGATCTTAGACGATCAAATGAATCCTTGGGCTTGACTAATTCCTGAATAAAGTCATTGGACTGTGACGCGTTTTGGTTAGTAAACATAGTCTGAATTCCCTCAGTATCTGAAAACTCGGAGTCACTATAATACCTGCCCTGTCTCTCTGAACTTTCTCTATCTGAATTCTTTCGTTTGGAAGTATTCTTGTGAACATGGGCATCAGTATTGGGCAAGTGTAAATCGAGTAGACCAGGATACTTAATGTAGAGATCGTTCAAAGAATGGATCTTAGATAGCAATGGCCGCACTATTCGCTTACACTTAGCTACTGTCAATGGCTGCCTAGTCGCTTGGCCATACCGAGACATTACTTACTACAATCTGTCAGATAGGCCCTCAGTAATTAAGCCAATCAATCAATAATTCACTAATAGTAGTGGTTCTGGTTGCGAATGTACGTTTTGGGCCGAATTTTTCAGTCGGTATTTCTCAATCGGGAAACAAAAGTGCTTAAGTCCAGCAACTGTTCTACTGGAAATTAGAAGCACTATGAGATCAGCAGCGATAGCATTGTTCTTGATAGCGCTGCTAGTTAGTGGAAGTGGTAGTGGTAGTGTAAGCGCAAATCATGAAGTCGTTAGAGGTGTTAGTCCTGAAGAACAGCACCTCTATCGGCCCATTGTTGATGAAGTTACCGGTAAAAAGACATGGCGATGTTTGAGTGATCCGACAATTGAATTGTCGTATGACCAAATAAATGATGATTACTGTGACTGTCCCGATGGATCGGATGAACCAGGTACTAATGCATGTCCCTATACTATCAGTCGTAAGTTTTACTGTGCCAATAAACATCATATCCCTGAGTATATTGAGAATTATAAGCTCAATGATGGAGTATGTGATTATGATATTTGTTGTGATGGATCGGATGAGTACTTAAGTGGTAAATGTGAAGATAAGTGTAAACAAGTTCATGATCAATTTGAATCGTACAAGGCACGAGTAACTACAGAAGTAGACGAGTCCTTAAAGATAAAGGTTCAATGGGAAGAAACTGCTGATAAGTTAAGACAGCAAGCAATTAACAAACTACTGGAACTTCGAGCTACATTTATTGCGAAGCAGAAACAGTTTGAAATTGTTAAGCAAACACTTGAAGAAACCTCCGACGAAGAGAATTCAGGAGATGAGTTTTTATTAGCGCAAGTGGATAGACTTAACCATCACCTCACTGAGTTCCAAAATGATATCCAATTGAAAGATAAGTATATTGCTCAATTGGAACAGATCTTAGCCAAATTGGTGGACAACTATAATCCCAACTTTAATGATGCTGCAGTTAAAGAATCGGTGGCAGGATTCCAGGAGTACATTACCAATAAAGATTCTGGAGCTGGAGCTGGAGCTGGAGCTGGCATTGATCAGATACAACTGGTGGCAGATGAACTCAAGCAGTATTCCCTCCAGATATCTAGTCACTCAGAAACTGAAACTCCTCAAGTTGTCCAGGTTCCAACTTTTGGAAATATGCTTCGTCATTACTATGGTCAACTTAGAGATGCAGTCAATTTTGAACAGAACACATACTTGAACAATAATGATAATGGTAACGGTAACCGTAATCCAATATTATACAAGTATGAAAAGGAATTGGAAGATATTGGGCTTGAAATAGAAACTATTGAACTAGATTTAGAAAAGAATTATGGTCCTAAAGATATCTTACGAGCATTAAAGTCTACATGGGTTAATACCAAAATTGGTGATTATATGTACAAGTTAGGATTTCTTGATGCCATATATCAAGGTAATAATCTTATTGGCCGATTTGATGGATTTAGTTCCAATCAAATGACTTATTCTAATGGAGCTAAATGTTGGAATGGACCGAGTAGATCAGCTATAGTTAATTTAGTATGTGGACCATCAAATGGTATTGTATCGGTCAGTGAACCAGAAAAGTGTCAGTATGTGTTTGAATTAATTACTCCTATAGCATGTCAACCAGTTACTGAAGAAGGACTCTTATCAACCTTTCAAGTTGACTTAAGTAAATTATAGTTTTAGTTATATATTACACTAATCAAATGTGATCTTTTTACCTGTAAATTTGACATTCTTTAACTTTTCTTCGGCAATCTTCTTAGCTTGCCATGAAGGGTGAATACTTTCACTTGCAGGTTTATTATTATTTTCAGCTGCCACAGGTACTGGAGTAGATGAACGAGATTTTCTTTCTCCAAGTGGTGCTACATTGGCTCCTGAAGGAGCATTGGCTAAAGCAGCTTTGGCTTCTCTCTTTCTCTTTCTTTCTTCATACTCAAGTCTTCTAATTTCTCGTTCACTAGCAGCCTTTTGTTGTTCCTCTTTGATATGCTTAGCTTCTTTACCATACTTTTGAGCCCAGATCTTTTGTCTAGCCCTCTGTCCTCTTCTGTTCTTACGTTGGGTGGTGATTTCTTTTACTACACTGTCATTATCTATGTCATCATCTTCATCGTCTGAACCTCCCGAGAAGTATCCTGAAGCTAATTCCGGCAAGTTGTATTTATCAGCCTTACTTTTCTTGGCTGAACCCGACAGAGAATCATTGGAGTCAGAATCAGAGTTCTCTGAGTCTTCTGAATCGTTTGAGTCCAGTCCAGAAGGTTCATCATCAGTCACTTCGTTGTAGTTCACGTTTGGATTGATATCAAATTGTTCTTCTTCTGCTTCTTCTTCTTCTGAATCTCCTACGAGCTTATCGTATACTGCAAACTTTTCATATGCTTCTTCAATGTCCATCTCTACATCATCACTGTCAGATGCTTCTGCTTCAGAAACTTCTTCAGAATCTGCTTCAGACTCTGAATCTTCAGAGTCTTGTTCGGAATCACTATCACCATCTGCTTCTTCAACATCCACAGTCTTACCCCTACTGGCTCTTTCCTCCTTAGTTAAGTTACCTCTGACCATTTTAAAGGCCCACTCTATTTCTTCTAAAACTGCCTTAATGTTCTTCTTATTCCATAAGCTGGATATGTAATTGTTGAGTACATTATTATTCTGACAGTAAGTCTTAAAGAAGTTAGTGGGATTCAGTTGTTGGTTCTTATCTACTATGGCAACACTAATCTCATTATCTATAAATTCATATGGGGATTCCTTTAATTGCTTAGTAGTCAAAATAGATGTCACTATACATTTAATTAATCTTGATCTGATTAATAAGTCCACATTAGTTTGAGTTTCAAAGAATCGAACTATATCTGATTTAGTATTATCATTAGTCAATTTTTGTAAATCTGATTTGAATTGCTTACGAACTTCCTTATCTAACTTCTTATATGATCCATGAAACTTTCTATCGAAATACTCTTTCTTTAAGGCAAGTATCTCCCTATGAGCTTCTTCAATAGTCTTAGGTAACTTTCTAAGAAGTTTGTCATTATTTCGGGCTCCTATTAACTTCTTGGTATGAGGAAACCGGGCATTGGCGTCATTGAACTTGACTTCCAAGAGGTCTAGTCTCCACATATCATTTTTTCCCCTAGAAGTCTTCATAATGGTGTTAATAATTTAAAGGTATAGCCAATAAATAGTTGTAGATGAGATGAGATCTGAATTTTTTTTTGGTGATGGGGTTGGAATTTTTCACTGGAGATATTTGTTGATCCAGTTGGTCTGTCCCAGTAGTTAACCAATCCTGTAGATGAGCCAAAGATGCGTGAGATCAAGAGAAGGAAAACTGAGAGTGAGGGTGATAGCCAGCAGTGCGAGTACTTTTTAGAGAAGAAGAAACGACAATGTGGTTTAAAGAAGAAGCCTAACCATCGGTTCTGTTCTGAACATATGATCTATGACGTGGAATATAAGGAAGAGAGGGTTCCTTGCCCATTAGATGGCAACCATACAGTATGGTTAAAGGATTTGCAGAAGCACTTGAAAAAGTGTAATGCCAAGCCTAAAGATGTGCGGGAGCCATGGTACTCATTAGACTATAATAGTCAGGTTATTGGTGCCATTAATGGAACCGATACTGAAAAATCAGAAGAAGATAATACTGCCGATGCGGCCGAATTACTAAATAAGTACATTAGCTTGTTGCAGACACTATCATTCCCTGAGTTACCGATTAGAATCAGTCAGCATGAGGGTCTTGACCCAAGACTACATGAACTTAAGAATCAGAAGCATGCCTTACAACAGTCATCATTAATTGGTAATATGAAACACTCAAAGTTATTAGATGGTTCATCATTCTATCTTGAGTTTGGTTGTGGTAAGGGTGAACTCTCACGATATATTAATCTATGTGTAATGGAGGATTTGAAGAGTCTGACTAAAGAAGATACCAAGACTAATGAAACTTATGGTTTTGGCTTTATCGATAGAGGTGTCAATAGAATGAAAGTAGATAGTAAGATAGTTAAAGAAGCCCTGGAATATGGTGTTGATGCCAAAACAAAGAGAAGTCGTATAGATATAAAAGATCTTAATGTTGACAAGTTCATAGAGGATATCAATCCTGTCAAAGTTGTATGTATTTCCAAACATCTTTGTGGAGCTGCTACTGATCTCACTTTGAAGCTGCTTTTGAATTCGACTTTATTGAAAGCTCATAAAGAAAGATTTGGTGGATTGATGATAGCCATGTGTTGTCGTCATGTATGTTCATATGAACAATTGCTACCTCAATCTAGGAAATATCTTGCCCAGCATGGATTCAAGACGATTGAATCGTTCAATATCCTTAAGAAAGCTGTATCTTGGGCTGTTTGCGGTACGGGCAAATCAGACACAGTAGTTAACCAGGTGGAAGATAAGAATAATGAGATAGGATTAAATCAGAAACAGAGAGAAGAAATAGGATTTATCGCTAGACGATTGGTCGATGAAAGTAGAGTATTTGCATTACAAGAAATATTACCTGAATTTGATGTTCAAATGTTTTTGTACAGTGATATGGATATAACGTTAGAGAATGTTTGTCTTTCAATTACTCCCCGGAATATATAGTAATATACAGGGTCACAAAGTATCTATTACACTATTGTTCTATTCGTAAACCTGTATGGTCGACCCCTATTCCTTGTTAAAGGAATTATTCTGTTTGCAACATTTAGGACGAATTAGGAAAGAATATCCTCTTAGCCGCAAGACGATGCCACATGCCTAGAAACCTTCGAGCCAGACGTGAGAGAATCATTGTCTTGCAAAACATATTAACTAGCATAAGCTGCAGGTGAATTTGCGACCGTTAATTATACACGTGTTACGCAGCATCTCTAATTTGCAACGAGCCGTTGTTAGATGCAAAACAAAACAAACAAACAACCAGAAACAATGAAAAATTGACATGAAACTATCTACCTCGTAGTGTAACTGAAAGAAGAATAGAAGGAGATTCCAAAAATATTCGGGGACCTATCCGACCGTTCTGTAGGTATACGAGGCGGCACTCAGCGTGGACCTATTTCATAAGCTGCGGTATGATTTTCACGAAACACTAACCACTACGGGCTTTCTAGTCTAGTATAAAGTGGTGTTTAGTCGGGAAAAGTTGCAGATAAAAGCAAATAGGAGGTTTCAATATCGGAATTAAACAGTAAGGTTGGAATCTCTACTGAAAAATGTGTCAAAATCTTGATCTGATTAATTCAAGTTGAAGAAATCGAGTACTTGTTATGCATAAACGCCTTTATTACTAGTATAATGTGAAAATTCACCAAATAATATATAAGGTCATGAAAGTACCGGGATTTAGAAATATTTAGGTTGTAGGTTGTAGTGATTGTAGCTGAAGTAACTAAATCAAAACAATGTTTTACTTGTCAGTATTCTTACTTATTGCTAGTATTCTTGCCTCTTCTCCAACTGGTGGGTATGCTCCAGGTTCAGTTACATGTCCTTCTGGTTCATTAACTAGAAAAGCTATTGGACTTTCACCAAAGGAAGTCAGTTGGGTTGAAGGTAGAAAAACTAATACTAATGCAGCATTAGCTACTTTCCTTGAAAATGCCAATTTAACTGACTTTGATGTCCAAGACTTCTTAAGTTCAAATTCTCCAACTATTGGTTTAGCCTTTAGTGGTGGTGGATATCGTGCCATGTTGACAGGAGCTGGAGAATTGGCTGCTTTAGATTCCAGAACTAATAGTGCCAACAATGGATTGAAAGGGTTATTACAAGCCTCTACATATATCTCTGGATTATCAGGAGGTAGTTGGTTAGTAGGATCAATTGCTTTGAATGATTTCATTTCTGTTGATCAGATTCTTTCTGAAAATGTTCTTTGGGATTTAGATAGTTCTATATTAGATCCAGATGGAGCTAATGTTATATATGATAGTGCTTATTGGGCTACTATATCTGCTGAAATTGCGGCCAAACAATTAGCTGGATTTAAAGTTACCATAACTGATTTATGGGCTAGAACTTTATCGTACCAATTATTAACTCAATCTAATCCTAATGATGGAGCTTCCTTAACCTTTTCTGATATTTCTACTTTTGATTCATTCACATCTCAACAATTCCCATTCCCAATTATTGTATCTGATGGTAGATCTCCAAACACTCTTGTTCTTGATACTAATTCCACTATTTTTGAATTTAATACTTTTGAATTTGGTTCATGGGATCCAACTATCTATGACTTTGTTCAGACTAAGTATCTTGGATCTAATTTAAAGAATGGTAATCCTGTGAGTCTGAATTCTTGTGTTGAAGGATTTGATAATGGAGGATTTATTATGGGTACTAGTTCATCATTATTTAATGAAGTGTTATTAGATGTATCCCAATCTGGTTTACCATCTTTCCTTCAAACATTAGTCAATGATGTTATTATCAACCCAGTCAGTGACTTGAATGTTGATGTTGCCTATTATTCTCCAGATCCTTTCTATGCCAATACAGGAGGTTTCCTTTCTGATATTGTTAATAAAATCTCTGGTGATGATACTCTTTATTTAGTAGATGGAGGTGAAGATGGACAGAATGTCCCATTTGCCCCATTGATCCAACCTGATAGAAATGTCGACGTTATTTTTGCTCATGATAACTCGGCTGATACCGATTTGAATTGGCCTGATGGTTCATCATTGGTTGCAACTTATCAAAGACAATTTGCACCCATCGGAAATGGTACGCACTTCCCCTATGTTCCAGATCAGAATACTTTCCTTAATTTAAACTTGACTTCCAAGCCTACATTCTTTGGATGTGATGCTAAGAACTTATCAAGTTTAACTAGTGATTATTTAGATGTTCCATTGGTAGTTTATCTTGCTAATAGACCATTTTCTTACTGGACCAATACTTCTACATACAAAATGGCCTACAGTTATGAAGAACGTGTTGGAATGATTCAGAACGGGTATGAGATTGAAACCAGATTCAATACTACTTTAGATAGTCAATGGAGTGCCTGTGTTGGATGTGCCATAATTAGAAGATCTCAAGAAAGAGCAGGTATTGAACAGTCTGAACAATGTCAACAATGTTTTGCAGAATACTGTTGGAATGGTGATATCTATACAGGAGAAGCTCTTGGAGAAAATTATTCTAATGATGGATTAGTTTCTGGAACTGAATACTATAACTCCAGTAATGTAGCTGGTATCAGTGATGGAGGACTTGATTTATTTAAGAGAGAATAGTGTAGTAGTTAGAAGATTTTTAGTTAGAAGTTAAGTTAGTAAAAGTTAATACAGATATTCGATTGTTTTAGATAAACAGACTTATATTCACATAAATTTACTATATCCAATAGATTACATGGACTAATTAGTCAATAACATAAATAGTTAGGCAGCTTAGATCTTGTTTTCGTCAATACCATGTTTCCAAACAGCTACATAAGGAGTAGTACCATTTTCACGGTAGTTTAATAAAACAACCATGGCATCTGGGTCCATGGATTCACCGGTATAGAAATCCCAATCATTGAAAGATCCAATGACTTTCTTAACGTAGGCAGTAGCACCCTTTTCGAAAACTTCAACGGCTTCAGGATTCTTTTCAGCTAAATGAGCTTTAATTCTCTTCATGTAACCTTTAATATAAGTTAAGAAAGACTTCTTGTCAAAAGAAGTTTGTTGTAATCTGAAAGAGTAAACAACATTGTTAACGGTTTCAGCACCATCTTCTAAATCTTCATCACCATCTTCAGCAGATGGGTTGGCACCAATATCAACATCACCATTGGCAACAGTGATCATTTGACAATCGGCTTCATAGATGACACCGTCAACTTCTTTGATGTCATAGGCATCTGATAATAACTCGTCTCCGGAGATAACGTCTTGGAAAATAAGCATGCTGACTTAATTGCAATTGAGGATGGGGGTTAGAGGTGGTGAATGTTGGGACAGGTGGTGGGAATTGAAAATTTTATTTTTCGATGAAAAGTTTGGCGATGGGGGATGTCGCGCGACAATGTCGGATTTGAGTCGTAGATAACAGGACAGTGTCCTGCTAATAGTGTCCTGCTAATAGTGTAGTGCTACTGTAGTGTGTGTTACTGTAGTGTGTGTTACTGTAGCGTATGGTACTGTATGTAACTATAGTAATTGTAGTGGTACTTTTGTAGGTAGTATTAGCAGTATTCTGTATAGTGTTACTGTACTACTACTGTATAGTAGCATTACTGTATATCTGTTATAGTACTATTACTAATAGTCTTAAGTCTCGCTGACCCTTCTACAACTACAGCCTTTCTCATACTTTATATCTTTTATTCTCTAAATAATACATATGCTCTCTCTCTTCACTCAAACTCACCATTAAATGCCCGACGGAGAAAGTTCAAGATTCGATCATACACTATCTTATTCCCATTATGGTATCGAATAGAATGGTCACTATCTGGGAAGATCATGAACTCAAAGTTCTCTATATTACCCACATTAAAATCATCAATGAGTCTTAATGTGTTCTGAACATGAACATTATCATCACCACTTCCATGTCCGATAAAGAATCTCTTAACATGTTGGAAGTTAGTGACATTATGGATTGAAGCAATCTCATATCCTTGAGGATTCTCTTCAGGAGTTCGTAAGTATCTCTCGGTATAGATCAGATCGTAAAACTTCCATTTGGTTACTGGAGCTATAGATACTCCGTATGAAAAGATAGAATCATCATAATCAGTTTCAAGAGTCTTTAATGTAAGGAATCCTCCATAAGACCAACCCCAAATGGCTATACGATTCTCATCAACATATGGTTTTTCAGCATATAACTTAGCTGCGGCAATTTGATCCTTAGGTTCATATTGTCCAAGTCTATCACGAACTATAAATTTAAACTTAGCTCCTAATTCAGGATTATGATTATTGAATCCTGTACCTCTACCATCTACTGTAATTACTATAGCATCTAATTCGGCAGCTACAACCGCACTGAAACTTACATCAAATGATTTAGTCACCAATTGAGCTCCAGGACCTCCATAAACAAAAAAGAGTACGGGATATTGACGAGTCTCATCAAAATCAAGAGGATACGTTTCAACCACATTGGCTTTAAACTCTTCACCCGAATCCTTATCGGTTAACGTAAGAACTTTATAGTCCACTCGAGGTAAAGAATACTTGGCCAAGTTAGTGGTGATTTTCTCATTAGATTCAATGGTTCGAATCTCCTGAGCTGACTTTAAATCGATAAGTTTTTGATAGGGAACTTGAGGTCCAGCATAAGTGAGTAAAAGGTATCTAGATCCTGCTGAAAAGGAGCCACTAAACCAACCTTCACCATCAGTAATATCTCTAATAATAGGAAGTCCATTATTAGAAGTATCTAATAAGTTAATGGTATGAATATGTCTCTCAATAGATGATTTACTGGTACTTACAAAGTAGATATCGTTTGAAGTATAATCATAGGCTTTAACGCCTCCTACAACTTCCCAAAGTCCACTAGTAAGTAATCTACCTGTATCATTCTGAGGAGGACTAAAGTATGCTAAATGGTTATATCCATTAACTACCACAGTATCGATATATCCATCATCTACAATACCAATAGATTCATTCTTAGGGACATAGAAGGTATTAGAACCCACTTCAAACCATGAGTTCTCGGCCGTTAATGATCTCACCGGTTCATAAGACTCTTGAGCTCCATCCGCAAGGAAGATCTCTAATAAATCGCTAGCACGATTCGATGTCTTAACCAATACTGAAGATCCTACCCAAACCACTTCAGTAACCAACCGAGTTTCTGGAGTTATGGTAGAAGAATCTAACAGTAATACTGTCAGTAAATCTGTCAGTAAATCATATATCACTACGTCTACAATAGGATTAGGATATCCTGCTTTAGGATACTTAATCTTGACTACTTCCGGGTAATCCTCATGACCATCTTGTACATAATAAGGGATGGTGAATTCCGGAACAAACGTATCATTGGATTTAAGAAACGTTATCTTATCACTGGTAGGTGACCACCATAACACAATATCGGTACCGTACACTTCTTCTTCATATACCCAATCTGGCTTACCGTTAAATACTTGACTACTGCCATCGGTAGTGACTCTTCTGGTTTGTCCATTAACAATGTTCTTAATATATATATCATTAGCGACAATGTATGCTACACTAGTGGAGTCAGGTGACCATGACGTCACGGCCACAAGGTTGTCATCTACAAGGGGTACAATACTGCCATCATCCAACAGTAATAACCAGTATAACGCATACGTAGAATGTCTCCAATTGTGCGTAGTATTGGTCCTGAGTAAAGCTCTCGTTAAATCCGGCGACGAGATGAGCTCATCGATGGTATAGTTAACTCCATTACTGAGAAATGTCAGACCGTTGAATAGCGACACAGAACTCTCATCCACTACGGACTTAACGATATACTGAGTGTTACCGTCAATTTCATCGGCTACTAAATAAGTACCCTTATCGTTAGCGATAGACTGAGGCTCGGTAATCCATTGGAGCGACTTGAAATTGGGTTTGAACTCGCCGGCTCGAACGGCCGTGAAGTTTAGTGGGATCTTCCCGTCGGCATCATAGGGAGACTTATACGGTTGTTTATAGTGGTGGTGGTCCTGGTGGTGATGGTTGTGGTTGTGGTGGTGGTTGTGGAGATGGTGGTACTCAGTAGCGAGCAGGAAGTTCTCGATAGCCACCAACAAGAAGGAAGTTCCCCACACAAGTATAGCCAAGAGGACTCCGCCTACGAAATAGTGTCTGTAGTGGAGAGTAGGGGGTCTCTTGTCCATATTCATTTTTGTTGTTATAGTCGGTAAGAGTTGGTGAGAGTTGGGGAATTGTGGAGGTTATTAATAGTTACTGTGGTGGTGGTGCTGGTGCTGGTGGGTCGTGCGGCCGCATTAAGCCGGGGAGGGTGTGACCGTATTTACGCAGCAGTATCATATCTACGCATTTTTGTACAACTTTTATTGAAGAATATACAGATTAGAAGTGAAAAGAACGTATAGATAGAGATAGATATTTAAGATTATGGAGTCAGAGTCGTACCTGTACCATAACCTAGGCGTTTCTCTTCGCCATGATAAGAATGAGGAGTAGTCACTACATTAGTGAGTAATACCGGACTGAATTCAACAATGATCTTTCGTAAATTAGTTCTCCGAATAGGTTTAGATAAGAATCCACTCATTCCACTATTAAGACATTCCTTAACATTACTTTCATCCGCAAAGGCCGTTAACGCAATGATAGGATTAGTGAAATGTAAGTTATTTCTTATCATCTTAGTGGCCAAGAGTCCATCGACTTTCGGCATTTGAACATCCATAAATACCAAATCATAATGATCATTTGTAGTTAATGATTCCTTAACCAATTCGACGGCTTCGGCTCCGTTGCACGCGAGTGTCACGTTCTCAAACCCTTCAAGTTTTAACATTCTCTTAATGACTTCCTGGTTCACAAGGTTATCCTCGGCCACTAAGATCTTCAAGTGATTGAGTTCGTCTAAGACATGATGATGAACATCCAGGGTGCTGGCTGTAGTGGAGCTGGCTGTGCCTGTGGACGAGCGAGTGATGAGGAGAGGCTTTTCAAAGACATGTCTATCGAACTTGAGGGGCTTGTCGAGGGCCGACGATGACGAGTGGGACCGTTCGTGGGTGGGGTACGGAGCCGTAGTAGCGGTAGTGGATGTGGCAGCAGCAGTAGTGGCAGCAGCAGTAGTGGCTGCAGTAGTGGCTGCAGTAGTGGCAGCACTGACAGCTCCAGGCTCTTCGTGCTTAAGGAGGGGCTCGGCCTCATAGTCATCAACAGTATCGTAGTCCTGCGCTGGCTCTCCCTCATAGTCCGTCTTATCACTATCGAGCGTATCGTCATGAACCTCTTCATCAAACTGGTTCTTGAACGACACCTTCCGGTTGGTCTTGGAGTAGGGATTGAATTCATCCTCACAGAACTCGGCCATCTCATCATCATTAACCATAATCTCTCCCGTTTGTGGGAGTGGGACTGTGAATATAAAGGTCAGTCCCACACCTACGCGGGATTTGAGCGTTAGCGTACCTTTCATCATGGTTGCCAATTGTCGACAAATAGATAACCCTAATCCGGTACCACCATAACTTCTTGATAATGTTTGATCCCCTTGAACAAATGGTTCAAATACCTTTTCTTGAAGGGCCGGTTCGATCCCGGGACCGGTATCGGTGACCTCAATTTGAATAACCCACGTCTTGGGCTTATATATTCTTCTTATCTTAAAGGCCTTATTGTTCTTAACCAATTCGGAATTGGCCATATTGCTACTGGAGGTTCGGGTAGCAGGGGAGAGAATGGTTGAGTGTTTAGGGAGACTGGCCGACGAGAGGGAGGTGGAGGTAGTGATGGAATGAGGCCGTGGTAGAGGTCCTGGCGGCGGAGGAGGTGCCGTACCATTACCAGTACCAGTACCAGTACCAGTACCAGTAGAGGCCGCAGTCTTGGCAGTCATGGCAGTCCCAGTACTGGTAGTAGTGGCTGCAGTGGCAGCTGTGGCTACCGTAGAACCACTGGCGTCGGTAGGAAGACGAGGAAGAGGTTTGTGGTGACTGAACTGAGACTCAAAGATCTTATTCTCGTACTCGGCCGTCAGGAGCGTGAGCAAACTGATGTTGTCGGAGGAGGAGTGTCTGTGATTTTTGGCGGTTGCGGCCGTGGCAGTAGCCGTGGCAGTGCCAGTGCCAGTGCCAGTGCCAGAGGCAGTAGTGATGTTATGGTTGTTGTTGTGAGGATGGAGTGTCGCTACGTCTCCTGAGCTGTCCAGTGGATCCCGGTGAGTGTACACCTGTCTATACTCCTCCTTAGCGGACTTCTCCGCGTCATACTCACCTAGGAGTCTGAAATTTACGTCAACAGATCCATCGACTGGCGTAAACTTAAGCGAGTTCAGCACCAAGTTCATGACTATCTGAATAATCCGATTAGAATCTCCATAAATAATCAATTTCCGAAAGATATTAGGACGCACAAGAATGCGGAAATTGACCCGCTGATCGGAAGCCAACTTATCAAAGATCGACTTCACCTGATACACCACTTCCAAGATCTGGAAGTTGGACTTCTCAAGTCTCGACCGATTAAGGGTATTCTTGGAATAGGTAAGAAGTTCCGTAAGAATATGTAGAAGTAACTCTCCTGAACGATGAATGAGTTTAAGAGAGTCCTGAATGATCAGAGGATCTCTTTCGTCCATGGCTATCGAAGTCATCCCCAAGATCCCGTTAAGAGGAGTTCTTAATTCATGAGAGATATTGGCAATGAATACCGTCTTGGCTTCATTGGCTGACTCGGCTTCTATCTTGGACGCTTCAAGTTCCTTCGTCCGGGATTTGACTCGTTCCTCCAAATGAGTATACTGCTTATCCAATTCCGTTGTCATGATATTGAATGCGTCGGAAAGTTCCGTAAACTCATCCTTAAAGAACTTCTTCGAATGAGGAATGCGGCCGGGGAGTCTTATGGCCGTCGAGTATGAAGATGTGGATGAATGGATACTCGACCGTTTAGGTGGAGATGCGGCCGTCAACTCCTGTTTGGGTTTATAGAAGAGTGATCCATAGGCCGGAGGTGCCGTAATGGTCTGGAGTTGTTTGGTAGACACATTCAGTTGTTGTTCATCAAACTCCTTCTTGGACTTGGTGATGGCTTCCGTGGCTTCCCGCAATTTAGTGATGGGTCTTATGAAAAATACCGCTAGAGGGAAAGTAATGAAACACATAAACACTCCTATACCGATGACTACTCCGATGATAATCTTCGTAAGACTATGAACAGGTTGAAGGAATGTGGATCGAGTCTGTTCGATGACTACGGCCCAGATGGTATTGGGATCGAGTTGGATTTGGGTGAATCCAATGGCAATGTTTGCTCCGGAGAAGGACCGGACTTTGGTAGAGGAACCAGTAGTCTTGGAGAAGGATTCCTTTATGGCCAGAGAACTATTAATGTTGTAGAAGGTATTGGGAGTAAGCGTACTATCCTTAACGGGGAAGATGGATTGGAATCCGATAGGATTCTTACTATTGGTAGACGATGGATTGCCACTATTATCTACTCCGGTAATGGGGTTCCCATAGACGGGTTTAACCGCAACAACATTATAAGTAGAGGCGGCACCTCCGCCTCCAGCGGTCGTATCATTAATGGCAATTTGAATATTCTGAGCACTGGCAAGAACAGTAAGATATCCCAGTAATGAAGGGGTGGAAAGGATAATGGATGAGTTGGAATAGATAGGAAGGGTTATTCCCATAAAGTATGCACTAGAAGGGTCGGTAGTATTGGAGATAGGACCGGTGAAATATGCTTGAATATTAGATGAATTAACATTGAGTAAACTATCAGGAATAGATGCATTGGCAGATAATGGATATAGCACATCCATGGCCGGTAATGAGATGGCCGTGATGTTATTGTAGGATTCCGCCATAACTTCAAGATCTAAGTTATAGAGTCTTGCGGCCGCAAATAGTTCCAGGGAATAGAGAAACTGATCAAGAGCCAGTTGAGCTCCCGCAAAGATTTCTGTAGAACTATTACCGGCTCTATATGATGATAGGGGGGAAAATATGGTGTCTCTGGTAGTGACCCAATACACTTGATAGAATATGTATTCGACTGCTTGCTTAACTTGGACTGTCTTTAATTGAGATATAACTTCAAGACGTTCAGCTCGTAAGTCATTCAAGTTGGAAGTGAAGTAGAGACCGGTGACGATGGCGAGGATGAGAAGGGAAAATAGCGACGAGAATCCCACGAGGATGATCAACTGAGGTCGGATACCGATCTTGAGTCGTCTCATTATGTTATATGGTCATAGGGAGGGTGGTGGAGGTAATTAGTCAAGTGAAATATGTGGTGTTGTACTAACTGTACTCAACTATACCGTCTATACTGAGCTATACTGAGTTATACTGAGTTATACTGAGTTATACTGAGTTACACTGATACCTGACTGTAACTATAACTATGCGAAGTACTGTTGATGTACTGTCTATGTCCCTTGTACTATGTACACTAATCTTTCTATTAATATCGATGCCTGCTCACTATATCACTGGCGTAAATTTCCGTACGAAGGTTTTTTTTTTTTGTTTCTTCCCTTGTTTCTTTTTTTCCTATTTTTACCTACCTGTGTACAGGAAAGCCCCTCCCACCAGGATATTTATGACGTCAAACTGGCTTAGAATGTATGTAATTAATCCCAGTCTAGACAGAGTGTCGTAAATATGTGTCATTAACTATGTCAATCATTGGATATTATATGTTCTATCTATTTGTGACACTATTACTATTACCTAATCTATCTCAAACTTTAATGCTTAATACCAACTACATTTTCTATAAGCTCACCGCCCCCAGATTACTCTGTTGTGGTATTTCTATATTTGGCTCATTGTTCGCTAAAACAGTATGTACCACAGAACCCTCACAGAATGTTCTCTACAACAATAACAAAATTAAATAATAATAAGAAGAATAATATAATAATAAAAATAAAGAATAATAACATGATTAATCCGTCCGTATATAATCTGCAGTCATAGTCTTAGTATCATTGTGTCCCCATGTAAATCAATTAAAAATAGTAAAACAGAAAATAGAAAATAGTAAAATAGTAAAATAGAAAATAGTAAAATAGAAAAATAGCAAAATAGCAAAATACTAAATAGTAAAATAGTATAATAGTAAAATAGTAAAATAAAATAATAAAAAACTAAAATAGTATAATAATAAAATACTAAAATAGTATAGTAATAAAATACTAAAATAGTATAGTAATAAAATGTTCTGTTCGGCTGCTTGGTTTGTTAGCTAACTCCGCAACTCCGACTAGTTAAATGTGAGGGAACCAAATTCAATAAAGTCGCAACTGTTTTGCTTCACTATCTCGTTACTTGGCATGTAAGTCGACTTTAACAAACCTGTCAGTAGACCAAAACATTGTAATGCAGAACTGAAATAAAAAAATAGAAAGAATAAAAGAATAAAAGAATAAATGAAAGAAATGAAAGAATGAAAGAAAGAATGAAAGAAAGAATGAAAGAAAGAATGAAAGAAAGAATGAAAGAATGAAAGAATGAAAGAAATGAAAGAAAGAAAGAATGAAAGAATGAAAGAATGAAAGAAATGAAAGAAAGAAAGAAATGAAAAAAAAAACAGGAACAACAACATCAACATCAACTAATCTTGACTCCAGACTCTAGACCCTTAATCATTGACCACCAATATCTGACTCATGGTGATCAATCATGAGCATATATTGAATGGCTCCATCGGTATCACTATTATAATCAGTAGAATTAACGGAGCTATAATAATCAACAAAGCTTTCCGTATAATCACCAGGATCATAAATTGGTAGGCCTCTACTCTTCTGGTAAGATTTAAATGCTTCAACAAAATCAGATTTAGGACGTCTAGAAGGTTTAGAATTATCTGAATTAATTGATCTATTCTTTACATCATTACCTGAACTTAAATTATCAATACTGTCTAATTTCTTAGAATTGAATTTGGTATTGATATTTAATTGAGAGGATTCAGCCACAGGATGAAATGCAGGTTCTATGAAAGGTGAACTTTCTTTAATTGGGGACTTATTATTACCTTTGCCCCATATTTCTGCATAAGCATCCTCTTCATTATATTGTGAAGAATTGAAATTGGTATTGGATTTAATTGACAATTTCTGCAGCTGAACTGTACCGATATTAACTTGAGAATATATCTCATTATTATTCGTTGTATAAGAATTCTGTTTAATTCCATTTTCAGATTCTTTACATTTAGGAGGATAAGCCATACGATGAAACTTTTTAATTTGTTGTTCAGTATATCCTGAATCCTTATCAAGAGTGGGAAGCTTTTCTCTCAAAATTTCCTTTAATTGATCACTGATCTCTTCATAAGGTTCAATGTATTCTTCGGTAGCTGAGGAATCATATTTATTATCTAATGGTTTATAATTTGTTGGTTGAATTAACTCATTAGAATTATATTTGATTACCTTTTTACCATACTTTTCAGGATAGGCTTCTTTCTTCATAATAATTATTTGTGCTTCAGTATATTCTGAGTCTTTAGTTAAGGTACGAAGCTTTTCTCTAAAAAATTCTCTTTTGAACTTTGCTGTACTTTCAGAAGTTTCAGGAATCTGTACATCAAAGCTATATTGTGGTTTACTAATTTTGGTAGTAATTTCTCTTCCATTATTAACGGGAGATTCATAATAAACTAGAGGATTTAATTGAGATTCATAACAAACTTGAGGATTTAAATTAGATTCATAACAAACTTGAGGTTTTAAATTATTAGGAATAGTGACAGGTTGAGAATATTGTATTCTGTTACCTTTATTTTCCTCGGTAAATTGCTGTTGGTTATGACTAGTTATCTTTTGACTAAATTGGCCCATACGCCCATTTGATTTAGTAACCATTTTATTTCTAATACCTTCAGTTTCAGTTTCAGTTTCAGTTTCAGTATGTCTAAGACGGCGAACATAATCTGGTTCTACTTCATAAGCTTCTCTAATTGTAAAGTTATCTTTTCCTCCACTTATAGTATGAAAGTTTGATCTGTCAAATTGTCTTTCAGGGGAAGTATAAACTTGTTCAGCATGAAAATCTGGAATATATTGATTATCAGGCTTGGAATAAATGTAATTGGATGAACAAGACTTGGAATTACTGTCATTAAATGTATAAGACTTGGAATTATTGTAACAAGACTTGGAATTAATGTCATTGGATGAACTAGACTTGGAACTAATGTCATTATACATGGAATTAATGTAACAAGACTTGGAACCAATATCATTAGATGAACTAAACCTGGAATTAATTCCACTGGATGAACTATAGTTCTTGGAATTAATGTCATTAGATGAACCAGACTTGGAATTAATATAACAAGATTTGGAACCAATATCATTAGATGAACTAGACTTGGAGCTAATGCCATTATACTTGGAATTAGTATCATTAAATGTAACAGACTTGGAACCACTATCATTAGATGAACTAGACTTGGAACTAATGTCACTGGATGAACTAGACTTGGAAATAATTCCACTGGAAGAACTAGACTTGGAATTAATTCCACTGGATGAACTAGACTTATAATTAATGTCATTAAGTGAACCAGACTTGGAACTAATGTCATTATACTTGGAATTGGTGTCATTAAATGTAACAGACTTGGAACCAATATCATTAAATGAACTAGACTTGGAGCTAATGCCATTATACTTGGAACCAATATCATTAGATGAACTAGACTTGTAATTAATATCATCAGATGAACTAGACTTGGAACTAATGTCATTATACTTGGAATTGGTGTCATTAAATGTATAAGACTTGGAATTAATTCCACTGGATGAACTAGACTTGAAATTAATGTCATTAAGTGAACTAGACTTGGAACTAATGTCATTATACTTGGAACCAATATCATTAGATGAACTAGACTTGTAATTAATATCATCAGATGAACTAGACTTGGAACTAATGTCATTATACTTGGAATTGGTGTCATTAAATGTATAAGACTTGGAATTAATTCCACTGGATGAACTAGACTTGAAATTAATGTCATTAAGTGAACTAGACTTGGAATTAATGTCATTAGATGAACCAGTGTCATTAGATGGACTAGATTTGGAATTAATGTCATTGGATGAACTAGACATAGAATTAATTCCACTGGATGAACAAGACTTGGAATTAATATCATTGGATGAACAAGCCTTGGAGTTAATATCAATGGATGAACAAGATTTGATTGAATATGAAGTAACAGAAGGGCTAAGAGGAGGGGAATTACATGAACTATTCCCAACTAATCCTTTTAATGAATTGATAAGGTTTTCTTGAGCATGAATAATAAACAACAATTCATTATTGACTTCGTTATCATCACAAGTTCTTGGATTTTCCTGTTGATTGATAATGGTTAAGGCAACAGAAGTAGACGATTGATGAGAAATCGAATTGTGAGCACAACATGTATTGTCAGCGCTAAAGAGGGAATTAATGGATTGAATGGATTCAGCCCATTGGTTTTTTTCTTTTCTTCCGAAATGATTGGGGAATACTGTTAATTTTTGTAATCCGGATCTATACATCTTTCGGTGAAAATGAAATTGAATGTGGTGGTGCTATAAAAGAAGAAGTTGTAATAATTCTAATAATTTTAAGCGCCAAATTTTTTTTGCAGTAAGATTTTGAGATCATTTTTCTAAGGACTCTGAGTCGTTTTCAAGCTCCAAAAAAAGCCCTTCTATTCAAGCAATTTTATCTTAATTAGGTACGTACACGCATACCTTAAAATAATTAACTAAGTAATAAAATAGTCAATCAATATAGACAGAAACTTGATGTGAAACTTGGTAGCGCATTATATTGTTGATTTGCAATTATAAACTTAATGAGTTTGAAATGTGAACTATTATCATAAAACTTTACTCTCTTTCATAATAATTAAGTTTAAAATTTAATAAATTTAAGAGAAGATGTTGTTTAGGGAGGTAATTTATGTTTTGAATAATTTTTATAACAATTAGCAAATTAATTTGAAAGAGTTTGCTGTACCAAAAATTTTTTATCTGTTAAATCTGGTTCAAACTTTCTCAATAGCTATTTAGATACACTTAAAATCTTCTTAAATGATTTAAACTTCCTGAAAGGCTATATAGGGTCTATAAATGAAGAATTTAAAATCAATCACGTGACAAAATACACGTGAATTGGATATTGTGGGAAACATCTCATGTTTTTACTTCAACAAATTGGAGGGTTGGCCGAGTGGTCTAAGGCGGCAGACTTAAGATCTGTTGGACGGTGTCCGCGCGAGTTCGAACCTCGCATCCTTCATTATTTTTTTGCACCTAAATAATCTATAATGTGCAAAATTTACAAAAATATACTTTATTATAAGAATAGAACAATTAATATATATAAATAACATATATCTAACGAATACCCTGTCCAAGTACAAAATTCTGAGTTTTTGACAAAAACTGATCGTTACGAGGCTTTGGGAATTGAGCAAGTTCCCAACAGAAGTTTAGTGATCCTTTGCAACCATACAGATAACGGCCCCCTGTCTGATTCAAGATTTTCTTTATGTTATGAAGACAATCGAATTTAAGATATTTTTTATTACTCACATAATAAGCATGTCGAACATCTAAATCCTTTAGGGAAGAATTAGCTTTAAGAAATGTTGCTAAAACATATGTTCCATATCCTGGAGCAAAATACTCAACGTATCTATCTAAGAAACCATATTTCTGTAGAAAAGTACGAGCCTGGTCGACTTTAGGAACTATCAAAACTACATTTCCGTCAAATTGATCTGTTATACTACGAGGTAGAATTTGAGATAATGGTACACGAGATGCACGTTTACGTTCTAAATAAATAGGATCCATAGAATAATCAATAGCATTCAGATAATCATTACAATGTAAAGTAGGGGTAATATAGTGATAACTAGCTCTAACATCAGGTAAAAATTCAGTTTCAGTGATATCATCATGTTGATTATTTTCTAGTCTATGACTAGCAAGACTGGAATTGTGATAATCTGCTAGGAGATTAGAATAACTAGAAGATAAAGACATGGGATGAATGTTCAGTAATGAGAAAGAATATGTAAGCAAAGGAAAAGTTCAAGTGAAAAACCAGCGATATTTCTGTACTTAAATACTAATTTAAGGTAAGCATAACATTCTAAATTTTTAGCCTGAGCATATTAAAAATTAATAGTTTCTCTTATTCTAAAAGTAAGATGCATTATTTTATTTATTAATATTATCTATACACATATATCATTCATTAGAGAATAACGATGACAAACACATCAATCCCAATAAACCGAATTTGAAATATACATTCTCACTAATTAAAATAGTTACATACCCTAATTTGGGTAAATAAGCCTTCACAGTTCCCACAAGATCAGTTTTCTGATTCAAATACATTTGCTTCTTAGCATAGAGCCCCAAATCATCTACAGGATTATTATCACCTTTAGTCAATAACAATTGTTTAGCGAAATCTTTCAGATGATGTTCGCGTAATACACGATGAACTATTGGAATTGATTTACCCTTGATTTCGTACACAACAATATCTCCTACTTTAGCATGATCATCACGATTCCATAAAAAGAGGATATCACCTCTTTGAAATGCAGGTTCCATTGATCCTGATAATACTACCACAATGGGTGAATGTGAATTGGTTATGATGGAAAGAGTTTTCCATAATATGAATGCAGAAGTAAACACGTATGCAAGTGTTAAGAGCTGTTGCAATTGCTGACGTACATTCATGATAAGTAGATGATGTTAAATCAGATGATGTATTAATATATTGATAGACAGTTACTTTTGTACTTTCGTGGCTGCTGTTATTATGGAAACTTGATTAAGCATTTTGGTGGTGGTCGCGATGTCGCGGAGTGGATTCAAAAGCACATGTCGCGAAATAAAAGTATAATGTCGTGCCACCTGCCTTATTGACCGTTAAGTATACTCAACCCTTTATATCCCCAGAAATGTGTAGTATTATATGTACATGTAAGATCAAATAGTTGAGTTATGACATCATTAACACACAGAGATCGATTAAGAGAAAAATCAAGAGAATGTGGTAATTGTGAGTTATGTGCTATGTGTTATGTGTTACGTGTATGTTTTATGTTATGAGTTATGTGCCGTGTGTCGTCTTGTTGACTGTGTGTTACCTTCTGGTTCTACTGTGCCACATAACGATATGCTATTCTGGTCGTCCGACACTACAGGAAGACCCTACGGCACCGACTGGTGAACATTAGCAGAGGCTTAACTGCGGTAATTTTCTGATTCGCAGCACTTGGAGATCAAGAAATTTATTAGTGACGGCACTGTGTGCAGGTACAATTTCCATATAAGGAAATCACCAGTTAAAGCAAATTTTACTAATAAACTTAATTTAGGGCCAGAGTATACTTCCAGTAGTTTAGTGAGTGTTTGTAGTTAATATTGCAGTGTCCCTTAATGAGTCAGCAATCATTGTCACCTGGCGTTGCATCTGCCTCGGTATCTTTACATGCCTCATCTCCAGGCTTGGGGTCCGGGTCAGGGTTGGGGTCATCTCCACAGCCCAGTACATCTACAGGTCAACTGGTTAGTACTACTACTCCTCCATTAAAGCCGGTTCAGTCGGTATCGTTTGGGGATTTGAATAATCAGGAACGAACTAGACGGTTTACCATCACTTCTCAACCTTCTGCTGTCAATGTAATAAATCATGAGAATGTGGTATCACCCAATAATACGAGTACTAACGCCAATAATATCAGTAATACTGGATCAGGAACTGGTCCTAACTCAGCAAATGGATCTAATACCACAAGTACAACATCAACACCATCCAGAAAGACAAGTTTAACTAGTAGAAAGAATTCCACTAGTGAAGTGTTAAGCTTTTTACCAAGAAACCCTACATTTCAACCAACAAAGAATCAACTGCAACAAGTACCTCAACAACCTATATTAACTAATATCAATACCACTGGTTCTAATTCAAACTCATCTTCAAGAATTAATTCACCTCAAGTTCAAAACGATGGAATAACTCCTGTAGCTCTTAAGACAAGTTTTTCATTTGATAGTCAACATAATCATTCACCTCATCAAGTTCAATTACGTAAACAGAAATCTCCATCTCCACCTCCATCTGCTACAGTCACTCATGAAACTATACCTATTCCTATACCTATACCGATCCCTCCATCGAATATATCCTCGGCCTGCAGTTCTCAAGTGCCTTCACGAAAATCATCCATTAAGCGAGGTTCAAGTACCAACTCTAATTCTATGCTTTCGGCCAATACCAAGAAAACTGTAGTTGCATCACCAGTAGGTCCACCTGTACCATTCCAGCAATATTTATCTAAAGAAGATGATGGAAAATTCCATATTTTACTTGCATGCACAGGATCAGTAGCTACCATTAAGATTCCATTAATAATTGATAAATTATTTCAAATATATGGAAATTCTAAAATCAGTGTACAATTAATAGTTACAAAGAGTGCCTCATTTTTTCTTCGCGGTATGAAACTTAATAAAAATGTAAAGATCTGGAGAGATGAAGATGAATGGGGGAATTACATTAAGGATATGGATCATACGGAAACTATGTCTACTACTACCAGTACAGCTGGAAATAATAAAAAGAAATATAATCCATTTGATAAGTTGATCTTACATAATGAGTTAAGAAGATGGGCAGATATAATGTTAATTGCTCCACTTTCAGCTAATACTCTAGCTAAGATTTCTAATGGGATTGCTGATAACTTACTAACTTCTATAATTCGAAGTTGGAATCCCAGCACTAAGAAACCAATCATAGTGGCACCTGCTATGAATACGTTCATGTATACCCATCCTATAACTGCCAAACAGTTGAGTATTATTTCAAGTGCAGACTTTGGAATTGAAGTATTAAAGCCAGTAGAGAAAGTGTTGGTATGTGGAGATATAGGAATGGGAGGAATGAGAGAATGGACTGAGATTGTAGAAATAGTAAGGAGAAAAATTCTGGTGATTAAAGCTGATAGAAAGGTAGAAGAGGCTGAGGCTGAAGCGGAGGCAGCAGCCGAGAGAGATGATGATGAAGAAGGAGAAGATGAAGATGAAGATGATGACGAAGAAGATGACGATGACGACGACGATGATGATGATGATGATGATGATGATGAAGACGACGACGAAGACGACGAAGAAGGTGAAGATGAAGAAGAAGACAATCCAGTCACAAGTAGTCAGGTCAATCTATAAATAGGTTATGTAGAAGAATTTATCGTGCAAGACACGACTTTCTTGTAATTGCTGCAAAATTTTTGTAATTTTCTGCTTATACCCAAAAGTTTATATCAGTAGATACACATCATATATGCTACAATGAAGCTTCAAGAAATAATAAACTTTGATGATGTTGTTCAGGCGTTGCCGGGAGTCGATGATGAATTTGATCCCATTCAAATTCATTTAAATGGAAAGGACAAGTATTTCCATCGTAGAAGTATGTTGGAAGAATACTTGACACATCCAGATCAGGGTGAAGTGGACCAGTTTTTGCAGAAGCTTGAAATTACTTCCACCAAATTTCTGAATGCCGATCTATTAAGAATTATCTTACGATGTTTCAGCTTTCACCTTCTCCTAAAATTTGAGTTTGAATCCACAGAAGATTTAGTTGAGCTAATACGACATATTTGTCGATGTATTCATATGGAGTTTTATCGTGATATGTTTCAATATTGGGATTTTACTTTGCCGATGTGCTTTAAACTTCCGCAAATAGAAGATAAGGAAATTGAAGAGCATAGAGCTTATGAGCATATTATATGTGAAGATTTTAAACCTGCAGATCCAAATGAAACTCCATCATTAATAAAAATAGATTCTACTGAATTCTGGGAATTAGGATTAGGCAGTTGTATAGGGTTACTATATCCCAACTCACCGCCATGTGAATTTTCAGCGGATAATATCAAACACATTAGGATTCATAAAGAAGTTAGAAGAACTGATGGTTATTATTGTATCAGAAACTACAGCTTTGTACAAGCTGTACGTGATTACATATTTAAAAATCCAGCCCAGCTCAACTCAGCTGATACATATGGTTTTGGGAAAAGTAGATGTTTTGAAATTAATGAAAAAGTTATAAAAGTAAGTTTTCATTTATATACATATTTGTCAAAAACGTTTACAGAAAATGCTATCCCGATTGAAGTAAGAGCAGGAATTCGGCAGAATGTTAATGATTTCTTTCAAGGAAAAGACGAAAGTGGGAGATTTATGGTGGTTTTTAACCAGTGTATTAGAAAGGCTATTTACAATGGTACAAACTGCTTTTTCTTAACTGATTATGTGAGTACATTTTTTATCCAGTTTCAACTTGGAGATCTTGGAGAGACCGCTTTACTCCGTTCAGTAAGTTGTAAAATAATAAAATTTGAGGAACGAGAAGAACTGGAATATTCACTCAATTTTCATTTATTTCTATTCTTGAGAGAGATTAAGAATAATTGTTATGGCACCATAGATCTCGATTTTTCAGAGTGGCCTGGAAAGTTATATCTTACATCCTGCGATCAAGACAATTTTACCTGCTGCTCTTATAAAACAAGTCATCAGTTAAATGAACAAATATTTCTTTGAAGATATGTGCCTCTGGCAAAGTATCCTATTCGTAAATATCTGTTTATATCTTTTTCTGGTTAAGCTGGAGAATTGTCCGATCTATTGGTACGAAGTAGAAGAACTAGCTTATCAAATAAATAAAGTATACAGTAAATGAAAACATTACCACCACGGCTTGTACACAACGTAATATAGCGTATGGTAACGCTTGCTTACCCCGGTTGTAGGCATAAATTAGAAATAGGCTAACTATAATCTTACTTCATCTCGCATAAACTGAAAAATAGTGAGTCCCGTGATGTGAATCATCATTACTGTTTCTGGATAGTGAGCCAATTAGAGTATGCAAGCAATTTACGCATTATTACTCACAGACCATTATTACTTTAACTTTAGTGCAGAACAGTAGGAGCTCTGAACGATGGTAGAAAGTTAAAGAACTGTCAATTTAACAACTGAGAATGAAATGAGATGAGATGAGATGAGATGAGATGAAATATTGACATTGTGCCTGAAAGGTTTGTTAACTACGCCACTACATGATCATCATCTCAACCTTCTCTCTACAGCCTTAACATTACCTATTTAGTGATTCGAGTGTATCATAGTCTGCCATAACAAGGGATTGTTAACGAGTTCAATTTCATCTCAAATTAAGGGAAAGTTCTAAAAATAGAACACAAAAAAAGAAATTCAGGGAAAAAATGGAAAAGGACCCGCCTTGAAAAAAAAAAACCTTCAAAAAAATAAAAAAATAATCTAGAAGCAGAGACGGAGTGTTAAGCCGTAGGGAATCATCTTAATGTGCTCTCCCTAGGCAAACTGTAAGAAGTTAAAGAAGTCAAGATGAAGAACGGAAATATCAATGCTGTATATGGGAATGTAACCAGACATGATATATGTACCATTAATCTAATAACTTGAATATAATCTGGTATATAGTCTAGAAATGACGTAAATTGCTCTAGCTTGTAGCTGATACTAACAATAGTAATATGAAATGAAATTTTCTATACTTAGAAGATTTTACTTATAATTGGTAACAAATTTTGATTTGAAACAGAAGTTTAGCAACTATTAATTCTATTTTGCGATTGATGTCAAACATTCCAATTCCTTTCATATTCGATGCTGACATCAACTCCATCATATCTTAAGTGATTAACGGAGTAACAGAAGTATTTGGCTGCGATCTGATATGGCTTAAACATTTCAGGTTGCATTCTTGACGAGTCAGAATAACGACATACTAACACTTGACGACAATATGAAAAAAGGCAAGGAAGGTAAGACTTTCCCCTTTCTCTCCATTTAATTAGACGATTTTTCTTGAACAATTCGCGTTTTTTTTTTTTTATTAAGATCCAAGATAAGCTTAAACTGTAAAATTGTGAAAAAAAAGAAACAAAAAGAAAGCGAAAAGGGGACAGAATGCACGTGCACGTGTGCACACCACCACCAAAAGGCAATCATAAAAAAAGAAAAGGAAAAGAAAAGAAATTAACCAGCAAAATGTTTACAATAAAATGGAATTATATGGAATTGTATGGAAAATGAATCATGTGAGCAGATCTTTAACTATGGGGAACAGTATCGTCTCTTTGAATATTTGTTTGCTAACAACTTCGAAGCCCGTATTCCCCGTCATACTTACATAACAATACAATCTAAGTACTTTATTTGTTTATTTACTTATTTTTTTATATCATTCTCTTGTAATAGTTTCCACAGACGATGTTACTTCCACATTAGCAGTTACTACTAGGTTGCTATTCAATTAGTTAAACTGTAAAAATAAAAATTTTCACTTCCTGGCAATTAAACTCTTTGCAATAGCAAAAAATTTTTAAAAAATAAAAAAAAGATTAGAAAAATTTAAAAAAAACTACGTGTTTTTGTGACAGAAAAGTATATACAGGTGTGGCACCCAGCAATATATATGTATATATTTTACCTAATTAGGAAGTGTAATATCCATAATTAGTGAAAAGACTGTACACAACTCCTGATTTTTCCCCCCTCCGCCCACTTTCATTTTACATGTTATAATTTTTTTTTTTACCAAGCCATCTCCTAACCACTAACATAATTGATTGCACCGTGTATAAATATAAGTCAAAATTTCCCTCAAAAAGTTTTCTATTAATTTGAAGTTTTCCTTATCGATTTTTATTTTAGAATTTTTATTCTTTCTTTTTGGATATTATTATAGACACTTTAATAGACCTTTATAAACCAATCTACTACAATGCAATTCAAATCCGTCATCATCGCTTTAACTGCTGTCTCTGCTGTTTCTGCCGCTAACGCCACCAACGGTACTAATGCTACTAACGGTTCTACTTCTGGTGCTGCTGCTGGTTCTAACCAATTAGCCTCTGCTGCTTTAGTCGGTGCTGCTGCTGCTGCTGGTGTTGCTTTATTATTCTAAGTTTATTAATTAATTAATTAAGTCAATCATATAATAATAAATCATAATACAAAAATCATTAAAAAATCAGAATCATTCTTGACTTTAATGTCTTGATAATCCACTTTCATATATACAAATGGCTTTTGCCAGTCTAACCTATCCAATTCATGATTGGTTAAATTGTAGTGCTGACTAGTCAGTATCTCAATTTGACTTTATTTGCACACCAAAATGCACACAGTTCAATCTTTGTTAATATTACTTTTTACTTTTAACTATAATATATTAATTTAATCTTCTTTTTCAATATATTATACTATATTATATTCTATTTAATTTTTATTTTATATATAATCTAACAATTTATATTTAATAAACAACAAATCCGACTAATAATCTTTTGCTATGTAGTATTACTTCTATATAATGTACCCCATAATATTATTCGATGTTCTTGATGTTCTGTCAATTGTAAAGCAAGTAATTTGAAAATGTGTATGCTGAAGCCCCTTGATTTTTCCGTAATGGTCCACTCGTGGGCATTGCCTCATTTGGAATATATCGTGGATTTATTACATAAAAATAGAAAGTTACAATGGATATAGAGACTATGTATGCATTACTATTACTAAATAGGTTACTTACTACTAGGTCTTGCCTTAGGTCCCCAGTTCTTAGTAGGATTTTCTTGATATCTTACCATTTTAACTTTTCTCAATTTTGCAATCTTTAAACTGACTTGATTTTCTTTATCAAAATCAACTTGAGGATATTGTTTAGTATTGTTCTTCTTAAAGTATTCAATAATATTATAACCTATAGATGTTGGTGATAAGCTTGCATTATAGTAAATATCTTCTTTTAATTTACTTAATTTTTCTTTATTCTTTTCACTAAGTTCTTCAGATTTTGATTCGAGTTCCTTAATGACTAATTCATTATTTCTCTTCATCCATTCTAAATTAATGTTTAGAATATATTCCCATGGTGCATCACTCTTTATACAATTCTTCTTAGCATGTGTGAGACTCATATCGTAACCTCCATTACCTATAGCACGAGCAAATTGATCAATTGATATAGGTGGAGATTTAAATAATGAAGATAATTGATTTAAATTAAAATAAAATGGTTCATTATTTAATTCATTCTTTGCCATAGTTAACATTCCTTTAATACGTTCTGTAGTTCCAAATATGGATTTATCACTATTATTATTAATTTCAAGAATTTTATTAATAAATTCTTCATTATGTAATGGCATACCATACATTGGTCCAGCAATATTATAATCATTTCCACAATATTGACAATTACTACCTATATTAGCAGTACTCTTAGGATATTGAAATTTCTTTTCATCTTTAATCTTTCCAAAATATTGGTGTGCTTTATGACCACATCCATTACAACCATAACTAATCATAGTTTTTGAAGATAATTTCTTAACTTCTAATGGACTTGTTTTAACTCTAACAAATAATCTGAAATAAAAATCAATTGAAAGACTTAATACTGGCTCTATACTTTTCTTATACTTGGCAGCAGTTGCACCGATCATTCCTAATATTAATCTAATACCAACTTCATGATTAGCTTCACTATTTATCATAGGAGTTCCAAAATTATTACCTCCATATAATGCAAAACATTTTTCAGGATATCCTGAACCAGCAATGACTCCGGCATCTGTACAAGTTACAATTAACATCCCATCATTTTCAACTGCTTGAATAGCACTATCTATAAATGGAGATGCAGTTCCATAAGGATCTAAATCAATAATATGAAATTTCTCTGATGAGCTAGCCATATATGTGATTGCATCACCTAAATTAGAAACCACATTTTCCACTTGATTATATTCAATATTTCTTTCAATAGATTTAACAGCTTCAGGTAATAAATCATTAGCTACAATTTTTTCATATTGACCTTCAAGTTCTTGAGCATATCTAATGGCTCTTAGACCAGTAGCACTCAAAGCTTCAAGAATTTTTATATTATTTAATTTTTTTTTCTTAGATGCTTCTTGATCCTTATATTTAGTATCATGAGATGCTTGTCGAAGTGCAATATATGCTTTAATTCCCATAATTGATAAATCTCGATTGAATTGTTGAATGGGGTTATAAAAGACTTGGTCCTTCTTAGGTGTCAAGATTTGGGTTCTACCCTCTTTAATAATGTTGAAATCTTCAACGTTTATACCATTTGTGTTTGTCATTACTACTCTAAGTACAGATCGAACAGTACTAACAAATTTCCTAATCATATACGAACTAAATGTTATCACCATACATTTGAAGTGAAAAATTATGGTCAGAAATTTTTTTCGAGATGCGATAGAGATGCGTTTACACTAGTGCTTTAGTATGGGGAAGACAGATAAACAGTAGATCAAAGTATAGTGTGAGTTAAGGATATATGAGCCTGTAGACTATACGATGATACAAATTATATAATACAATTCAATTAAGTTAAATTAAACTAAACTAAACTACTATGTCAATATGGATTGGTTGAATATAGTAATAGAAGCCGAGCACATAGTAGCGAAAATCTGGAGTGATTTCTCACTCCAAGAAACAGAAAGAGAAAGAGAAAATGAAAATCAAAGTGAAAGTGAATTGAAGGCGAACACCATAACTTGACCAATTGACACCTTTAACAATGTCGAATTTGGCAAGACTACAAGAGATAGTCACATTCTCACAGGATGCGAGTCCTGCCGATATACTAAATGAAGATAATGAGAGTGAATATTCATACTACAGTGATAGTGAGGACGGAGGCGACATTGACTCTGAGTATCAACTATCAGCGCAAGAGCATTGGGAGGAAAGTATTCATCAAGTAAGGCTTCTTGTTAATCAAATAATATTTCCGTTATTAGGAAAAGTATTGGGTAGAAGAGCTAGTCATTTGATATGGAAGAGAGTTGCTGATTGGTGGTTTATTTGACTGAGTGGAGCTTTGTGTATATATCGAATTTAATGAGAAGTAATGATAATAATAAAAATATAATAATAATAATAATAATAATACTAATAACAAATAAATATAAATATAAATATCTTAAGCTAAAGTGGTTAACAATTGATTGAAATCTTGTTGAAGATTACTCTCCACCAATTCAACAAATACAAATCTCTTAAACGGATCTACAATTCCTGAAGAAATCCTTTGAATACATTGGCTCAATATTGAGTTATAATCAAGTTGTTTTTCATGAGTTTCATGACTACTTCCACTCAATCTCTTTGATCCATTACTTATGGCTGAATGACGGATACCTCCATTACTATTCCGTTTATCAGAATTAGATGAAAAGATAGATGAAGTTTCATCATCATCTAACTTAATTTGTCTTGGAGGTAATGGATTACCTAAGAATTCTTTAGATGGAGTTGATGGTTGAGGTGGAGGATTTATCTTTATAATATTTTCATAGATATTATTTAATATTTGTAGTAATAAATTGAAAACAATCTTATAAATAAATAAAGTATCCAAATTAATATTAATTTCTAATTTTTCAATAAGTAATTGTCGAGAATTCAATTTTATTGGACTAACATTTATCAGAGCATTACCTTGAGCATTAGATGGTAAAGTAGTTTGACTTGAAACACTTGAATTTGAAGAACTTATACTACCAACTCTTTGAACATTTGTAGGAGAACTTATACCCAATCCTTCGACTGAGACATTACCAATATCAAAATTCTTTAGTATACTTAACAAATTCTTGATGAATTTAATTTGATAAATAGGGTAAGAAGCAGTAATTCCATTTCCATTATAATTAAAAGGATTATTACTAGTATTATAAAATTCTGAATCTAATTGACCTGAAGCAGCATTATTTGAAGTTATAATATGAGGTTTTGGTGGAGGAGTAGGTGGTAAATCACTTAAGAATGGACTACTTTGACTATTAGATTTAGGAGTGGGTGGTAATTGTTTAGGACCTGATTTACGTTCAGGAGTACTTGGTACTGCTGCTGAAGATGGTGGTGGTGATCCTACATTTGTAGATTGAATAGCATGTTGGAGTTGTTGATGAACAACTCGCGGAACAGACCGCTGCACCTGTTGTTGTTGTTGTTGTTGTTGTCCTTCAACTTCTTCATCTTGCTGAAGGGTTTTCAACAAATTACCCAAAGATATGCCTAACTTTAATAATTTACTCGAGTCAATGGGGAATTTATGATCATTAAGTCCTATCAACTGATCATAATTCAATTTGTATAACCCCAAAAAGTAGTCAGTAGAAGTGGCACTTCTATTAAAGGGAATTGTTCTGAGTAAGCTGGAGATGCTATTGATCTCTTCATCAATTAATATCAATTGGGTACTTGTCATGACTGCACTGGTTGATATAGTAGACTTACAATCAGCTTAATGGTATTGATAAGTGTTTTATATTAGAATCGTTTTATTTTATTTTTTTATGGTACAAACTGAAATTGAAAATTTCCCCATTGGGGTTTATTGAGGTAGGTGAGGCGTTGTTAAGTTAGTGAGAGTTAGTGAGCAATCAGTAGTGAGAGTTAGCGAGAGTTAGTGAGAGTCTGAGAATTAGTGAGAGTCTGAGAAACTTAGCGGCGTTTGAGAAATTTAGTGAGAGTCTGAGAAACTTAGTGAGAGTTTGAGAAACTTAGTGAGAGTCTGAGAAACTTAGTGAGAGTTAGTGAGAGTGAGATATATATAGTGAGCAATCAGTTAGTGAGAGTCAGTCACAGTAAGAGCCACATGAGCGTGTTTATCCATATCTTCATCTACTCCATAGTGATAGCGTCTCTACTAGCATTTATCATCATCTTTGGAGATCTTCCTACTTTCAGAAATACTCCTATTCATACATTAAAACAGTCCCTCGTGACTCTACCAACAAAATCTACTCAATGGTATAATTATATAAATTATCATTATTTCAATAATAACTTACACATCTATCTCAATTGGTTAGTCCCTATTGCATACTTTGGAGTTATAACCTTTTGTACTTATTTATTTTTCATTAATACTTATCCTGGTTTATCATCATCATCATCATCATCACCATTACTATGGTTAGATATTTATATTTATTCAAGTATACTATTAATTTATATATCAACATTATTATCAATTTTTATTACTCCAGGACAAATTAATCCTACTACTTATAAGTTATTTAAGAATAATCAATTAATATTCTTTGATAATAAAGTATGTTCAACTTGTATGATTATTAAACCTGCTAGATCTAAACATTGCAGTATTTGTAATAAATGTTATCCATTATTTGATCATCATTGTATTTGGATAAATAATTGTGTGGGATATAAGAATTATAAATGGTTTTTATTATATCTTATTTCTAATATTAATTATTTAATAACTGGAGCTATTCTAACATATTATGTTATATCTAATGAATCTAATAATTGGAATAAATCTTATTGGCAAGTAATTAAAAATACAACTGAAGCTAATAGAATTACTGGCATGTTCTTAATATTATGTATTATATTTTCATTCATTACAATTAGTTTCACAGCATTACATATAAGATATATCTATTTGGGTGTAACTACTAATGAATTAGATAAATGGTCTGATATCGAACATCTTGTAAGAATTGGTGTATTATATAAATCATCAATTGCCTTAAGGGGTACTCAAATATATGTTGAGAAAGCCATGAATCATGAAACTGGTAAATATGTTTATTTAAGTTTACTTGATGAATCAATTCTAATAGATAGTGAAGAGAATGAACGTATAAGTAACTTAGTTCCCATTGTTTCTGTTGAAAAGGATTTAATTAATATTTATGATAATGGCTTTTGGAATAATTTACGTGAACGATTAGCTTTACACCTCTGGTAGATTTAGACGTTTATATACAATAGATGGGATTTTAATAGTAGTAACTTGTCTAGTCAAACCATTATCAATTGTTGGACTCGTTCTCTTACCACTACCACTTTTATGAACAAACTTTGTAGAAAATTCCTTATCAATGTTTTGATTAATAACTATTAACTGAGTTAGTAATTTTGCAAACTGATCCTTTAACTGGGGATCAAAATACTCCTCTTGTAAATACTTAACTGAATACATATATAAGCGGAATAAATGAAGGATTAATCCATTATCAGATACGGTGCCTAACTTATTTAGTAGTAGTTTAATACTGTGACTTAAATGATCATAATTCTCATTGATTAAATCAATCACTGCTAAATCAACAGCACTAGTGTTTATAGTTGGTTGATAAACATCTCCAACTGTTATGGACTGTTTCCATTGCACTAATTTCTCATTCATGGCTTCTACACGTTCATGTAACAATATCTCTCTTGTGACAGACTCATTTACATCATCAAACTCTTCCTCATTGTCTTTGATATGTAGTGGGATTTTATTATGGGTTAATGGAAGTTTCCTAATTAATGTGCGATTTCTCTTCTTTATCTCCACTTTTCGAAGCGGTTTATTGACTCCCCGATTAGTAATCTGGATTTGATCGTATATGTCAATTTCCTCATCTTCAAACTCGCTCATATCATAATGGTTGGGGGGCTCTTTATCATCCATAGTTAATGGGCCCTACTGTTTTTTTCTTTGATATTTACTGGGGCATGATAGGTAGCGCTACCATATTCTCATATGATCATATTAATTCAAGTATAGTTCAAACTACTTCAAATTGCTAATTAAAGATATGAAAACTATCTTATACTAAGAATATCACTAATAAATTATGTAAACTATGTAAACTATGTAAACTATGTTGCTAAACTCACTAAACTCACTAAACTCACTAAACTCACTAAACCCATTAAATACCGGCAATAAAAAAATCACAACCACCAAGTCTTCCACAAATTAAGCTTGATTATCCAAAATTTGTTTAATTTCATCAGAAATCACCTTTTTAAAACCAATATAGTCAATGCCAAGAATTTGAGTGGCATTGGAATCTTCAAGTTTAGTATAACCAGCAAATTGATTCTTTCCAGCGGGTGTTCCTATTGGTAATTGATCAGCATACTGAGGGAAATTCTCTCTAACAATATCAACAACATTCTGATAGTGAAATCTACCTGAAGTAACTAATAATCTCTTTCCGGCAGCAGAATCCTTTTCAAAGGCTCCAATATGTGCAGCCGCTGCATCTCGAACATCAACATAAGAATTCTCAACAGGAGGAATAGGATCATCTTTCTTTAACTGTAATACATTAGCAATAAGTTGAGTAGTTTCATTTAAACTCTTCAATCCTGAGACAAAGGCTTGAGGTCCAAACACATAAACAGGTAAAATAGCAGTAAGCGAAAATTTAGGATGTTCTTTCTTAACAAAATCCCAAGCAGCTTGTTCAGCAAACTTTTTTGATCCTTCATAAGCTGCAACAGCATCTCCGGAGACAGCTTGTTCATAAGTGATTGGATTCCATGAATCTTCACCTCCAATAAATTTAGGATCTTGTAATTCAGCAAAGCTTCCAGAGGCAACAGCAGAACTAGTAAGAATGACTCTCTTAATTTGAGGTGCAACCTTTTTAATAGATGCAAGAACATTCTTAGTACCATTAATAGCAGGAATTAAAACATCTCTTTCATTATCCTCAGGTGAAAAAGTAACTGGGGAAGCAGTATGAATGAAAACTGAAACTTCAGGGTGACTTGCTAAGGCATTATCAAAGGCACCTTCCTTTTCTAAAACTTCAACAACTTCATAGGAGAATCTAGAACTCTTGACATCCTTGGCCAAGGCATCACCCTTAGAGCTCAGTCTAACTTGGCCAACAACATTATAACCTTTTTTCAACAATTGAAGAATAATATGTTGAGCAATGAATCCAGTAGCCCCTGAAATAAAAACAGTAGAAGCAGTCATTTTTGAATTCGTTTATTGATAGAGAAATTATAATAATTAATTATTATTAATTATCTATATTAATGATATAAGAACAGCACATAACAAATACTTTTTAAAGTATATTGGTCTCCTTAAATACATTTTGAAATCAAAGGATAATGCAGCTCCACAATTCGCACAGAATTTGCAATCTAGGCTTCTCTCTCATCCGTTGCTGCAGTCGGATATAATCCCATGCTTATTTCCCAATTAGGTAAGTGCGGTTTGAAATTAGGGGAATGACAAATCGTGGTCACATACGGCAGATTACCATCCATAAAATAAAACCGTAATTGCTTATGTAACAAGCCATCCGTTTGATGGATTAAGCCAATGAGGGGTTTTTATGAATATATTGGTCTAATAATTGCTGTCGTAATCATTATTATTTTTATTGACAATAGTTTTGCTGTATAATAAGATGCAAAGCTTTATAATTATACGAACTTGACCCTTAAGTCTCTCCACAATTTGTATGAGTGATTATTATCAACAACTGAGTTAATTTTAAATACACTGTGGGGATTAATCCTTTTCCTCTTGTATCAAATATTAACTATGTAGCTCGATTTGGTAATATTTTGGTAAAAATTTTTGCATTCGCAAACTTTGCAGCCTGGCGCTAATTTTAAAATCCGATTTCAATTCTCTATTACTTTTACATCAATATTTCTTCTTGAACTTAACAAAGACCTAGCATTGTTTTGTATTTAGATTGCTTTCTTTCTGAAACTACAATCAAATGTCTAACATCTTTGGTGGTGCTATCTCTACCAACCAACCTCTTTCATTATTTGCTCAAAGACCTGGTGAAACTGCAGTACCAGCGAACATCAGTAATGCTTCTCCAGTTGAAACAAACAGTTTCTATGGTAATATGTTAGTGGCTACTCAAGACTGTTCAGTTTTCACTCATCCTTATAGTGTTACATATGCTCATGCTAATAACAATTATGGTTTGACTGTTTATCACGCCCAACAATCGGATAGGGTTTTCGGTCCTGGAACTCCAGCTTCTTACTTTTATTCACCAACAGGTATTCAAGAATTAGTATTCACTGCTGCCGATTTTGATCAAAATTTCCAATTTGCATTGATTGATATGTCAAAATTTGCTGCTACTGCAAGATTTACTGCTACAAACAACGGCTACATGGACTGTCCTATGGTTCAAGGAATGGGGTTCGTTACTGCTATCTATAATAATTTAGTTCCTCAAATTAATTCGAGTGTTGGTTTTCAATCAGTTCAAGGTACAACTTCCCCAAGAAGTGGAATATTAAAGTTCATTATTACTCTTTTAAATGGTACCACTTGGTCTTTATATGCTACTATACCATCCGGTCAATCATTAAGTTTTAAATTACAGGGAAATAATTCTATCATTACTTCGAATTCAGTGGATGGAGCTGTATTTCAACTTTGTGTGGGTCAAGATGATCATTTTGATTTAAGTGCCGGTTGTTATCCAACTGGTTCATCAATTACCGCTAGTGTCAATGGTTCAACTTGTATTTATCAATTGAATTATTCAGTCTCAGGAACTTCAAATAATGGAACTACTTTAATATTTGCGGCTCCTCATCATGTTGCTGCTTTCACAAGTCTGACAGCCGCTACAGCAACATCATTAACTGCATTATCAACTACATTAGGTTTGATGACTGGTTGTCTTACCAACACCTTACAAATGCAAGAAACAATTCCTACAAATATGGGATGGGGACCATACACTACTATTTCAGGAAATTCTGCTAATTACACAGCTAATGCAATTTCCTCAATTACAAATGCAGCTAATTCAGAAGTGAATGATGATGTCGTTTCTATGGCAAATGTTGATTCCATGTATACTAGTGGAAAAATATTATTAAAATATGCTTTGGTATTGTATACTACTCATTTCATTCTTGAAAATTCAAGTTTAACTAATACCCTACTTCCAAAGCTTAAAAGTGCAATAGAAATATTTACTAATAATACCCAAATATATCCATTGTTTTATGATACAAATTTCAAAGGAATAGTTTCATCAGCCACCGGTGATGCTGATTATGGTAATGGACATTATAATGATCATCACTTCCATTGGGGTTATCATATTCATGCATGTGCAATTGTTTCTAAAGTTGACAAAGACTTAGGTGGAAACTGGTTGACTTCAATTGAAGATTGCGTGAATACTTTGGTCAGAGATGTTGCTAACCCGACCTTAGATGATCCTTATTTCCCAATGTCCAGATCCTTTGATTACTTTGTAGGTCATAGTTGGGCTAAAGGGTTATATGCCTCTGCTGACGGTAAAGATGAAGAATCATCATCTGAAGATGTTAATCATGCATATGCAGTAAAATGTTGGGGAAACATTATAGGTGACTCTAACATGGAAAATAGAGGGAATTTAATGTTGGCGCTTTTAAGAAGAAGCTTGAATCTGTACTTCCTTTACGAGGATAATAATACTATTGAACCATCAAACTACATTGGAAACAAAGTGTCAGGAATTCTATTTGAAAACAAATGTGATTATACCACATATTTTGGTACATTAGTTCAATATATCCATGGTATTCATATGTTACCAATTATGGGTGCATCTTCTTTCATTAGAGGACCAACATTTGTTCAACAAGAATGGGATGAAATATTAGCATCTATTATAAATGGTGTGCCTGATGGCTGGAAAGGTATTTTAATGTTGAATGTTGCACTATATGATCCTACTACTGCTTACAACTTCTTTAACAGTTCATCATTTAGTGATGCATACTTGGACAATGGTCAATCCTTGACATGGTCATTAGCCTATTGTGCAGGAGTTGGTGCATCTAGTTAATTCTGTAGATAACTGATCGGGTTTGTGAATATATGAGGTTTGAAGAATTACAAATCATGTAGTTGCAAAATATGTGGAGACCAAGTGAAGCACCGTTGTGATGAGAAATCATTGAGATTACAAATATGAACCGCACTTACCCAATTTGTATAAAGATGCATAAAATTGAATGTAAAGGAACCGCACTTACCCAATTGGGATATCCCGATTTCTATGATTGCAAAATCAAATCGATGAGCATTAGAAATTGAGAAATGTAAATAGAATTGAGAGAAGTATATAAGAAGTAAAAATTCATCATGTTTCAGTTGAATTCAAATGTTTCTGATTAATATTATTTAACTAAAAATCTATTACTACACACTATACACGCAAATAAATTACTGATGTCTGCTCAAAATCAAACAGTTTTCATTTCAGGTGCTACTGGTTACATTGCCCAACATATTATTGTCCAATTGTTGAAAAAGGGTTATAATGTTGTTGGTCAAGTAAGACTGGCTGCCAAAGGTGATGCCTTAGCTAAAGATGTCAACAATTCAAACTTCTCTTATGAAGTTGTAGAAGTCCTCGAAAAGGAAGGTGCTTTTGATGAAGCTTTATTGAAACATCCTGAAGTTACCGTATTTTTACATACTGCTTCACCAGTGACTTTTTCTGCAACCGACAATGAAAGGGATATTTTAATTCCAGCAATTGATGGTACTAAGAATGTTCTTAAATCAATTAAAAAAGTTAGTCCACAGATTGAAAGAGTTGTTTATACAAGTTCTGCTATTGCTGCAGCTTCTTTCGAAGAGACAGAAGCCCCAGACTTTGTAGGAGGTGAAGATACTTGGAATGAATTCTCTTACGAGGCGGCCGTAAAAGGTAGTGCAAAAGATGCTTACCAGGGATCTAAGAAGTATGCTGAATTAGCTGCTTGGGAATTTGTTAAAACCGAGAAGCCAAACTTTAAATTGACTACTGTCTTACCTGTTTATGTCTTTGGACCTCAAGCATTTGTATCCGGATTGAAGAGTTTAAATCTTACTGCTCAAGTTGTTGCTAATGTTTTGAATTTAAAGAAAGATGATCCTATTCCTGAAATAGGAAGCAATTTTATTGATGTTCGTGATATTGCATATGCTCATATTGCTGCATTTGAGAAAGAAAATGCCGTTGGAAAGAGATTGCTTGTTCATTCAAGCAGATTCAATTATCAAAATATTGTTGATATTGTCAGAAAGAATTTCCTGAAGTTGGCTGATCAAATTCCTGTTGGAACTCCTGTCCCAAAGGATTTCTTCTCACATTATAACAAGTTACATGATTCTAATGCTAGAGAAGTTGTTGGTATTGAATATACTCCACTTGAAAAGACTATTGTTGATCATATTGGACAAATTTTAGATAACAGAAGTTAACTTTAACTCTGCATGAATCACAATTATTTATTATTTTATGTTTTTGTTTTAGATATATAGTCACATGTTATTTATTGTTTATATAGGTTTCTTAATAAAATTGTTCCTTTCTAAATCTTACATAGTGTAAAAGTAATTTTCACAGAAGCGAAATAGTAAAATTTACAATAATAGATTTGTTCAAACCCTCACTGTTCAATAGTAGACCTTAAATTGAAATCAATACATTCTATTATAAAGTTTTATACGAATATCATCGACCGTTTATAGCTGAATATATAACTACAGGAAAAATAAAACACTATTGTGGTTACAGTGAGCTATACTGTGAATTAACCTTTAATCCATAACAGTAGGTTTGCTAGTTGAGGTAATTAATGACCAAAGCAAGTAAGAAACATAATAGATCTATTAACTCCAATGAATGAGCCAATGAATACAGCCATAGGTGCAAAAAAATTACTGGTGAAGCACATCGCATTTTGATTTATCATCATACTGATTACAAATTTCGAACCGCACTTACTCAATTAGGAACGAACCGCACGTATTTCTCAAGGAACGAACCGCACATACCTTTTTAGGAAGAACCGCACATACCCTTTTAGGAAGTTCGGGCTACCAGCTTACGTGAACTCTGGCATTCAAATCAAAGTTGCAAATAAGATGAAATGACAAATACAATCATCCTCAAAAAGCTATAAAAGAAGACGAATCGACATCAATTACCATGTAGAATATTTTGCTTTATATCATCCAGATACAATTATCTTAATATACTTAAATCAAATCAAATCAACTTATACAAATATACTACATAAGATGTCCGCTCAAACCGTTTTCATTTCTGGTGCCAATGGGTACATTGCTCAACATACCGTTGTCCAATTATTAAAGAAAGGTTATAATGTTGTTGGTCAAGTTAGACTGGCTGCCAAAGGTGATGCTTTAGCTAAGGATTTAAAGAACTCTCATTTTTCATATGAAGTTGTTGAAGTCCTTGAACAAGAAGGTGCCTTTGATGAAGCTTTAACCAAACATCCTGAAGTTACTGTATTCTTACATACTGCTTCTCCAGCTACATTTTCAGCTGAAGATAATGAAAGAGATGTAATAATTCCTGCTGTTAATGGTACTAAGAATGTTCTTAAATCTATTAAGAAAGTTGCTCCTCAAATCAAGAAAGTTATTGTTACTAGTTCTGCTGTTGCTGCTGGTGACATTAATGAATTGGAAGATCCTAAATTTGTCGGAGGTGAAGATACTTGGAATCCAATAACTTACGAAGAAGCTGTTAAGGGAGATCCAGTTGCTGCTTACCAAGGTTCTAAGAAGTTTGCTGAATTAGCTGCTTGGGACTTTGTTAAAGCTGAGAAGCCAAACTTTAAGTTGACTACTGTATTACCTGTTTATGTCTTTGGACCTCAAGCATTTGTATCCGGATTGAAGAGTTTAAATCTTACTGCTCAAGTTGTTGCTAATATTTTGGACTTAAAGAGAGATGATGCAGTTCCTGCTATGGAAAACTCTTTTGCAGATGTTCGTGATATTGCACTTGGTCATATTGCTGCTTTTGAAAATGATACCGCTGCTGGTAAGAGATTGCTTATTACCTCTGGAAGATTTAACTTTCAAAGAATTGTTGACATTGTTAGAGAAAGCTTCCCAAAGTTGGCTGATAAATTACCGGTAGGTACTCCAGCCTCAAAGAATATTTTTGATCATTACAACAAGTTAAATGATTCTAATGCTAGAGAAGTTGTTGGTATTGAATATATCCCACTTGAGAAAACTATTGTTGATCACATTGGGCAGATCTTAGAAAACAGAAATTAGTATGTTGTACTTCTGTGCCATTATTTGTTCATTTATCTTATCAGGGATTATAAAATAGTGTTATTAGTTTTTTTATATCTATATTTAGAATATTTTTTATAATAATATGATTTATAATAATTACAATAATTAAATTAAACTTCTTAAATCTTTTGTAGTCTAAAATAAGATAGTTGCAAAATTATGCAGATCACTTACGAGAAAGATTCTAACCACCCCTTTAATCTGATGGTTGGGATTTATAAGTTTATTTTTTTTTACTTGATAATAAACGTAAATGTAGGGTGATCATAAATAGAAGAACTATTAAAAGGACGAGAATGAGATTATATTTCAACCATCACATTTAGGGGCTTAACAGTAATAATAATATGCAATACAGAAATATTGCACCATGTATTTGATTTGAATCTTTAAAGTTTAGTGCTTTGTTAAAAGTTATGTCATTTTTACATGGAGATAATTACAATACCTTACAGCCGTAGGTGCAAAATTTAAAAGCGAGACATGTGGTGAAACACCGGAGATTACTTTAATTTTGTTTTTCTTTTTTTTTTTGATTTCAAATCTTTCTGATTACAAATTTCGAACCGCACTTGCTGTATTCGGAAATAGGATATTTTAGCACCGGCTTACAATTATACGATAAGAAGATTAGTTGCAAATTCCGTGATCACATATAATCAAATCCAAGACAAGTCCATCACATCAGGCGTGATGATGACGAATGATAACCAGTTTGAAAAGTATAAAAGAGAGTCAATTGATCTTGTTTGGAAGTTGATTTGCTTTGTTTAATATCATCAAGATACAATTGTTTAATACACTTAAATCAAATCAAATCAAATCAAATAAACTCATATAAATATACTACATAAGATGTCCGCTCAAACCGTTTTCGTTTCTGGTGCCAATGGGTACATTGCTCAACATACCGTTGTCCAATTATTAAAGAAAGGTTATAATGTTGTTGGTCAAGTTAGACTGGCTGCCAAAGGTGATGCTTTAGCTAAGGATTTAAAGAACTCTCATTTTTCATATGAAGTTGTTGAAGTCCTTGAACAAGAAGGTGCCTTTGATGAAGCTTTAACCAAACATCCTGAAGTTACTGTATTCTTACATACTGCTTCTCCAGCTACATTTTCAGCTGAAGATAATGAAAGAGATGTAATAATTCCTGCTGTTAATGGTACTAAGAATGTTCTCAAATCTATTAAGAAAGTTGCTCCTCAAATCAAGAAAGTTGTTGTTACTAGTTCTGCTGTTGCTGCTGGTAGCTTGGCCCAATTGGAAGATCCTAAATTTGTCGGAGGTGAAGATACTTGGAATCCAATAACTTACGAAGAAGCTGTTAAGGGAGATCCAGTTGCTGCTTACCAAGGTTCTAAGAAGTTTGCTGAATTAGCTGCTTGGGACTTTGTTAAAGCTGAGAAGCCAAACTTTAAATTGACTACTGTCTTACCTGTTTATGTTTTTGGACCTCAAGCATTTAGATCTGGATTGAAGAGTTTAAATCTCACTGCTCAAGTTATTATAGATGTCTTTAAGTTGAAGAAGAATGATTCTATTCCAGCCTTAGAGAGTTTATTCGCCGACGTTCGTGATGTTGCTTATTCTCATATTGCTGCATTTGAAAACGAATCTGCCGAAGGAAAAAGATTGCTTGTTGTTTCCGGTAGATTCAATTATCAAAATGTTGTTGATATTGTTAGAAAGAATTTTGTATATATTCCTGGTCAATTACCAGTAGGTACTCCAGCCTCAAAAGACATATTTGATCATTATAAAAAATTAAATGATTCTAATGCTAGAGAAGTTGTTGGTATTGAGTATATTCCCTTTGAGAAGACAATCATCGATCAAATAAAGCAGTACTTAGTTGAGATATACCGATTATTATAAGTGGTAGTTCCAAATTTTTTCTTTAAATACTGAACTATATATGTTAATGCTATATATGTTAATACATTGTTTTTAAAGTATAAGGTGAATAAAACGTAGATAGTTTAGACGTGAATCTTTCCCAATCGGGAAGGTGTAAAAGATTATGCGTATTGCGCGTATTATTAGTTAAAAAATAATTTATGAGTTACTTGGATGAAGTAAGGATGAGGACCATAACCGATAATCAAAACAAAGTGTGGAGCTATTGTTTAATTCTAGAACTTTAGAAGTAGTGAAATGAGATGACTCAATCATAGGACAGCTTACTCAATTTGTTCAATTACTTTAGCCAATCATCTCTTAAACTTTCCTGTTCATGATTGAGCGCACTTTGTGGAATTCAGTACAAAATCTACCACGATCCTTAAATGTTAAAAATGTTTGCAACTCGCCATTTCTCGGCTCGTAAATGAAACGCTATGCACAGAACTCCTCAAAAATAATTGTACTTTGCTGCACTATACATTGACATAAATAATAATTCTGAAATGTATGATGAGTGTCCTCTATGGTCCATACAAGTATTTACGATTTGGGCGTTTCTCCACTCTTCACCAAACAGTTGAAATTTTTATATTTTGTAGTGTAATATTTTAAATTATATTTTATTCTTTTTATAGATAATACGATTGTCAATATCTAATATCAATCATAGACTAACATACAAGGCATGTCTTCAATCATATTATTTCTATTCATAGTATTCAGTCCTATACTAGGTTATATAGCATATAAAAGGAATCATGGACGAAGAATAAATTTATCTACTATCTTAAGTAGTCTAGCAAATATAAGACCTCCAAATAGTAAAACTCAAGTTCAAATAATTGTATTCTTAGTTATTATATTAATTAATTTTAATGTAATGTATTATTTAACTGATAGAGAAATAATATCAATACCAGAATTTAAAACTCCCAACTTTAATTTATGGCCTAGTAGTGATAAAGAAAATGATTTAGGGAAACCAACATTTGGATTAGTTAATTCTCCAATTTATGATGGTACAAAGAAGGGATCATTTTCTACTATAAATATCCCCATATATTCATTTCTTCATAGTACATCTAATGAAAATATTAATAATAATAATGAAGGTGAAATTGTTAAAACTCAATGTTCAAGTATTTTATTTGAAGATACCAAATCTGTTGAAGCATTATCATTACCAAGATCATTTAGTGATAATGATTGGAAGGAAATGAAGACAATTATGGATAAAATGGCAATTCTTATAGATGATCAAAAATTCTATGGGATGGCATATGTATTTGCTGATTTTAATAAAATGAAGACTGAAGAAACTAAAAATAAATTTATTGCTGAAAATTTCTTTAAGACTGATACTGTTTCAGTATGGCTTGATAAATATAAAATTTATTTCACAGTTAGTACTATAATATATACTGATGCAGGAGATAGGAATAAACCTAAAGTTCGAATCTTCTATGCTCAAGTATTTTCAAAGGACTGGAAAGAGAAGAGACATTTCCGATTTCCTAATTATTCAAGATATTTCCCATCTATTCTTCCAATTCCAATGGATTTTAATAATGAGAAAGGCAATAAAGTAGGAGATATTGGACCTAAAGATCCTCAAATAATCTTAAGGAAAACGATTAATGCTGAAACAGGTGAAATCTCAGAAGAGCCAATAATAATATATACTACCAAAGTTAAGAAGAATAGTTTTAAAAGAGTAATGCATGCTATGCATCCACTTATTAATACCGATAAACCACCCGTACCACTTAAATTCCCCTTTGAACATGAAAATGAAATTAAAGAAGAAGAAAAGAATTGGATTCCATTCTTTAATGATCAAGATGATGATATTAATCATATACATTTCATCTATAGTTTAAAACCTTTAACTATTGCTAAATGTCATATATGGGAAGGTAATTGTACTATTACTACTAATGAATTCTATAAAATTAATTCACCTGATACAAGATCAACTCAACTTACAAGAATTCCAACGGCTTTAATTCCAATTAATAAATTTACTAATAATAAAATCTTTTGGACAGGATTTATCTCTTCAAATGTTCAAAAATGTGGTTGTATTAATGAATTATGGAGACCTCAATCTACATTATTATCATTTAATACAATTACCGGAAAGTATACTATAGAATATATTAGTTCATTACTTGATTTTAATATTAATCCTCCAACTTGGGGTCATCAGCAGAAATCCATATGTGAAGATGGTATATCTAAATTTACTCCTGGATCCATTGTGTATTGGGATTTTGAACGATCAAGTGAACTTGACAGTGAAAATATTGATATAGAAACTGCTCTTCAACAAAATGATTATATGGCTATCACTTATAGTATGTCTGATAAAGTCAGTAAGGTCTTACTCTTAAGAGGTTGGCTCAAACATATAAGGAATGTATTACTGACAGATAGAATTAATGATGATGATATACTATCCACTGATCTATCACTTTTACAATGCTCACTAGAGACTTCTGAATCGTATTGTAAAGCTTCAGAAGATAAATTCAAATGGAGCACAAAGACTTCGGATTAGAATTATTTTATAATTATTTAATTCAGTATATATATTATATTTTTTGCAATAAAGTAATAGAATAATATATAAATATATGACATAGAAATTTTATAAGCAATAAACAAAATAAAATAAAACAAAACAAAATAAAACAAAATAAAACAAAATAAAACAAAAATAACAAAAATAGAACAGAACAGTTGAAGTCATCATGTCAAAAGAAAACAGTAAAGACAGTATAAATTTCAATAAAAAAAAGATAAATATATAAAAAAAATAATAAAGACAATACAACTATTCTTCTTCTTGAGGTGGAGCAGAAGTACCTCTTAAAGTTAAGGGATAATGAGCTGCTTCATCTTCATCATCTTCATTATTTTCAGCAGTTAAACCTAATTTAAATCCAATATAATCTTCAGTATTTAAAGATTCTTGAGCTTCTTGTAAAGATCCAAGATCACCTGGAGTCATAATACCATATTTACCTCTTGGAGATCCAGGAACTGATAAAGGTCTAGTTAATTTAAGATTAGAAGTATTATTAAATGGATTAGCTCCATTCTTAAATTTATCAGGATAAGCTCTCTTTAAAGATAATTGACGAGCTTTAATATATTCTAATCCCATTCTCTTCCAATCTAATAAATCTGATAATCTTTCAGTTCTATTTCTTTGATTAATTCTTTGTCTTCTTGTTTTAGAAGCAAAATCATACATATAATCAGTTAATTGATTAATTGATTCATCAACTGATTTCATTCTTCTATCAACAATATAAATACCATAATCACTAGTATTTTCAATTAAATCTTCCATATAACATCCAAATCCTGATAAATTAGTTGTAATTGATGGTACACCCATTACAGTACATTCAGCTGGTGTATAACCCCAAGGTTCATAATATGATGGGAAAACTCCTAAATGACAACCTCTAACAAATTCATCATAATCTAATGATAAAATTGGATTATTAGCATTAAGAAATTCTGGATGGAAAATAATTTTAACTCGATCTTCAGGTTTATTAAATAATTGAACTCTTCTAATTTGATTTAAAATTGGATCAGTTGAATCATCTGCCATATTATGAGTTACAATTGGTGGTAAACCATCTCTCTTTAATGCAAAGATTCTTCTTTTTAAAAGTACTCGATCAGCTGGTTTAATTAATTCATCAATTGATGGAACTTCTCCACCTTGTAATGAACCAGAATTATTATATCTTGCACAATGTTCAAATAATCTTTCACCAACTTTCTTTTGAACTTCTTCAATAGTACTTTCTAATTGTTTAACAACAGCTTGACCTTTTAAAGTTTCAACTGTATAAGAATGAGTCTTTCCTGGCATAATAATAAATGCTACAATGGTTTTATTTGATCCTGCTTCCTTTAATCTATGATTTAAACGAGCTAAACTTTCAATAAAGAAATCACAACCTTTATTTCTAAATTCATATCTTCCAGCAATGAAAAAGTATAATGTATTATCTAAATCAAAATCATAATTTCCATAGAAGTGTCCTTTAACAAATTCATTAATTTTTTGTTTCTTTAAAGCATGTAAATTTTGAAATTCATGAACGGCTTGAAATTTAACAACATTTAAACCATTTGGTAATACTCCATCAGGTTTTCTTTTTAATAAATGTTCTGATTCAAATGCAGTTATATGAGATACTGTTGTAAAAACATCAGAAGAATGTGTAGCTGATCTTTCAATACAATATCTATGATAAATACCTCTTTTACCAGCTTCTGCATCAACATCAAAATTTGCTAAATTATTATAAAAATCAGTTGAACCAGCACATAAATATCTACCTAAAATAGTTGCATGAGTTGTAAAAATTGTTGTAACATCAATTCTTCTTTTTCTACATAATGGAAGGGCAATTCCAGCTAACCATTCATGACAATGACAAATAACAGCTCTTTCTCTATCATTATAAACTAATTCACCTAAGAACCAAGCCACAAGATAACCTAATAAAATAGCATCATTAGTTTCTGAATCATGATCAGGAGTTGGAATTCCAGCAATATTCCATAAATCAGTTTTCCATTCATTAAGATGATGACCAGCTGACCAAATATCAAAAAGTAATACTCTTGGTGCACCTTCAATTAACCATCTACCATATAACCATTTAATACCTCTTTCACTCATTGAATCTAAAGTTTGTTTAATTAAAGGATCTTTAACTGGTAATTCTTCAACTTCAATTTGAGCTGAATTATAATTTAAAGGACCTACTAAAGTATAACGTTCTCTATATTCAGCCACGGTAATTGGGGCCTTGGACTTTAATACTGAATAGATTCCTCCAACTTTATGAGCAACTTCAGTTGCTACTTCAAAAAGTAAATGATTAGTGATATCTCTAGTCATAATGGATAAATATTATAATGCAAACAATGAGTGAATTAAAAGAATTGAACTTAAACTTAAACTTTGAAGTCGAATTTGAATTTGAATTTGAATTGAATTAAATTAATTTAACACTATGAGTTATAGTGAGATAAGATAAGCTAAGTTAAGCTAATGCTAAAACAAAACTGATATAAGTATGTATAACAGTCTAAATAAAATATATTTCCCTTGGAGTAGTGATACGTTCAAGGTCAAACAAAGTCAAACTAATGAACACAGTCTAAATTTGGAAGTAATGGAGGGGGATGTGGTGAACACTGGGGTGTGTGATGGATACTCAGTTTGTGTAAGTGAGTACAAAATCTAAGGTTTTTCGAGGGTCGACGTACTAACTCAGGAGAGAGAGAACGATAATGGTTAATGAATAGGTGAATGAAGCTACGAATAAGCGAAGAAAGAAATTAAATAGAAGATACAATTAGAATTATATAAGAGAATATAAATATTGAAATTCAAAAAAAAATTCAATTAACATTTAGAAGTCGAAGCACTGACAATATTATTACAAATTGCTGGAGTCATGCTCAGAATGTGGAGAGTCAGTCGGCCGGAGCCCTGGCAGCGAAAAATCTCACCAGTTGTTGATTCCGCACATAATGGGAAGTCAGTTGGGTAACTTACCTGCAGAAAACATCCATACATCCAGCATTACCACCGACGCATTATCCACCGGTAATTTATTTTCAATCCGGTGGTCCCAACCCTACTACCGAGGGCACTTGTATTGTATAGTAATTAATGTAATAAATTTATTTAAAGCCTTTCACAAAGCCCCTGGGTTGCAGAAACAACTAAGAGAGCCGCACAGTTCAATTATATATGTAATTATCACTAATGATGATTATTTTTATTAATAACATTGTATTAATTAAAGCTGGATCAATATACACATAAAAACTATAACAATTGCACTCAATGTCCAACTAAGTCTTCCTTGATTAGCATTTGATTTCTTCTGCTTTAAAAGGAACTTACCTTGAGTAATACCACACGAATAAATATCCATAGCTTCTTCTTTTGTTAAATTAGTGTATGTACTTGTTTCTGTTCCACACCCAAATATAGGATATGGATGATCTATTGGAAATGTAACATAATTAGACATATTTGGGTAACTTGTTTGAGAACATGTTTGGTAGTCACCTACATATCCAGCACTCATCCCACAGATATAAATCTTACCCAAATCTTCTTCATCCAAATTTGGAAATATTCCCCATACCTCGCCACAATAAAATGTAGGGTAAGCAAAAGGAAAGCACTGCTCTCTAAAGTTTGTAATAGAAGTTGTACTATCAGCCATCTTTATCTCTATTTTAAGTTCCGAGGTTGGTAGGCCAGAAACCAATAACTAATAGATAAATAGGTAATGTATTCCATGAATTTATAAATCTATTTATGTGATCAGTTAGAACCTGTATAAGGATTTTATTTATATCTATTACATAACTCAGACGATATTGGTTGGAGTAAATGGTTTGTATATTTTTTTCTTGGTATTTATAGACGGCAGCAAAATACCCTCTTTTCATTAGAAGTAATGATAAGCTTATAAATAAAAACTAGAGGAGTCGTTGTGAAAACGTGCCCAGCAATTAAATAAATAAGTTAGTGTAGCACCAAGAGTTTTGCTACAAAAAGTTAGCAGCTTAAATATTTTCTTTTGTAGTAATTAAGCAAACAAAACACCCTCGGTTTTATGAGAATTTCGAACCACCGGTTTGAAAATTACCGGTTGAGGTGGGTCGGCAAAAGCTCTGTGAATGCGGAGTTGCGAACATAGATGGCGTGTTGTTACTTTGCTGGTAATCCCCACTTTTCTCATGTTCGCCATAGTTAAAGGAGGGGCACACTCAATTAATCCAGATCTTAACTATACACTCGCTGACGCACTTACTATAGTTTGAGAGAGGGGAGCAACTTCTGGACCTGTCAAGCACTTAACCTTAACCAATTACGTTTAAGAACTACTAGTACTTCTACAACTATTATTATTATTACTACTTCAACTAATAGTAACGCTACAAAGAAGGTCATTTTTTTTCTATGCAGTGAATCATACCACGACCCTCTCTAACTTTAACTATTCTCTCCAGGGTCTCTCATTTTCTAAATAGTTTTGTTACCTTCGTCGATGCAACCTCATTTTCTTTGTTACATTTTGTGAAATAGATGGAGCTGGCTCAAATAAAAAAAAGTTGAGTTACAATATTTTACAGTGCACCATTAAGAACAGTCAAGCCATCACGATGGTCAGGTGAAGTATGGGGTAATCCAAATCTTAAGCGAATTAATTTATTATAATATTATACAGTAACTTAATATATTATTTTAAAGTGGGGGTGTCACTCAACAACAGTTCCTAATTAATGGGGGGAGGGGTGTGTGTTGTGAAGAAAGGTACACGACCTCATAACTATTTAAGGAAGCGGCGCTTTCCTAAACGGGAGTAAAGAACTAACTCTCTTATCTATTACAGATATTTGCATCCATATTAAGTATACTAATAGAAATAAGGAATTGTGATGATGACATACTGTAGTGATTGTAATCCATAAGACAATATCAGTTTATCGCATCAAAGCAATGCATAAAATCATTATCCACGCATATGATCTATCATCAAGGACACATTTTGCATAGTAAATTCTTTAACAATATCCTAAATATTCAATTTCCCAGATAGTAAATTGATTGCGAATGGCTATCTTTCTGACTTGCCTAATTCGGACTAGGCCTAAAAATTTCACACCCATTCTTTATCTATTTTTCTTAGTACATTCCCTTTATTGATTTACTGATAACGATTAACAATGAAAAGTATAGTAGATAACCCAAATTGACGGGTTTATTGTGCAGCATTACTTTTATAATAAGCCTATCTTTAATCTGTTGAATTGTGTGTTGCAAATCAATTTCAACACCTTCACCTAACTATATAACCACATGGATCTGTCCCTTTTCTGTAACTTTACAATTATTAATTGACCAACCAAAACCAAATGAATACAATCAAATCAAGAACAGAGGAACATATTCACAATGTTCTTTCTAACCGATCTGAATTAAGACATATTGATCCTCTTCATGCTCAAAATGATGTGGAATTATTAGCTCAGATTGGTTATAAACAAGAACTCGATAGACACTATTCTATTCTTCAAGTATTTGGAATAGCCTTTAGTATTATGGGTTTACTTCCTTCAATTTCTTCAACAATTGCTACAGGGTTAGAAGGTGGTCCAGCCTCTTTAGTTTGGGGTTGGATGCTTTCAAGTATATTTATATTTTGTACTGGTACTTCTATTACAATCTTAGGTTCTTCAATGCCAACTTCAGGTGGATTATATTATTATACTAATTATTATGCACCTGATATAATTAGAGTCCCATTAAGTTTCCTTATTGGATGTTCCAATACTTTGGGACTTATGGGAGGAATATGTTCTATTTGTTATGGATTTTCAGTAGAAGTTCTTTCAGCTGTATCTATCAGTACTGATGAAACTTTTGAAATTACAAATGCTAAATTATATGGAGTTTTCGCTGCTTGTGTAGTTTCAAATGTTATAGTATGTTGTCTTACTACTAAACATACTGCATCTTTACAAACTGTATCCATTGTATGGAACTCATTTATAAGTCTTCTCTTTCTTATTGCTGTACCTATTGGAGTAAGTAGATCTCATTCCTTTAATAATGGAGCTTATATATTTGGAAAGATTGAAAACTTTAGAACTTGGAGTCCTGGTTGGTCATTTATGCTTTCTTGGATGCCAGCTATATGGACAATTGGTGGCTATGATTCTGTTATACATTGTTCAGAAGAAGCAAAACAGGCTCAAAAGGCTATTCCTTATGGAATTTTAGGTTCAATTGGGGCATGCTGGATCATTGGTTGGGCTATCTGTATAGTTTGTGCAGCTTCAATTAAAGATGGTAATACTCTTGCAACTTTAGAAACTGCTACTGGATCACCAATGGCACAAATTATATATGATAGCTTAGGCAAAGATTGGGCAGTGGCATTTATGGCAATGATTGCTGTTGGTCAATATATGATGGCATGTTCTATTATGATAGCTGCTTCAAGACAAATATGGGCTTTTGCTAGAGATGATGGATTACCAATTGTATACAATTTTATTAAATATGTTAATCCAATTATTAAAGTACCTATTAGAGCCACCATGTTTGCTGGTTGTGCATCTTTAATTCTAGGATTATTAGTCCTTGTTGGACCTGCGGGTGCTAATGCACTTTTCTCATTAGGAGTTGCTTCAAATTTATTAGCATTTGGAATGCCAGTTTTCTTAGTGGTCTTACCTTATGGAAGAAAGAAGTTTATACCAGGATTATTCTACTTAGGTGATCTAGGTTCTTATATGGTTCATATTGTCACAAGTTGTTGGGTTGGTTATGTTATAGTCATGTCGATGTTCCCTGACAACAAAGGTGTTGATGCATCAACTATGAATTATACTGTTGCAGTTAATTTGAGTGTTTGGATATTATGTCTTATTTACTTCTTTGTATATGGTTATAAGTTCTATTCTGGACCTAAGTCTAATCTTGATAGAGAAATTCCCGAGAGTATTAATGGTCAAGAACCTGAAATGACTTTTGATCAAGTCATGGATTACGACAAAGAGAAAGTTTAGGTACGATAGTTGTCTATTAGTGTTGATATATATACATTATGCTATGAATTATGCTAATCTGTAGTGGGCTTATTAGTCATCAGAGTCTTCTTCTTCTTCATCATCATCTTCATCTTCATTATCATCTTCATTATCATCCTGTTCTTCATCAGAGACACTGAAAACTATACCATTAGATGACTTGACTTCCTTGCCAAACCAACCACCCAATTCTTCTTCGTCTCCATTCAACTCCTCATCTTCCTCCTCTTCATCCTCATCATCTTCCTCGTCCACTTCCATTTCGACATCCTCAATAACTGCCTCTTCTTCATCATCTTCTTTTAAATCTCTTGCAACAGTAAGATATTCCAATAAGTAATTATTTCTCTTATTTAACAACACCACATCCTTACCCACTTTATTTAAGAATCTCTGAATCTTTTTCAAAGACGATTGAAATTCAAATTTATTAAGATTAATATATTGACCATGGAATTCCAAAATATTCTTAATCCATAATAAATTATATTCAAAATGAGGATTATCTTCTAAGATTAATAAATCACTTATAAAGTCTAATATCTTAGTAACATAAATTACTGGTAAATCACTGGCTACTAATTTTATATCTTTAAGTGATATTGATTCATATACTTGATGAATTAAATGAGTTTCATTTAATCTGAATGCCATTACTAATGCCATTAAATATTCCTTTTCAGTTAAGGCTTCAACAATGGCTTCAGGAGTTATATCAAGATCCAAATCAAATGGATCAAATAATGTAAAATTATCAACTGAATAAATTAATAAACCTTCAGTTGATCCAGCAGCAAAAGCTGATGAAGTTGGAGAAAATTGTATAGATGTAACTCTTACTTCTGGTCTTGTATTTCTTAATGAAGGATCTCCACGTTTAGATCCTGGAATTGTTGAATCTAATCTATCTTCAACATCACTTGCTTCACCAGCTTCATCTATTAAATCAAGTGGTCCAGCTCCATCAATCATTCTATTACTATTTAAAAATTCTTGAGTACCATTAAGTTGTAAATTTTGTGATACAATAAATCTTTTTAATAATACTTCATTAGAAATATCATACATACAAATTGAATTATTATTACCAGCTCCAATTAATGTTAAACCATCATATGAATAATTTATAGTCGTAAAATATTTAGATCTTGCAGAATTTTTACTAGTGAATCTATCTTCTAAATGTCTTCCACTTAATATATCTCTTTTACTATCAATTAAATGAATTTGATTACCAGTTTCAATATCAAATACAGTAATATATCCATCTAAAGTACTAACAGCTACTTCTTTACAATCAGGTCTAACTGTTAAACTTAATGCATCACTCTTTAATTCAATTGGTTCAACTGATAAATTTCTACCAAAGATATTCCAAACTCTAATAGTCTTATCCCATGATGATGATACTAATACTGAATTTTCATTACCAAAACTTAAACATGATATTGGACCTTCATGACCATTTAATGAATCTAATAATTGACCAGTTTGAACTGACCATACAAAGATTTCAAAACTATCTTGAGATCCTCCCACAATAATTTCTCCACTTGGATCAACAGCTATACAATTAAATTGAATTCTATCAGTAGCAGTATAAGTTTTAAAATTTCTAAATCTTATAAGATCCCAAGCTCTAATTGTACCATCTAATGAACAACTAAATAATACATTACCCTTTTTACTAAATTTTATATCAGTAATACTTGAATTATGTTCCAGAAATGTATATAAACAAAATCCAGAATTTACATCCCAAATCTTAATCTTTCCATCATCTGATGCAGTAACAATTCTTGAACCATCTGGTGAATAAGTTAAAGAATTTACTGAATCAAAATGTCCTTGTTGTTTAAGTATATAAGTTTCTGAAGCCCATTCATAAACCAATAATTGTCCAACTTTTGAGGAACCAAATGCAAGCCATTCACCTGTTTTATTTACTTCACATGTATCAATGGCATTTTGTCCCATACTTAATTGTTGAATCATATTAAAATCAGGTAAATCATATAATCTAAATTCACCATTAGTAAATCCTACTACCAATAAATTAGTCTTTGGATGGAAAGTTGCACATTTAACTTTTGAATCAGAATGGAAAAAGTTCTTTGCAGTAATTCTCCAACTCATTGGTTTTTCAATTTTTTCATCATTATCATCTTCATCTTCATCATCTTCTTCTTCTTCATCTTCACTTTCATCGGTTGGTCTTTCAGTATATTCCCATTTAAATAAAGCTCCATCTTTACTAATAGTATATATTATTTCTTGAGTTTCATTGAAAAAGGCTTTAATAACATAATCTCTATGACCGGCTAAAGTCATTGCTACTGATTTTTCATCAGAATGTAAAGAATAAATTTTTGAAGTCATATCTTTTGAAGTTGTTATAAAGAATCGAGAATCATTTGACCAATTTATTGATAAAATATCATTATAATGACCTGAATAAATTCTATGACGAATAAATGGAGAAAATTGTCTATCTTCAGTAACATCTGGAGTTTTCCAAACTTGAATAAATTTAGTTGTACCAATTGCAAAATAATGTCCATCAGGACTAAATTGTAAATCTTCAACTGATCCTTTAAAATTAAAATGATGTAAGACTGTTTTGGATATGAAATTAACTAAGATGGCTCGTCCATCTTCATCTACAGAAAGCAATAAAGTTTGTTGCTTATTTAATGCAATTCTAACAATATTCTTTCTATGTTCATATTCAAATGTGAAAGATCGATTATTGATTAAATCGAAACAACTAACTCGATTTCCTACAGGACTTAATAATTTCGTTCCATCTTCTGAAAACAATAAGTTCCCCTGTCTATATACCGTTCCCAATAAGTTTGAGAATCTGAAATCTGATTTCATAGTGGTTTATTATTACTTATTAATTGTCTTATTAGTACTATACCCATCGCTTTCGAGATTTTTCACTTTTGATGAGATGCCTAAAAAAATTGGGCTGTGTGCAGGATTTTTCAACTCAGCTAATATACCGACAGTTATAAACATGGAGGGAGGAATTAATGTAGAGTAATAGAGAAGAGAAAAGTAAACAAACCAGAGTATCAACCAGAGTCTAATCCTTAAGTATGAGTAGTCTATCGAATAGAGTAATGAACATGAAGTTCATGCAAAAGACTGAAGGGTCAGAGCGGAAAGAGGGAGTGGAAGAGGGAGAAGTTAAGAAAGTTAAAGATAGTTCAGAATGGGTTAATCCCAATACGGCCGAATTAATTCGAAAGTTTAAGACTCGACATGGAAATAGTAATGTTCATAGTATAGGATATGGTAGTATTAATTCATTTAATAATAGTAATAATAATATTAATGTTGAACAAGTTCCTATCATACCGACAAGGAGACAATGGGGAAGTGCTACTACTACTACTACTACTAATAATAAAGATACTAGTGATGAAGAAGATATACTGGTACTTAAAGTATCGAAACTTAAGGATGGTAAATCTCAAAAACTACAAGTAAGTATAACATTTCTTTAATTATTTACACTATTCTATATTACAGATTACTAACATTTACAGAGTGACTTTAAAAAGTTGAATAATAATAATAATAAAGAATCTCAATCACCACCAGATTCTTCACCGGATTTAGTTAATGAATTATGGAATAGTATTGGTAAGAAGCGGAAAAGTGCCCCTACCAATACGGAACAAACTAAGCCTAAAAGGAATAAGATTCAGAAATAGATTTAGTAGTTACTTCTTTTTCTTTGATTTCTTTGTAGTATCATTATCATTATCAAATCCTGCTTTGATTATAGCATCACGAGCTGCCGAATTTATATGTTTAAATCGATCTGGTCCAAGATGGATACCTCCGAACCATCGACTTACTACTACGATTATATTCCAAACATCCATCATCTATAGTATAGTTTAGTTAGTATTATAATTACAATTATGATTTAGAATATTAATAAAATTGACCTCATACATACCGTTAATAAATGAAGTAATCGACTTCCAGCTGCTGTTTCTCCATCATCATCACAATCTTGATATTGTATACCATTATCTTTCTTAATTCTCCAACTACTTATATTATGAGTAGCTCGACTAATTTTCTTATCTGAAGTTAAAATGTTTAGGTATTGTTGAGCTTGTTCGAGGGAATTGACTCTTCTAGTGTATGCTATAAAGGTTGAATTGCGATCTACAATTGGTTGAGATACGATCCAACCGTCTAGAGGGTTGGTGTTAGTATTAGTAGTAGTGGTAGTGGTGGTGGTGGTATTAGTATTAGTATTAGTATTAGTATTAGTATTAGTATTAGTAGTATTAGTAGTAGTAGTGGTGGTACTGGCAGTACTACTACTCACTGGTTCATCCACAGTATGCTGCTCATCATACACATCCAAAAACTCTTGAGCTTCATTGATAAATTCAAATAAACACACTTGATCAGTATTGAATACTCTTAACATAATCTCTGTGAATTGAGTCTCTAGATATTTCAAATCATTATAGTGTAACAGATGAGTAATTACTTGAATTATATTTGGCATTAGTTGAGGATACTCTATGGGGAAACTTAATTGAATTTGTAATTGCTCATGATTAGGTATAGTTACATTATATACTTGAGGGACTACTGGGTTACATGAGTTAGGGAATATGGCATTTATAGCCTCCAACTCTTCGGTAAGTTCCTGTGACATAGTGGAGAAGTGTAGGAAGTGAAAAGTGTGAAAAATGTGAAAAATTATGGAATGAAAAATTATTTCAGTATACTGTACTATACTATACTGATAGTGGATTATACTATACTGATAGTGGATTATACTATATTATACTGATAGTGGATTATACTATATTATACTGATAGTGGATTATACTATATTATACTGATAGTTCTGATACTTACACATACTGATAGTATACATATATTGATACTGTACTACTCATACTGTACTATACTGATAGTATACTGATTTACTGATAGTTTACTGATTTACTGATAGTTTACTTATACTGTACTGATACTACACTATACATACTGTACTGATACTACACTATACATACTGTACTGATACTACACTATACATACTGATACTACACTACATACTCCTACTGTAATATACTCCTACATTGTTACTGTTCCATACTTTCCCCATGACTAAAGCTGAAACACTCAAAGCAGAAGGCAATAAAGCCTTTGCCAAAAAGGAATACTTAAAGGCCGCTAAACTCTACCGAGATGCCATAAACTTAGACACTCTAAATGCCACCCTTTACTCCAATCGAGCTCAATGCTTTATAAAACTCGAAGATTATGAACGAGCTCTAAAGGATACCATTCACGGTATTAACTTAGATCCAGACCACAAATTACTTATAAAGTTATACTATAGACAAGGTTTAGCATTACATGCATTACATAGAAATCAACAAGCAATAACTAGTTTTCAAAGGGCTTTACAATTAGATCCTAATGAACAATTAGTTAAGGCTGAAGTAACTAAGATACTCAAGGAGTCACCGACTACTAATGAGAATATAGAAATTCCTATTCGAGAGGTACAAGATTTACCGCAACAGTTCAATAGTCTATTGAATATTGAGTCACACACCCAAACTCAAACTCAAACTCCAAAGCATGAAGTATCTGAACGAGCTCATACTGAGATAAATGAACTTTTTAGTAAGACTGAGTCTAACAGTAAAACACAGACTAATCAGTCTAACAGTAAAACACAGACTAATCAGTCTAACACTAAGATTCAGACAACTGACTCTCCCATGACTCACTTATCAGCTCTAAGGAGTGTACCACCTGAAAAAAAAATTGGTGCTTATCGTTACGTTATTGCAGCTTCATTAGATGATTATATTAATACTTTCACTCTGACAATTGAATTAGAATTCTTACAATTTTATATTGAAGCTGCTAATTATATATCTAATGATATAATAACTAATTGGGATTCTCAAGTTATAAAGCATATGCAATTCTTTAGTCAACTTGGTAGATTTAAACTTAGCTTACAATTAATTGATGATAAATTAATTCAACAATTATTAACAAAATTTAAATCTCAATCTCCTACCAATTATAATACTTTATATAACTTACTTAATAAGTCTTAATTAACTTATATAACTTACTTAATAAGTCTTAATTAATCCTCGATGTAATCCCTTTCGAGTATTAATAATTCGATAAGGTTGAACTAAATCAGCTAATTCTGCTGGTAAATATTGTTCTAAATCAATATCAAATATTTTAGTAATAATATATGGTAATAAAAATATACTTGAACCAATTAAAATTGATAATATAAATATTAATATATAAGAATTGGCAATAAATCTTCTTTTCCGTTTAAGTCTACGAGATAAAACTCGAGGACGAATTTGTTTACCAGGTTTTAACCAAAATAACATAAGTGAATGCCATTTATCTGAATAAGGAATTAATAATATAGGAATTTGACTAAATAATATTAAATGTCCTACAACAACATCTCCAACAAAATAACTCATTTCACTTATTTTACATATAAATTCTCGTAATGGTTGAGTAAAAATATACCAACCAAGTCCTGCAGTTACCCATTTCCCTGACCACCATGATTTATTTGATTTATCATGACGAAATTCTTTAGAAATTAATGTGGCAGTTATAATAAATAATAACCATTTTTGAATCATTATTGATAATGTAAATCCTAAAATAGTTCTAGAAAAATCCCAATTTTGAAATAACCAAAGTAATTCAAAAAAGAATATATGATTAATAAATACTAATGAATGAACTATTATAGCTATCCAACTTGGAAATGATTTAAATATTAATGAAATTAATGGACCAATCACTAAGGAAATTATAAAGAAAATTATTAATATAATACTATCAATTAATAAAGGACTTATAGTAATAAATAATATACGTTTTATACTATTTACTGGTAAAGTACCTTTAGTATCATTTTGAGCATTAGCAAATAAATAAGCAAATGCTATTAAACTTATTGCACCAGCTTGTAAAATTGATTGAGAAATTATAAGATTAAATCTTGAAGGTCGAATATCATTTAAAACTTTAAAATCTTCAGTTATATGAAATTTTTTTGTTTTAACTCCCACAATTCTACTTCTACCAAGTCTTGTAAAACTTATCCATGATGATACATTAAATTTTCGATTACCTCGACTTAACCACAGTAAATAATCTTTATAATCAATAAAAAATTCTGTCCACAGATATTGATTAGGATTATAAAGAAATGGACATATTAATAATGCAATTACTGTAACCCAAAAATATAATAAAGATAATTTCCACATTGAAATTGAACAATATAAAATAAGTAAACAACATATAGCTCCAAAATATAAACTTTCAGAAGCAAATCGTGAATATAATGTAGAAAATGAAACTCTTATAGTGGCAAATCCTCTACCAGTACCAATATATCGAGCTCCACCAATTGCAATATCACTTACTAAAGATTTAGCATAAATTCGACAAACAAATACTTCAAATAATGGAGAAAATGATGCAAAATGTTTACTTAATCGAGTAAATGCTTTATAAATCCCTCGTTCAGTTAATTCTTGAACTCCTAATGGTACAAAAGATATTAAAAATACAATAAAAATTGAAAATATACTTCTTTCTAACCATTGAACTACAGGAATTAAATTATAACATCCAACTGGTCTTCTAGGATCAGTTATTGGTCTAAATCTATCAAATTCACATATAGTAGTTTCATTAGTTAATGCAGCTAAATTAATTCCCACAAATAAAAATAATTGAATTGATAATATAATAAATACATTATTTAAATGAAATCCTGGATGAGCATAATAAAATGATAAAAATCGATCTAATGGTAATTGAGTACCTAAATAAAAATATTCTCGAGATAACATTTGTTCACCCATTCCTGCTCCAATTTTAGTGGTGAAATTTAATATTGATCCAAATCCTAAATCTCGTCCTTTACCACATTGAACATATTCACAATGTTTAATTCTTCCACCTCTTAATACAGCATTCATTCCAGCATAAATATCTTCATTTAAATGTAATCCCTTTTGAGCTTTAGAAACTCCACCTCTTGTTAACATAAATATAGCATTTAAAAAATCAGGATGACCATAATGTAATTTCCCTCCAATATGAGCTAAAGTTCGAGCAAATAATGTACCAAAAGTTTGCTCTTTACCAGCTGCTACATCTCCAAGAATTCCAATATTTTCTGAAAATATATATTCTCGAGTTCCAATAATTGCTACTGGATGAGCTTGTTCAGTTGATTTTAAATCAATTGAATATGGATCAGAAGAAATATGCATTTCTTCAAATTCTGCAAGTACACTTCGAATTTTTAAACATTCTTCTAAATAATTATCTTGATTTGCATCAACTAATTGAATATATTCACCTCTTGTAAAAATTACAGCATGATTTTGATTATCTGATTTCCCATCTCCTAAAATTGGATTACCAGATAATTCAATTTTATATTTTGGTTTTCTTGATCCATCTTCTAAAATAGCACAAGTTCCATCAATTAATACTGAATAATAAATTTTTTTATCTGAATTTTCATTAATTTCTTCATCTAAATAACAAATTTGTAATTCAGGATATGCTCGAAGTAATAATTCAACATTTTCCTTTTCTTCCAGAGAAAAATATTTAAGTCTTTGCATTGATACAACAATTCTAAATTTTCTTAATGCCATAATAGCAGCAGCTTCTAATTTATTTGTTTCATCATTAAAGGTAAAATCAGGAGTTTCAATATCAAACATTAATTTTATTGCTCGAGAATAATTCATAAATCCAGAAATAGTTCTATAAAGAGTTTGAGATCTTAATGAAGCCCAAATTCTAGTTCTTAAAATATATTCTGGAGTGGCAATTTTATATCCAACTGAATAATAAGTTAAATCATCAGATATATCTTTATGAAGTGGAGGACTTGAAGATTCTGAATCAAATTCTTCTGCTAACATTTTTGTATCTGTTACAAAACATGACCATTCTAATGGATGTAACAGTTTTAAATATTCTAACATTGTAACATGAGAATATTGTTCTTCTTCTTTAATAATTTCTCGTAATGATAAAGTAATCTTTTCACTATAATGAGGAATTAATACAGAAAATGATGGCATAGAATCTATTGAATTAACTTCAGGCATTGGAGTTGATAATGATTGAGCAAAAAATGTAATTCTTCTTTGAGCTTCAGATTGATCATAAAATAATGCTGATTTCATAGTTTGATCTTCTTGAGATACAAAAAATGTTGGTTCTTTAAGTATTGTACCTCCTTCAATATTTGGATTTGCAACTTGTTTATAAATTAATCTTTGAACATGTTCTAATGATAATAAATGTTCACGATACATTGAAATTATTATAGCATTCCAAACTTGACTAACTAATTTTTTACCTTTAATACTTTTATCATTTGGTGGAGCAATTATTTTTGAAAAGATTCTTTTTGGTAATCTTGAAAAGATATTTCTCCAGGGAGTCCAAATTGATGTTCCAATATAAAATGATCGACATACAGAAAAGATTGTATTCCAAACAATATACCAAAGATAAGTATCAAGAAAGAATAATACAATATCAGTTAAATAAATTAATCCTAATACAATGATTGTTTGATGAGAACATAACCAATTTCCAATCCAAATTTCTCCAGCACATCTAGTCATTTTCATAGCACTTAATTCTCTTACTGGATCTCTTAATGAAAGAGTTAAAAAGAAATAAGATTCAATAAATTTAGATATAAATATTGAAAACCATAATCCATAAGATGCAACTTTATCAGAACCTTTTAATGAATAAAATGATCGAGTAAATAATTTAGTTGGTAAATATCTTCTTCCCTTATTATTTGGATAATTATCAAATAATTTTCCTAATGGTATAAATGAACAATAAATTACTATAATAATTGATAAAATAAATTGAATTATTGAAATAGTTAAACCTAATTTTGTTTGAACATTTAATGGATAAGTTATAAATAAATAAATTGTAGGTAATAAACTTATACTCCAACCAATTAATAATAATAATAACCTTTTAAATAAATGTTGAGCTCCTGACCATTTTCTGGGAACAATCATAAATTCAATAATTGTACTTATAATACAAATCAGTAAAGCAATAACTCCTGCTAATGACATTATTGATAAAGTTATTTGAACTGTTGGATGATTATCTAAATGTTGTTGATAATTCTTGGTATATAAAGTAGGAGAATTATATGAAGTATAATACCAAAACATTGAAATATGAATAATCCAAATTCTATTAAAATTTGTAAATACATGAGACCAACTTCTTGTTTCAATATAAGTTTTATAAAATACTTTATTCCAATTAATTTTATTAAGATTTAAATATCTTTCACTGGGAATTATATTCATAATTTTAGTTTTACCATCATTTAAAATAATTTTATCAAGACCTTGTTTATACCAAAATAATTGATTCATATCATCATAACCAATAATTGATTGATGATCTTTATCTTTATGATAATATTTATCATCAATCTTTTGATAACATTGATCACGATAATAATTATATAATGGATTAATTACATGATTTAAAAAGCTAGGAGTTATATTTTCAACTGGTACATCAGTATTTAATGAATAATAATAATCATTACAACATTTAAATATAAAACAAATACATTCAGGCATAAATCGAATATTATTTGATTCACCCCAACATAATAAATATAATCCAATTTGTATAATACAATCTGCTGGTGATAAAGAATTCATATTAATACACCATTGAGTTTCTGCTTGTTGAAGATTTGTATTTGATTTATTATTATTATTATTATTATCATCTTTAGCATCATCAATATCTAATTGAGCTGCAAAATACCATTTCTTAAAATTAGAATTAACTCCTCCAATATAATCAGCATGTAAAGATTTTAATGCATGATAAGATCCCATTCTTGAAGCTCTTGAATCTAATAATCTCATAAGATAATCAAACATATTTCTTGTATTATCAATTTGAAATCCAAATACTTCAGTTAATTGAATGAAAATTGATTCAATGGCTTCTTTTGTAATAGGAACATTATCAGAATTCCATGAAGGATAAGTATCATAAGCTTTTGTAAATAAATTATAAATATCCAGTTCAGATATAAATAATCCATCACCTTTACTTCTTCTATTATCTTCATCATCATCTAATCGATCTCCAAGTTTAACATCTTGCCATCGACCAGAATTAACAAATGGAGTTTTAAATCCACTTAATGGAATCCCTGTAGCATTAACATTAACATCTCGTTGATCTTATCATAGTTTGTTAGTTAGTTAAAAAGTTTTTGATCGTCATTTTTTGACTGTCAGTCACTAATTAATGAGGGTATATCTTACTCATACTCATGGCAGTAGCAGCCATTCTAAGTAGTTCTATAGGATCTGATTCATATGCTGGCGTATCTGACGGCCGAGCCGTGGCGTTCTGTCTGGGCATAGTTGCAGGTAATAAACAAGTAGTAGTAAATAGTAAAGAAGTTCAAGTTGGCTGTAAAAAAGTATCACCAAATGCGTAGAGGAGGGAGAGGAGGAATGTCAAGTGTCGGTCAACCAATGACTACATACAGGTCAGTATAGATATAGAGATATAGAAATAGAGTATACAGTATACTGTATAGTGCTCTATAGTAATCAGCATACTATACAGTACCATACTGCTTTTACTGTACTATTGACTATACTGTAGTCTAGTACTATAGTATTATAGTGCACTTGACTGTACTCACTATACTAACTATACTGCTACTTTACTCTACTCCATTCATTGTATTCACTAATACTATATTAATATACTATTCTATACTATTATTATACTGTTACTATACTTACTATTGCTACTACTGCTACTACTGTTACTACTGCTACTACTGTTACTACTGCTACTATACTCTATTCTACGCCATTCACTATACTACTACTCTATTCATACTAATACTCTACACTTATTCTACTTACACCTAATCTTCATCAGTTTCACTATCTGAATCATACTCTTCAATCCCATTATATGCTATTCTATTGGGAGTCTTTTGTCTTAATAATAATGAAGTTCTTGGAATCTTATCTTTAATTGCCATACTAATTAATTTAGATTTAACTTGTGATACATTAACTCCTTGACTTAATAAATTAGCAACTAATCCTGCAACAGCTGGTGATGCCATTGATGTTCCTGACAGATATTGTGGATCATCATTTAATCCAAGACTTGCAACATAAACTCCACTAGCAAAAATATCTACGCATTCTCCCCAATTTGTAAATGATGCTAATGTATCACTATAATCATCAATTGCTCCAACTGTAATGGCAGTTTCTGCACTTGCTGGACTTGATATACATGCATTAATATTAGAATTCCCTGCTGCAACAACAACAACTAATCCAGTATTAAATGCTTCATTAACGGCTCGGTTTAATACCAGATTTTTATATGCTCCTAATGAAAGATTGGCAACTCCTGGTTTACCACTTCTCATCCTATGATTAACTGCAAATTCTAAAGCCGATATTATTGTACTTAATGATCCTGATCCTGAACTATCTAATACTTTAACTTCAATTATTGTTACTTGTTTGGCAACTCCATAAGTTTCTGATCCAATAATACCTGCCACATGAGTTCCATGTCCATTACTATCTCCTGAACCTTCTTTAGTAAAATCAGCTCCAAATATTGCTCGACCTTGTAAATCAGGATGATTAACTTTAATTCCTGAATCTAATACATATGCATTAACTCCTTGACCTTGAGCTTTAGAATTATACTGATATTCAAAATAAGTTCCCAGTTTTAATTTCTTCCTTCTAGATATTCGTGCTAAATGTCTTGGAGCATCCTCTTGTACATTAATTTCTAATGCTTTAATTTGAATATCAGGAGTTATTTCTGAAACTAATGGACACTTTTTCAATCTTTCAATTACTGTTTTAGAAAAATTTCCTGAAAATCCGCTGAAATTACCAATACTAAATGTATTACTTATAAGCGCTTTAACTCTTTGAGTCTTAGGATATAAGATATCATAGGCTAAAAATGATTGTAAGGATTCTGAAGGCTTTAAAGATACCAAGTAAGGTACTGAACCTTCTACCACTTGACCTCCTACTAGAAGTACTATGTAAATTATTAGGGAACTTAACTTCATTGGATAAAGAACTGTTGGTTATAAGTGAGAAAAGGTAATCTTGGTTGCAAAAATTTATATACTCAATGAGTGGGAATCCACCACACCACTAAATAAAGAAATATAATAGTTTATAGAGAGTAATACAGTCTAATATGTCCTGAATTGATATATCGGTATATTTACATTAAACAAGCCAATTGGGACTTAGGGTATAGGATAGGGTATATACTATTGTTATCAGAATACTAAAGATTATACCTGGTGTATATCAGTTATACATAGAGATATATATCAATAAATAAATAATACACATTGGTAATACATATAGCCTTGTGTTTTTAAATGGCTATGGGTATTTTAACCTCTTTTTTAACTTAGCTATATTATACCTTAAAAAAAATAGTAACCAATAATTGCATTGGGATGAACAAATTAAGAGAATTATTAATTAATATGGAAGAGGTAGGTAATGTGTTTAATTGCTAATGTGAGATTTTTACGTAGATATTATCATTATGAGAGGAGATTGGCAATTTATTTACTGCTAAATCCTACTTGAAGCATGCTTATATTGAGTTAGTGGAACAGAGCAAAATCGTGAACTCATTTAGACTACATCAATAAATAAATTTATATAATATTGTATATTCAGTCAGATGTTTCTAAATCTAACACATTGGAAACTAAGACATTTATGCCTGTCAAAAATTCAAAAATTCAATGAGGTACCACATTCGTATCAATACGGATTCATTTCATCATAAAAGAATCCACCATGCTTTTAGCAAGTAATAACCTAAATATAATTGAAATGTTAATTATCTATATACGGTGCTCTATTTACCTTGGCATGCAGGAAAAAGGTTTAGACAAATTCAAAGGTAAACGCAAATGGATTAAAAAATGAGAGGGAATTCGCACTTTATATACTTTTAGTCTCATTTTTACAGCCAAATAGAAGAATGTAATTGAACTCTACATTGTAAATCAATTTATATAATAATGTATATTCAGTCAGATGTCTCTAAATCTAAAATCATACAATTAACAAGACGTTAAATGTTTAAAATTAGTATCCATCATGCTTTTAGTAAGTAATAACCTAAATATAGTTGAAATGTTAATTAGAATTTATTGAAATTTATTCACAAGGATTTGCACAAGACCTGGCATGATCAAATTAACTTGATGTATATTCAATGCAAATTTCAAATGTTAAGGCAGGGAAAAGCATGTACATATGTCTAAAAAACCTCGTCAAAGAAGTTCAGCCTACATCTAGTTATAAAAACATACATGATATTGTTAGTAAGTAATATCCTAAATTTAATTAAAAGGTTAGGTGAAAAATGGTATACCCTGAATTATATAAATATGGATTTCTCAACAACAAAGAATCAACGTAATACCTCGAAGTAATTTCTTAACTATTATCTTTTACTATTTTGTAGAATTCTCATCCGTATTTATATTAATTCCTAATCACAAATGTGAAACAAACACAATACTTATTATTTAATAAATGTTATAAAAATATCCTCAAATACAAAAAATAACCACACAAGATAAATGCGTTATTTCTTAGAGAATAATATTTCAATTATTTTCAAGATTCAAAAGTCTTAAAAGTAGAATTATTTGCTCTATAATGCAACTTAACTGATGTGATTGTACATTAACTTCTACAGCTATGACTAACTAAATATTTACATAGTTAATTTAATATATTGACAAGAATCCAATGTAGTAGTATAAGTAATGAGTCACTACTTTCATATTTACATAGTTCACTTGTCTTGTCTGAACTTAACAATAAGCATTCACTATATTCAAAGTTTTTTTAAGTTATCAATAAAAGCATATAGAGCTCCAATCTTCAAGTATTAGTAGCTCAACTAAGTAGTGAACATTTTTATTATACTAATGAAGAAAATATACAGAAGAGATGCTTTTACTAAAACTCATAGATATATTCAAATAATGCAACAAGATATTAAATCAAGAGAATCTAAGTCTAAACGTGCTGCCATGCTAAAATTTCTTGGTAGTTCTGTTTTTATCTTAGTACCATAACTATAAGCTGGCCATTGATAGTTTTTATGCCATTCCATATAAGAGTGACTAAAATCAATAATACAAACTTTCTTGGAATCTAGATCTTGGACAATGATATTAGAAGAGTTTAGATTTAAATGAGCTACTCCTGCTTGGTGCATTTGGGAAACTGCTCTACGAATGGTTGGTTCTAGGTAACGTACCTCTTTATAGCTAAATTCACAAAGCCTCTTACCCTTAGCTGGATAATTATAAAAAAACCCACTGTCTTCCATTCTGTTAGGAGTCACTTCGGAAACATATCTTGCTGTTTCGTTAATTATAACTCCAAATTCTGATATCTGTGGGACAAACCCAAATTGACGTAGTTGATGAAGACTAAATACTTCTTTAACAAAGTTTTTAAGACATAAAGCTAAACTTTTGTGAGCATTACCATTTGAAATTGTGAATGGTACTGTTCTAATTGGGTCAAAGATATTTAAAGTTGATTCATTTCCAAACTCATTCTCAATCTTCACCACTATGGAGTTTTTGCTTCCAAATGTGGAACCAGAAATTACTTGGATCCATTTCTTTCTATAAAACAGGTTATTAAAATCTTCCATGTTTAACACTTTGAAATAAACCCGACCCTTTTTAGATACTTGTTGTACCATTTTCCATAAATTTTTGATTTCGAAAGCAGATACATCATAAATATCATTAACAACTTTATCAGGTACCTCAGTTAATTTGCTGGTATAGTGAGGATCCAATTGTGAAGGTAAAAACTCTTCCTCATTATTTATAAATTCAAGTAACTTATGAATGAAATTACTAGAATTTTTATAAAGATGATTAATAGCTGATATTTCTTTTCCCCCAACTATTGATAACCTTCGAAGAAGGTCATCCGATCGATATGAATGTATAGGATTAGTTAAGCATGTCATAATGAAAATAAACAACTCTAGAGGGGTTCTTAGTTTATACATTTTGCAAGATAATTTTCTTAAAAGCTTTGAGTTTTGATAAAATTGTTGCAGAGGAAAAGCATTATTAAAATCAATGGCAATTATTTCACTATTATTTGATAATATACCAGCCATACATTTTAATGAAAGACATTCACGAAGAATCTTACTGAAAATTTCATTCATCCTAATACCTGGTTCCTCATCAGTAGTTTGATTTTCGAAATATTTCCTAAAGGAAAAATTGTTTACATCAAAAGGTAAGAAAACATCATTATAGCTGATTGTAATATTTGGTATTGATCTATTTTTTGGACGATCTTGTTTTTCCAAACCATATCTAACTTTATTTTCTAAAGTTGCTTCCAAGAGGAAATGTAAGGGTCTTATTAAGTTCCATGTAGTAAAGCGAATTTCCTTAGAGACCCGAAGATCATAGTATGATGTATGCCCACAGATATAACCAAAAGATAAAAGCTTTGACATAGGTATTTTAAAAGAATATCCTGGAGGAATTTCATAATCGAACAACTTAGTTGATTCGGGGAAAAAGTTACCTATTAGAGGTTTAAATTTTAGGTAAGGTTTAGGTTTCGTGTCATATGATGGTGATTTAAATTCTTTCTTGGGAATTTCCATTCGAAGAAAGAAACTTATGGATGTATAATTAACAAAGTTTAGTTCTAAGGAGTTTAAATTCTTTTTCTTTATATAATCACGAAGATTATTTTCAAATACTTGGACAACTCGAGAAAGATGTTTGTTATTTTCATAAGGTAGATAATTTAATTGATGGAAATTATGAAGTTCAAAGAGAAGAATTATACATCCTTCCTTTGTATATTTGATTTGTAATTGTTTCAGAATTTGGAATTCTTTTAACTTTGTATCTAATTCCTTATCAGATATTTGTTCAAGATAAAGTGTTAATCTGTATTTATCATGTTCGTATTTTTGTTTACCTTGTTGATGAATTTTTAGAGGATATATATCATCATTTTTAAAATGTTGAGTTAATGCATTTATGGCAGTTTCGAAGTTGATTAACTTATCTAATTGACTCATCTGTATGACATGAATTACTGATACGAGTAAGTATTAGAATGACTTACAGAACGACTTATGAGTCTATAGTCTGACTGTATTGCATTGAGAAATTACGCAGAGCATACTCATTTTGCAACCATTAAAATGGGCAGCACACGCACCACCAAATAGAGTAACTCTAACAACACATTAAACTCAACTAAGGAAGACAATGAGTACACATAAGTACTTAGTATCACTCCTGTATGCAGATATCTACGTAATCTCTATGATAATTATTCACAATTATTTGGTTAATGATAGAGGCACTGGTGTTAATGACTGAGACTATTACTGAGACTATTATGCAAATTGTACTGGTACTACACCCATATTTTTATAGTAGTTTTCCATTTTCCTAAATAAATATATAAACAATAAGATACAAAAAGTAGAGATAAAAAAAAGCAATTGATATAAAAAGTGGTAATAAAAAGTTATCTAAAGAGATTTTAAGAAAGCAGACTTTTCTTCTTCAGGTAATGAATTAATTAATTCTTTCATGACTGCCAAACCATTTTGAGCATCTTCATTCAAAAGTCTAATAACATTTTGACGAGTTGCTTCATGTTTTAAATCTTCAATTCTATGTTGTAATTTAGTATGATGTTCTTCAATCCAAGTACTTACAGCTTCATCATTTTCATAATCAACGGTTGGCATCCAACTCTTTAATCTAGCAACTTTTTCTAATTTAGTGGCATTATTAATTTGTTCACCAATAAGTCTTAATACATATTCTTCATTTAATCTTCTTCTTAAACGCCAGAAGAAATAACGTCTTGCTTCAACCCATTTAATTTCTTTTCTAATAACTCCCTTTGCTAACATACGACCTGATCTATCATGTAAATCAGCAAATTGAACAGAAATTTGTTGATAAATTGGTAATAAACTACGTTCTCTAGCAGAGATCTTGGCAGAAATTGATGCAATTTCTTCTTGAGTTAATGATGAATCAGTTAATTTAGCCTTTAATGATGAATAAGTTGGATCTAAACGAGCCATAGTACTTAATAATTTATCACGTTTATATTTAATACTAACCATTCCTTCTGGTTCTAAAACTCCCGCACGAGAATCAACATCAGCATACATTTCCATCATTTCTTGATTAATTGATGGATCAACTACAACCCATGAACCACCTCTTAATTCACCAGTTGGAGGAATATAAGTAAAAATTGGTTGTTTAAAATCAACTAATGCATCAACAATAAATGAACCATATTTAAGAACTTCATTATACATATCTCTTTGACCACCAGAAAATCCTCTCCAATTAGCTAAAATCATTAATGGTAATTGTTCACCATTATTAAAATCATTAATTGCTTGAGCAGTTTTAAAGGCAGAATTTGGATACCAAACTTGACCAGCTTCTTGAATCATAACTTCAGTTGAATCAGGATTAGCAGGATCAGCAGGATATAAATTTTCAACGGCTCTAGTTTCAACTCCAATAACTCCAATTGGAATACCTCCAAGACGAGCTCTACCAACAACTACACCTTTAGCCCATCCTGATAAAGTTTCTTGAAAAGAATTCTTATCAAATAATCCACTTTCAAAATCTCCATCAGCCAATTGTTTACCTTCAATCATCCAACGAACATCATATGGTTCATCTTTAGTTGGATAATAATCAATATCTCTATCCCAAGGATCTTCTGATTCTAATATTGGTACTGGCATACCACGTTTAGCTGGAATATATGATAACCATTCAAGAATCTTTTCAACTCCGGCTAAATCATCTTGAGCAGTTAAATGGGATACCCCATTTCTATACATAATTTGGGTACCACCTAATTGTAAGTTTGAATTATAAACTTCTCTACCTAATAATTTATTTATAGCTGGAGCTCCAGTTAAAATAATTGGTTGACCTTCAATTTGAATGGCTCTTTGACCTAATCTAACCAAATAAGCTCCAATACCAACCGATCTACAAGTTACTAAAGTAATAGTAAAGATATCTTTATAAGCTCTTGAAGTGGCACCAGCAATTAAACCGGATCCTTTAAGACATTCAACTCCTAAACCATCTTCATCACCTACAATTGATTTAATTACATATCTTTCTTGACCTTCTTCCACGACTCTTTCAGTAATAATAGTTGATCCTTTACCTGATTCATCAATTGATTTACGATCTTGAGGAGTTAAATATAAATATTTAAATCCTTTATCAGGAGAACCTTCAACATTCCAAGCCACATTAAATAATGGCATTAATTCATTGGCTACTCCTAAACGAGCACCAGAATTAGCAGAAAGATAAATTCTTGGTATACCTAATTTACGAGCTAATTCAGTACATCTATTAAAATAAGTATCTTCTTCTGGACCAAAAGAACCAATTTTATGAGTAATATCATTAGCTACAATTATAAATTGTCTACCACGAGGATATTCAGGAGTTTTAGCAGTAACTTGGAACCCAACCATACCAATTTTATTTGATCCTGGTTCACGTTCTACTGCAGTTAAATCTCCATTTTCATCAGTAATTAATTCTAATGAAGTAAATACATCCTTTGGAACTTTTTGTTGTTGTTTACTATTACTATTATTACCACTATGTTTCTTCCATTGAGAAAGAGTAGCTTGACGGAATAATTCTGGGAAATCATATACATAAGTAGTTCCCATATTATGAGCCTTATATCTTTTTGGTTGTAAGGATTCCTTAGCAGGATAAGGAGTTGAAATAGGTCTTAAATGCATTGAACCTGGTTGTCCAATAGATTTAAATACCCAATCTCCTTTAGTATTTTTAACTTCCATATATAATTCTGATTTAACCACATAACCAGAAACATTATTAATAATGGCTCTTAATGGGAATGAAGTACCGGTTTTTTGATCAGTACAAACAATTCTAATTTCAGCTCCCGTGACTCTTAATCTCCATAATCTTCTTCCGAATCGTTCTAAAAATGATCCAAAAGCGGCTTCAACTTCTTCCGGTTGAACATTAAATACATTCGAGAAATTAATGAATATATGATTTAAATCACTATTGGAAGTATCAATGATTTCAAGTGCATCTAAAATATCATTCATTAATCTATTGGATTCTGCAATTAAGTATTCACTAATACTTATTTCATCTCTAATAACTCCCGTTCTAATTATACCTCTGGTAAAGAATCTCTTATCGGATGGAGCATTCTTTCCCACGGCTTCATAAACATGAATATTTCTATTATCCGTGAAAATTGGTTTAATATCAAAATTAACTAATCTTGCCAATTCTAATTGGAAGGCTAACGCTGGTTCAATATGTCTAATTACTTTATTTTCCACATAATCAGGGGCATTGAAAGTATAATATTGTGGATAACTACCAACAGTATGGGCTATAACAAACGTAACTCTACGAACAGAAGCCGATTTCAAATCTTCACCAAATTCTTCAAGAACTTCATGAATTTTATCCAACACTTCTTGTTCCAGAGCATATCCATCAATACTTGTGATTACAATATTAAGAACATTAACTAATTCTGGTTGGTCTTTATTGGTGGTTGCCTTAAAAGTTATAGTATCTGATGGTTGAATCTTTTCAATAGCAGCAGCAAGCATATCATCCAAATCATCTAAATGTCTACAAGGAGCCAATACCCCAGTTCTTGGTTTTTGTTCGGCTTTTGAATCAACAATATATGATAAATCCGACACAGAGGCTGCTCTATTCATGGCATTAGAAGAATTAGAATCATTCTTTAAATGTTGAATAGCATTATATTGAGAAGAAGCTAAACTTGGTAATTGGAATTTCCATTCAATTATTGGTAATCTATCATGGAAATGATAAGTGATTGGTCCAAGAGAATATGCTCTATAAGATCTACGAACATAGACTTCTGAAGCCGCAATGGCAACCCATTCATCAGGATTAACTAAGAATTGTGATAATACATCAAATACGGTATGTTTAGAATCAACCACTTCTTGAATAACTCCTAATTTAGGTTCTCTGTGTTTGGCATAGATTTCTCCATAAGAAGTTTCTAATACGGCTGATCTTAAGATATGTTCTAATTGATCGGATCTTTCTTGAATTGAAGGTAATGAACATTGAATTAATATTTCTCGAGCTTTAAGGGCAACTTTGGCAGTACCTCTAGTATCTAATTGAACTATTTGTTTTAAAGATTCCTTAATGGATGAAGCTACACTTGAAGATGATTGTAATAATGGTTGATATTCATCTAATATAGCCAAGACCAAATTGTTTTTGGCAGAGACTCGAGAATGGGATAATGAAGTGGCAATAACCACCTTCAAATCCGATTTATTTTCATCTCTTAATTTCAATATAACATCATCTTCACGAGTATTATCGCCCGAGAATAATTTCTCCACATCAGTATACTCTTGAATTAATCCGGCAAAGAAATTATATTCATGTTCAACTAACCCATTTTGATATCTAGTGGTTATATCAAGTAATGGAGCTATAGTGGTACTAAATAATGGATCAGTTTGTGGATCATTAATGGTTTTTTGTAAGAGTTTAAGGATTTGTCTGGCGGGGAATTCGGCATGTCTTGAATGATTTCTTTCTACTAAAGTAGTTAAGGATTCATCTAATTTAGCTGGTAATCTCAGATGTAAAGCAGATACTTGATTACTCCATTCCGAATATGGTAATTCATTATCCTTTAATACTTGTAATAAATTCTTAACGGTAGAATTCATAATTACTTGATTATCATAACCATATAAGATATTTCTTAATATGGTGGCATAAGTTTGGAATTTAAATGCTGGTGTAGTACCTTGAATTTCCGGTTCTCCTAAATCAGGTAATGTCCCTTCAAATGGTTTTGCATGTTTAACTTTAGATGGATCATCTAAGGCTAAGATTGCAAGAATATCTCCGGCATTCACAGTAGAACCTGGTTGTTTAATTAATTGGACAGTTCCATCTTCTTGAGCAATTAATGGCATACACATCTTCATAACTTCAACTTCGGCATATGGTTGACCGGCGGCAATATGTTCACCGGATTCAACTAAGAATTTAACTAATTTACCAGGAGATGGAGTTCTTAATTGAGTTGGATCATTTTCAACTTCTAATAAACAAGTCTTACCACCGACAGATAATCTGGTGGCAGAAGCTTCTTCTTTCCAATAGACTGTATGAGATTTACCTCCAATAATACATAATAACCCTCCATCAGCCAATGAACGAACTTTAACAACTCCTCTAGTACCATTTAAGAATAAAGTATAATTATCTGCTGAAGATTTGGTGGCAGTAAATTTATATCTTTGACCTTCATAAATGAATTCTACGGGATAAATGGTTTTTAAAAGATTCTTATTTGGTACTTGACCCTTTTCTAATGATTCAATATAGGCCTTTTTATCTTCTTCTGCTTGAATATGAGCCTTAGTGGCAGCTCCACATACAACAGCTAAAGTTGGATCGGGTCTTTCAGCCGTTAATTTCTTACTAATTAATTCATCTAACCAACCAGTTGTAATAGTATTATCTTCAAAATCAGGAGTTTCTAATAATTTAATTAAATATTCCACGGTAGTTCTAAAATCTCCTCGAATACTTAATTCCTTTAAGGCCACCACCATATGCTTTCTTGAAGCTTGTCTATTTTCTCCAAAGGCAAAGATATGACCAAATTGAGAATCGGAAAATGAATGAATAGATGATTGATTACCGACAGAGAAGTAACCCCAAACATTCGATGAAGATCTAAAGTTTAATTCATGTAATGTACCACCAGAAGGTTTAAACCCTTCTCCCGGATCTTCTGAAGTAATACGACAAGCGGTAGTATGACCCTTTGGAACTGGTCTTCTTTGACTAATCAATGAAGTTTCAGTTTTAAATTCAAAATCAATTTCAGTCGATGAATGAGGATCGGCTCCATAAAGTTCTCTAATATCTCTAATTCTATGCATAGGGATACCCATAGCAATTTGTAATTGAGCGGCAGGTAAATTAACTCCGGTAACCATTTCTGTAGTTGGATGTTCAACTTGTAATCTTGGATTTAATTCTAAAAAGTAAAATTTATCATCAGCATGAGAATAAAGATATTCAACCGTACCAGCCGATACATAACCAACCAATTTACCTAATCTAACAGCGGCATTTTCCATGGCTCTAAAAGTTTCTTTATTGGCAATGGTTACTGGAGCTTCTTCAATAATCTTTTGATGTCTTCTTTGAACTGAACAATCTCTACCAAAAAGAGATATATTAGTACCATATTGATCAGCCAATAATTGAACTTCTAAATGTCTGGCATCACCAGCTAATTTCATAATAAAAATAGGTGAACCAGGGATTTCATTAGCCGCTTGTTGATATAAAGTCATAAAATCTTCTTCTCTATCGACTTTTCTAATCCCCTTACCACCTCCACCTTCAGAGGCTTTAATCATAACGGGGAAACCAATTTCTTTTGCTTTTATTAATCCATCTTCAGGGGAATCACAACAACCCTTTTGATAAATATCATCCGAAACTGAAACTAAATTAGTAAGTGGATCAATTTTAACTTCACGAACTCCAGTACCAGACCATGGAATACATGGAACATCAGCATGTTGAGCTACAATGGTTGAAGAAATTTTATCACCTAAAGATCTCATAGCACTACCAGGAGGTCCAATAAATACAATTCTTTTTGGTGAAGCTGCTAATTTTTCAGGTAATAAAGGATTTTCTGAGGCATGACCCCAACCTGCCCAAACAGCATGAACATTTGTTCTTTCAGCAATTTCAACAATTAAATCAACATTAGCATAATTATTATTATTTGTTCCTCCAGGTACTTCAACAAATTGATCAGCCATTCTAATATATTCAGCATTTGCTGCTAAATCTTCTGGAGTTGCCATTACAGTAAATTGAATGGCTCTTTCATCACCAAAAGTTTCATAAGCCCATTTTCTTACTGATCTAATTTCTTTAACAGCAGCAATCCCATTATTGGCAATTAAAACTCGAGAAATTACTGTATGACCTTGATGATTTTTAACAAAATCAGTTACTTTTGAAGATTCTGCTAAAGCTACTGTATTTAACCCTTTAAAATGTTCAGGTAAACTTAAATGTAATGAAGAATAATCAGGTGAATAATTACCTTCATTGGAATCTATACTATCCGACATAGTTAATGATTTTAAATATTGAGATATATTGGAAAGTGAAGTATAAGATCGGTTGGGATAATAATTATGTACAAAGAAAGGAATTGAACGATTAAAACAAGGATTAAAACGATTAGTAGATGTCCTTGTAGTTATGGACTTTAAATAGTGAGATGATAAATATCTAGAAGGGTTAGTAAGATGGGTTCGGGTTCGGTTAAAGTTCAAGTGTCGTAGAGCTGAATGGTCAGCGGTCATAAAAGTGTGGGGTGGTGGTAGTGGTAGTGGACGTGTACTGTACTATGCTGTAGTGAGGTAGTGGTAGTGGTAGTGGTAGTAGTCTTAGTGGCAGTCTTATTGGTGTCGGTCTCGGCTTGCATCGCAAATTTTCATCCTTTTCTAGCCGGCGAAAAATGAGACTCACTGGAACGGCCTGGACTGATGAGCTGGAGGGACTACTGAGTTGAGTGTGGTGGAATGGTTAGTGGACGGATTGTCATGGTACTGTGATTACCGGGTGGTTGCTGTAGGATTGAGTTACTAATATGTAGTGGTTGTACAGTAATTGTGGTTGTGGTTGTACTGTACTTGTGGTTGTACTGTAATTGTATTAGTGGATGTTATTGGTGGTGGTGCTAGTGGATCCTATTCCTATTACTATTACTATTCTTGTATTTGTACGATATCTGATTGAATTGACTACTATTGCTTACTCCACCCTTCTCATTGATCCACTGCTCACTTCCTCAAATCTCTACGACTCTCTATTCTCTCATACATACCTAATTCTAACAATCTTCTGCTACTCACAAATACCTAGTCGGAAAACGGAAACTAGGAAAACTATTGCAATAAAAAAAAAGCAACTAAGGTATCTATGATGTTAACTAAGAAAATTAACTTGAACTGATAGCGGTTAATTAAATTATCACTTCAATTGTTTAATAAAAGGATGTGTTGCTGTATATAAATCAGAACCATAATGGCAGTGAATTTTCAGTTGGCGGGTGGTGGAATAAAAATTCGCAGCTCTTTGTTGTGTGCAGGCCGGGCTCAACAACGGTTTTAGTATTTGTTGGCCCAACACCATACAAAACGATTGTGCTACCATGTGCATCCATGCACCAGAAGTGATGTCAGAGCTTATGTAAAATGTTGAGACAACAAACTAAAACTAAAGACGTGGACGTGTATGGGTATGGGTCGTGCGCACGCCAATCAGCTCTAACTGTCTCTACTCGTTTTATCTGGTCTCGATTCAGGGGGTGTCTAATCGATCAATTATCTCCCAACAAAGCAATCGTCAATTGACAATGTGTAGTGTAGTGTAGTGTAGTTATAAGACAACAGTGTGTTGTATAGTGGGAGTGTTCATAACGTACAACAAAAACCAGTAACAAGACAATGGCTTTGTTTATCGTGTACTGTTCTTATGATTGACATCTGTAGATAGTTGTCTTTGTAGTTGTCTGTATCTATAAATATTGTCAGTACTCTTACATGTGTTTCTTCGGATACCGAATCTCTTTTCCGAGTTCATACATACATATACTCTTACACGATCTACTTACACTACTTACCCTACTTACCTACCATATTTACCTACCCAACTTACAACTTACTACTTACCCAACTTAAACTACAACAATGGTTGGAATCTTGGTAATAATGGTACTGGTGGTGGTGGAGGAGTTCTATCATCATTCGATAAGAAATTAAAACTATGAGTATGAATAGGTCCAACAGGTGAAACCCTTAATGGAGGAGGAGGAATTCCATGATTTAAATGGTGATGACTACCAACTAATGGTGGAGGCAATATAAACTTCTCTTGAGTTCCTGGTGTACCTGATCCACTAATATTATTATTAGATGATGTTTGTGATGCTGGTGGTGGTGGTGTATTTCTATTGGGGATTATAGCACTTGTAATCTCGTATATTGGTATAGCCTTAGATCTTTGCGTAAATATCTCTAGTTCAATATGTTGTTCTGAACTCATTTTGAATAATCTTTCCAAATCAAAATCATTTTGAATTATAATGCCACTCTTCAGATTCTTAATCCCTAATATAACATCGTGTTTTAAATTAAATGCCTGTCTCGCATTCTCAATGATTTCTATGAATCTTGGGGGTGCTGAATTCCGACTAGAGAAGGTGAATTCTAACGTTTGATTAATAAATCGAAGTAATACTTTCTTATTGTCAAATACACTAGTACTTACAGCCATTGGAACTGATGGTGGATGAGCGGTAGATGCATTTAATGCATGCATTTCCGGTGATAATGATCGACTACTAGCAGCTCCACTCATCAATAGTTGTTGCTGATGTTGTTGTTCTTGTTGCATCTCAGTAGCTATAGTGGCCAAAGAATTTAATGAATTAGAATCATTGGATTTATTAAGATAATCACTATATTTGAATGGAACTGAATTCTTAGCAATTAATGGATATTCTTGTAATATAGATACATATATGATTTCACATAATGGGAACATAATATTCTCAAATCCAAAATCTTTAATAACTCCTCCTAATAAAGTATATAATGATATAATTGCAACTTCGTCACTCACACTGGTTATAGTGTTAGGATCTAAATCTCGAAAGAATCTAGCTAAATATAAATCTCCGCTTAATTTATTTCGTAAATATTCAATTGAAGTTTCATTAACATTCTCAAATGATTTTTCAAATATATATGAAATACAAGTAGATATAATTAATTTACCTAATACTTGTAAATTTTCTGATTTCTTAGATACGCTCTCGGAACAAGTCTTTGAACGTTCTATATGATTAATAATTATCCCCTTGGCAGCATTAGCATCAAGCTTATTTATGGTAGATGATGAAGATGATATATAATGATCATTATTTATCGGTAAATTGGATATCAGAGGTAGTACGGTTGTATTTGATTTTTGAAATGATGCAGGAGATGAAGAAGTTGAAGAAATATGATTGATATTGGGATTATTACTGGGTAAAACTGTTTGAATATGATTGGATGATGGATGCAGACTTTGTATACGAGGCTTAATCATACTATCTATAGCGGCTTTGGCCTTATCATCCGATGAAAAATTCTTAGTTCGAGAATAGTTCATATCGTATACATCATCATTCGAATCGGAATTAAGCCGACTAATTTCAGAAATGAATTTCTTTCTATAAGTATTATCACTAACTGTTTCATTATCATCTTCTTCACTTTCATGCTGATCTTCTACTTTAATTCTCTTAAAATCATATCCTTTCTTAGATTTAGATGATCTCTTTCGATTTCTTCGAACACTTTGAACTGCTGCCCGTACTAGTTTATCAAATTCTTGTTCATATTCACTTTGATAATTGAATTCCAATCTTAAAGCTTGCGCCACTTTTTTTATTTCTTCTTCTTGTTCACTTGCTTTCTTAGAACATAAATCTAATGTATCAATTAATTCTAGTCTTCTAGCAGAAAATCTTTTCCATAGTCTATCATCTTGAAAATGTAATTTCTCTCGGATAGAATGGGTGACTCCTAGTTTCTTAGGATTATCTCCAGAATTAGTGTTTGTCATTAATGTGGAGTCATTGATGGCAGGTGTTGTAGATGAACTAACTATGTCATTATTCGTATTGGTATTAGTATCTGTAACACTACCAATATTAATCGCTGCAGTAGGTACAGTACTTGTCTGAGCTGATAGTACTTGCAGCATGACGTTTATATATTTATTTGTTTATTTATTGGTGATGACTCCTTTCAATGTTGTGAAAAATGTATTAGTATAAATATAAAATAGTTAGTCAAATTAGTGAGTGACTACGAATCAACCCGAATTTTTTTTTCCGTGGTGCATTTCTTTTTTTATGTGAAAGGAGTCCTCTGAGTTAAACGGCACCCAAAGTTTGACTCTACTTATTCCCCGTACAGCTGATCTTCTATACTTTAGAGTTCGTTTACAATAACTACTAGAACCACTATTTTATTATGACGACTGAGATTATGGAGACTACTAGTAAAACTTTTAGAGACAGTTAAGTCTATAACGAATGTATGAGACTTTGACTCCCATTATTAAGTATGTAAATTTGAATGACTAATCCTGTCACCCTTCATAACCAGGAAAGAGACTCATAGTCAATCACGGATTTTACAGTTTGCAGTGAGGAGACTTTTTTTTTGTTTATTATTATTGAGAGAATGGGGCGACTCCTAATCATTTTCTTTTTGTTGGAGGAGCATTTTGACTCGGACATAAAAATAGGAATCCCTTTTGCACGTGCCGGATCAAGCTCAATTTGGGGCACTACTTGAATTGAATCTAGAGATAATATACTTGAATATATAAACACTTACTTATATACTTATATGATATTGGTTACTTACTTACTTATGACTACCACTACTTCCACTATACAGTAGGAATAAGAAACTTTTCTTGAACCCATAATTTTAAGACAACTCTTATCAAGTAAATAATATATACTGAAGAATTAATATACAAATTACCCCAATTGTAACTTTAGAATGAACAGGAGATGACTTACTATTATAATTCTTAGCAAATTCATCATAATCATATAGTTTCTTAGGAAACTTCCACTTCTTTGTTGTTTTATTCTCATTGGTTCGAACTGAAATAGAGCTAGTTTCACTTAGAATATTAGTCGAAGTTGTAATACTAATTGAACCATTAAGAGCCTTATCTGATGTATCAGGAGAATTTATACGATCAATATGTTCTACCGGTAAAGACTCAATGATGCTTTGGTAACTAACTTGAGAACATAAAGATTTCAATCTATAATAAGTTTCGTGGTGCTATATTTTGTTAGAAAATGGCTGCCAATTTTCGAGTAAATTAGATAATAGACGGTATATGCATACAAAAGTAGGACACAATTGTCGACATTCTTGATGAACAACATTAATATAGTAACAGCTACATAAGTGATCCGCTGCATCACATCGTTTAAAATTATCTTGTGCCAATTGATGGCACTCAGCATAATTAGCATTATTCTATTGGTCCGTTAGTTAGTACTACAACATAATTGCTTTAGCCACGTTATAAACTTACGCATAATGGACCCAAATCTAAAAAGAATGATAAAGGGTTCAGCTGATCCATGGGAATATACACAGATTTCGCTAATTGATCCATTCTAAACGATTGCTGCAACAAATAAGTATTAGGTAAACGCTTAAGAAGAGTTTTTCTCTAACAATATATACTAATAAAAAATATATCTATTATACATTAAGAAACATTAGCCACACATAGAGTTAATTTTAGGGCCAAGATTACATAACGTAGAATCTAAATGATTACCCTCAAATGAAGTTTCCACTTAATTACTCAAGGCACTCCTCCCATGTAAGGCGATTTACCCTAATTAATGAAAATTTTTCAATACAAGTGGGTCAAGTCGTGTGAATTTCCTAATTGATGAGTCATTCCAAATTAGGTAATAGCTTGAAAAATTAAGCGCGCTGTGTTATCATTCGATGAAGTTTAAGTGTGGTCGACAAAATTGAAAAAAATTTATATATAAAGTGGAAAATTTCCGATTTCCTTTTAAAAATTTTTCATTCACTTTGTTTGATCAATTATATATTTAAATATCTGACAATTCATTAAAAATGTCTAAAGGTAAAGTTTGTTTAGCTTACTCTGGTGGTTTAGATACCTCAGTTATCTTAGCTTGGTTATTAGAAGAAGGTTATGAAGTTATTGCTTTCTTAGCTAACATTGGACAAGAAGAAGATTTCGAAGCTGCTGAAAAGAAAGCTTTAGCAATTGGTGCTACCAAATTCGTTGTTGTCGATGTCAGAAAGGAATTTGTTGAAAAAGTTTGTTTCCCAGCCATTCAAGCTAATGCTATTTATGAAAATGTTTATCTTTTAGGTACTTCTTTAGCTAGACCAGTCATTGCTGAAGCTCAAATTAAGGTTGCTGAAGAAAATGGATGTTTCGCTGTCTCTCACGGTTGTACTGGTAAAGGTAACGATCAAGTCAGATTCGAATTATCTTTCTACGCTTTAAAGCCAGATGTTACAGTCATTGCCCCATGGAGAGACCCTGTATTTTTCAACAGATTTGCTGGTAGAAATGATTTATTAAACTATGCTGCTGAAAAAGGTATCCCAGTTGCTCAAACCAAAGCTAAGCCATGGTCTACTGATGAAAACTTGGCTCATATTTCTTTTGAAGCTGGTATCTTAGAAAATCCAGACACTACCCCACCAAAGGATATGTGGAAATTAACTGTTGATCCAACTGATGCTCCAGAAGTTCCAGAAGATTTCTCTGTTGTTTTTGAAAAGGGTTTACCAGTCAAGTTGATCTTAGATGGTGGTAAGAAGGTTGTTACTGAACCAGTTGAATTATTCCTTGAAGCCAATGCCTTAGCTAGAAGAAATGGTGTTGGTAGAATTGATATTGTTGAAAACAGATTCATTGGTATCAAATCCAGAGGTTGTTACGAAACTCCAGGTTTAACTGTTTTAAGATCTACTCATGTTGATTTAGAAGGTTTAACTTTAGATCGTGAAGTTAGAGCTCTTAGAGATCAATTTGTTACTGTTGCTTACTCCAAGATTTTATATAACGGTATGTACTTCACTCCAGAAGGTGAATACGTTAGATCTATGATCCAACCATCTCAAAACACTGTTAATGGTGTTGTCAGAGCCAGAGCTTACAAGGGTTCTTTAACCATCTTAGGTAGATCTTCTGATACTGAAAAATTATATGATGAAACTGAATCTTCTATGGATGAATTAACTGGTTTCTCTCCAGAAGATACCACCGGATTCATTGCTATTCAATCTATCAGAATTAAGAAATACGGTGAAGCTGCTAGAGAAAAGGGTATCAACTTAACCTTATAAATCTAGACAAACTTTACGAAATACGGGATATTAAATATTAAAGGTTTTAGATAATAATTAATTGTATAATAAATAAATAAATAAATAAATGAATAAAAATTATTCAGTAGTTTCATCATTATACTCTTCGTCCTCAAAGATTGAAGAATCATAATCAAACTTTTCACCGACTAGACCCTTAATAAGGATCATTAATTCATCAAGCCTTTTGTATATCATATGAGCAAATAGTAATGAAACTACTAATAACTGACCATCATGCGAGAAGAATGTATTGTAATCAAGATTAGAATCATTAGTTGAATCCTTTAAGGTACTTCTTAATCCTGAGTCAAGATTACCATCATCACGATAAAATCGTTCATTAATTGAAATTCGATTAATACCCCATTGGTGCATCAAAGAGTCTATGTGTTTTAGTGAAGTATTAGAACTTGTTATTTTAGGTAAAGAATTGCAAGTCTTTAGAGCATCGGCTGACATATGAAGTATGGTGAATATATCTGCAACAATTGAGCTATTGGTCCAACCAACTTTACGAAGGATCTTTCGATTCCACTTTTTGGGATCTTCAATAAGATTAAAAATCAGAAATAGGTAGAAGTAAAGTTGTGTAATGTCTATTAATATAGTCTGAAGTCTTCGGTATTTCTCTTCTGGCCAATACCCAGTAAGGGGGATTTCATGATGAAGCGGTACCATCAAGCTTGAGGTTCCAGCTAGCTGCAACAATGCATATCTTAACCTTTCGGTAATTTTATCATGCCTGCTTGAAAGATGATATGAAGGATCTTCTAACCTTTTCATGGCGAAACTTGAAATGTCAGAATGTAAATTGCCAGTTTCTTCGATAACATTGGATAATATATGCCTTAATTCGTATTTACTGGTAAGAGGTTTTGGAATTAGACATGCAAATAATCCAATAGTTAATCCGATAACAACACTAACAAATCTTATCCAAGCAACTCGAAACCCTTCTCCCACATTAGCAAGTTTATTGAATTGACCGTCAATCCAACTGGTTCCTAATACTAAAGCAGTTGTAACGGCAAATAAAATGGCTGGGACAAATGTTAAATGGATAGAGAAATGCCTATAGTACGATAAATATATGTATATAACAGCAGTAACAGCCGAGTAACCATAGTAGTTACCTGGACCACGACCTGCTGAAATATACCATCCTACCAATCCTAACAAAGAACCAAAGAATGAATAAAACAATTTAGACCATATCACGTACATAGTTTCTCCAACTGATTCTGAAGTTGAAACACCAATCATGATCACAAGCCAAATTAATCTATTAGAATAATACCAATTAGCAGTTGTTCTCACAAAATAAGGGGTAGCACCGACGCAAACCAAAATACCAGATCTAATCCAAAACCATATGTCAGGACGAAGTAGTAAATAATAGACTTTCACGAAATATTTACCAAGCACCTGAATGAAATTGTCTGGTGGTAAAGAATCAGGATCACGAGTTTGAACATTACTAGATAAAAATTGAGGAACTTCATTACTATCACTATGGACTCTCATTATATTCTTGGGAACTTCCCTCTTTGAATTGGTAAACCAGGTTATCAAAACTGGCTCTGGTCTTATTGCATCAATTGACAAAAATAAGTCAACCATCTTAAGTAAGTGATAAGAATGCCTTTTTGACAAATAAAGGAAAAGAGAAACCTGACTCAATAAGCATAATAAGACCTCTTCATTTCTACCAGTGAATTGCAGTTGGGCCTGAGAACAAGCTTTTTCGCATACTTCAACAATTACCAGTTCAAGTTTCTCTTTTGCAGCCAAAAGCCTTTTGTGGTTCTCCTTTTGCTTTAAGACATGAGACTTGCGTTGAGAAGGGAACAAAAGCGAATAAGTCCTATAATTATTGGCAGCTGATAACCATTCAATGAGCAACTGAAACACCTCATCAGAGACTTGTAGCAAATATTGAAAGTGTTCCTTGATAAAGTCGGCGATATTGTCAAGATCTTCTAAAGTTACTCTATCTTTAGGATCTATACTCCAGAATCTTTTCTTTAATGAGTTTTCTCTATTTGAATTTTCAAATTCTCCAACTTTCTTATAAGACTCATGTAGGACCGTTGTCAAAAATCTTGTACCAACTTCAGATCGATGAACAGAAGCTGCACTGCTTCTTCTTGCATAATTTGAAAATATCTGTAATGCAAAATTTCTTCTTTGGCTAAAGGTTTCATAATAATAGTTATAACCAGAGGAAATACTAACCAAGTTCTTCAAGAGAGATCTGAATTCCCCAAGATCTCCAAGATCAAACCTTCCATAGGAAACTTCAAGTTTTGCCATGCCTGCCATTATCTCCAAGGCACCCAATTTATTTCTAATACTGGTGATATCTGAACTATACTGCTTGTAGCCAGAGAAATTATCTGCTGAGGGTTTGAGAGTCTTGAATAACCTTAAGTGATTCTCTGAAGCTTTCTTCAACCCCTTTAGTAGTTTTGCTGATCCATCAAGATATTGAAAACTTGCCGTTGTTGGAAATATCACTACTGCTAAGAAAGATTTCAAAGCAAAAGCTAACCCCATTGGTTTCATGACCGACAAGCCTATTTCCAAAGGATCAAAAATAGGAAAGAATACCCCATAACAACAATTTATGATCAAGGCAATAACTCCAGCTACAAAAGCCACTCTCAATGTCTTTTGTAAACTTTGAGCTAACCCCATTATTGTAAAACATGTAATGATAGCTAAACAATAAACTACAGCTGATCTAACTTGTAAATAACGACCTGAAAAGATATTATCAATCATACATTGACTAATATTATCTACTGTACAGCTTCCTTCATCTATTAATTTTCGAGCTAGTTGATCTTGCGTGATATAATCATGGAATCGATTGTTGAGCTTCATAGCTATTATTGCATGTACCCAAGCAAAGCAACTGAATAATATCGCAGCAAATGATATATATATATTCATAATAATTGGAGTACCACCAGCAACAGCAATAAATCCTATGATTTGCATAAGATAAGCAGCACTACCCATCCAATGACTTGTTCCTGGAATTGCACATAATATAGCTGATATCCAAACCTGTAGCCATGTTCTCACAGCAACCTTAAATGATCCATAATCCAAATGATCAATTATATACCCTGGTCGTATAATGAAGAGAGTTTTTCGCCATAAGGATTCCTTAGATCTCGGAATCTCTATATCATTGGGAATTGCATCCAGAAGATAGTAAGCATTAACAAGTCTGGGAAAATTTTCAAGATTCGGATCTTCTCTATCAACGGTAAACGGGGCCGGGTTTATATCCGAATCTAGATTGCTAGAGTTGCTTCCAACTGAAGATGTCGATGTTGGTTCCATATTTTACGAATTACACACCCTCTAGATTGAAACCAACTATAATCGTCAAACCAAAACTACAAAGAATAATAAATACGGAGTTACTCGGACTTCTATTGTTGATAACAATTATAATTAGATCGGTTAAACTCTTAGTCGGTTGTAAGTGTCACAGCCGCGATCGGTACATCGCTTAGGGGGTAAAAATACATATTTTTTTTATTCGTATGTATTATGCTAATATACGCAAGGAGAAAATCCTATGATAAGAATAAACTCATCATAAGGCAAAACCTATATAAGAAAAAATATAGAAAAATTATAGATAAGTAAAAAGAATGAATCACATATATACAGTGTTTTTACTTTTAATTCATACCTCGGACCCGGAATTGTCATTCTACCGGGTATTAATTTTTCGTACCATTGACCGGAAATTTTCGTACTAGTGATAAATCTATTCTTCATAGCGATTAAAATATTCATACTACATTTTTATTTTCATAGCAATTAGTAAATAGATTCATATCAATTAGATCACAGTTCATCGTTATTGAATCTTAAAGCTACAAACCGCTACTGTATGGAGTCAGGACCTGTTGGATCAAACTGTCCGAAATTAGTGAGCAAAAATATGCTCTATGTGATTAACTCCTGTATGAATAAGAAGTAAAAGCACGTACCACTATTTAGCCTTATCAGGATTATATGGTGCTGGTTTTTCTAACTGCAAACTGTCGATTTCTTGAGGTTCTAACGCAGTCAAATTAACTCCTCTCGCGGAATAGAAATTAATGCGCAACTGATTGTTGAAACTGTCGATTTCTTCAGGTTCTAGCGCAGTCAAATTAATTCCTCTCGCGGAATAGAAATTAATGCGCCACTGATTGTTGAAATCATCATAAGCTTGTCTTGTTACCTCATATGTATAGTTGGCCATTACTGTATTGTTGACAGCGCTAATATGGAGGAGTGAGAGCGATATATGTGTGTCATTTATTGGTCTGAACTTGGTGGTATCTAAAAAGCAGTCACTGGGTCCGTTATCAACTGCTTCCAATATCTGTGCTGCGTTAAGAAGTAAAGACCAAACTCTCATTTTCTATAACTTTTTGTTCAACTTTATTCAATTATTATTTTGGATTATACTATCCTCTTGTTATACTGCTGGTACTTATAGAGTTATAATCAGTGCTGAGTCAGCTTCCTTTGTTATAAGTATTTTCTGTCTTATTTGTATTATAAGAGGTAAAGTATAGTTTATGTAGTAGAATATACTTGTATATTGAGATAAAACTAGCATCCGAGAAAACAATAGGAGATGCAAGCATAAAAGTAGAGGAGATGTGTAAATATATAGTAATTTAGGAACTAATAATGTTGTAGGCAACTCAGAGATAAGCTTAGTAATGCCGTAGCACATTTAGTAGTATAGAGTAAAGATAAGAGATAAGGATAAGGGTGGCTGAAATGTTGATATGTTATGATCTGTTACATATTTGCAACATATAGGCAAATAGGTCTTGTGACAGGTATCCTCCAAAACCATGAAAATGTCGCAAACGACATTTATTTTCAAGTCGGATTTCGTCATAAATTCCGACTTTTTTCTTCAGAACAACCGGGCAAATAAATTTCAAACCGCTCATTTTATTTTTTCATACTTCCGAGGTCGAATTTATTCGTACCATAAAAATACTATTCAAACCATTTAAGTCATACCACAATTATTTGTAAATGCTTTACCACAATCCAAGTATAATATTTCATGTTTTCGTGTGATAAAAATAACATACCCTGAGCCACTACTGAAATCAATTTTGAAAATTGGTGCACATCATACGTTCTAAATGCAGCTTCATGATATTTAGATATCTGATATTTAGATAAGAAAGAAGATATCAACCTAGGAAAAGCATGACTATGGTCCCTGACATACAACTTCATTGTACTCGTTAGCTTATATTTTTATGAATATTTCTTAGAACAACTGGTTTTTCAAGCACAATTCGATATATTTACTAGCATGTCTACAGAATCCTTCATAACTTTCAGTAGTTATCTTACTTGTAGCTTCCATCATTTTAGGTGTCAATTGTTCCTTTTTACTTCGATTCGATCTCTTAACCTTAGATTTACAAACTGACCAGAATTCTTCAATTGCATTTAGTCCCGGCGAATATGGTGGTAAAAACACAAGCTCCAATACACTCAGAGCAACTAATAACTGAATATCACGGCATTAATGTATTGCAGCATTGTCAAGAATCAAGTATTTTAATTTTTGGAGCTCGGAAGTTGTCTCTATTTCTTTAATCACAGATTGATAAATGAATAGAAATGATTTGCTGTGGTACCTCTCGTAGTACTTTGAGGTTTATTGGATTCCACTTTTCTTTTCTTGTTGGCTGCAATCTTGGAGGGGATCTCACCTTCAAATCGATACAACCCTTAGAAGAAATTGCACCAAGAAAAGATACATTCAATCCATTAGTTACAGGGACTGTGATTAAAGCCTTCTCTCCAACAGGAGACCATATACTAATGTTAAAGCCCGCTTCGTCAATAAACACACAATTGTTATTGAAGTCAAGCTTGTCTTTATACTCTTCAGCCCATTCTTGTCTTTCTTTCTTAAGCTCTTCCAGACTTCTCCTCTGAGACCACTTTGAAATACGCTTAAGACTGAATTTACATACTTTGGAGGAACTCTTGAGGCTCTGTAACATGAACTCAAACGTTACAGCCGTATCATCTTCTATTAGCTTCTTCAAGTGTTCTTTATGCTTATCTGAAAGTAAGGGATCACGTCCACGTTTCTTTGGAGTTTCGTAAATACCATTCAAATTCTTGACTACTTGTTTATTCCAATTTCTTTTCCAAGTATAAGCTGTTTGCAAACTAATATCGTTGATTTTCGCAGCTTTATATGCTGAGCACCCTTCTTCAATCACCATGTGCCAAAACCTCTCTCTTACTTTCTCAGAGTAATACTTGTAGAGTCCTCTTTCATTATTATTACACAGGTCCTCAGAAATTGTATCGATTTCTATTTCATTTTCCTGCTCATCTACAGAGAGTTGATCAACTTCCATATCTGGAAATCCGTTTATTCTTTTAAAATCACTGTAACTAAAACAATTCTCTAAAGGAGATGTCTCATACTCTACAGGCATCAGGTCAGGTTCCAAGTCCTATATATTCATTGGCCAATTCTTCTGCTTTGAAGTTCATTATATTAACCTTTCGTTTCTTTAACAGGAGTTAATCACATAGAGCATTTTTTTTGCTCGCCAATTTCGGTCAATTTGATCCAACAAGAGAGCTGACTCCATACAGTAGCGGTATGTAGCTTTAAGATTCAATAACGATGAACTGTGATCTAATTGATATGAATCTATTTGCTAATTGCTATGAAAATAAAAATTGTGGTATGAATATATTTTAATCGGTATGAAGAATTGGTTTACCACTGGTACGAAAATTTCCGGTCAATGATTAAAAACACTGTACATACATTAATTAAATAAATAATAATTTCATTGTTCATAGTCACGTAGCCAATTATCTAACTTTTCAAAGTAAGATATAATATCTTTTCCAATTAGAGTGGTCGGTATACTTCTTCTAGCGATTTGATTTGTTTTACTAAGCTCATAGTGAGATTTCAATTTCTCTATCAACGATTTTAATACTGAATATTCTAAATTGTCTTCATACTCTTGTTTGATGATTGGTCGTAAATCCAGCAAAAATCCTTCTTTGTTATTTAAATAATACCAGCTGGTTAACCATAATACCTTATTAAACATTGGGAACTTGAATTTTGGAGGAACCTTTGTTTGTTTCTCTATATTGCTAATTCTTAGCTGTGTTACCATATCTCTTAGAGTTAAAAAGTTCCCACCTATAACTATAGAATCTTCTGGCGTAAATACAGCATGGATCCAACCACTGGGGATAATAAAAAGATCACCTGCTTTCAAGGTAACTTTGAAACCTTTCAGTGGCTTAATTCTCTTTCCTCTCTTTGTCATACTGTAATCGACAAACCATAAGAAGTTCTGATTGGGCTCAAGACACCAAGTTTGATATAAATCAAGATTATTATCATTTGGAGGGAACATCAAAAATGTCTTAGCTCCTTTACATATGGTATAGTAAACGGATGTACCGCCAAAGTCAATATGAAAGTCTGTGAATGAATTTTTAACCGACATTAAACAATATTTGGTAACCTGAGATCTTTCTTGCTCATCATCTTTGTTCCATACTTTATCTACTAGGTCAAGTTCACGAACCATTTTGGGTCTTGAAAATTCTTTACCTAATCCTTCTACTTTGGATATTTCTAATGATATTACATTTCTAATTCTATCTCTACTGGCTTCATCAGTATTGAAATAATCTCTCCATTTACCAACATTCCAACCTGGATGAACACCTTGCTGAGATAGCACATCCATTACTTCTACTGATTCTTCATCCCCTACTTTATCGGCAATATAATTGATAGATATTTTTTCCTTTGATATGGGGAACTTCATGCCTACTTTTTCAATATCCACATTAGGTATATAAATAGGTTTTGATAATTGAGAAGACAATGCATATTCTTTAGTTAAATCATCCATAACATCTATAAAAGGATTTTGTTTTTTATATTCATTTGCATTTACTGGGAAATCTAAGAATGATGAAACATGAGGATGAAATGTTTTATCAAGTAAGAAAGTATCTCCATCATTTAATGCCGCATAATCAACAGTTATACGACTTCTTTTGGACTTCCGTTTATGTAGGGATGGTCCATGTAATTTACTACATTTCGTACAATGATAAGAATGCAAATTATTTATCTCAATTTGGGGTAATTTTAAACAAAAAGTATGAAACCATTGTCCACAAATATCACACTGTAGCCATGATATATCTGATATTTTTGATGAATCTTCTAATGGCTTTTCCTTACATAGAGGACATATGTCAATTGAAGGCATTATGAATCATTGAAACTTACAATACAGGCAATTTGAAAAATTTCCGATAACAAATGATGGGGTATCTCTTTTTTTCTCACTATGTCAAAAGTCAGCTCATACCGAATGGGGAAAACGCTCCGCTGGGCCATAAAATGATTGCGACCATTTATATATTTTAATTTTGAAATTTTACTAATTGTTACTGTGAACACTTGATTTTAGTATTAGAGTGATGATGATTATAAGAAGACTACCAACTGGATTGGTACGGACAAACTTAACAGTATCATCATGTAGAATGTTAAGAAAAAGGCGATTTTTACATGGTAGTTTAGCTACCAAGATTGAGTCATCGATTGAGTCACCATCAACACCCATCTCAGGAAATGAAGAACAAGATCAACAACTGAAATTTCTAGAAGAATATAAAATAAGAACACTTCTTGAGAGACCCATATACTACTATGCTGAGAAAGAATTACCCAAATTCTCTATTGAGAGATTATATGAACAATCACATAAATTATCACCTACTTTCATATTGCAAAATGCTCAAGAAACCATTGAACATTTATTAACTTATAATGCTAGAAGAATAAAGGAATTCAGAAACTTACCCTATTTGGTAGTTCTTAATCCTTCCATCTCCGAATCATACAGTACCTATTTACAAACCATGTCTTCATTATTAACAGCATCATTAAATCCTCCCACCACCCTAGCTGAAAATGAAACTTTTGCAAAGACTGTATTGAGTGAATTCATAGATGCTCATGCTGATACGCTCCCCAGTTTATCAAAGGGATTTAATGAAGTATTTGATTTCATTTCTACTGATCAAATTACTCACTTTCTTGACCAACATCTCAAGGAAAGAATCAGTATGAGATTAATTGCTCATCAACATATTCAATTGACCAAGGCATTGATTGGAGAAACTCCCTATGAGAAAGGGGGTAAATATAATGGGGTTATAAAAGTATTAAATATTGCTGATGTCATTAAGAAGAATGCTGAATTGGTCAATGATATTCTCTTATTGAAATATGATCAAACTGTTCCAATACAAATTGATACTAATTTAAATCCTATAAATTATTGGAGTAGACAAGATCCAGAGTTAATGAGGCCTACTGAAGATGAATTACGTCATTTCCCTTATATAGAGTATCATTTAGATTACATTCTTACTGAATTGTTTAAGAATTCATTCCGTTCTCATATTGAGAATAAAATCGAAGATCCGGTACAAATTACTATTTCAATTGCTACCAAACCTACTTCATACTTAGAATTAAGAATTAGAGATAAGGGGAAAGGTATACCGCCTAAAGTTATGAATCATATATTTGATTATTCATTTACTACCTGGGAAAATAATGAAGGTGATAGTTATAAAACTTTGAATGTCCCACCAGGTTTAGGGGGCAATGTTGTTGCTGGAATGGGATATGGATTACCGTTACTGAAGAATTATGTAGAGATATTCAATGATACTTTACCTGATGAAGATGGTATAGTAACTACCAAGGGTCTGTTATCCATCCAGACCTATTACGGATGGGGAACTGACGTATACCTTAAGACTGTAGGACAATAGAGATTCATACAATACATTTTTTGCAAATAAACATATATTTATAATAAAAAAATATAAGTAAATTGTATAAGTAAACAGCTAGAAGTTAGTAGTACCTAAAAGTAATAAATCATTGACAATATCGAACAAGTTTAAACTAGAAAATTCAAACTCTGACACCATCAAAGGAAGCAAGTCCGATCAGAACCTACTATACTTAGTCAATTATAAAACAAGAAATTTTATAAGGTTATATTACTAAACCTTAGCCAGTTTTTGTATAACCTGACAAAAAAAGTTAAATTATATTGGGAAACCTTGGAAACAAATACTGTTCTATGTCCATGAGTTTAAACATTTAAGAAATATCGTCATATCTTATTAGGTCGTCATATTCACCATCGAACGTATCATCAACTGTTACTGTTTTTACTTCGAGATATGGAAACCTAGTCCTAGTGCGTGTCCTGCCCATTTTCAAAGGAGAAAGAATAAGAATAGAATTAGTGTAACAAAATTGGCTGCAAAGAACTATCTATCAACTATCCTTCGTGTTCATTAAGTATCAAAGGTAATTCTTGATCCAATTACTTACAATAATCCTGATAGGGCTGCAAGAAACGAATCTAAATCAGTCACAGCTATTCATACATATAGAATTATACACACATCAGTGAAGTTAATTTGGCAACAGGATCCTGATTTAATTTGAAACAATGAATCGAAAAACTTTAGATGATTTCATTAGCTTTGATAATGCTGTAACTATATTAACTCGCAATTTTAGAAGAGGAGAGGATATAGATATATTCCAAATTGGCGAAGAGGGAAGACTAATGTATGAACAGAATAAAGAAGAATTGAGTGTTTATCTAAAACAGGCAACTAATGAGGAATTAGATGAAAAGTTAAACGAATTCTCTATGAATGAGTTGCAAAATATATACACGAAAGAAGACTGTATAAGCCTCATTTTCGAGCTTCATAATTTTCATCAGTTACATTCCATACCATTTGACAATACTAAAGAGCTTTGGAAGTTACAAAAGCGTGTTGTAAAGGATCTCAATTACTATGTCAAAAGAAATAAGTTATATTTCAGTGAATACTTTGATTGTTATGCACATTTGAGTTTCTTTCTTCGAATGAAAGTTCCGGTGATTGAAATTAATAAAAATCCATCATCTGATAATAGGCACCATAAGTTTAAAGCACTAGTAGGAAACTTTTTTCCGAAATCATCCTTGATCAATTATATAATGCCCGGTGATTCTTCATTTAGAATTGAAATGTCAGTGCTTGAAGATTTTCAATATGCTCCTGAGTACCCAAAAAATAATAAGGAGTATCTGGAACTGGATATAAGTGATTATTTTATGACAAATATAATAAAGCCTGTTTGTCGGCTTTTACCAGAAAATGTTTCCTATCATCGAGAACAGCTGCAAAAGCTTTATACGAGGTCAGTACCAGATATTTCCATCAACAGTGATGACCAGGTTATTCCCATAGAATTAAAAAAGTTTTCCTTTAGCAAATATTTAGATAATGATCAAGAAAGAAGAATTCGGTTTAACGAATCGTTCAGCCAGGTCCTACGCCATTGTCTTTCCACAAAGAATTTGGTGGGTATCTTAAGCAACTATAAGGAGATAGTCGCAATCGATTTTACTAATTCTTCTCCCCTGGAAGATTATTTTCATTTAAAAAAATGCAAAATTTTGAGGCAATTGTCATGTGAAATGATCAAATTGGCCAATCCTTTACAAGTCCTTATGTTTATTAGGACTTGCATTAGTAATCCTAATCAAGAAGAAGAGGCAGCTGCTCTTCTTGACAGGTTAAAACTTCAGTCCAGCAAAAGGAAAATGGTAATAAACCATTTATATTATCATTTATGCCATTTTATACAAAGTTTAGTTGAAATTGTAAACAAGGAGAAAGATCTTATACCTTCTCAGATAGACCCACATAGTACGGAACAACCATCTAAAGAATATGCTAAATTAGCAAAACAGATTTACGATGAAGTCTACAGCATCAATAAATTAGATATAAAAAATATGTTAAAAATTGCCCAACAGATTCGTCGTTTGGATAGAATATTTAATAACACATTGTCTATAGAAGGTGTACAGGAGAAAATACCATTAGCATGGAACCAAATTATTTCAGGTGCTAAGTTTGGTACTAGGAACTCTATAGTCGTTAAGACTAAAATTGGTGGCACCGATTCAGTTATCAAAATCTTTGATCCAATACGCACCACATCATTCACTTTGACCAACGGGAATGCTCGTGATAGTTTGGCCATTTGCCTAACAAATATGATTAAAGAAGTTGCAAGTCTTCACATTCTTAGGAAGCATCCTTTCATTCCAAAGATAACTGGCATTGGATTTATAGATAATATTAATGAAGAATTCGTCTCTGAATTAAGTATTGAAAATCCGGTAGTTTGTGGCTTCTATTATACATATGATTTTATTGAAGGTCAAATGCTCTCTGAATTAACGTTGCAACAGAAACAATTCCTTGAGCCTACAATTCGAAGTATGATAGATCAAATAAATAGTGAAGGCATTGCACATTTAGACTTGAATGATTCGAACATTATAGTTGAAGACTATGATGCTAGAAAAGTCCACATAATTGATTTCGGCCACTCGTACATGGATTGGGAAAGAACATATTATTGGCCAGCTGATAGACCTGGTGGTAAACGTGAAAAACCTAAGCTGCCAACAGTTTTCAGTGAAATGTTATCAATAGATGAAGAGGCCCAAAATAGAATCTTTTCTAGAACAAATGCAAAGCCCTTAAATGAGTGTCAACGGAGGAATAAGTTGGCTCGGTTGAGTTTGTAATCCAACATGTGTTCATTTAGCAACAATGATCTTCATTTATTTTGTTTTATCGGCTCTAAATTCCCAAACTGGTCAGATTCAAGCCTTTGACATCTATTTTATTGCTTCTTTCTCTCTATTGTATAGATTTTCTTATAATAATGCTAATATTGGGCCATTTCTCTTGCTACGTACAGTCTACTAAAAAGAATCTGTTCCTTAATTTTTTGTATATATTATTTATATTCAGTGGATCTCGTATTTATATATAACGTAAACTAAGTTACTTTTCCAGATAACTCTTTGATGGTTATAGAAACATACAACTCCAAATATACAAATATATTTATATAGTAATATGACATTTCTGACTTAACTGAAACTCAAGTAAAGGTACTTGGTTGTAATCATCTGAAGTACTTGTTATACTTGCCTCACGCGCTACTAACAAAATGAAAAGTTACCCTGAAGGTGAACCAACCCTTTATCCAAATCCCGCACAAAAAGATCTGGTGATACACGGCGGAACACTACGAACATTCAAAACCATCTTTTGTTCATTGGAGTACTGCATTTCCTCAGAAGTTCACATTATCAATTACCCGTATTAGAGTGGGCTTGTTTATGTGTGAGTGTCTGGGAGTCATAGAGGGTTAGAGAACATCAGGGTGTATAACCATATCAGGGGTGAATAATAATGTATTCGTACTCAACTCCATTAGAGGGAGTACCGCAAACTTCATTTCCAACCAACGGTTCGACTTTCAACACAGAAAATTCTCCGCGCACTAGCATAGATGAAGAATTGGATGGACTCCTAATTAATAGTGACTCTCAGGAGTGTAATAATAACTTATCATCATTCATAAAGTATATTATAGATAAGGTGTATATGACAAGTGATTATGAAGAAGAAAGAAATTATCATAAATTATCGCAATATGCGCTCAAATTGATTAATCTGAACTTATTTGTTAAGAACTATAAGTTCTGTATGGGGAAATTCTTAGCATTCTTATCTACTTTCACATCATGGACTGAATGTAGTGTACTTGGATTAGAAGATACCAGTGATATGGATCCAAAAGTTAGACAAGAAGGTGAATATATTAAGGAATTTCTTTGTATTATCTTACTTGTACTATTGAAATTAAAGAATAGTGGTAATGAAGTTGTACAAGATGATAATTCTAATGTTAATGTGATAAAAACTGAAGATTTATTTAAGACATTACAGGATTATGATTTTATTACAGTAATTTCTAATTTTATTAGTGTACACGTTCGTGCATTAGATAAACAACAAACTTCATTTGTATTATTCAAATTTAGTTGTGATATATTCTTTGAATATTTATATTATACTGAATTACTTACCGATGAAGAATTCTCTTCATTAACTAATGATACCCAAATTATTCCTACTTTAATCAAGTATCTTCTAGCCAATGAGAACTTTAGTACCTACGATATTGATGGAGATGATTTTGAAGATGAAGATAAGTTAATTGCATACGAAGAATTTAAATTACTCCTATTAATTAATGAACAGTATCTTATGAAATCATATCTGAATTCCAATATTGAAAATAAGGTATTTAATGGATTAATGAAAGGTGATAGTGAAGATATATCTCCCAATACTAATCATGCTAATATAACAGGATTTATTAATTTATTAATATATCATCTTAATAGAGAAGAATCACAAATCATTAAGATTTTAATCTTAAAATTTCTTTATCTTGTATTCACTACATCATATACTACTAGACTTGTATATTTAAATGATTTAAAAATCCTTATAGATGTATTTATTCGAGAATTAAATAATATGGATTTTACTGGTTCTCAAGGTAATGAACATAGATTCTTAGCTATAACTTATTTAAAAGTTATGTATCCATTACTTATGTTTTCACAAATTAAAGATCTTGTGGAAGGGTATAAGAATAATGATATTTTAGAATTATTTGAGAATCTTATATTAAATACTCAAAATAATGATAATATAGAAGATAATGTTCGACAAGAACAAGAAGAAGTTATTTGTAAACTTGCTAAGAAAAGTATGGGGATACAATGGCTTAAGATTAGTAAAAAGAAATCATCATCATCACCATCAGCTTCTTCATTAACTCATACTTCGACATCTTCATCATTAAATTCATTAAATAATAATAATAGTAGTAAAGTATCATCAGATGAAGTATCGAATGTTTCAACAGATTCCATTGTTAATATGGCTAGAGTTGCATCAGTAAGAACTTCAAGTAGAAGTGATTATCATAAGCATACCACTTCTCATAATATTCAAGACTTTAGACGTCATTCTCATGATCAAAAGTCCTTATACGCTTCCAATAATAATAATATATTCCTTGAAAAGCATATGGAAGATTTACATATTAATCCTGCTGATTCAGAAGAGTTTTCTCCATGGGTGGCTCCACCAGAAGCACCAACTAAAGGTTGTAATAATATTCTTGATTTACCTGTAGAATATCTCAAGACAAAGAAGTTGCCTGTGCTTCCAGTGCCAATAAAAGCTGACAGAGATATATACAAACATGGAGCTGGATCTTCATCGTCTGTCAATTCTGCATCTCTGAATGGGTATAAGCATAAGAAGCCCCCACCACCACCTCCACAAGCACCTCAAGTAAATGAATTCAGAGCTAGTCCATCTCCCTTACCAAAGTATGGTACGCCACCTCCACCACCGCCACCTCCAAGAAGGAGACGATAATATCGGTAATTAGTAATAGTTGCATTAATTTGTATTATAAATATTTTAATAAATAGTCCATATATAATATATAATATATAATCTACATGGAGATATCCTCTTTGAAACTTAAAACATCATCGAATCGAAGTCCATTGATTTCTGCTCGAGTATAAGAATCCAATTCTCGTTGAATTTCTTCTTCATTCTCTTGATCATTACTATCACTTGAAGCCACCAATACTAACCCTCGAGATCTAATTAAAGGAACTAATTTAGGTACTAAATCTAATAAATGAATTGAAGTTATTAAACCAATTAAATTATTATTAATGGTGAAATTCACGGCTTCTTTAATTGATCTAATAGTAATTTCTTGATGATTACTTATAATTTTATCTCGAGAATTTTTATTTAAAGAAGAAGATTTAGTTTCTGAAGAGGAAGATAAATCATGACTTATACTATTATTCTTTCTTATATCATCAACAAGTAATCCATTAGCAGATCTTGATTCAAATTTTCTAGCACTAGTATTAAAAGTTATACCACTCATAATTAAAAACACAGGAAAATTGGGTTGTTTCCAATTTAAAATTTTACAAATTAATGAATTGGATGATAAAAATATAATTGATCTTCCAGGTGTTGATTGTTTTAATTTTGAACTTCTAATATGATTGAAAACATCATTTAAAGTAAAATTAATGAAATTATCTAAATTCAGTTGAATATTTCCAATAAATGGTAAATGAGCTAACTCATATAATGTTGGATAAATAATTTCCAAACTTAGATTAATTTCAAGATTTAATACATCTAAAAAGATATCTAATGGTAAATAAATTATTCTTAATAATTTTTTAATTAGTCCAATATCTTTTATACTCATTCTTGATAAATCATGAATTACTTTACTATAGTCAAATAGATCATTAGTTATGGAACTTAATTGTTCTAATGATAAATTTGGTAAATAAAGATCAATATTTTCCGTAATGGCTATTGACCAATGAGGACATACTACTGGAGTACCATCATTAAGTAAACATACTTTAATACGAAGATATTCTCCGGATAATGATGTAGCAGTTACAATTGACGAGGGGGCGGCAGAACTTGAAACTAATTCATTAGTTGAAGTTACGGCTCCATCAATGATTCCACTAGCATTTAATACTGGACCCTCTTTACCAGAACCAGTTCCACTGCCATTTCCATTCCCATTCCCAATTAAAGAATTTATACTGGAGGGTGATAAGAAATTATTAGGAGATAACCCACCAGCCGCATTCAATTTCAAAGTCTGTCTATTCTTAACAAATCCAGTAGAAGATTTCCAATAAGTATCAAACTTGGAGGTTTCCAATAAAGTGCCCAGAAAGGGGAAAATCACCTGATAATTAAATTTCAATTCTCCAATATTTCTTAATCTTAAATCAAATAAAGGTAATTGAATTGAATTAATTTCTGGTGAGGAAGTATCAATTTGACAAAATGATAAAGCTGTTGTTTTAGCAATTAATCGAGTACCGAATTTAGGAAATACTTCGAAATCAATTCGAAATTCTTGTAATGATTCAATATCTGTTTGAAATACACAATTATTATTTGATTTATTATCGTCACCTACGGGGAGTAAAACATTTCTAGGGACAATATCAGAAATATTTGAAGTAATGGTTATTCTCCCGGGTTTTAAATCGGTAGTTAAATTAAACAAATTAATAAAATCAGAATCATTGGGGAATATTAATTCAATTAATACTTTTTGTTCTAAGAAATTATGCCCATACCTTCTGAGAGGTAATATGGGGGGAGGTAATTGTAGATCAGGTATATTGTCGACGTTATTCTTATCTACACTGCCGCTATCTTCTGAGTCATCGTCATTCTCTACTAAGATAGACATGCTCTTACCATCCAGTTGTTGATGCAGTTGCAGTTGTTGGTTTTGCAGTTGCAGTTGCACTTGGTGTTGCAGTTGTTGCAGTTGTTGTAGTTGCAGTTGTAGCTGCTGTTCTTGGTGTTGCTGCTGCTTAGTGGCCGTGATCTCTTCACTGACTATACTATTCATACTATTGATCTTTGTATTTCTTACCTCACTCTTCGAGATGGTCCGATAATGATTCAATAACTCATTCAACACATCAATATGACCCTCTACCACACAATAGTACAATACATTATAACCATCTTCATCGACAATATTTAATTTGGCCCCCAACTTAACTAATTCTTGCGTAGTCTTAACATGACCCTCTGAAGCAGCATAGAATATGGGAGTCCATTTATTTAAGCCATCAATCTTATTAATCTCGGCTCCATATTGAATTAATGATTTAATTAATTTATAATGTCCTGTTCTAGAAATCACATGTAATGGTAATAAACCCTCAACATCCTGCTGATTAATTAAATTGGGATCATTGGACTTATTATTAGATAACAAGTATTCCACAATCTTATAATCCCCAAACTTACAAGCATAATTAATGGGTAAATACTGTAATTTATTTTCATCATTCGGTGGGAAACAGTTGGCACCTGATTGAACTAATCGTTTAATTATGGGGAAATATCCATGTTTGATAGCCAATAATAATGGAGACATGGAATCGATATCTAAATCATCAATATGATCAATGGGGAAGAAACTCAATAAGATTTCTAATAAATCAAGTCGATTATGTTGGGCAGCATAATGTAAACAAGTTCTTCCATTAAAATCTTTACGAATTAATAAGGCAGTTCTTTGTTGAGAGGTGACATTTTCCATAATATGTTGAATTATAAATGTTCGAGAATGATTAATTGAATCAACGGAATTAACCACTTTAACTCCATTATTGATTACCACATGATTTTCATGAGTTGAAGCCGGTGGAATAGCACAACATTCATGAAGTATACTCTTATTGTTATTGAAATCATCATTGACAAAGATGAAGTCAATCAGATAATTAATTAGTTTAAGAAATGATTCTAAGAAAGTATCGGAAATCTTAAGGTTGGCCACAGCAAGTAAGAATATCTTTGTTAGTTTATACTTAGCAGCCGAATTAAATTGTTGTTGTTGTTGTTGTTGTTGTTGTTGTTGTTGTTGTTGTTGTTGTTGTTGTTGTTGTTGTTGTTGAGAATCACCTATTGTATTATTGGATTTCTCAATAGGTTCAGGAGTAACTGATGGAAGTGGATTAGAAGATTTAGTAGAATTTGTAGAATTACCAGGAGGAACTCTTAGGGATGAACTAGTGGAGTCTCGATGTTTTGTAGTGGTAGATGATGAAGAAGATGGACCTGAATATGAAGAAGACTTAACCTTATCAACCCACCGAGCCAATAAAGACAAATCTGGATCTTTAATAGTTGCAACATTAACAAAACTTGTATATAATTCATCGATTTCACTATTCTGTAAATAAGAAATGTTTCTACCAGAACTGGGGAAATTGTTAGGTCCAGGTAAGGAACTTATAGATTGATGTCTATCGGATAATGATTGTTCAGTAATATTTATATTTAAATTTAAATTTGAAGTAGAATTAGTTCGGGATAAACTTAATGGAGGTTGAGGTTGAGGTTGAGGTTGATGAGGTTGATGAGGAAGTGGAGGAGGAGTATGTTGAGAAATATTTGACGAAGAAGATTGACTGAAATTGGCCTGATCCTGCAATTGCTGTTGTAATAGTAACTGATGTTGTAATTGAGATTGAGAATGATTTAAACTGGTTGAAGAATAATTCTTTAAGGAAGCATAATCTCCATCCATAATTGATTCTAAATCAAATAATGATTGAGTTACAAGATCACTTAATTCATTAATTTCATTTTTATGAAATACCGGTTGCACACTAACGGCCGTCAGTATAAATAATTCTTTAGTATGAGATTTTGATCGTTTATCCCATTTCTTAACTACTTTAGAAAAGCCTGTTTCATTTAATTCAATAAATTGTTGTAATCTTAATAAATCTTGATGGATTTTTTTAAAGTTTTGATATAAATTTAAATAGGAAATGGAATTACGGAAATTGGCATTAATTAAATTCGAATCATTTTGTTGTAATTTAACAAATTCATTAGTTTTATTTAATAATTCATTCTTCTTTAACATTAATAAGTCAAGATTTATGGCTAAATTGGCCTGCTTTTCAAGATAAAATGAGTTGACTTTATCCAATTCTCGTTCTACTCGGAAGAAGAATTGAGCTTTATTCTCTTTAAGAGTTTGTTGAATTTCTGCTTGAGTTAATGGTCGAGTATCATTAGTTGAAGTGGTGGGGATGGCTAATTGTTTAATGAGTTTCTTAAGCGCCTTATAGTCAATGAAATGTCCGGAATATTCCGGCAACTCAAGCTGTCTCGATGCAAGATACTTACCGAACTTCATTTAGGGAGTCAGGACAAGTTAGTACAAGTTAGTAGTGGAGATAGTGGAGATAGTAGTGGTGATAGTAGTTAAATTAGTGAGTAGTGGGAGACATATAGTGGGAGTATTTCGCGACCATTTTTCACGCACGTGTCGCGAAAAGTCGGCTAGTAATTAGTGAGGGAGAGCAACTTAGAGATGGCAAGAAGCGGTAGCAGAGAGTTAGAGAGTTGGAGAGTTAGAGAGTTAGAGGAGTGAGTCTCTGAGTCAGAGTCAGTGGAAGAGTCAGTGAGTCAGTACTGTTAGTATACTGAGCCAGTACTGTTTCTGTAACGAGTCAGTACTGTTACTGTTACAGTACTAATTAGTGTGTCGTATGTCGTACGTCGTGTCGTATGTCATATCGCTTGTCATGTCGTATGCCATGTCGCATATCATCATCTCTACGTCGTATCGTGTCTTCTGTCGCTACCATTTAACTAATACTATTCATATATTCAATATATTAAACTAAATTCGCTTATGCCTTTTTAGCAGCATCTCTAGCAGTATCAAAGTGCTCTTTAAACTTATCAGCATTTTCTTTATTACCAAATCTAATGGCTAAAGTTTGTGCTTCAGGTTCACCTTCAGAAATATCAGCCGCAACACTATATACCCAAGATCTATCAGATCCAATATTAGGCTTTAATTCATAATCTCCAGAAATTAAATGATTGGCACAAATCTTTAATGTCTTATCTCTTCTCATTAAGATTCTAACCTTTTTAGTTTGCTTATGTTGTAAAAATTTAACATCTCCTGTACCTCTTTCCTTCCATTCTTTACTATCTCCATGAAATCTAAATAATTTAGCCCGAACTTTATATAATACTTCTTCGTCTTCTTCATTGGTTTTGACATCAACTTTTTCTAAAGTAACCAATGGTTCAAAATGCACATCGGCTTCTTCTTCTTCGGCCTTGTCATCTTCATCTTCTTTACCTTCCTTCTTTTCTTGTTTAGTTTCACCTTCACCTTCGGCTACAGCTTCTGGTTCTTCCTTCTTTTCCTTCTTAGCTCCAAACATCGAGAAAACATTGGATGTTGGAACAGCAGGAGTGCTGGTAGTGGTGGCCTCTTCGACTTTTGGTTTACTATCTTCTGACGACATTATTACTGCTTTAAGTATAGACTGGTAATCACTAGTTAAACTAAACTTCGAGATCAAATTTTTTTTCGATCTTTGGGATTTTCTGAGCAGTGGCGTGTTGACTGCCCAATCGGGAAGGCTGCGACTACACTCTACAAATATGCTTATGTCATTATACAACATTAATATATATTATTCCATAGTTATTCATATCACCTTAAAAATGGTTGGTAAGATTGAAATACAAAGATTTCCTGATTTATTTACTGCTATCTAGGCATTTATTTATGAATAATTTACACTATCTATAGAGAAATGCCTCTAAACACCGCTCTGTGCTCTACACGACCGCATATCAAAAACAGCTGCAAAAAGGTCTACTACGCTTAATTCTCACATTATAAAGGCTTCACATTCATTAATTTACCACATTCATTAATTTACCACATTCATTAATTTAACCTCAGTGAATACCCATTGCAATCCATAATGAAGCTTGAAGAAATCATTAACTTTGATGATGCTATAGCTGCGTTATCCTCATCCAATGGAGAGGTCGAACCAATTCAGATTCATTTAAAGGGAAAGGACCAATACAATGTCCGAAAGGATGAGTTGGAAGAATATTTAAAGAATGAAAATATAGAAGAAGAAGAACAGTTTTTGAAAACGTTCAAGTTAGGGACCACAAACTTTCTGAACTCTCAGTTACTAACACTAATTCTCCGTATTTACAACTTTCACTTACTCAGCAAGTTGGAATTCGAGACTACAGAAGAACTTATAGAAATAATTGATAAAATCAGCAAAACTTTACGTAACATTCTATTAATTGACTTGTTTGCTTATTGGTGTTTTTCAATACAGATGAGTTTTAGACTTCCCATAATACCAGGTTTGTACCAGTCATATAAAGAAAATAATGTACATGATAGTGAAATTGATTATGATAGTGAAATTGATTATGATATTGATAATGATTCAGAATCTAAACAACCTTTCATCAGTGACATTGACTCTGATATGATGCAAATTCTTACTTCAATTTCTCATAAAACATTCTTCGAAAAGCTTCTCTATACCCGATCAGATGGATCTAGACGGGAGCAACCTAAAGTTACTTACTCGCGATATATGCCTAATGAAACTAGGTATCAAGGAATAAAATCATGTATGGGCTTATTTTATCCCGAATCAGAATTAAAGGATTTTACAGTAGATGAATTCAGTGATCTCAAACTCAAATTAGAAGAAATTAAGAAGGCATACATATATGGTAGATTCAAATATCAATTATCTGAGTACGACGAATACCAAGTAGAAGATGCTGTTCAAGCAAACATATTCACTATTCCATGTAAGTATTTTTCACCCGATTATGGCGTTTTAGTGGCCTATTTAAGATCTAAGAATATAGATGACAAAACTTTAACTACATTTTCGGAATTAGGAATCCATCTTGAGCAAGGTAATATTCCTGTTGTAATAATACTGCACGGACTTGAAAAGTATTTGAGAGACTTCTATGAAACAAGATTCAGCGGGAGTTGGAGCATATTTGAAGAGATATATATGCAAGGTCTTAGAGAAGCTGCATGTCGTGAGACAAACTGCTTCTTTCTAAGCGATTATAGAACGACTCTATTTATTGACTTTCATTCAATAGGGGAATTTAGGGGTCACGACAGCTGTACTTTGATGAGACCATTATATGGCTCAATTTTGGAAATTAAGGAAAATGAAGAATTTTCTTTAATTTTCCAATTGTACCTTCTTTTAAATAAAGTTCAAAATGATTATGACCCTAACAAGATTTTATTAGACTTAGAAGATAACTTGTATTTTACCACTGGTGTTCGTAAAGTTCTAGTTATGCGCTATTACAAAGTTATTGATGAATTTAATAGAAATTTGTATGACATTGTCCATCCTGGCAAATAAAGAATCAGTTACGCATTCAACATACAAATATAAGCATTTTACCGAGCCATATTGCAATTATAATTCCGGTCCGTGGTATAAAATTACTGTAATAATAAATATTCTATATACAAAATCTAAATCTATAGTTAAACTTTTTGGAATTTACTTATTTAGTTCTAGTTAAAATGGAATTAGTGAGGAATTCAAGTGCACTACGAGCATCTGATTCCGGTAATACTCGTAAATTATCTAAAGCTTTATAACAGTACTGTTCAGCCATTTCTTTAGTCTTCTCTAATCCTTTATACTTTTGCACGGCATTACGAGCAATTTCGACATCTCCTGGTTGATTGAATTTACGACCAATAAGCTCTCCAAGTGTTGGATCTTCTTTCCAAGCAAATAATATTGGTGCAGTAGCCAATCCTAATTTTAAATCGGCTTGACTAGGTTTACCAAATGTAGCATCACTCGATGTATAATCCAAGAGATCATCGACTATTTGGAAACATAATCCTAAATTACGACCAAACTCATAACATTTCTCAATTATATCATCTTGAGATCCACTTAATACAGCAGCTGCTCGAGATGATTTTGACATAAGTGATGCAGTCTTTAAGTAAGTCTTATGCAAATAGTATTCAAATGCTGCATCAACATTAGTAATATGATCAACTTGTTGAGGTGGTGTAATTGAATATTCATGTTGTTCAGTAGGAACTTTACCAGTAGGAGTCGGTATGGATTTGGATTCTCCATCATTATCTATAATGTTTGTATCTTCATTCTTCATAACTGTATTCTTTAATTGCATGAATTCTCCTTCTACTAAATTAGCAATGGTAGTTGATAATAATTCAATTACTTCTGGATTTCTTAATCTAGCAATGGCTACAGAAGCTCTACCTAAAAGGAAATCCCCTGCTAAAACTGCCATTTTATTAGTAAATGCAATATTCCCACTGGGTCTACCTCTTCTTGAATCACTTAAATCAATGACATCATCATGTAATAATGAAGCAGTATGAATCATTTCTACAATTTCAGCCAATCGACGTTGTTTAGGTAAAATTCCATTAACAGCATCAAACGAGGGTAATTTATCCATTGGTTTAGATAATGGATCTAAGATAACTCGAGGATTAATACCATGTAAAATAGCCAACGGAGATATAGAATCATCAACAGATTTACCAGCTACTGAAGTAGCAGTAGGGGTACCTTGATAATGAGGTTGATCAGTAACATCATAAGTATCGATTTTAATTCTATTTCTTTGATCTAATGGAATATTGGATAATGCTTTAGATAATAATAATACAATTAATGGTCTAACATTTTTACCTTCTGCTTCAAAATAGTATGAACTAACTCGATTTAAAGTAGGATGTCCTGATCCAATTAAACTAGCAATTGACTTGGCTAAGTTAGACATTTCATGACTAACTATGGAAAATGGATCATTAAAGATCTTAGATGACGGAGGTTGGACGAGCTTTTCGGCTGTTTCTACGGCAGTTTTGAACGTATTGACAGTAGAACCAACATTGCCGGTCGCTACTGAAGAATTGTACCGAGAAATATATCTAGATCTGGTAAGTATCCCTTTAGATTGGCTACTTACCAATTGCCTTCTAATGGCTAACATAGTGATGGAAAAATGCAATAGTTACGGAAAAACTTCGGTGAAAAAGGCAAACTACCAATTAGAACACGATGGAACTGTATAAATGAATGAATATCAGCTCACAGCAGGTGAAAGCTCTGGTTTTCGTCCGTAGTTAGTGTCTTATAGTGTTCTAGTAAGCTTGCTACCAATTATGGCTCGGTAATTTTTCACTCGGTGATATTTTTTCATCTTGTCCCAAATAGGCAGTTTCGTATGCGTAAATATATATATGTCGTGCACACGACTAGGTTGCAAATATGTAACCGATATCAGCTTAGCTGCCCCTTACCTTTTGTAATTAATGGTTATTGTATGGTATTAGTAAGCTTATTACTAAGATTCTGAGAACATTATAAGAAATCTAAATTACTATATAGTTATAGAGTTATAATTCCTCTACCTTTATACTACCACTTCCTATTGTTCCTGTAGATGCGTTTGATCTCATTGTACAAGTGTATTCTACTACACAACCTATACTTGTCGTTATACAGTACACATACACATACATATATATATATATATATATATATATATATATATAGATACATATAACTAGCTTATCATTATCGTTTATAGTATATTTATATCATTTATATATCATTTATCATTGATCTATTTAAGTATATCTACTCGAATTGAGCTCTTTGCACGGGGTTCGTATTACGTAAGAACACATCTGGAGGAGTTAATGTGCCAAGAGCTCGAATGGACTGTAAATTCATATATGTAAGTCCCAATAAGTAACTAGAATTAACCCAACCAAACCCCTCTGTGGCTACTCCTTTAAAATCTAACCCTTGATTTCCATATTCGGCATCGACTCGATGAGCCACTGCACCTTTAGTAACATTATATTTTTCTACCACAACTCCATTATAATCAACAAAGGCTCGAGTCATCATATAAAGCCATCTATAGGCTAATCTTCTTGCAATTCCATGATAATCATAATTGGTTAATCCAATCCAGGCAAGAATTTGTTGAGGAGCCCAACCATAAGGATAATCCCATTGTCTTGAAGGTCTATTCAAATTAATTTCTCCTCGAGATGATTCTGTTCCTGCGGCTAAACCTCCAAATTCTTCAAGTTTTGGTAAAGTATTTTGAACCATTTTATCTGCCTGTTGCTGAGTTGATAATTTAGACCATAATGGCCAAAAAGTTGTGGCGGATTCATATTTACTTTGTTGTTTTGTCTTAACATTATAATCATAATACATCGAATCATCACCATTCCAAAGATATTTATCCACATTCAATCTTCTAATAGTGGCTTTTTCAAGCCAATTTTGACTAACTTCAAAATCATCTTCGTCAATTTGTAATTTGTTGGAGAAGAAAGTGGCAAGAATAAAGGCAATATCATTTTCATATTTATATAAAAGTGAATTCAAATCAACAGTAGCAAGATGAGCACATTTCCCTTCTAATCTATAAGAAGTATCATGACCCGATTCACGAACGGCACGATCATGAAGGAAATATTCATCCAAATCAGGTTCTTTAATTTCTCCCAGATTATATAATTCAATGAATTCATCTTGAGGTAAACCATACTTTTCAACATAAGGTTTTAATACTGAATTAAAATGTGATGGTTCAGTTTCTGGTGGAATCCCAATTCCATCAGGGTGATAACATGATAATCCAGTTTCTGGATCTAACCGAGGTTCACAACACCAAACAGTTTTATATTCTTTAATGGCAGCAATAGTTGCCCGTTTTAAAAAATCTAAAGTATCATCATATTTATCAGGGAATACTTCATTGGTTTTATTAAATACTCTTAATGCCATATCAGTTAAAAAAGGTGGTTGAGATCTACCAAGATAATAAGATCTATTCGCATTAAGGATTTTCCCATAATGATAAATCTCATAAATAAAATTCTCTGTCATACCTCTAGCCAATGCTAAATGATTTAAATTCTTTCCTGGTTCAACATCAGTTAATAATCCAATGGTTTCCATATAAGAATCCCAACCATATAATTCATTAAATCTTCCTCCAGGTACAATATAAGGTTGATTAATAACTTCACCAGTAATTGGATCAGTTGAAGTTGCAAGAGCCAATAATCCTGGTTTCTTATTAATTGATTTAATAAATTCTGCATCAATCTTTTTTGGTAAATAAGCAACATCTAAATTTATAGTTGGATTTTCCTTTTTAAATGATGAATAATATTCAAATTGATCGGCTCTATTATAAGGAATATAAATTCTATGACTTTCAACCAGTTGAATTTCTCCATGTTCATCAATAAATTCATCTCTCATTTTTGTATCCTTTGACATTTCATAGGCATTATCTTTAGTTAAACATCTAGTTAAAGATTTCCAAAATTGAGTTGAAATAAGTCTTTTCATTCTTGCAACCGGATTTTCATTTAATCTTTCTTCATCTAAGATCATTTGATCTCTTCCAAATGATTGAGCAATAGTTAATTCTTGTAAAAGATTACTTAACATATAAGTTCCTCTAATTGCTGCTTGATTAAATCCACCGGAATTAGCAGTACCTAATCTTAATACTTTAGGTCCAGTATCTTCAATAGTAATTTGACAATTATGATCTGTATCTTCATTATCTAATAATTCCTTTAAAGTTTGTTTAATATCAGGAATATAAAATTTCTTGGGTCTTGAAAAGCTATCATCAACTGAAGCACGTCTATAATGAAATTTATGACCAGCCGAAGGCTTTGAATTAGATAAACTAATAGATTCTTCCAGACCGATTTGACTATCGGATGCGGCATATAATGGGACTATCGACTGTCTTCTAGGTAAAACAGTATTACCTTCTTCTTGATCTTGTGTTTGTGGTTGAGGTTGAGGTTGTGTTTGTGTTCGTGGTGATTGCTGTGGATGCTCTGTTTGCTCTGAATCATTACTGGTAATTGACCAGGATACTTGCATAGGAACAGGCGTTGGAGATTGAGACTGCTCACCTGATGAAGAACCGGAAGGAGATTCCTTAATGGTCTCTGGATGGAAACTAGCTAACTCATCAAGAAAATTATTTCTAGGTTTAAATTCAAATACTGAAAATGTTCGAACTCTTCCAAGTCTTGAATTCTTATCGGCTTTAGCAGGATCAGTTAATTCCCCATAATAATTCTCAGGAATATCAAAGGGATCATTATCAGATGCGCTGGACTTTCTATGACGTCTGAAGGGATTATTCATATTTGCCATCACTAAATATATCACTAGATTAGTAAACTGTTTTAGGAATTTATCTACTATTAATATATAGTAATATATAGTTTGGTCTTCGCCTATTTGTGAATGTTTAAATTACGCTCCGATGGTACGGAGTAATTAGACACTTTTCTTTTTTCAGTCACTTGCGGAGAAATTCACCTTTGTGAGAGGTCGTCTGAATGTCGGTAATTGCTAATAGAAATGAGTGGTAAGTAAATATCACACTACAGATACTGGATAATGTTCACTAATGTGTGGAATCTATTACGGTACTAATAATAGAATTATAGAGCAATACAATAATACAGTCTTACAATATTACAATAATAATTATGATAGTATAGTATTACTAATGGTGTTACAGTGGTGGTATAGTGGTGGTATTTACTACTGGTAATTTTGCCTACTTTCGCTGCCCCTCGCTAGTCATCACTGCGTGAAACTTCAGTTTCGCTGCGTAACCGGAATAAATTATAAATTATTGCGAGCACCAGAGACTTTGCGCTAATACAGTTACTGTACTGTACTACTAACACACTCTAAATTTTAAGGCGTCTTTCATGACGTATATATTCGCCTATACAGTTTGTGGGTGTGTTGTCATTTTGTTACGTGGGAAATGAGAATTCAAAATAAATAAACATGAAACACCTCACTGTAAATACAGGTGATGCGTACGGGACTTAAACGTCCAGCAATATAATATTAGCTCATTTTGATTTTATATTTCAATAGTTAAGCGAATCTTTGTTATTGTTACTGTTATTGTTTCTATATATACTGTTATAATGTTATAATTTTAATGATACCTCGGACCGGAAATCTTCATACTACCGGATAAGAATGTTTAGTATACAGTGTTGCTTTTTGTTCGTACTTTGACCGGAATTGAATGGCACACTTTAACATAGTGAGCTTGAAAGCAAAGCTAATTGATATGTAGATGGAGTAGAAATTGGCTTGATTTGAAACCCGATGCCACATCTGTAGAATGTAAGATATTCCCAATTGGTTCTACGTCATCAAAATCAATAGAAGTTAGTATATTTAATCTATTTCGCAATCTAATAAATCAAACAATGATCCAATAACTTTATCAGCCCCAGCTCTAACCCCATTATGGAAGAATTCACTAGTAATGAATTGTTTAAGATTGCCATTACCTTTGAAAACTTCCTGTTTAACTTTCCTTGTAACATCGAAATCAACATATTGATCATAGACATAAGTAGCAGCAACAATAGGTACTTTAGTTTCATAAAGAATTTGAGTATCATATAATTTAGACCATTTTTCATTGGTATGTAAAGCATATGCCAATGACTTAAATGGTTCAAGTTCTACATAATCTTCAAACATTGATTTATATACCATTTCTCCAGTGAAATATGTAACTTCATTCTTTTCACTGTATACAAATGAACTATTGTTTGGTAAGTACCTCAATCTATCGGCACTCCAATCACTGGTCTTAACTTTCAAGTTATTACCATCACAATAGATAGCTTCTTGGAATAAAGCATAGATAATATTGGTATCAAAACTATATTCCCTTTCCACAGCAGTAAGTATTTGATAAGTTGGGAATCCAAATAATTTCAAATCATAATCAAATTTAACAACTAATTGATGAATATTATCAGTACCTCCAGTACCTCCAAATGATAATCCAAGTTGTTGAAATCTTTCAACTGAGAGAGTACCTCCATTAGGTAATTTAACAGTATTTTCATTTAAATATTTCAAGATATTTTGTATTCTTGCTTTATCAGCAGGATATTTATTGAAATAATGAATATTTCTTTCTTTGGTTCTTTCATAAGTAGCAGCATATACATCATCTGGACCATAATTGATGGGAGGAACTCCACCAGTAATTAATATTTCCTTTAAAGATTGAGGATATTTCGATACATAAGTGAAACTAGTAAATCCACCATAAGATTGTCCAATAAGTGACCATTTACCTTCATCTCCAAGTAAACTAATTCTAACTCTTTCATAATCTTCCACAATAGAATCGGCTCTAAAATTAAGGATAAAATCTAATTGTCTTTGAGTATATGCTGATTCACTTTCACCATCTAATCGAGGAACTAATTGGTTAAATGTTTGTCTTTCTAATGGTGTACTTAATCCAGTACCTCTTTGATCAAGAAATACAATTTGATACCCCTTATCAATAAGAACTTTTGTATAACCAGAATTATCTAAGGGTACTCCACATGGGAAACCCGGACCTCCTTGAATATAACTAATTAATTTAGGAGTTTCTGGAAGTATTAATTTATTTTGAATCAATTGCTTATCTCCATGAAGAGTTTCATCATACTTCTGAGTAATATTAACTACTACAGAAATGGTGGTTTCATTACTCTTTTCAGTATAATTAAGAGGCAATTTGTACAAGAGTCGTGTGTTGACTAACAGCTTCACTTTGAAGGAGTCAATTACTTCGTAAGTCATAATATACTTGTTATAATGTGTTACAGTTAGTTAGACAATGAGTGTGGAGATAGATCGGTTCCTGATTGAGTTCTCCGAAAAGTGAAAAGTTGAAAAGTTCGGTGTTCTTCAAACTGTAAACCAAACAAAAATGCTGGTTAGAACGGGCGCAAAGTTATCTTATCATGGCTAAAATTATATAATTTTACCACATTGCTACTAACTTTAAGATGAGCAAAGAATGGTTCTAAAGATAAATTGAAGAGAAAACGACTAAGCGGAAGTCCTTGTAAGACTTCGCAATTGTTCGTTCACTTGATAGGTCCTTCACGGGGAATTAATGGGGATTTAGTATTATTGTTTTCGAATGATCTTAGTTCTGGGACTATGCCTATTGAGTGTGGGAGTGTTATCGATTAAATTGAATTCAGGTTATTATTAACATTTCAATTATATTTAGGTTATTACTAACTAAAAGCATGGAATAGTTGTCCGTTCTTTAACATTTGACTTTATTATGTCGATAGCGGCTGATCGTTTGTTCCCTAAAGGTTGTTTTTGATTTCTAAGAGTTTGTGTGGGGGTATTATAGGTATTTAAAGTCATGTTTTATCTTGAAACATTTTTGAATATACACTATTATATAAATTGATTCATCCATGTAGTTTAAATAAGTTCAATTCTTACGTACATTGTTGGATTTGGCTGTAAAAAGCTGACAAAAGGTATATAAAGTACAAAAAGAGTCACTGGGTAAGAGGATGATACAGCATGAATTCACCAGCTACGTCTAGAAGAGACTAGTAATTGAAGACTGCTCAAAATATTTTGTTCACTTGGGATAGCGATATCTAATATGTGGCTCCAAATGAGCTCCATTTCATATTATTTAGAGCTGAACTAGATCATTGCAGGGCAGGGAATCATCAGAATAGTTTTACATATTTGCAATAACACATTAGTTTTTTATTCTAACTATACACTAATTGTAGATATCTCTTCTTCTGCCTCATGAACATCAGATTCTTTCAGACCAACACTTGCATCACTCGGGACTTGTCCGCAATAACAATCTTCTGGGGCCCTACGTTTGATTTCATACTTGGAATACATATACATGGCAAAGGCAGTAAAACCTTCAAGAGCAAAAAGAGCCAACGAAATTGGATATCCAACACCATAATAAGGAGCATTTCCTGAAGGATATAACAATAATGGAACCCAGGCCCTGAACACATATGCAATAATTTCACCGACGACAAGAGTCAAAACTTTACGCTCACCATCATGGCCCAAAAGTTCATTTAGCCAAACTACAACAATTGGAGCACCTGAATGTTCAATAAACATTAAAAGCCAACCAGCATACATAGCATGAATATTATGGGCCGGCCAAATCACAAGAATAATAGACCCAACCACCGCCATAAAAGAACAGAATGATATAAATATCCAACGATGACCATAATAATCCGAGAGCCAAGCAACTAATAAGTTTGTAACGAATTCAATAGCATTTCCAATAGTTGGAATTGTATTTAATTGGTAAACTGTATATCTTCCAGTACTCTTTAAATACAAGTTGAAAAATTCAGGTAATCTTGCAGCAATGAAATGACAAGTATATATAAGAGTAAACAAATAGGTATATGGACTTTTGGCAACTCTTTTAACTAAAGCAAAATTCAACTCCCCTGTATATGGTTTTCTGTTAATCTTTTCCATTCTTTCAATTGCAAACTGTTTCTCTTCTGGTGTTATCCAGAAAGCTTTTGTTTGGGAAGGAGTATCTGGAAGTGCAAAGTAACCATAAATTGCTAGTGGCAAACCGATAACCCCATCAAAGATAAAAAGCCATTGCCAAGATTCCAAACCATTTCTACCATTCATACCTTTATATAACCCAGCTTGAATATAACCAGAAAACATTTTAGCAGCTGGAGAAGATGCTTCGTAAATTAATGATCGTTTAGCTAATTCAGAAGGTGTATACCAATCAGCAAATAGAAGCATAGAACCGGCAAATGCTGGTGCTTGTAAAAGACCAATAAAGAATCTGATTGCATACAAAGTATTAATATTCTTAGCACCAGCCATGGACATGACAAGAGATCCCCATAAAAATTGAAAAGCAGGAAGCCAATAACGAATACGCAGTCTAGTAACTAAAAATGTAGTAGGTAAATGTCCAACAATATATCCAATAGTCCACCAAGTTGTCAAAAGATTATACTCATTATCTTTCATATGAAAATGAGTTTCCATACCAGAAACATATGCGTTTTTGATATTTGCCTCATCTAGATATTTAATAAATTCCGTTAAACAGATATAGGAAAGGACCCACCAATCAAGCTTGAAAATGAATTTGGATCTACTCTCCCATAAAAAGGTTGAAAATCCCCTCTTTGGGCATGAGTCACTGTTGCAGCATTCATTTGCTTCTCCTTCAATAGTACAACACTCCTTTGTGTTGGCAACTTCATCAACAGTTTTCTCCAAAACCATCTTGTCTCTGAATATCTACAAAAGCAAAAATACAAATATCCAGACATATAACTGTCATTTTATAGACTTTGATATTTCATTACGTTGGCATAAGCAGTAACCATCAAGGTTAAATGGTCTTTGGTTCATCTAATATTAGTTGTTTCAAAGCCTTTCCAAGCCATCATATGAGAATTTAAATTTTCCAATTTAAGAAAACAGAGTATGAGCCATAAAAAAACCAAAAAAAATATAGAAAAGATATTCTTCGTTACTCTATAAATATACTAATCATCTACACTTACATATATTCGTAGATTGTTGTATACCAATAGTTATTAGAAAGAATGCAACAATAAAGTTGCAACAATTACAATTGCAACAATTATAATTGCAATTTTTTTTGAGCGTTGAGTACTTCTAAATCCAACTGTATAATTAATCCAATAATTAGAAAATTGATAGTGGTTACAAGGCTTAACTTAACTTCTTCATATTACCCTGGTGACTTTTCCTGAAGTTTATCAACTATATAAGTTATGTAATTTGACTGAACATGAACATTTTGCATCTTCTTTCACGTGATGCTTAAAATCAAATTACCGGTCCGAGTAGTTATATACACTCCCTTTCGTTTTGGGACTAAGGTTACATTCATATAGTCTTTGGACCGTTATATTGTTAACAGTTTAAGATGAATGGTTAAATCTTAGAAGAGAAAATATTAGAAAATAATAATGACATTAGGCGAATCGTTGTAGTTTAAATACCGGAATAGTTATAATATTTAAAGTAATATTAATTTTAACTTTATTCAAAATTATTCTAATTCTAATACATTTCCGATTGATCTTAATTTATTTGAAGATTTCTGTTTAAATTTTGTTGTTTTTGTTAGTCACATTTTCTTAAATCTACTTATTACCAATTGAATCTAATATACGAAAATTGAGCTCCACTTAGACCTTTAATACGACTTTTCACAGAAATTATCCAATGCAAATTGCGCCTTTGCTTAGTTTCCCAATGCAGATCTTTAAACATAAAATATCTGCTCTATTAACACTACAATACTAGTATTTTATTAGACTACATTATAAGCATTGCCATTAATAAGTACTACAACTACTAAGTACTGTTATATTAACAATATTACTAGTTCTAACACTTGTCCTGGGACACGCAACTTATATATTAAGCCTCATGCATAGCCAAATCAAATAATCTCCTACCCATCAAGTTCGGAACTTCTTTGCAGTCTTTAACTCAGCCGTAGACACCAATATCGGATTTTTACACCCGTTCTCAACCTACGGATATTCTACTGCCTCGGACGGTAGAGTCAGGAATAGCTGTTGCTGAAAATTCCGGGGAACTTATTTAAGAATCAAATCAGCATATGATCCGGGGTAAGAAAAAAATAGAACTACAAAAATCAAAAATTGTGGACCCACTTAAGCCTATACAGTATAGTATAGACACTACCAATTGCAGAATCGGCAATAAAGTAATTGGTTTTCGCCATTCTTAAATCCTGCCTCGGTGCTTAGCCTGGCAATCGTACAGTACGGTACGTCTGGGGTTTAATCTCCTTACAGTAATAGTTAACGATAACGTGATTATGAACCATGTAGGTAACTGCTGATTACCGAGTATTGGTTATTGACTATACATTATACATTATTCATTATCCACTATATACTCTATACTATTAACTATTTATTGTAGTTCACTATTCACTTATAAATTATAATAAGCTCACTATAACAGTAAAGCATTATAAGCTACTACCCCACTCCCGGAAATCATTGGAACGAACAAACTATTGCCCGGCACGACCAGGAAAAAGCATTTGAATTAATAACGATTCCACTGGACCGGAGTTTGATGAATTTTGGGTCACGTGATCAATAATAAACTCAAAAAATTATGGGGTACCCTTGTGGGAGAATTTTTAAAGAAGAGGGGGGCATTTTCATAAAGTTAAACTGGACTATAAATTATAAGAAAGCCCAGTTTTTTTTCTTATATATATTATTCACTAATTTATTAATTTTAATTAATTAATCAATTGGTTAATAATTACATTTATTTTTAAATTATTCATATAAAATATGGTCAAAGTTGCTGTTTTAGGTGCTGCTGGTGGTATTGGTCAACCATTATCATTATTATTAAAATTAAATTCTAATATTACTGAATTATCATTATTTGATGTTGTTAATGTTCCAGGTGTTGGAGCTGATTTATCTCATATAAATAGTGATGCTTCAACTAAAACATTTTTACCATCTTCAAAAGAAGATAAGACTGCTTTATTAGGTGCTTTAAAAGGTGCTGATTTAGTTGTTATTCCAGCTGGTGTTCCAAGAAAGCCAGGTATGACTAGAGATGATTTATTTAATATTAATGCTTCAATTATTAAATCATTAGCTGAAGGAATTGCTGAAAGTAGTCCAAAAGCTTTTGTATTGGTTATTTCTAATCCAGTTAATTCTACTGTTCCAATTGTGGCTGAAACTTTAAAACAAAAGGGAGTTTATGATCCAGCTAGATTATTTGGTGTTACTACTTTAGATATTGTTAGAGCCAATACTTTTATTGCTCAATTACATCCTGGAGATTCTAAACCATCTGATTTCAATGTAAATGTTGTTGGTGGTCACTCTGGTGAAACTATTGTTCCATTATATTCAATTGGTTCATCAGCTTCATTCTACAATAAATTATCTGAAGAACAAAAGAAGGAATTAATTCATAGAGTTCAATTTGGAGGTGATGAAGTTGTTCAAGCTAAGAATGGTGCTGGATCCGCCACTTTATCTATGGCTTATGCAGGTTATAGATTAGCTGAATCTATTTTAAAATCATTTACTTCAAAGGAAGAAGTTGTTGAAAATACTTATTTGAATTTAGATGCCAGTATTAAAGGAGCTGCTGAAGCTAAGAAATTAGTTGGAGGATTAGAATTCTTTTCATTACCAGTTAAATTAGGTAAGAATGGTATTGAAGAAGTTAAGTATGAAATTTTAACTAAGGTTTCTGCTGATGAAGAAAAGTTATTGGCTGTTGCTAAAGAGCAATTGGCTAAGAACATTGAAAAGGGGGTTGCCTTTGGTAAATAGAGTTGTTAGATTAAGTAGATCTGAATCCTAATGAATCTAAAAGTTTAGTAGAGTGTAAAATCTGAAATCTGAAATCTGAAATCTGAAATCTGAAACCTGAAAAGTGGACAGAGTGTGAACGTTAGAAGACAGTCTAACAGTATCAGACATTACCACTATTTCGTGTACTGTTTGTCACTGTTTGTGACTACTTGGCCACTACTTCACATATTTATCAGATCGGCTAGAGTTCTATTGTTTGTCGGCTCTTTGAATTCTCAGTTCTCAATTCTCAGTTCTCAATTCTCGGTGTACTATGTCGCATGTCGCACCATCGTTCCTCCCCCAGCTCCCATTCCTCACTACCATGCCAACGGGATCCGTAAATAATTTCAGTTCTATTTAAGCATTAATTAGATATATTCTATATTTAACGTATATATACATATATATATATATATATATATTAGTTCCTGTACTATAATCTACTTGCAATTCTGATATTTACGTCAGAGTACTCATCGGTAATCACCATCTCTGTCTTCAGTAGTGTCGAATTTCGAGGTTCATCAATTTGTTGACATTTATTTATTTTTTTTTCGTTGAGTACTGAGTCCTTAGTCCCCTAGCGAAGATCACAGTTAAGAAGTAGTGGTACCAGCCATAAAATAAATACCAATACGAATACGAATACGAACACGAACACGAACAAATTAGAAGATTCTTATAACTTAATTGTCATAGTCATAGTCATTGTTTATTAGTATTAGTATTAGCATTGTTATTATAGTTGTATAACACCATGGAATCCATTCTCGATTTTTCAAAGGATCTAGATTTGGTAGTATTCGATAAAGTGGTTGATTCATTTTATTCTGGTAGTGGAGAAGAACAAAAGAAAGCTCAACTTGTTTTGAATGAATTTCAAGAGAATCCTGAATCTTGGAAACGAGCTGATCAAATATTATCAAATTCAACTAATTCTCAATCAAAATATATTGCTTTATCATGTTTAAATAAATTAATTCAATATAGATGGAAAACTGTTGTAGAAAATGAAAGAATTGGAATTAGAAATTTCATTGTTAATATGATTATTGGATTATGTGATAATGAAAAGATTTTTGAAACTCAACGAGCTTTAATTAATAAAATTGATTTAACTTTAGTATCAATTTTAAAACAAGAATGGCCTCATAATTGGCCTCAATTTATACCTGAAATTGTTTTAAGTTCAAGATCTTCATTTAATGTTTGTGAAAATAATATGATTATTTTAAAATTATTAAGTGAAGAAGTATTTGATTATAGTCAAGATCAATTAACTCAAGCAAAAGCTCAACAATTAAAATCTTCAATGAAAGCAGAATTTGAAGAAATTTTTAAATTATGTTATGAAGTATTAGATAAAACAACTAAACCTTCACTTATTATTGCAACTTTAAATGCTTTACTTAGATATATTCCTTGGATTCCAATGAATTATATATTTCAAACTGATTTATTAAAATTATTAGCAACTAAATTTTTAAGTCCACCAGATACAAGAACTGTTGCATTAAAATGTTTAACTGAAATTGCCAATTTACATTCTCCAGAAAATGAAGAAAAATTTGTAATATTCTTTAAAGATGCCATGCAAGAAATTTATAGTATTATACCATCATCAACAAATTTAAAGGAATCATATAAAATTGCTAGTTCAAATGATCAATCATTTTTACAAGATTTTGCCATGTTTTTATGTACCTTTTTAAGTAATCATTTATCACCATTAGAATCAAGTGAATCCTTACGAGAATTATTATTAAATTCATTATTTTATTTACTTGAATTATCAAGAATTGATGAACGAGAATTATTTAAAACTTGTTTAGATTTTTGGAGTTCATTTGTTCATTCATTATTTTTAGAAATTCAAAATATTCCCAGAAATGAATTAAGTCCTTTATTACAATTAACTTATGGTAGTCAAATTAGAGGTTCAACATCTGGTGGAGCCCCTAATCCGGCAGTATTAGCAAAATTCCCATTAAGACAACATAAATATGAAAAAGTCTTGAGTAAATTAAGATTAGTTATAATTGAAAATATGGTAAGACCAGAAGAAGTTTTAATTGTAGAAAATGATGAAGGAGAAATTGTTCGAGAATTTGTTAAAGAAAGTGATACAATTCAATTATATAAATCTATGAGAGAAGTATTAGTTTATTTAACTCATCTTAATGTAGTTGATACTGAACAAATTATGAGTGAAAAATTAGCTAGACAAATTGATGAAAGTGAATGGTCATGGCAAAATATTAATACATTATGTTGGGCAATTGGTTCAATTTCTGGAGCTATGAATGAAGATATGGAAAAGAAATTTGTTGTATCAGTTATTAAAGATTTATTATCATTAACAGAAATGAAAAGAGGTAAAGATAATAAAGCAGTAGTAGCTTCAAATATTATGTATATTGTTGGACAATATCCTCGATTCTTAAAGGCTCATTGGAAATTTTTAAAGACCGTAGTTAATAAATTATTTGAATTTATGCATGAAACTCATGAAGGAGTTCAAGATATGGCTTGTGATACATTTATTAAAATTACTACTAAATGTAAAAAGCATTTTGTAGCACTTCAACCTCAAGAAAGAGAACCATTTATTAATGAAATTATTGCCAATATTCAATCAATAACTGAAGATTTACAACCTCAACAAGTTCATACATTTTATGAAGCTTGTGGAATTATTGTTAGTGCTCAATCTCAAAAGGAAAGTAGAGATAAATTATTAAATGCATTAATGGCTTTACCAAATATGGCATGGAGTGCAATTGTTCAACAAGCCGGTCAAGATCCTCAATTATTAACTAATACTGAAACAGTTAAAATTATTGCTAATATTATTAAAACTAATGTGGCAGTTTGTAAAGCTTTAGGTCCAGGATTTTATCCTCAATTAGGGTTGATGTATGTTGATATGTTATCATTATATAAAGCTGTATCATCAATGATATCTGATTCTGTTGCTAAAGAAGGTTTAATTTCTACCAAGACTCCTAAAGTTAGAGGGTTAAGAACTATTAAAAAGGAAATTTTAAAGATGATTGAAACTTATATAAATCAAGCAGATAATTTAGAAGAAATTGTTCGAGATTTATCTCAACCATTATTTGCTGCTGTATTAGATGATTATAGTAGTAATGTACCTGATGCAAGAGATGCAGAAGTATTAAATTGTATGACAGCATTAGTTGGTAAAGTTGGACATTTAATTCCTGAAGGAGTAGTATTAATTTTACAAAGTGTATTCGAATGTACTTTAGATATGATTAAAAATGATTTTATTGAATATCCTGAACATCGAGTTGAATTTTATAAATTATTAAAAGAGATTAATGCTAAATCTTTCCAAGCTTTATTACAATTATCTGGTGATGCATTCCAATCATTAATTAATGCAGCTATATGGGCTTTTAAACATAATAATCGTGATGTTGAAGATAATGGATTATCATTAACTTTAGAATTATTAGTTAATGTTGAAAAATTAGGTGATACTCCATTTACTAAAGCATTTTTTGAAAACTTTTATTTCCAAATCTTATCCGATACTTTCTATGTATTTACTCAACCTGATCATAAAGCCGGATTTATTTATCAAGCTCAACTTTTAGCTAAATTAATTCATTTGGTTGAGGATAATATTATTAAATATCCATTATATACTGCAGAACAAGCAGCTGAAGGTACTACTAATTCTGATTATTTAAAACAATATTTAGCTCAACTTTTGGCATCAGCCTTTGATAATTTACAAAAGGAACAGTTGGTTAATTTCTTGAATGTTTTAACTACTGTTTATCATGATCAAACTAAATTCAGAGCCACCTTAAGAGATTTCTTAGTTCAATTAAAGGAATTTGGAGGTGATCCAACTGATTACTTATTTGCAGAAGATAAAGAAATCGAAAGACAAGAACAGAACAGACTTAAGAGAGAAAAGGATATGCAAGTCGGTGGTTTAATTAAACCTTCTGAACTTGAAGAAGAAGAATAGGGAGGTCATTTATTGGTTTGTTTGGGGTCAAACTTCATACTGTTTTGATTTGATTTGTTTTGATTTGTTTAGTTTGCTTTTTTGTCACTTTGTTTGTTTGTTTGTTTGTTTGTTTGTTTTGTCTCCTGTTCTGGAGTGTAACCTATGTCACTACGTACCATTCATCATTTTCATGTTGTATTCAATTCCCAATAACGTCATCATGGGATATGTCTACAGTAGAATTCCGTCTAAAAAATCTATAAAAAAATTACCAGAAATTCGATAATTCAATCGGATCTCATACATAAGTAGATCTTTATAGTTTTTTAAGTTTTTTTTAATATAAAGAGTATATTGTTATAAAGTAGTAGGCCGGTTGTGTGCTACTATGTATTAGATTTTTGTTCCCTTTTTCGCCCAATGCGGAAGTTACCCGCCCCGCTCTAACAAGGATAAATAAAAAATTGCCAACGCTGTCAAAGCCCATTTTTTACTACCAGTTTCTTTTACACTATCGCCAGAAGATCAATCTCGAAATCGTACATGGTTCTTGCCTTTTACCAGAACCATCCGGGGATTGTCTTTGCTAATGGCGTGTGATTAGTTTTTGGAACCTGTTTCTGGATTTGAAAGTCTATGACTTCATTTAATTCAGTACTGTTAACTCATACCTATTTTCAAGTTTGGGATTCGAGGTCGAATTGTTTATTTGAAAGTGTTATGAAAACTACAGTATTTGGCTGTTTTTGGTTATTTATGTTATGTACATTGAGTAAATGCAAAGTATATACAATTGGATTACATCCTTCCACTAATTGGCGGCTTCTCTAACTAAATCATTAACTGATCTTCCGTAAGCTTTGACAGCATCAGCAACTTTTACAAAGGATTTATTTGGTCCTGGAATTTGACCTTTTACTACTAAAATACCTGCTTCTGCATCAACAAATAATACTTCATTATTAAATACTGTAGCATTCTTTCCTCCCATTCTACCAGGCATCTTTTTACCTGGTAAAACTCTACCAGGAGTTTGATTACCCCCCATACCACCAGCAGATCTATGAGCTCTAGAAACACCATGAGATGCTCCTAACCCTTTAAATCCATGTCTTTTCATTACCCCTTGAAATCCTTTACCTTTACTAACACCTTTAACATCAACAAATTGTCCAACTGCAAAGTAATCAGCTTTTATTTCTGCACCTAACGGAATTAAACCTTTTTCATCTCTTACTCTAAATTCACGAATTTGTTGTTTTGGAGTTACTCCGGCATTTTGAAACATTGGTAATATTCTAGTATCAAAATTCTTTAATTTATCAATATGTCCCATTATTACTGAGAAGTATCCATGAGTTTCTTTAGTTTTATGACCTACAACTTCACATGCATCTATTTCTATGACAGTTGCAGCAAAATGTTTACCTTCTTCAGTAAACCATGAAATCATTCCTCTTTTAATCCCAAGTACACCAGGTCTACCTAATAATCTCTTTCTTAAATTAGATTGTTCAACTGAATGATTAATGGTGGAAGTTGGAGTTCGAATGTAGGGTATGGCATGAATAGATGTTATTTGGGCAGCTCCACGCTGGAAAATGAGATTGAATCCTGACTTGGATGTCAACCCATTACGGCCAATATTATTTAAGAGTCCACTCATACTTAAGGTGGGTTATGTATGAAGTTATTGGTACGGTTGTAGTCTTCTCTTGGGTGGTGAATTTGAAAAATTATTCTCGAGAAAAAAAAAATTGGAGTGTTTGCAGGTTGTATAAAATTTTTGCATGTTACACTATACCACTATTCCTAACAAATAGTCTAACAAGTATATACTACAAAACAAGATTTATACATAGTTAGTATGAGAGCAGTTAATACCTATTAAGTATGTTGAGTCATTACATGTAGTTACTTTTTTTAATTTATTAATGCATTATAGTATATACAGGTAATATGAACAAGTAAGGAAAGGAACAAATACATATATAAATAAATCACTTGATCTTCTTTTCCTTTAATTTAATAGTTTCATGATCAACAAATATTCCCTTACCCTTATAAGGTTCTGGCTTTTTATATTCTCTGATAACCGCAGCAAATAATTTAACTTGTTGTTTATTAATACCTTCAATGACTAATCTAGCAGGACTTGGTGAAGATACAGTTAATCCCTTTGGAACTTTTAATCTAGGAGTATAATTTAATCCAAGCTTTAATGATACTATTTTACCAGAAGGATCCTTAGGGTCTTCTTCAATAATTGCTCTATACCCAGTACCAACGAATTTAACAATGGCTAAATGACCTTCAGTAGTTCCTACTGTATGATTTTGTAATGTAGCTCTAATAGTCCCCCACATAGATCTTTGAACTTTATCTTTTGAATCTTTAATTTTAACGGTAATGGTTCCTACATTTTCATCAACTGCTGGCTTTTCATTAATAGAAAGAAATTGAGGAATAGGAGTCTTTATAACTCCTAAAGGTCCTCTAATTACTACTTGACGATCAAGAACATATGTTTGTTTCCCTCTATTAAAAGATTTACAGAATTCTAATGGAATTTCTTCAGTTGAAACTTTGACTTCATTAGGAATTTTAATAGGCATCTTCCCTATATTTGATTGGGAAACGACGGTTTGGGAAAACTGACGTATTCCACATGGTACTATCGAATTTTTCGATAGAATAGATCTTGACATCATAGTGTTCTGTGTACTGTAATATTGACTAGTAGATATTTCTGTACTGTTAATTTGTTCAGTTTAACTGGACAAGTGAAAAATTTCTGGTGTACTGCATATAATACAGAGACCTACTAGTATTTCCATATTAGTTATGTAATAGTTATTGGTAATAATAATAAAGAAACAGAGCTCAATACTAGTACTTAAATTGAATTAATAACAGTATCTAAAAAGGTATACGTTTCTAATATTAGTATTATGTATACTAGTATATACTATTGATATTATTAGGAGTGTGATATGTCACGTGACTGGTGATAGTTAAAAAAAAATTATGAAGCTCATCTTAAGTTATCTTTATTTTATGAGAAATATAAGAACCAATATAGGCATTACTACCACTATAGAACATTAGGAAGAGATGGTGCGGGCTTTGAAGTATCATGAGAAGAAGCTTCTTAAGAAGGTTGATTTCCTTGACTGGAAACAAGATCAGGGACATCGTGATACTCAAGTTATGAGAACATATCATATTCAAAATCGAGAAGACTATCATAAGTATAATAAGATTTGTGGAGATATTCGGAAATTAGCTCATAAATTATCATTATTGCAAGCTACAGATCCATTCAGAATTAAGCATGAACAACTTTTATTAGAGAAATTATATAATATGGGGATATTAGCAAATAAATCTAAGATATCAGATTTAGAAAATAAAATAACTGTTAGTGCTATATGTAGAAGGAGGATAGCCGTAGTCATGTGTCGATTAAAGATGGCAGAAACTGTCAGTGATGCAGTTACATTTGTTGAACAAGGACATGTTAGAGTTGGACCTAATGTTATAACCGATGCAGCATATTTAGTTACTCGAAATCTTGAAGATTATTTAACATGGGTGGATACATCTAAGATTAAGGCCAATGTTCTTAAGTATAAGAATAAGATTGATGATTTTGATTTAGCATAGGGGTATCATAGTGTATAGTAGATCAAGTATAGGTCAATATAAATAATAGAATAATGAATCAGAATAAGAAGGAGTAGAGAATGTAGTATTCTGAATACTAGAATGTATTATACTCTACTATATTGTATTATCTAGTATATTGTATTATCTAGTATATTGTATAATCTACTATTATATAACATAGTGTGCTGGTAATATCGTCTACTCGTTATATGCAGATAATGAAGAGGTGTCACTAAATTACTAGTGTAATTATGATTGGAAGTATTCTCATCTGATTGCTTTTGTGATGGTACTGTTTCTGGGTTTATTAGAGAAACTATAAAGAAAGTGGAGAAATACAAATACAGTATAAATATTACAAATGTTATAAATATTATAAATACTATAGTTAAAGGAATGTAAATGTCTCCCAGACGAACTAGCAAAAGTACACTCCTTAAATATGATATTTAGGAGCTTTTAGTTTTAAACTATAGTTAATAATCTTTGTCGCACTTTAAAGTGTCTACACGACAAGTATAGTGTGTCTTAATTATTGTGCGACATATAGCCACACGACATTTACCTAAGCGAACAAGCACCGAATAGGAAGTATATGAAGACGCGTCATTGGAAGGGAGAATAAAGTATACAATAGAGTTGAATAGAATAGAGTTGTAGTAGTAATAGAGTTCAATAATTTATACAATAGAGTAGGGGAGTGGTAGTAGATAGCAGTAGTAATAATAATAATAATAATAATAATAGTAATACTAATAGTAATAGATTTTTATAGTAACATGTACAGTAAAGTATAGTATGTAATATAGTATAATTATATATTAGACAGTACATACTACTTAACAGTACCTACAGTAGTTACAGTAGTTACAGTACATTTCCAAGTCGTTAGATCTGAATCTAACGTACATTGAGGACTGGGACAAAGCAGAGGCAGCCCAATCGGTGCAAAATCAACACGAATCAGGAAAACAGCGTCCGACACAAAACAAAGCCAACCAAACAAGCAAAAGTAAACAACAAAAAAAAGCCAAAAACAAATACAAAAATCAAAAAAAAATCATAAAAGTCATAAAAATCAAAAAAATCAAAAAAATCAAAAAAAAAATCAAAATAACAAAATAACAAAATAACAATTAAAAATAACAAAAACGACAAAAAAATAAAATAATTCTACCAAAAATAATCCTCCAAATTATCCAGACACAATTTGGCCAAAAGCAGCCAGTGTAAAAGGAAAGGCAGCCAAACAAAAGGGCAGCCAAACAAAAAGGCAGCCAAACTTCAAAAGCAAAAGCAGCAGTTAATCACTAATTGTCACTCACCCACCTCAACCCCCGCTAAACTCTGCTGCTTAGCAGGAATTCATCATGACAAATACCGACCCCACTAATGGGCCTGGACCAGGACCAGGACCGTATGGTATACCCAATCAACAAACATCAGCATATCCCGCCAGGACCAGTAACCGACTGAATCAGTGGACTCAGTTAATTCCACCGATCCCCGCTCGACTTGCCTATAACGATACCTTTGACTTTGGGAATAGTTCTACTAACAGTACTACTAACAGTACTACTAACAGTACTAGTAATAGTACCATCAATAGTAACAGTACCACTACTAACAGTAACAGTAACATCAGTAACAACAATACCATCATCAGTAATAACAGTACCACATCCCCTAAGAAATCTAAAAAGTACTGTAACAAATGTGGACTAGAAATTACAGCCCAATTCGTTAGAGCCATGCTGAAAGCATTCCATTTAGAATGTTTTGTATGTGATGAATGTGGTACCGAATGTTCATCTAAATTCTTTACTTATGATAAACCCAGTAATTCAGGGAATGGATCAGTAATTCAAGTCCCATTATGTGATTATGATTATTTTAAAAAATTAGATTTAATATGTTATGATTGTAATCAAGGAATTAGAGGAAGATATATTACTGCTTTAGGTCACAAATATCATGTAGAACATTTCCGATGTGCTACTGATAATCGAGTATTTGATGCCGTAGAAACTTATATTGAACATGAAGATAATGTTTATTGTCATTTTCATTATTCTCAATTATTTGCTGCTCATTGTCCAGCTTGTAATTCATCAGTTGTTAAACAATATGTGGAACTTTATCGAGGAGGTAAGAAACAACAATGGCATCCTGAATGTTATATGATTTATAAATTCTATAACGTATGTATTACTGCTGATGCTGTTGGTTTACAAACTTTGTATAATCTTAAATCAGAAGATATTCCATCCATTTATGATAATTCCATCAATAATAATAATAATAATAATATAGATTCAAATCTATTCTTAGCAGTAGAACAACAAATTGAAAATGTCGTAATGAAATCATGGTTAACACTTTGTAATTATGAAGAAACTACCGCTAGTTGTATTAGTGATATGTTACTTAAAGCTAATCTTGCTGATCAATTTAATGGACTTATAACTACAGGGAAATTGATATATAATGTGGAAATTCTATTTCGAGCTGTGGATTATATCCTTCAATTATGTAATACTATTAAACCTCCTCAACCTCCAACAACAAATACAATAACTCCGGAATTAGGTCAACAATTAGTTGATGATCTGGAATCATCAATTACAAATCTGGAAGATTTTCAACCTCTTAAGAAAGAAGCTAGAAATATATCGGGTAAAATTATGAGTTATTTAGCTATATTAAGAAAATCAGCAAAATTAGCAAAATCAGGTAGTTTATCAGGAGAATTATTAACAGTAATTACTGGTTTAGCTCATTATCTTAAATTACTTATAAGAATTGGATTAAATAATGCCCTTAAATTAAATAAAATTCATGGATCAACTACTGCATCAGATAATTTTCTTAAATTAATTTCTTCACCATTTGAATTAGAATCTTCAAATTTACTGTTAATGATATCTCGATTAGCAATTCCAGCTAAATGTACTGATGCATGTTTTACATGTACAAAAAGTATTGAAAGATCATGTATTAGACTCGATAAAATTAGATGGCATTTACTGTGTTTTAAATGTTCAAATTGTTCAAGAAATATCCCATCAGGAGAATTAAATCAAACAACTATTAATCATTTAAATTCTAATATTTATTGTAAAAATTGTTCAACAATTGATTCTCAAGCTCAATTAGGATCATTTGAACTTGTTAGTGATTTATCTCAACTTATTTATTTACTTAAAATAGCCCTTTCTCGATCAAAAGCAGTAATGAAAATTGATTTTTATCAACCACCACAACAACAAGTATCAGAACCAGAACTTAGTTATTCCAATACAGTTTCAAATATAAGACGATTAAAGAGTCGTCGAGAAAGTCAAAAACTTTCGAATTCTTTAAAACAAAATGCTAGAAAATCTATAATTCTTGATGCTCCTGAAGGTGAAAGTGCAAAAGCTGATGATATTACTGATGGTAATGGTAATGGTAATGGTAAAAATAGAAAAATGAGTGTAACTTCAGAAATTTCTTATAATTCTAATGCTGAAACATTATCAGTTAAAAAGGCTATGAAAATAACTGAAGATTCATCTCCAAATAATAATAGTCATTTGGTTAGAACATCTGATTTATTAAAGAATGAACAATCATTAACATTAGATGATATACCTCGGATTGTAGCTGCTGAACAAGCTCGAGATCAACGACCTAATGCCTTTAAACATCATCGATCACTTTATCAAAAGCCTCAAGCCACCACCAAAACAAGTCCATTAGTTAATCCAAGTCATGCTCTTGATACTATTTTAAATAGTCCTGTAGCACGAGAAGAACCCATTAAAAAGATCAAATATTATGGAGAATTAACTAAAGAAGAACATTTTATAATTCGTCATATTTCAATTGAAGCTCTTAGTCAATTAAATTCCAATAAATTTAATCGAGATGATTTACTTTCTTATATTCAAGTTAAGAAACAATCAACCTTTTGGGATAAATTTAAATTTGGTAGTAGTAGTAATAATAATAATAATACTAAAAAGGATGCTGTTTTTGGGGTTGAATTAAAGGAACTTACAAAGAAATTTGGTATTGATTCAGATTCAGGAGTTGGACCAGCAAAATTAAGAATTCCAATAATTATTGATGATATAATTAATGCTTTAAAGCAAAAGGATATGTCAGTTGAAGGGATTTTCCGATTAAATGGGAATATAAAGAAACTTAAATTAATGATTGAACAAATTAATAAGAATCCATTAAAATCTCCTGATTTTAGTACTCAAACAGCAGTACAATTAGCAGCATTAATGAAACGTTGGTTAAGAGATTTACCAAATCCATTATTAACTTTTGGACTTTATGATATTTGGATTTCATCACAACGAGAAGTTAATCCTGTTATAAAATCACGAATTCTTCAATTAACTTATTCTTTATTACCAATAAGTCATAGAAATTTGGTAGAAGTATTACTTTATTTCTTTAGTTGGGTAGCATCATTTGCTGAAATTGATGAAGAGACTGGTTCAAAGATGGATACTCATAATTTAGCAACAGTTATAGCTCCAAATATTTTATATTCACGATCAGCTAGTGGAGGTAGTAGTAATATTGGTAATAGTAGTGGTATGGGACCTAATGTAGCAGCACTTGATTTAAAGGATCCTCAAGCTGGAGATACCTACTTTTTAGCTATTGAAGTTGTTAATAGTCTTATTGAAAGTCATGAAGAATTAAGTATTGTACCTGAAGATCTTATTAAATTTTATGAGAAATGTGGATTTTCTTCGACTAGTAGTGAATTAACTAGTAAAGAAATTATGAATAAGATTGATAGGACACTTAAAGAAGATCCTAAATTCTTTGAAGTTAATAGTAAACCTCCACCACAACCATCACAACAGGAAGTTAAACGATTAGTACTGAAGATTACCACTTCAGGACCTCATCGACTGAGTAATGGGAATGGGAATGGGAATGGGAATGGGAATGGAGATGAAGGTGATGAAAGTACTGAGTATGAGCATAGTCAAGTGCCATCGATTACTCCTAATTAATCTCTGTATGTATATGTATTAATAATACTAATAATTTTATTATTTAGCTGTGTCATATTACACGCAATATAGTAGACGTTGTGGTAGACGTTGTAGTGTAACAGACAGTTCCTATTAGTATAACTAGTACTATTATACTTTACTGTATTCGTAGGTTATTTAGTATCACTTGTAGAGTTATAGCTTACAATATAGTGCAAGTACTATGACTAGTGTACTTTACTTACTTACATACTCTACTCCTACACAACTACTTCCACACTTCCTTTATACTTATACTTCACTCATTTTCATATCACTTTCCTATACTTCTACTTTAACTCTCTCTTATTTCCACTGACCTTTACTTCCTACCTTATTACTTACTTTAGTTAACTATTGTGGTGTACTATTATTTAGTATAGTATTTCACTATTGCTGCTAAGTTTACTGTACTATACTGTACTGTACTGTACTGTACTATACTATACTATACTGTACCATACTATACTATACTGTACTATACTATACTATACTGTACTATACTATACTATACTATACTATACTATACTGTACTATACTATACTGTACTATACTATACTGTACTGTACTGTACTACACCACTGAATTGTACAATCTATAGTATTACTACTATTATTACTATACTAGTACTATCACTTAACATAACTAGTACTATAGTTACCATACTATACTGTACTACTACTTTACTATTACTATAATATAACTCATTACTACTAGTACTCTCACTGGACTAGAAGTACTGTTACTATCAGTAGTAGAGTTTTATTACTAGTACTATCAGTACTATTAGTGCTATTAGTACTAACTTCACTACTATACTGTTAGAACTGTAGTAACTACTACAGTACTATCACTACTACTACTACTACTACTACTACCACTACTACTACCACTACCACTACTACTACTACTACTACTACTACTACTACTACTACTACTACTACTACTACTACTACTACTACTACTACTACTACTACTACTACTACTACTACTACTACTACTACTACTACTATATATACACTACACTATAATTCTATATGTTACTTACTCTTTTAGCACTTTTGTCTGTACTCTCTTTCACTGTCTGTCGCACGAGAAATCGAAATCTTCAAATCTGACTAATGATCCATCCCAAACAGGAAGAACAGACAGACAGACACACACCCACACACACACAATGTCATTAACGGCAGAATCATTCAAACACATCATCGAATCAAAATTACCCACCCAGTTGGTCCAAGTCGAAGATATGTCCGGAGGCTGTGGACAAGCATTTGCCGTAATCATAGTTAGTGGAGCCTTTGAAGGAAAGAATAAATTAAGTAGACATCGATTAGTTAATGGAGCATTAAAGGAAGAAATCGGATCAATACATGCATTCACTCAAAAGGGGTTTACCCCTCAAGAATGGTTACAACAAGGAGGTAAAATATGAAACAAAGATAAAATTTATTTCTATAAATCTATATAACATTCTTACCATAAACTCGTTTATATTTAAGCATAAGTGCAAACCAAACAAATACTAATATTGTAAATATAATAGTTACTATAAGTGGTAAGATTTTTAAACCAAATTCATTTGATTCAGCTATAAGTCCAATAAGAAATGGTATACCTGCAGCTCCACCTCCACCAAATGCACATATAAATCCAATACCTGATGTATGAAATTTTGATGGTAAAATCTTTATTGCACTAACTATTGTAGTAGGAAATATTGGTCCAACAAATGTTCCAATAAAGAATGCCACTAAAAATAACAATATTGATGGTAATTTAGTAATTAATGATAAAAGATAGAATAATAAATATCCTCCTGTTGATAAAATTAAATATACAAAATTAGCTTCAAGTTCTGTATTAAAATAATGAGCTGTAACAAATCCTAATATAATTCTACCAACAGTTAATCCTGTCCAAAATGTAGTAGCAATATATGATGATTGTTTATAACTAAGTTTTCGAATTCTTAATAAAAAAGTAATCATCCATGATCCAAAGGCAACTTCTCCTCCAACATAAAGGAAAAGTATTGTAGCAAATATCCAAACAAGTCGAGATTTTAATGTTGCTCCAAGTGGTACAGAACTATCTTCCGAATTTGATGATGTATCAGTATCTTCATCATTAATTTCAATATTAAAATCATGAAGTTTAATTCCATCATTAGCCACTGGTAAATGTCGAAGATTAAGATTTTTTTGAATATTTACATACTTATACTTCTTGGCAGTCTCATATTGGAAACTAAATACTAATCCTACTACACATGAGCATCCTACTAAACATAATAAAATATAATATTGATTCCATTCAATAGGATTAATAGGTTTCTCCACAAGATATGTAATTAATGGTGGAGATATCATACAACCTATTCCATAAAATCCATGAAGTATTCCTAAGATTTGATTAGAATCAACTAAATTCCCCATCCAACTATTCATGGCTGCATCAAGTGATCCAAATCCAATACCAGTAATTAAATAACTTATAACAAAGATTATATAAGGAGGTCTTGTCAGAACTATTAAATATGAAAATGTCATTGTTATAGCTCCTAATATAACTACTCCCTTAACTCCTAATAGTTTATGACTAAATTCATTAAGTAAAGCTGTAATAAAATAGCCACTTACCATACTTAGAAATACTAAAGAAATTGCAATATCTCCTATATTATAATCGGCTTGTAATAGAGGAATTAATGTACCTAAAGTTTGATCTGCTAAACCAAAGAGTAAAAATACTCCATAACATGAGAGGATTTGAGCTTTAAGTAATCCACTATATCTCCAATTAGATGTATCTATAAATATTAACTCATCTTCAAATACTGTAGTATAACTATCAGTACTCATAGAGTTTATAGAAGGAGATTTCTTAAGAATAGGTGGAGGAGATGGAGATGCTGTGGAATTAACTTGTTCAGTGGGTGCATCATTCAAGAGTGATTCAGTTTGACTTTGATGAGCTTCTGTATGATTGAAATTGCTCATAATATGCAACAAACAATAAGTAATAAATCACAAACAGTTAAACAAGAGAAAGAAACAAAGAAACGGTAAAGGTAATTTTACTGTTAGATGAAATAGTTAAGCCGTACAGGTAAGATCTAAGCTTCTCCACCACATTAAATTTTGAAATTTAAACTAAACTGGGGAAAGTAAAATGAGATAAGTTTATGTAATAGTTAGTTAGTTAGTTAATCCAGAATTACAGCCACCAATGAGCAACAATCAGCCCCACAGTACCTTCAACTTCCAACCACTCCTTAAGCCAATAGTATTAATATAAGACCGTTGACAAATTAATGAGCTCACCCTTAATCTGTATCCCCCACCGGTAATATTGCGAACGGAAAGTTTCTCTGGGGATTGATTACTGTTTGTGGTAATTGCACCGAACTACTCTACAATCATATTCCACTATAGTGTAACTACCACAGATTAACTAACTACAATATATATATAGCCGTATAATCCTACAGAATATACTACTAATTCATTATCCTCTTTTACTACTAGTATATACTACTAATCGTAGTAAATTATTAGTACTATGCTCCGATCCACATATCCGGATATCCGGCACCGGGATGTCGCTATCCAGATCCGAAATTCTCTAATTCTGAAAAAGAAATGCAGGCCCCTATAACATCGCCATATATGTGGATACCATTCTAGTATAAATTATATAAATAGTAAAGTAAACCCTGTAAGATTGACAGTAGAGTCATGAGCGTAAGACTACGGTCATATAGAACTATAACAACCATAACAACAACCATGACAAAAGCCAATTCTTCATTAATTAATTCTAATTTGTTCACACCTATAACTATTGGAAAGAACACTTTGGGTCATAGAGTGGTACATGCTCCAACATCTCGTTCTAGATCAAGTACTGAACATTTTGTTCCTACGGATCTTTTAGTAAAATATTATGATTCAAGATCAAAGGCTCCTGGTACATTAATTATCTTTGAATCAACTCTTATATCTCCTAAAGCTGGTTTAGTACCTTTTAAACCAGGTCTTTGGAGTGATAAACAAGCTTCAGCATTAAAGAATGTTACTGATGCTATTCATGCTAATGGTTCATATGTTTCTTGTCAAATCTTTGGTCCTGGTAGAGTAGCTAATCTTGATTTAGCTCAACAATATAATTTATCCCTTAAGGGTCCATCAGCAGGTTTATATCCTCTGACAACACAAGAAGAAAAGGCTAAACAATTAGGTAATGAATTACAAAGTTATACTATAGAAGAAATTCATCAATTACAAGATGCATTTGTAGAAGCTGCAGTTAATGGAATAACTAAAGCAGGATTTGATTATATTGAATTACATAATTCTTCAGGATTCCTTTTGGAACAATTCTTTTTACCATTATCTAATCAAAGAACTGATGAGTATGGTGGATCAATTGAAAATCGGTCGAGATTTGTATTGGAAATTATTGATCGTTTAATCGCACATCCGGAAGTAGGAGCACACCGAGTCGGAATTCGTACTTCAGCATGGTCAACTCATAATGGAATGGAATTCCCCGAAGATTTACCAGTTAATGAAAATCCTTCTTTATTAGGAGCAGAATATTTATTAAAACAATTGGAAATTAGAAAGAATCAAGGAAATGAATTGGCCTATGTATCTATCTCCGAAGCAAGAGTTAGTGGAAATACTGATGTTGAAACTGATGATGAACTTAAGAATAATGATAAATTATTGGCTGCATGGAGTGGGAAATTGATAAGATCTGGTGGTTATGCTACTAACTATAAGGGAGATTATCGTTCTTTACCTTCAAACATTCCTCAATTGGTTTTTGAGGGGAATGATATTATTCATTATACCCATTTAAGAAATGATGTAAATCAAGACGATAGGACTTTAATTGGATTCTCCCGTCCATTCACATCCAATCCGGACTTTGTTGATCGTCTTAGAAAGGGATTAAAGTTAGATGTATATCAAAGAAAGTACTTCTATACTCATACTGCAGATGGGTACTTGACATTTGGTCCATATCATTCCGAGGGTCTGGAAGATGAGCCAGCTCCAAAACTTCACTTTGAAGATGAAGAGCTTCACAGAGATGGAGTGCCTTTAATTTAGAGTAGATATTTATAGACGTAATAGACATAATAGACATAGACATAGTAATAGTAATATAATGGGTATGTGTGTGTATGGTAGCGCTCTGGTTTTTTTTTGGCATTTGTGGTTAACCACAGACACGTCTCAAAAAGGTAAACAACTCCGATGAACCACTAAGACCACCACTCCCAGGTCACCAAATGGGCCTATAACATTATAAATCATAGATGCTGGTAGTAACAACAGCCGCCGACACGGTCCAGTCACCGGCTGAGTACGTGTCGGACTCGGAATCGGAAGATATAGCCCTCGATATGTCGATGATCTCGACCACCAGATTAGCATCAACTCTTCGGAACTTAAGTCAAACCACGCAGCAGGACATCCGACAAGTGCTTGAGCATTCAACAGCATTTGGTGGATGGACCAGCAGTGAGTGGGATAGAGTTTGTGGTGATGTGGTGGAAGACAGCGAAGATGAACCAGAGCGTATGGTTAATGCCGAGGAACAACCAGAGGAGGAACAACAAGAACAGATTGATGATAATAACAATCTCCGGATCTATCTTGACTCGCGCAACTATGAGGCTGCGTCTGTGTCAAGACGGACATCGCTTCGTAAACGGAACTTTGCTTCCACCCATCCGTATCTCACCGACCAGATTCATTACCTTGGACTCTCTAATATTAACTATATTAATGAGATCTATGAGTCTGAACAGGATCTTGAGAAGATCGTTAAACTCCTCAATTACAATTATACCGACTTGAAGAAACGGTATCCTCATGACGATAAGTATAAGCCCAAGAACTTCTATAGTATTCTTGGAAAACAGTCACGGGCAGCTCAAGAGCAGGAGCAAGAGAAGGAGCAAGAGCAGTCCAAACAGCAGGAGAATGATAGTGATGATCAGGAGAATGATCAGGAGAACGGTCCATACTCCAGTCAGGCACTCAGCTACAGTGATGACGAAGATATGGAGGATGATGAACTACTAGACATCCATAAACGTTCACGTTCACATATTGATAATCTGATTATTATGGAAGAAGACAGTGATGATGATACGGTAATCCAAGTCGGAGGTCGACTATTGAAGGAGAAGAGTGTGCTACGAGGGGTATTACCTGAATCAGCCAAACGGCTAGATATCTACAGACGTATACCGAGAAAGTCATATACCAAACCTAAGAAACTGACTCTAGTTCTGTACCGAAAGGGTCTAGCCATTAAGAAAGGTACCGGGAAAGGACTACGAGCTGCCGATGAACTTTCAGGCTTTCTATATGATGGTCCCGAAGGATCTGAAGGATCGGAAGTCACTAGAAGTCGAAGTCCAACCCTCAGTCGACTGTCGAGTCCCGAACCGTCTCGACTCGATACCCTCGGGATCCTCTCTGATAGTGAGAGTTCCGACTCTGAAGACGATGCTCAACCTGTAAATAGTGATTCCAATGAGCTGTCTAATGGTCTGGACTTGTTTGATTACCCCCAGAACGACGATGGCTATGAGTCAGTTGTGGAAATGGACTACATCAATCCCATGTTCACTGCCACCACCAAGAAGAGAAGAACTGGTCCCAAGAGTCACACTAAGACTGCCACTAAGACCCAGACTGTGAAGACTCACAGTCATACTCACACTCGCACTCCAAACACATCCATTAAACCCAAATCAACCACAACCACGACAAGAAAAGCAACTAAACCACACTCCAAGAAGCAGCGACTTATCTCCGACACCACATTCGGACGACTTGTCAGTCGTCGGATCAACTCCAGGTCGGTGACTACTTCAACTAAATCTCACAGAAAGAAGAAGAGACCCAGAGATACCCCACTAGACTTGCTTCTACTCGGCTCCAGAAACAATAAGGATTTGCTTAGTGATTATCAGTTCTCCCGTAATCCTCTTCAGTCTACAGTGGTTATAGAAGAAGACAGTAATAAGAAATTCATAAAGCACAATCATAAGTATGCGCCCAGTAGCTCCACTGGTCAAACTACTAGTCTTAGAAATACTTATCCATCAACCATAAGTCTACGAAACAGAGTCGAATTCCCCCACGACTTTATACTAGCCCATATCAATCTAGTCAAGTTAAAAGATTTGAGTTTGGGCCGTAGTTACGTGCTTGGAAGAGACTCTGTGTGCGTAAGTGTCCAGGACAAAACATATACATTTACCCTAATTAATAGTTCAGAAGCTAGTCAAATGATGATAGAACTAATGGGACAGATTGAGGGGATGGTACGGAATCTTACTGCACTTTCAGAGTCTGAGATTCACCAGTTATATGATGCTGTAAGGGGTATATTAGTATGGTGGATTATATGGCAAGCTCCAGCCACTGATGCCCATCGGGACCTGATTAAATCCATCCTACAAGCCCTTTATCAGGCTCGGGATACGTCCAGTATCAGACTATCAAAGTGGCTATATCCCTACTTCATGCTAGTCCACTATGAATGGGAGGTAATGGCCACTATGAATTCTCCATCCATGGCTCCTCCTCCTCGTCCTCCTACATTAAACTCCAACTATGTGGTCAAGTACTGGGACCTCTTCATTCGAGACTTCGAGCCCGACCAGTTTAATGAGATATTGATCAACAGTTCCAGCAAAGACTATGAACTGTTCCATATCATGCATGTTCTCTTGGGGTTCCAGCACCAATTCTGGACTCTGATCAATAGTGCATTGGACTATGTCAGTACTCATGTTGATGTGTCCATTAGTCTTGAAGCCGTCTATGCCTTGGCCTGTTACGATCATAGTCTGACCGATTGGTCACCCTTCTATACGGTGTATACCACCATAAGTCAACAGGAAGAATCGGAAATTCATAATCGGTTCTTGGATGTAGTCTACCTCATGAACCATAAGTATAATTGGTCTATACTGGAGAAGATGATCCTACTTGTCTATAGTAACATTACAGCCAGAAGGTTTGCTAACTTCCATGAAGAATGGACCGTTCCCGAACTTATGGAACCAATCAGAACTCGCAATGATATTCCTATCGATACCTTCTTTGAAAGATTTATGCTATTCCTTTATTCGTATGTTGGAGAATTACCTCCCCAGTCTAATACTAAGAGATTGATAACTAAATTGTTCACCTCCAGTAACTATACGTATGGAGAGGATAAACAGCACTTTGTAATGTTTATGAATCGAATGAACTTCACATTACTCTTAGTACAAATCTCGGAAGTAGACCTTAAGAATCAACTCTTTGATTTGATAGGCAGTGTGGTAGACTCTAAGGATTATGGGATTCTTAAGATCTCGATTACGGCATTGACTCAGTATACTCAGGTAGTACTAAGTCGAGGGTCCTTAAGTTTACCAGTAGACTGTATGGCATTACTCATTAATTCAGTTGGTCACTCGTACTATGGACTTGCAGGAGCTGTTAAGTTGTGGACTTCCCTCTATAAATGTCTTACTATGGTGATATCCACAACTGCAACCACAGCTCCTATCAGGTATATCTTTCAGTTCTTAGACATAGTGGCCAAGGTCAATAAACGTACCCCTTCCAAGCTCCTTGTCGAGCTCTGGCGTCTTGTCTATGGAGCTCTTAATCTGCTAGTACTTCAACCAAGATCGGGTCCTATGATGAAAAGACTCGATAGTATTCTCACCAGCATTACCGACCTTAATCTCAGCCTAATCAATGATCAAATGAGTAAAGTTCCCCTACCAACCATTGCTGAAGAACTTAAGGTTGAACAACATGTGGAGCTATGTATACAGATCTGGACAACCAGTACATTCTTATCATCCCAACCCAATTGGATAAAGCTTGTGCTTCAGATCTATCCGTATTTGGGTAATCAACAACTGCGAGATAAGTTCTTACTTTACTTCTATAGTCAAATCCTTAAGTACTCTCCTATTAAGGCATGTAAAGAAAGTATTATAACAGCAGTCCTTAAGAATTTAGCATCATTCTCATCATCCAAATATGTCTCGATGGTTATAAATCAACTTTGTACAGAAAAGAATGAAGTCTTTCAATTCCCCAAATCATTTGTATCGGATGGATTTGGACACTTCCATATTCTGAATCATCGTACTAATGTGGTAACTATGGTATTCAGTAATATTGCCAAGAGTCAAAGAATACCTCCAGTGACAAAGTCCCTATATGTAGAAGAATTCTTAAAAGTTATGAATAATGAGTATAACAAATACTATTCTTCTGGTTGGTATAAGGAATTTTGCAGCCAACTGATTAAAGCCATTCAGAAACATGGAACTGTATTTAATGAAGTAGCTGAAGCCATTGGATCCTTGGCTTCTAAATTGGGGATTCTGCAGGCGGAATTGGATATGTTTAATTGGAGATCCAAACCCATCAAGCAACAGCTTATGGTATTCAATTCTGATTTGGTTCATGCCATTCATTTCCAACAGGACTATGACCATTTACTCTTGAAGTATACTACGGGAGAAGGAGTAGGATTAATCTATCATTTGATAAGTATCTATTGTAAGAATATGGTCATTAGTCAACCATTCAAATGGATGATGGTTCACATCTTAATGGACTTCTTTTTTCAACAAGTTGTTCAATGTTCATTTGAAATCTCCATCTTTTTTAAGAAATTCTTAAAGCTGTTGGCAGAATTACCCACCATAGCTATAAACTTATCGGTGAGTGCTACTAGAATTTATCGATTACGTACTATGATAAGTATAACTAATATCTTCATATATTGTTTTATCCTTTTTGATGGTTATAAGGATATAGAATTTGTTAGAGAAGTTGCCAATAGTTTTATTGATTGTTTTTCAATGCCTGAAACAGGAGGAATATTTGATTCATTAGAATATCCTTATTCTCCTTATAAGCTTAGTGATATAGTTAATGGAGATCATGTAGTACATATGGTAGTACCAGAGGAGATTGTATATTCTACGTTAGAAATTACAGAACTTGAAGTCAAACTAAAGAATCTGATGGATCGATTAGGAGCCATGATAAGTCCCAATGATACTATTTCCACTGTACTTGAATTTGATTTTCACTTCTAAACTTATAGGTTATATTTATATATATATTAATACATCTACATTGTCCTTCTACCTATTCCAAACCTCGTTGACTCTTAATTAATGTTATCTCTGACTCTAACTTATCCTTACCTTTCTTAAGCTCAAGTAATGCAACTACTGATTTAAGTAATTCATCATACATGGTCATAGTCTTTCTAGTAGGCATAACTGGTTTCCAATTAGTCCCTCCAGCCGTAGGTATATCAAGTTCTTGAAGTACTTGATTAACTGATTTTAATACTGACAGCTTCTGTTGTAATCCTGGAAGTCTTTGATTAGATCTTAATGTAACTCCTGGTGTAAGCTTTTCAGAACCATGGAAATATAATCCATAAGCTTCTTCTTCTTTCTGAGTAAGCCTTTTCATTAATAATTGTTGAATTGCATTGGCTTCTTGTCTTGATGCTGGAGTAGTATTTTGATTCTGTTTAAGTACTCCTGCCAAATATTGTTGTAAATGAGTTTGGAATGATTTATCCTTTTTAAATGATGATGAAGCTGCCACAGGAATTGGTGGAGGAATTGGTTCTTGATTACCATTAGGAGATTTTTGTTGTTGTTGTAATTGACGTTTCTTTTGATTCTTATCCAAGATCATCAAGTGATTATACAAGTTGGTTATACCTTGTGATGATAAGTACTGTTGAACTTGCTGAGTACTTTGAGGAGAATCCAAAAGTGTTAATAAATGAGATCTTTCAATTAACATCTTCTTAGCTGCCATTTCAAATCGTCTAGCTTCAATGACTAATGATTCTTCTTCAGCAATCTCTGCTGGGGTTCTCTTAAGGAGATTTTCCAAATACTGTTTCCTATCGAGTTCTCTATATTTAGAATAAGCTCGAAGTGAATCTATAAGTGCTGTATTCTTATTTTCTTGACTATCAAGTATCTTAATACATAACGTATAGAATTGTTCACGAAGATCTTCAGGTGATCTATCTGTACCATAGTTATATCTATCATAAATAATGGGCCATTTAAGTTCAAAACTATTACACAACTCAAACAAGTATTTGGTTTCTTCATAAGTCCATGGTTCTGAAAGGTACTCCTCATCATCCTCATCCTCTTTATCGGCTTCTGCTTCCTTATCTTTATCACCTTCTGCTTCTACCTCCTTATCTTCTGATTTTTCTTCTACTTTGGCCTTTGCTTCTGCTTCACCTTCTGCTTCTGCTTCTTCACCTTCTGCTTCCTTTTCATCACCCTCCTTATCTCCTGCTTCCTCTCCTTCTTTATCATCACTGTTACTCTTATCAGTCAGCTTGTCACCAGTCAGTTTCTCTTGACTACCCTTCTCCTCAGACTTCTTTTCTTCACTCTTCTCTTGACTCTTTTCCGCACTCTTGGCCTGCTCTAATGCCTTTTGCTTCTCCTTATCGCGCCTTTCTCGTTCTCGTGCTTCTTGCACCTTCTTCTCCTTTTCTCGCTGCTTCCTATCAAGCAACACTTTTTTTTGATGATCTCTTATCTCTTCCATGTACGCATCAAAAGTCTCTTCGTCCACCAATTGTGGTATATCTAATTTAACATCAAATTTTTCAAAAAAATATGGTTTATCCTTATCTTCTTGTTCCAAGAGTTCTTGAGATCCCTTAACCCAATGATTTAATATAATTTCATGTCCAGTCTTTTTACCTTTATTGGGATTAAATGGCATTCGAGTCCATGGAGATACTTTAAATTTAATTTTATCTTTGGAACTTACATTTGAAGTATTAGTTAAATTGACTGGTGGAGTATTAGGACCTAATAAATTATATAATTCTCTTGCCATACCGGTTTGTCGAGGCACCGGTGTGCTTGTTTTTTGCCTTTTTTTGGCAGGACCCTTTTGGTCATCACGCAGGATGTTCAATACATCCAACACATCGTTAGCAGACATGGTTTATATGATAATATGTTGTTGTTGGTAGTGGTTGGAGGAAGTAATCTGTAGTTTTTTTTTAATTTCGGAATTTCGGTTTTTTTCACTACTAGTAGGATTTACAGGTTAGGACCGTTATTGATATTTACAGGTTGAAGACCACTTTTTAGCAGCTTTCTGTTCTTTTCTATTATTCTATTAATATTCTATTACTATTACTAATGCTTTTTATATTAATCTATGTAGCTAATCGTAGGCATGAGAAGAGTTGACGATATGCAGATAATTCTTCAAACACGTAAACCCAAGAATAATCCCAATTACACAAGTTACTCCAAGAACAGCCGAAGCATAGTTCATTGTATCTGGAGTAACTGGATAGTATACAGGGAAAGTAGTCCATACCATCAATAAACATACCCAAAGAACCGCAATAACATTTAATGGCATCCCAAATCTGCCTAATGTAAAATATGGAACTCCTTTACTAGGATTGAGTACTGGCTGTATTTCATCTTCATTAAAGAATGCAAATCTCTTTTGTGGAGATAATGCAAACTTAGATCTAATCAATAGACAAATAATGGGGAAGATATAAGACATATTAATACAAACCATGGCACTTCCCAATAATGCATTCAATGCAGTACTGGATCCAAACATTATAGTTCCTAAAATTAAACAAATAGTTACCACTAATGTAATTGAATATACTGGCGATTTCAATGTGTTATGAACACTGCCAAGATATGTACCAAATGGAAGACCATTGTTTTTCGCAAAAGCCCAAAATAATCGGGATGTAGTAGTATAATAAAGCATTGTAGAACCTACAAATGATAAAATCAAAAACAATACTCCAATGGTTGTTAATGCTTTTGATTCGAATGCATCATACATTAATTGAATAATAGGTTCTCCACCAACTGGATTGTTCAAATTCTCAACATTGACAACACAAAACATATAAATAATAGCACAAATGAATGCTACAACTGCTGAAAGTGTATTGGCTATGACCATCACAAGAGGAATGTTTCTCTTTGGATTTGATATCTCATCGGTCATATGAACAGCACCATCAAATAAACAAACACTGACGATACTAGGAAGTAAACTTATAAAAAATACAACACCATTAGATGACCAACCACTATCATTAGTGATTTCCTTAAAGACAAAGTTAACGGTTTGTTTTGGATGTGCTCGTACTAATAAGGTAATGACAATAAATAAAGTACCAATATTAATGATGAATGCAAGGACATTTGTAAGGATAGGTAATAAGTTAATTAAAAAGACATTCAATACATAAGCAAGTAAAGTAATGCCGGTAAATACCACATAATAATGCCAATTTTGAGATACAAAATCTGGATGATATATTTCAACTAATGATATAATGAACATAGAACACACATAACTGGAACTAAAACATGAAAATATCCAACCAGCACAGGACAATATACCTGAAGAGAATCCAAGTACTTTCTTAAATCTATGAGGTGCAATACAATAAGACCAATGTTCTTGGGCACCAGAATGAGGAAATGCAGAAGCTAATTCAGCCAAACTATAACATATTATTAAACCAAGGGTTACTGCAAATATAAATCCATAAATCAAAAATGGTGCTCCACCAACTCCAATAACTGTACTTAAAAATGTACCAATAGCTAAACCTGAACAGATTAAAGAATACTGTAAAGCTACAGTATTCCAAAGTCCGAACCTTTTTTCTAACTGTTGGTTAAATCCCATCCCATCTTTTGAGAATGAACTTACTACAGTAACGGATATTTGATTTTCAAGTTTGGTATCTTCCATCTCTTATCTATTTTATGGTAATTCAGGTTAAATCACAAATAGAGAAGATTTATATTTGATATATATATATACAAATATCTATATAAAAATTGACATAGTGTCAAACAAACTTTAAATCGTTATCTGATAGCTTATAGAGTTATTAAGATTTCTTATCATCTCATTAAAATGCTTAAACATTCTTAAAGGCGGTGTGGTGAACAATAGTCCAACTAAAAATTATCTGCTCAATAATTGGGTGCGATATTGTCTTCCTAATGGGGAAATGCCGCTGGCTGGCCTTATTCCGCTTCAACAAAAATGCGCTAAGAAGACTGCAAAAATTATTTACAGCAATTCAATCTTAATTTATTATAATATCTCATATATTAGATATACCATAATAGGCTAAATTATACACTGAGTATACTAAATGTTTCAGGCGATATAGTGGTAGATATTAGTCTCTTCGTCATCTCTCTTTAAATATTCCTTTTCTATTAAATCCTCGATTCTTTGTTTTATTAAAAGAATCAGAGGTTGGAATCTATTTGAGAGTTGTTTAATAAGTTCTTCAATTAATTCATTATGTTTAATTGTTTGACGTGATTTCATAATACGAACAATGGCCGCATTGACTTCCAATTTTCTTCCTTCATGAATATTAGAACGTACTTCTTCAGCTTCTTCTTCTTGTTCAGTTTTAGCTTTAGACGAACCTTTCTCTCCACTAGAATTGGCTGCTGCTGAAGAAGCAGCTGAGACTGTTAATACTTTAACTTTGATTGATGGAGATTTAAATTTTTCATTCAATTTAAATTTATCTGAATTATTAACATCCTTTGTCATAGGATTCTTTATTAATAATCTCAGCCTTGGAGCAACTGCTATTGATTGTAAATGTCTCTTTAAATCTATCTCTGGAATTCCAGTAAGCTCTTTTATCTCTTCATAAGATAATTCTTTATTCTCTTCAAAGGCCAGCACTAAACTTCCATCTGCATTTGTAGATTGGGGAGCAAAAAGTAACATAATGATCCCTGCATAGGTTGCTAAGTTGATTTCATAAGTACGTGAAGGATAAGATATTCTCAAATCCATAGATCCAAATTTAGGACTCCAATACAAAGACTTATTATCATTTTTCTTACCACTAAACCAAAATTCTTCAAATTCTCTGATAGTTGGACGAAGTTGTTTTGACCATATAAAAGAAGTTTCATTATTTTCATCATTAGAAAATGCTTTATAATCTTTCACCATTGATTTTGGCCAATCATTCACATTACATATTTTTAATTCTAATTCAATTAAGTCTTTCTTAGTACTTTGAGTAATCAATTTCTTCCAATCATTGGTTATATCCTTAGAAAGTTTAATGTCTTTATTCATTTTAATAATCTTATCTAATGAAGTAGTCCCCATTTCTTCTCCTAATTTAGATAACAATAATTCTTCTATATCTATGCCCATCTTGTTATTGGAAGAAATGATTTGCGAACCAGACTTTGAACTGAGAAATCTCTTCGCAAAATGGTTAGCATAGTATGCCTCAAATGCATCTTTATCCTTTATAAATCTCAAAAATTTGATTGATCTTTCTATAAATACATCAACATAGTCTCTAGAATCTAGAGATTCAATGTCTTTTGATGGAGCTGTCTTAGCTGATTGTTTGATATGATAATCCATGTATACCGATAATAATTCTGGACCATTTACAGAATTAGCATCTTTTCTATTAGTAGGTGGAGCATTTATAAATTCTCTCATTGCATAAGTTATAGTTAGTGAAACTGAAGAGTTCAGATCAAATGCTTGTTCATGGATTTTAAGAAATTCGTCATGATACTTTAGAACTGTCTCTATCCATTTAATTGCAAAAAGTGCAGGATTAAGCTTCTTATCACCATTGGCTTTTTCCAATATGCTTCTGACTTGTTGAGGAAGTTCTTCACCTTGTTGCTTTATATGCTCCTTTAACCTTAATCGAAGAAGATCATATTCGTCATCAATTCGTCCAATCAATTCGTATAAGATTTTCAAATCTGGGATGTGATAAGATTCATTTTTACCATCAACTACATTCACTACTACTGGACGTAATAAGTATGATAGACCCTGCAGTTCGTAAGGTAAAGCCAAAATATCATCTATTCGATCTTTAATCATAATATTATTCATTAATTCGTTAAGTTTTGGATACATTGATTCAGGCATATAGAAATTAATCCGACCTTCTTCTTCTTTAATAAATCTGCTGGTTGATTGAATATATTTTGTTCCCAAATTATAACTTGCAAATTCACTGGATAATTTATAAAAGAAAGTTTCTGAACTAGCAAGAAAAGCAGGTTCAAAAACACTTTGATAATAATTCTCTCCAAATTGTATATCACCACTACCACTTTCTACTAATAATTCGAGCATATTTATTAGTTTAGTAATGTACATATTGGTGGTTATCACTTCACCATTTCTACTTTTAGTAATTTCCTGAATAACTGTATCAACAATTCTCTTACCTACTTGATCATCATTATATTTTATAACATTATCCTTAAACAATTGTATCCCCAAATCATAAATTAGTAATTTCTTATGTTCTTTAACATAGACGCGATTAAGATACATTAATACATCACTTATGAATTTCATGGATTGAAGATGTTCATTCCATTCCACAAGTGTGGCTTTCATGAATTCTTCTTCATTATATATAGTAAGCAAATAATCTCTTCTCTTTAATAAATGAAGAGTAATTATAGTAGCTACATTCTCATAAAGTTTCCCACCATATTTTCTCAACACAAGAATATACGCTTTTCTGTACAATTGCTCATAGGATAAATTGGACACACTTTTATTTTGAATCTGGACAATCGCATTGGATAAAATTGACCATGATTTTTCAAAGTCAACCGTTGGATCTGTAGTTGAAGACTCTAAAGAAGAACTCACTAAAGATTTCCTTGGAGGTCTGATTTTCGATCTCCTATTTCCGGCTGGGATCATTGATTAGATTTTTGAGTGTTTGGAGTCCTCCCTCTCCAAAATATTATATTTTAATTATGGTACTGGTTGAGTAATCAGCTTTGGAGAAGATCGGCTTTAGAGTTCTTGTGAAGTCTTGCTTTAAACTGTAACATCGCCAAAAGTTCAGTTCTGATTAAATTTTGGGAATCTTTTTTTACATGTTAGATCATGTGCACAGTCACTTGATATATGTCACGTGCTAAGAAAGTTACGATGGAGAATACGCAGATAACCCACTGTGACAAATTGTAGTAACATAATTGGCCTGGTTACCGTTCGAGCGGCCCTGTTGCGCAACCGGAGCGGTGACGGCATCCGCAATTTATGACACATAAAGACCCCGACCGACGTCAGATGAAAAATGGAGCTGAGTATATATACGGTGAAAAATACGGAAGTTAACAAAAATAACTATTACTTCTTTGACTATATATATAATAATAAACATTAATTATGGTAGCTTCAAATCCAAAAACCTTATACGATAAGGTATTCGAAGATCATATTGTTCATAAGGATGAATCTGGATCATACTTATTATATATTGATAGACATTTAGTTCATGAAGTAACATCTCCACAAGCTTTTGAAGGTTTAAAAAATGCTGGTAGAATAGTTAGAAGAAAAGATTGTACATTAGCTACAGTTGATCATAATATTCCAACTGTTTCTCGTAAAACTTTTAAAAATGTTAGTACATTTATAGATCAAGATGATTCAAGATTACAAGTTGAAACTTTAGAACAAAATGTTAAAGATTTTGATGTTACTTATTTTGGTATGGATGATGGTAGACAAGGGATTGTTCATGTTATTGGTCCTGAACAAGGTTTTACTTTACCTGGTACAACTGTTGTTTGTGGTGATTCTCATACTTCAACTCATGGAGCTTTTGGTTCTTTAGCTTTTGGTATTGGTACTTCTGAAGTTGAACATGTTTTAGCTACTCAAACTATTATTCAAGCAAAATCAAAAAATATGAGAATTACAATCGATGGTGATTTATCTGAAGGTATAACTTCTAAAGATTTAGTTTTACATGTTATTGGTGTAATTGGTACTGCTGGTGGTACTGGTTGTGTCATTGAATTTGCTGGTAAAGCTATTGAAAACTTATCTATGGAAGCTAGAATGTCTATATGTAATATGTCTATTGAAGGTGGTGCACGTGCTGGTATGATTAAACCAGATCAAACTACTTTTGATTATATTAAAGGAAGACCTTTAGCTCCTAAAGGTGCTGAATGGGATAAAGCACTTGCATATTGGAAAACTTTACATTCTGATGAAGGTGCTTATTTTGATTATGATATTAAAATTGCTGCTTCTGATATTGTTCCTACTATAACTTGGGGTAATTCTCCTCAAGATGCTTTACCAATTTCTGCTAGAGTTCCTGATCCTGCAAATGTTAGTGATCCAATTAAAAAAGCTGGTATGGAAAGAGCTTTAAAATATCAAGGTTTAACTCCAAATATTAAATTAGTTGATATTAAGATTGATAAAGCTTTTATTGGTTCATGTACCAACTCTCGTATTGAAGATTTGAGAGCTGCAGCTAAAGTTGCTAGAGGTCATAAGAAGGCTGATAATGTTAAGTTGGTCTTAGTTGTTCCAGGTTCTGGTTTAATTAAAGCTCAAGCTGAAAAGGAAGGTTTAGATAAAATCTTTGAAGCTGCTGGATTTTCCTGGAGAGAAGCTGGTTGTTCTATGTGTTTAGGTATGAATCCTGATATCCTTGATCCAGAAGAAAGATGTGCTTCAACTTCTAATAGAAATTTCGAAGGTCGTCAAGGTGCACGTTCTAGAACTCATTTAATGTCTCCTGCTATGGCTGCTGCTGCTGCTATTAAAGGTCATTTCACTGATATTCGTGATTATGATTATGTGAATCATGATGAACCAGCTGTACATATTGAAAATGAAGAAGAAGATAAAGCATTACAAGATGCTGTTTATGAACATGAAAAGGAAATCATTGAAGATACCCCTGGTACTGAAGCTGAACGTCTTAATGATATTCCAAAATCAAGTGAACCAGCAAGTAAAAAATCTAAGGTTGATAGTACAGCTGGTGGTATGGATGCTTTCACAGTTCTTACTGGTATAACTGCTCCATTAGAAAAGGCTAATGTTGATACTGATGCTATTATTCCAAAACAATTCTTAAAGACTATTAAAAGAACTGGTTTAAAGTCTGGTTTATTTTATGAAGCTAGATATACTAAGGACCCAGAAACTGGTAAAGATGTTGAAACTGATTTCATTTTAAATGTTGGTCAATATAGAAAGGCAGAAATCTTACTTGTTACTGGTGATAACTTTGGATGTGGTTCTTCAAGAGAACATGCTCCATGGGCTCTTAAGGATTTTGGTATCAAATGTATGATTGCTCCATCATTTGGTGATATCTTTTACAATAACTCTTGTAAGAATGGTTTATTACCAATCAGACTTCCTCAAGAAGTCATTGCTGATAAGTTATACCCTGTTGTCAAAGCTGGCTATCAATTAACTGTTGATTTACCTAAACAAGAAATCAGACATGGTGAAACTGATGAAGTTTTAGTAGATAATTTTGAAATTGAAGAATTCAGAAAACATTGTTTAGTTAATGGTTTAGATGATATCGGATTAACTTTACAAAAGGAAGAATTTATTCAAAAGTATGAAGCTATCAGAAGGGATAAATTTTCATTCTTAGAAGGTGGTTCTAAATTAATTAAACCTGTTAAAGGAGCTAAGAAATCTGTATATGGTCTTAAAGCTCAAGAATGGTAAGATATACATTACGTTAATTGCTATAAATATTTATATAAAATTTTATGTACGTTTTAATGACAAATCTAATCTAAATTTTTTACATCAGGTACTAAGAAGCACTTAAGGAACCAATCTTTCTCATGATTGACCTTAAAATGTTCGAAGTATGTACTATAAATACCACTTCTAATATTGTGTGACAAATCGATTAAATCGTAGCATAGTGGACAAATCACACCAGTTTTCAGTCTAAGTGTCAGCGTAAGATATTTCCCCTTATAAATTGGATTTGGGAATGGAAGTCCACCATACCCTATACCATGATGACACGCAAGATGGGTGCTATATGATGAATCTTTGATAATAAAGAATTGGAGATCTTCACAAAATGGACACAAGGCTTTACTATTATCAGAAATAGGAATTCCCAATTGATTTAGTTCTATTTGAATATACTCTGGTTCGTAAGCATTCATTCTAAATCTATGATTCATTTGGAAAATGAAAAACCTTGATTTTGGAGCTTTCTCAAAGAAATCAGGGCGAGTATAAAAACGTCTTCCCACTGTAGGAAGTGGTTCTTCAGTTATCAATTTCATAACTAGAAAGTCATGGAATCCATCAGGTTCATGTTCTCTATAGACACAGTTTAGTTTTGGTGCCATATCAGGCATTTCAACCGAAGTAATTGCACCTGGGTCCGGACGTTGATAAATCCTATTGCCTGATTCAAAAAAGGAGAATGAGTTCAGTAGCGATTGCAGCCGTGATCTTCCACGTTCCTCTTCTACTTCTGCAATATTTCTTTGAGGAAAAGCTTGAAACTTGGATAACTGTATCCTTAGGAGTTCGGAGGGAGTAGCTGGAGGTTTATCAGGAGCAAGAAATTCGCTTGTAATTGACTTCAGGCTTTCTCCTAAAAGGAGTTCGGGAAATAGATCTTCTAATGAAGTTGAAGTTACAGGAGAAGAATGTATCGACAGATTGTACAGTTGCTTTTGCAGTGCTTGAGGTACCACATATAGGAATTCAGGTTGAGGCTGTTTTGGTTCTGGAATGTATGGTACTTCTTCTTCCCCTTGATATTCTATCTCCATTGGGAATAATCCACCTTCAGGAATAGAACCATTCTTGTTGTCTACTTCAAGCAAGATTTCGTGATTTTTGAAAAAAGGATCTGATTCAGGTTGTACCTCTGGTTTTGGTTCTGGCTCTGGCTCTGGATCAGGTTTTGGCACTAGCTCTGGCTCTGGCTCTAAATCTTCAAGTGGAGCAACAATGATAACTTCATAGGGATCAGTTTCTGGAGTAGCATTTAGTAGTGGGGAATTCAACAATGAGCTAATCGGAATCATATAGCAATGAGATAGATAAATGGTGCTTCGGTTGATAAAGACATATGGCTACATGATAGACGCTGAGTAAATATTTGCTGCAAAAAACCTCTTCGCAGCCAGCCACAAAGCGCGAAAGGGAATTTCTACCTATAAACGTAAGCACTTTACAGTCGTTAACATATATTAAATTTAACTTATGAAAGAGAAATGTAAAGAGGAGTAATTAAACAATAGTCTTAGAATCGTAGAGTCTCTCTGGAATGAAAGTAAAAATACAATGAAACATTAGGATGCAAGAATATATCGAACTGAATAATAGTAAGGATTCTAGAATTGGGATAAAGGTAAGGTTAAGGTAGTTAGGTATGAGATATCATAAGCTGTTGTGTAAAATGATATATTCCACAAAATTTAACTTACACTGAGAACCTTAAGGATGAACTGAATAGTTGTGTACTTGTGTATTTGTGTAGTAGAGTTGATTTGTCTCTGGAAGTGATGGCTAATTCACTAATTTCCGAGGGAAAAAAAATCCAATTTAGCGGGAATTTTTTCTGCTCACTAAAAAGTGGAGACGGGAATTAAGTAAAACCGTTGGGGGACCAAATAAATATCGGCATTAAGCAATTTGTCGTATGAGTACATGGCATTTATTTAGACCAGATATTAAATAAGTTATCAATTCAATTAGTCGGCTTTATCAGACATTACTTGTTTAACCGGTTCTGAATCATAATATAATTTATGTTGTTGAATATATCTTATGACAGAATTGGGTAATAAGTATTGAACTGACATACCTCTTCTAATAAATAATCTTATCTTTGTAGATGAAATATCATTATAGATTAATTGTTTAATAACAAGAACATTTCTTCGATGTTCATACATAATATCATGACTTAATAAGAAACTTCTAACATCTGAGCCTGTTCTTTCAACAATAAGACATCCATATCTTCCTAAGATATGATGTAAATCTTGATCTTCCCATACATCTGGTTCACCCATTGATTCAATTAAATCTCCTCCTGCTAATAACATGATCTTACATGCCCTCTTTTCTCCAGTTAATTTATTGACTATACCACCTCTTTTAATATTAATCTCTTCATTAAAATGATCAAGGACTAAGGCTGTTCTAGTATATTTTGGTTGAAGAGATTCCCATGCATCAACCATAAGCCAACTTGAAGTTCTTTCACAAGCCAATTCACACATTCTTACTCTATGACGAGCAGGAGCTAAACCTTGCTTTTTATAATTAGAAGAGACAGGCGAATAATAACCCGCAACAACTTCGAATTTAGTTTGTTCACTTATAGCATCAAGAGCCATTTCGAACATTCTTAAATGTAAATAAGTAATTGGAGAAAATGATCCACAAGCAACAATCACTAAAGGATATTTTGTATCATCCAGTAAAGATGTAGCTAATCTATGAGTTGGGAAATGATAATCTTCTAATTTAACAGCTTGACGTTGAATACCATGAGGCACTTCTTCTAGATCGGCAATTTGTGATGATCTAACTTGAATAGTTGGTGGTAATACAAGATTATTATGACTATTTGTTCGAGTTACATTAACACTTGGAGGTTGTTGAATATCGGAATTAGTGGTATTGACCTCTTCATCAGATGATGAATTCAGTAAATCTCCATGCTTACGAGGGATCTTTGAATGATAGTTATCACTATTATTTTTACCATCTTCAATTTTAGAATTCTTTGAAGGATGACTAGTTGGTGCATCTACTGCATTACCTAAATCAGCCAAAACAAATGGTTGAATAGGTATATGATTAGGGATACGTGATGGAGGTGCAGGAGGTTCAATATTTCTCGCTAATGAAGGTGGAGTAAAATTAGGATCATTCGTTGGGTCCATTCTTAATATATATAATTATCGGATATGTTAATTGGATATTTCCTGTGAGTCACAAGGAGGAATTTGATAAGGATGACTATGACTAACTATCAATTGTATGATGAATAGAAGTAGATTCTTATTGGTTGTACAATACACGACAATACAGTGGCAGTATAAGTTCTATCTGAACTATGGTTAAGTCACTGTATGAAGCAAACTGTCTGATATTTGAATCAAACAGAGATTATAAATAAAAAACTGTGACAATTGTGGTAGTTAACGCCGGACGAAGTACCGCACTAATTTTTTAGTCAGACAAAAAAATTTTCCAGTCTTTTTTTTTAGTGTGGTTGCGTACCTTACGGATAAGAAGCGTAGATCGACAACGGGAAAGCTAGTTGGGGATATGGAAGAAAGGAAGTAGTATGTATTTATTTATTTCTTAAGAATTTGGTAATTTAAAAAATTATTCTTATAAGCAACTTATGCGGATCATCTGGTTATACAAATTAAAGTTTCTGTCAAGTACTTGACGTATCAACTGATGGTGAAGATCTTGGTGTAGAGCACAAAATGGATGCGAAACTGTTATGCAAATTTGTAGTGCAAATTGTAGGCAATTGTGTATGCAATAATAGTATGATTCATTAGGGAATTCACCAATAATATGCGTATTTGGGCAATTTACCATTTATGGATCTGGTTATGAGTTCTATAGATTAGATAAAACAAAAAAAATATAATTAGAAATATGACGTCACAGACAGGATTCGAACCTGCGAAGGTAGAACCCAACGCCTAAACCGCAAATAATAGCAGGGCGTCGCCTTAACCACTCGGCCACTGGGACTATATTTCTGCGAATTTTGAATTATCGGGTATTTTAAAGTGTCAATAAATGGATTTGAAAATTTTCACCATAAAAATTGCAATTCCCACTGTATAGCCTTTTAAGTAATACTACATTACTCTCTAGAACATTCTGATTGTATTTCAGTGGTTTATAGAGCAGTTGTCTAAGAAATTTGTGAAATAAGCTCATCCTAAACTCCCATACTAATAACGCCTATAAAATTCTCAATTTCTGAATTTCGGGAAAAATTCATGAATTTTGACATATAAAAGACGAAGACGTCCTCACAATAACTGTAATTGATGAAGAATACTATCTTCCATCGGCAAATTTCCTATATATATAGTTCCTTATAAGTAAATTATAGTGGTTACTTAGATTTATATGAAAATTGGGAAACAATTGGAAACCTTTAATTCATGGAGATTTTAACAAGATTCGCAATTTATCTTGACAATATTATAATTATTAAAACAATTTATTAATGATCAATGATTTGCTTTAATATTTTGAACAGGTATTGTTAGAATCAATAAATAGAACTTTATTTTACTAAGTTAGAATTATTAATTAATGCTGTTTCAGCACTGGCCCCAAGAAAGCCCTAAGAAAGTTACAGCCTGAGTCTAAATTTAGTGTTAACATGACTTGCAATATGATCATTTATCTTCAATAGCTTACTAGCATAAGAGAAGAGAGAAAGAAGACTAACGCCAGAATCCTTATAAACTTAATTGGATTAAAGAGACTATTAGCAAATTCGTAAAACTTCCCGACTATTGTACATTTTGCAGCTATTTCTCGCTTGTAAGCGAACAAAACTAAAACGTACCGTAGCGATTGGGGGATACCACACTAATATTCATCCATACATAGAGATATCCATAAACCGATAAAGGAGTATTAAATGTAAATATTCAGTTAATAAACACCAAGAAATATCTATTTACCGTATTAATAATAAAATTAGCCAAGAACAGGCTTTGATTTCGTCGTCTTAAAGAGTTGTTACATCAGTCAAAACTTCAATTCTGAAAACGTTTCACTACTAATTTAAAAACAGTTAGTACAATTATACTTCCTAATATTTCTTATCTCATCCCGACCGATAGTAACCTACTGCCACCACAAAACTATACAAAATAGGTATAATTATATGTTAAAATCGTCATGTGAAAATTAAACTCTCCTCGGAAGATCCTGCATACTACACAGCAGCAACCGTTAAGATGACCATTTCCCCACATAAACTAAGGTGATTCATTTCGATCAACTCTCGAGGACACATACACAATTAGATAGTTTTGATAGAAGAGGTTAAGAAATAAAAGAGCCAAACATATATATTTGGTCACCATACAGTATTCAAAGAGTTAGTAGCAGTTAAATAACTAAAGATAGAAAAAGGCCCAAAAAAATGGTATCGATATCCACTCTTACTGGTGCCAAACGGCAGGATATAAAGAATGTACTACTTCTACTTCAAGAGTTTGTTGTTACTTATAAAGATAACAAAGTCAAAATCAATTATCAATCAAGACCAGTCGTACTATTTTTAGCAACCCTTTATGCTACGGCGGGATTTGGGATATACTTCACGTTAAGAAATCTTTTGACTAAATATAATGAATATTTACTTAATAAGAAAATTAATAGACCAGCTTTGATAAGGCAATCATCAACAATCTTAAAGAATGGATCTCGAGAAATCTTTATTTCTAAGGGGAACAATAAAGTATCTAGAATAATCATTCCTAAACCTAACTTAGATCAATATGCTGCAGATAAATATCTTTATAAGAATTTCTATATTAATCAACAAATTATTCAACAAAGTTCTAAAGGTATAATATTCAATTCTAAATTTTTAAATCAATTATCAATCATTTGGGGAATACTTATACCCAAATTTTATTGTAAAAATACATCCTTATTATTATCTCAATGTTTCTTCTTAATTTTAAGAACTTGGTTATCATTATTAGTAGCCAAATTAGATGGTCAAATTGTTAAAAATTTGATTGCAGCTAATGGGAAAAAGTTTAGTCGTGATTTAATTTATTGGTTATTAATTGCATTTCCTGCTAGTTATACAAATGCAGCTATTAAATATTTAGATAATCGTTTAAGTCTTGGGTTTAGAACCAATTTAACTAGATATATCCATGATATGTATTTGGATAAAGTTATGTCTTATTATAAGGTTAGTTTAAATACTGGAGATCCTAATGGATTCCTTGAAAATATTGATCAATATATTACTGAAGATATTTCTAAATTTTGCAATTCATTAAGTGGATTATTTTCTAGTATGGGGAAACCATTCATTGATCTAATATTTTTTTCAGTATATTTAAGAGATAATTTAGGAACGGGGGCAATAATTGGGATATTTACAAATTATTTTATTACAGCAGTATTATTGAAGAGAGCCACTCCACCATTTGGGAAATTATCTTCTCAAAGGACTCATTTAGAAGGCCAATATTTTAATAAACAATTAAATTTAATGAATAATTGTGAAGAGATTGGGTTTTATAAAGGTTCTTTGATTGAAAAAACCAAATTAAACCATACGTTTAAGAATTTAATGAATCATGTAAATAAAGAAATAAATATCTCCTTTAACTATGGAGTTATTGAAGATTATGTTTTGAAATATACTTGGTCCGCTTGGGGTTATATTTTTGCAGGATTACCAGTATTTTTGGATGAAATATGGCCTAAACAAGAGAAAGATACCATAAATAAAGAAGCACAAAAAGTTGATGAAAGAAAGAATATGAGACAATTTATCATTAATAAAAGATTAATGTTGTCATTGGCCGATGCAGGCTCAAGATTAATGTATTCAATTAAAGATGTTAATCAATTAACAGGGCATACCGATAGAGTGTTTAACCTTTTAACTCAATTACATAAGGTCCATTCTCCAAGATATGACTTTGGTTCTAAATATGGATATGGAGATATACATGGAACAATTCAAAATAATTTCAGTGATGGAATTAGATTTGAAAATTTCCCAGTTATTATTCCAAATGTAAATGGTGGAGAAAGTACTCCATTATTTAAAGAAATCAGTATTCATATTAAACAAGGTAAGAATTTATTAATTTTAGGACCCAATGGATGTGGTAAGACATCAATTTCAAGAATTGTGGCTGGATTATGGCCATTTTATCGTGGATTACTTTCAAAACCAAATGATGATGATATGTTCTATTTACCACAAAAGACATATTTTACAACCGGTAATTTAAGAGATCAAATTATTTATCCTTATACATATAATGATATGTTAGAAATGGGATATAATGATGATTATTTATATCATATTTTACGTGAAGTCAAATTAGAATATTTACTTAAAAGAGAAGGGAATTTCAATGTTGTTAAAGATTGGAAGGATGTATTTAGTGGAGGTGAAAAGCAAAGAATGAGTATTGCTAGAGTATTGTTTAAACATCCTAAATATGTGATATTAGATGAAAGTACTAATGCTGTGAGTACTGATGTTGAAGATTACTTATTTGAATTATTACAAACTAAGGGAATTAATTTTATTACTATGAGTCATAGACCATTATTAATGAAGTATCATGATTTTGTATTGGAAATTAAGGATGATCGTAGTTGGGAATTCCAAGATCTTACAAGTGAAGAGAATTTGAAATCTATTGATAAAGAGATTAAAGAGATTGAAACTAAATTGGCTCAAGTAGAAGTTTGGGAAAAGAGAAAGCAAGATATAGAATTATTTTTGGATGGGAAATATAATGATATTAATGAAGAAAGTAGTATTGATATGGGGGTTGAATTGTATAGAAGAGAAGGTAGAACTTCTATGTCATCGTAGAATGTATACATAATTTATGAGTATATAAAATATATGAAATATATGAATTATATTAAAAATATAAAATATAAAAATCATTTTAGCAACCACATTTCCAGAAGTGGTAAACGCCAGGCAGCAGCAAGTAGTTAAACGCGTCCACAAAAGTTAAAAAAGAAATTAAAATTGCCCCGGTGCACGCAAAGGAGTGAGTGCCATCAAGACGAGAAGTCAAAAATATTTTCCTGGACGGATCATCATCTTACTTAAGTAGTTACGAAGCGTAGTAGAAGGATTTATTACCGGAGAATCTCGAACCAGTAAAAGTCAGAAGTTACGGCCGAGTAATAGACAATTCAAAAATGTCGGGATCAATTAGACGTAAACATGGAGATATTTCCAAAGCTCCTACACCACAAAATACTCCTTCATCAATCACTAATTCTTATTTAAGATCTCAACCTCCAACTGTTCCAAGTATAAAGGAGGAAGATTCTGAAGTTTTACGTCAAGTCGCCAATAATCCAGCATTGATGAGTATGATTCAAGGTAAATTGGGTGCACTTGTTGGTCAACAAAGTTCATATATTGATTCATTACCAAAAATTGTAAAAGATCGTATTAGTGGATTAAAAGCAATTCAATTAAAACAATTGAAGATTGAAGCACAATTCCAACGTGAATTATTGGAATTAGAAAAGAAATATGCAAAGCTTTATGAACCATTGTTTGATAGAAGAAAAAAGATCATTGCTGGAGATGCCGAACCAACTAGTGAAGAAATCGAAGAAGGTCGTGCATTAGAAGAAGAAGAAGATGATGACGAAGACGAAGAAGAAAAGATAAAGGAACTCAATGAAGGTAAGAAGGAAGACGATGAAGATGAAGATGAAGAAGCCGACGAAAGTGCTGAAAAGGGTATCCCAGATTTCTGGTTAACTGCCATTGAAAACTTAAGTACTATCAGTGAAACTATTACTGAAAGAGATAGTGAAGTATTATCCAATTTAATTGATATTAGAGTCGAATATTTGGAAACTCCTGGTTTTGAATTAATATTTGAATTCCAAGAAAATGAATTCTTTTCTAATAGAATTTTAACCAAGACTTACCATTATCAAGCTGAATTAGGTTATAGTGGAGATTTTGTTTATGATCATGCCGATGGTAGTGAAATAAACTGGAAATCCAAGGAAAATAATGTCACTATCAACATTGAAAGAAGAAAGCAAAGAAACAAAAACACCAAACAAACAAGAACTATTGAGAAGTTAACTCCAACTGAATCATTCTTCAATTTCTTTGATCCACCAAAACCTCCAAAGAAGAAGGAAGGTGACGAAGAAGATGAAGAAAATGACGATGAAGAAGATAGAGATGAAGAAGATGAAGAAGATGAAGATGACGAAGATGCCGATGAAGAATTGGAAGCTAGATTAGAATTAGATTATCAGTTAGGTGAAGAATTTAAAGATCGTTTGATTCCAAGAGCCATTGATTGGTTTACTGGTGATGCCATTGATTACTTTCCTGGTGAATTAGATGACGAAGAAGACTATGATGAAGAAGAATTCGATGAAGACGATGATGAAGATGATGATGAAGATGATGAAGACGATGAAGATGATGCTCCAAAGGAACAACCACCTGAATGTAAGCAACAATAATCAAATCACTCAGATATTTTCCCTTCGTATTGTAATAGTGTATATATGCTATTACTATAATTATAATTATATACGTAATTTGAAATATTATATTATCGATTACTTTTTAGTACTATTATTATTTTGTAAATCTATTATTTACATAAAGAAGGATTTACAATTGTAAGAAATTGGATCTAGAACAATATAAAATGTTACGGACCATTTAAGATAATCGACCGGTCGAACCGAAAATAACGAGCCGACGAATGATAAACGAAGTGGACGCCCGAGGATCAGTAGAAACAGAAAATTTGCAATTCCTAAATAATAGGGTAAGAAGGCAAAGGGCATAAATTAAACTTAAAGTTAAAGGGAAAGTTAAAGCTCAGGTATGAGAGTTATGCAAAGAGAAAATAAAGAGTGGAGGGCGTGGGGTTGATCATGGAGTAGAGATAAGATTAGTAGGGGATATTACAAAAGGGTAAGAATAACAGAGATAACGAGATTTAGCTTGTTTCTTTTTGTTTAGAAATGGCTTTCAACGAGGGATGTAATTACAACAATGACTAAAGATTCATAAAATAATTATAAGGACCAATCCAAAAATGTATATAACCGTACAGTGACATACAAAAATATTTTCAATGTAGTATTGACTTCCCTGAAAGAATTGGCATTAATAAGGATTAAACGGTAATCATTGTGCGCACCCCCTTAAGATAAGTAACGGAAATGGCTGGAACAAAAAATAGCAATATTATGCAAATACAGTTTTAACATTATATGTTGTAGAAACTTTAAAACTATAATAACTATAATAACGAATGTGACTAAAAGTCGAAAGATTTACAATAGAGAATTATCTTGTAGTGAAAAGTTAAAATAGAGTTAAATTAGGACAAGAACTAATACAAACGGAATAATATGAAAACATAACTCTAGCCTAGAGTCATAGATCAACAATGGACTGTGGCGAGATTATATTAGTTAAAGCTTTCATAAAAATATTAGTAAAACAATAAGAGAAAAAGCATTAGGATTCTGATAAGGAAAAAGACTAAATATAGATGCTTGGGGATTTCCATTCGAACACACCGAATGTGTACAACTTGGGTGCTAAAAACAGACAAGTTGAAATTCGGATGCGAAGTTAAGGTTATGAAGCCAAAGCCAAGGTAACCATGCAAAGTCCTTTTAACCTATTGTATTAGTTCAATGAACAAATTTAATGTAAACGTAAATATAAGTGTAAATGTAAATGTAAATACAGACGGGCCAAAAGGGAAAGATAGAGATTAAGTAATGGGTAAAGTCGGAGGTTATTGAAAAATTGCATCTGACATTAAGAGATCAGAACTACCGAATATCATATGATTGAAGTCAATCAGAGGGCTACCAATGCTAATGCATACCATGAACAATAACCAGAAGGATCTCGGTCTTGTAATTCCCCATATAATTCATCTATCACAATCAAACTAGACTAAACAGGTTTGACTCAAAAGCTCGGAATGCTTCAAAACAGCAACTTTCACATGCAAATGGAAAGGGGACACGACCCCATCACTACATAGTTTAAACAACTGTAAATTGCTTAAACGTTTCCGGAATCCATTTCTACGAGTTTTTAAATATAGTTGGAATTAGCTAGATACCTATGCATTGCATTGTTTATCTTGTGAAATCGTCGAAAGCAGCTACATCATAACATTGAGTGAAAAATCAGGTACGTACCACAGCAGTTGATTCCTCCGTAATAATTAATTATAATACACGTCCTAATAAAAAAAAATAAACACTCATAACGCAAAACTGTAAACTTACACACTTTAAACAATGTGCAAGAAAAAAAAAAACCGGAAAACAAAGAGAGGGCAGAACACTAAGGTTAGATATATAGGAGGGGGGAGCGGAATAGATGTGAACGCATGGCTTTTCATGTTTGACAGTGCTCATCAGCAGCTCACGAAGAACAGCAACGAAGCAACCAATAACTTCAGCATCGTAAACACGTAACAAACAGGTACAAATAGCTATACACACGGCAAGCATACCCCGATAAGCAGAGCCCCCGAAGCAACCTAGGCATTATTATTTGATTTACTTGATTATTTTACTTATGAGGTAAATTATTTTTTAATTATTTTTAATTTCTTTTATTTTTTTTTATCTACTCATATTTTTTTTCTTACACTTTCTCAAAGGACATGAGTTCGAGCTATAACTATGCACATTAAATAACTACAGTATATAAATATAAGTTATCATCCCACCCCTTGACGAATTTATCAATTATTTATATCATTCCTATTTGTTATACTTGTTTATTCTTTAATCAATTATTTTCAATCAATAGTATACTTTCTAGTAGTTTACTTAAATAATACAAGTTTAAAGTCTAGAACCTTCACTTACCTTATCTTGCTCCTTCGCACACAGTACAAAACGGAATAAAAATATTTCATACATCCCAAATGTCAGCTGCTACTCCAACTAAAGCTTTTCAATCAAAGACCATTCCTCATATCTTGAGTTATCCAATTGTGTCATACATTGTATCTACGGTTCTTTCAATCTCAATTATCAACTATGTCTATACAACTTATGTGGTACAATTGACTGATTTTATTAAGTCCAAAGTACTTTCAATTGAACCTATTTATACTTATCTTTCCTTTGCTGATTCAAAGATTGATGATTCAATTACCTATGGTGATAAATTAGTTGTTGAATACCCTATTCATTATGTCAAAGTCACTAATGATACATTGGTTAGTTTGAATGATAAATATATCAAAGAAGAAATTAAAATCAAGGAAGAAGTCAAGGATGAATTTACTCGTTTCTTTTACATCCTTAATTCCATTTTGATCAATGTTAAGGGTAAAATTAATTCTTCAACTTCAAAAATTTCTTCTGGTTTAGTTGATACTTATAACTCGGAATTATCGGCTTCTAAGACCAATGGTTACATTTCTAAGAACTTAGAAGCTTCAATTAATACTGCTACTAAAACCATCAAGAATTTGAATGATGAATTTATTACCCCTTTGAAAAATCAAACCACTGATTATTTAGATCAAGTAGCTACTACTACAAAGACTAAGGCTGATACTTTCATCAATGAAGCTAAGCAAAATATTATTTCACCACTTAATGGTAAAGTTGAATCTGCCTTGAATGGTTCCGCTCCAGTTGTATCTGCAAGTGCTTAATTTCATTAAGTCATGATGCATCTTGATTCTATTATTCCTGCTAATTAATTGTTGCTCAGCTGGTCTGATCCAGCTCATCCTTCAAAACCCCTATTTATTTAATTTATTTAATTATTTATTCTTCTTTTATACAAATACTCGCTACTTGGCTTGGTTAGCATTAATTCGATCATAAAATTTGTATATTATATATTTAATTGTCTATTTACTCTCCAGGTTATATATATTTATTTTATAGTCTAATGAAATACATACACTGTTTATTATTATTATTATTATTATTATTATTATAAACTAATAGCACTACCAGCCCCTATACAAACTTTTTAATATAATCAATACCTCCAACACATTGAGGTACAGTAAACTGACCTTCATTTTTTAATATTTGTTGATTAATTTCAATTCCAACATCAACTGTATTAATTACAGCATCATGCTCTAATATTAACCCTTTACCTCCATTCTTTTCTCTAAACAATTTTAAATTATTAACTATATCTTTAGAGGTGTGCTTATTGGATGAATCCAATAATTTCCAATCAAATGTATCAAAATCCCAAAGGACTGCCTGCATGCCAAATTGTCGAATAATACTTCTAACTCGATTATCAATACCTCCATATGGTGGTCTAAACCATTTTGGTAAATGACCAGAAGTGGCATTCATTGCCCAAATTGACCATTCAATTTGAGCGATTATTTGCTCATTGCTTAAACCAGGTAAAAATTTATGACTCCATGTATGTGACCCCATTACATGACCCTTGGATACAGTTTGGCGATAAATCTCTGGATATCTAATGATTTGAACTCCCAATGTAAAGAATGTTGATCTTGTGGTTGGTTTTATATTATTTAATAATTTAGGAGTAAATGGAGATGGGCCATCATCAAAAGTTTGACTTAATTTGGGACATGTATATACATCATCGAATGATACACAATTAAAGCAATCAAATGAACATTGTGATAAATCTCCATTATTTAGTAATTCACATTGTCCTTGTCCATGAAGAGGAATATTAGTGGGAATTACACCGAAATTAATGAAGTCAAGTGGGATGTAAGGAGGATCCATACCTGGCCATTCTTTCAATCCAGTAAAATCGGTCAACCATTGAGGGAATTTCAAAGTTGGTGGAGGTAAAACAACTGGTTGCTGAGATGATGGAGGATCAGCGGCAAATGGATTCAAAGGGTCTACACTCATGGAACTGGGGACTGACCCGGCAAATTTGGAGCTGATTTTGTTTATGATATGGGCAGAAGTATTGGGAGGATGAAGTGTTAGAATTAATAATATCCCTATTATTGTGGACTTTGGTGATGGAACTGATATTACTGAAGGGTAAAATACCATTGTATTTATGAAAAGGGCTATACTATCTTATCTCTTAGACTATTACACTCAATTTTTTTTGCCCTTTCAGGAAATTCTGTTAACAAAATAATCAATATATGTCCTTATAGACGTGAAACAGTAACTCTCTTACAAGGTCTTTATGGGGTATTATCGGTCAAAATGAAAGATTTACATTTTGCAATTATTAGTTCGCATTTTGCGACTTCAGCCGCTTAGTGTTGCACGCCATACAAAATGTAAGTGAAGGAAAAGACAATGTGAGATGTATGTATGTATATATATTATTATTAATTATAATGATAATTACTACAAAAATGCATCTATATATTTATTTATTTGTAGCCTAAACAGAAATCAATCCTCCTCTTGTTTTATAATATATCCCAAAAACCATATAAAAAAAGCTTTAAATAAAAAAGCTACCTCCTTTCCAACTCTTCAAGTTTAACCTTCAAAGTTTGAATTTCCCGTTTTAAACTATTATTCTCCTCTATAATTTTGTCATAATCTGTATATTTATATTTCTTAGTATCTTTTGTAGTTCCTTCATTCGATGCATCCATGGTATCATCATCATCTTCAGTTGCAACTATCGCACTTGATGAACTATTATTCATTTCAGTCTTGGGGGTATAAGTCTTATGATTGATTTGAGCACTATTAGATGAAACGCTGGATCTACCACCTCCAAATGAATAATTACCAAACATAGCTCCATTAGCATTCCTTTTCGAAGTATTGCTGCTAATTGATGGACTTCTGGATATTGAAGACGTCCTTCTAGCAGCAGCTGCATTGAAGGAGAATGATGAAGTTGGACTAGTTAATGAAGAAGATGCTGTAGAAGGAGTATAACTAGCCCCATTTGAACCAGAAATGTTTAAAGTAGGCAATAAGTTATTTGCACCAAAACCGAAAGATGATCCAGATATAGAACCAAGACCTGAAGAACTACTGATTGAGCCAGCAGGAGTTGAAACTGGGGTACTACCACCAGTAGAATTGTTACTTAACTTCAAATATTTATTTTCATGTTTAAGATATTCAATCTCTTTCATTAATTTAAGGACTATAGCGTCCTGTTCACGCTCCATAAGATCAAAAATTTGTTCACTATTGTACTGCTGGGGTGATGAACTGGATCCCGAAACCGATGAAGAATTGACATTGGCATTGGCATTGGCATTGGAATTGGAGTTAGGATTGTTGTCACCGCCGGCGCTTCCAGATGAATAAGAATATCGCTTCATACTGTTATTAGTGTTAACAGTAGTAATTGGAAGCGGAGGAGTACCAGTACTTAAGTTCCGATGATTAAAAGTGGGGGATCGTTGTACAGCGTTTGAATTGACAGTCGTATAACTATAATTATAATTCAGTGTGATTGGACTTGTAGATACACAATTAGACGATGAAGTTGAACCAGATCTCAAATCATGAAGATGATTATTGACAATACTATTTCTTGGAGAGATAGGTGGTACAGAATTATTACTCAAGACAGTAGAAATTGAATTACTACGTTGAGAATTATGAGCACTATTGTTATTTTGGAGATGAGGGGAAGAGTTATTAGTAGATGGTAAGGTTTTTGGAGTATTTTGTGGAGACAGGAACAGCGCGGGCGATGAATTTACATCGTTCCTTATAAAACCTGGAGGTGCCTTGAATGGAGATGAGGTTGAACTTCCAATTTTATTGTTATTAATATTAATATTATTGTTATTACTAGGACTAGTACTATTTGTATCGTTAGATCGAGAAGGTGATGTATTAGTTGAATTGATCATTTGTTAGAATTTGTTAATCTAATTATATCAAAAATGTGAAAAATATGAAAAATCAGAAGAAATATATAATTGAAAAACAATATTGATTAGTGGATATGGGGTTGATTTATATAAAAAGTTGATAGTTTACAATGAGAGAAAAAGAGGAGAGAATTAGGAGTATTAGGAGTGTATAGATGTGACACAAAAATGATGATGATCTTATTCTTGATTGTTCTACTGTTCTTTTCTGTTCTTGATTAAGTAATCGCCAAGGCATTACTGACTTTGAGTTTACGTACGTAGTATACAGTAATATAAAGTAGTTTACGTAGCATTAAACATGTACTATTATTAGGTTAAGAATAAAATTTGAGTGTAGTAAGCAATTACATTGGGTAGGACAAAAGTGGAGTTTGGGCCATCATGCATATAGGTTTATTAATAGATAAGCCTATGCAACTATACGTAGCGTAAAATGAGCTGAGCCATAGTTATTATTACAGAAACTTCTTACATATAAATAGTAACATAACAATAGAACCTGAGACATTTATTTGCCAAAGCTGTGGGTCTAGTTAATTTAGGTCATCACATTTACGGAGAGGCTAGTAGTTATGTAATTGTCCAGGAGTACTCTTTACATATAGAACGACGTAATACGGTGTCTAGTTCAAAATCCAGAAGAATGAGTCAACTCGTTTAAATAATGGTGGCGAAATTTCTTCTGTTATCGTTTAACTATAGATCATTCAAATATGTAACACACACGAGGCCATCTTTCACTTATCTATTATCAGTTATTCGTCTACTATTATAATAATAATTAGATACTCCCTTTTTGGTATAGCCTACATCCATGCATCACTACAAAAAAAATTGTAAAAATGTAAAAATAAAAAAATAAAAAAAAAATAAAGAAAAGCATGACATTTTTCGATGCTCTCCTATAAAGATTAAGTATAGGCCCATATTCCAACAAACTAATGTTGGCCTAGATCTTTCACTAATACCAACAAAAAGCTTATGAGCATTTAAATTCATTATGATCTCAACAGTACCAAATTGGTGCTTGTTCGATTTAGTATCAAACTGAATCCTTCGGTGTTTAGCTTATTTAGTTGACACTTTTCTTTATACATTGTTCCCTTTCGTATAAGTAAGTGAAATAGACACTTTTAATGAGAATTATTTTCTTTACGTAATCAGACATTACACCCCACTTAATGACGCTACCATGTGCGCACATGTATGTATTTATTTATTTTGACCGTCATAATTGATCGATTGAAATCTATCTATATGTCTTTGTTTTACTAGATACAATTGATACAATCCAACCAATCATATCTGAATAACAGTGCTAAGAACAGCTATGACTCCGAGACATCTTCAGTTAATGATGATGCATTGATCCTTAAAGATTTAGTCCAATACGATCTTAATAACTGCATTAGAAGAATTGAGATGGCGCTGAGATAGTGCTGAGTTAGGCTTGAGGAAGATAGCTAATCACATGATCATGTAAAGTTTACTACTTACATTATCGTATATACAAATTTGCTAGAGTTTTTGCTACATTTTCTGGCGTTTCTTTTATTTACGATCCAATAACTGCTACTTTTATTGCTGTTTTTTTTAATGATTCCAATTGAATATAAAATTTATAGATTATTACTTCTTTCTTCTAACAAGATTTGTTAGATCAGTAGGCGCCTTTCTCTTTACGGATAATGTATTAACTACCACAGGTTGAGCCGTTTTCTCTACTTTCGGAACTTCAATGTTAATTCTATTTCCCTCTATTTCCTGGTAGATAACAGAGTCTTCATCTTTCGATAACTTTGTATGAATAAATATTGGAATCTTATCAACTACAAGATTTTGAATGTCCAGTTTCTTAGTAAAGCTTTCACCCTTTATGACATTATTTACAAGCTGTTTGTATTGATGAATTGTCATAACTATTCTCTCATCTTCATTCTCGTTGAAATTCGTTGATGGAGAGATATTCATAGTTTGCGATTGACATCCAATCAATCCGACCACATTTCCTAATCTGAATTCTTGTCGAAATCCTAATTCTTGATAGAATTGACCAACTGTCATCCGTTGGTATCTATTCTCCACAATTAAATGCTCTAAGAACCGACCCTTAGGATCATCAGGATATACCGGGATACAATAAATAGCTGTATCTGAATTATCACTATGCTTCTTGTATACGTGTCCCAATGACCAAGACTTAGCTAAATCAGTTAAAAATTTCCGACTTGAAGTTTCATCAGATCCAGGTATCATTAGCTTACAGTCCCAACCGGCAGTTAGTGTTTTATCAATAGTTCGCAACCACCATTTCAATAATTGTGCACCATTAATTATATGCTTATGAGGATTTTTAGATGAATAGGGGTATATATATTGATCTGCTGCCTTGGTAAACAAACATACCCTGATGATTTGCCTTGTTGGGAGAATTCTTAAATGAGATGGCTTGGTAGGTCGCGTAGATGGTTTGGAATTATAGTATGGCAATGATGAATAATAATTAGGAGTCGATTGAAGTTTATGGATTAATTTTTTAATGGAAATTATGGTATCATTATCGTCGGAGTTACCTTCAATTGATACATGTGTATGAATTTTCTTCTCTTTCCTCTTCTTTATACCATAATCATTGATATTATACTCAATTAACCATTGCAATATCACTTTGACTAATTCTCCAATCTTAACCCCTTCATGTTTCACCAATCCGACAGTATCACATTTACTCACAAAGATAATTTGATGGACTGTATTTGAAACATCATTTATGAGTAAGTACACATATATTTCGATCCCAAAAACAATTAAGTCTTCCAGATCAATCAATTGTATCAAGTGTCGAATCTTTACCGTGTCAACTTTTGATGCTTCTGTCTTTTCCAAATGAATGGGAGACTTGATATACGTAGGTCGTGTCTGGATATGAAGGAGCTTAAATTTACATTCCTTAGGCAATTGACTACCAAGAAGGTCTTTTAAAGACGACATTGCCGTGACGAGTGTCTAATTGAAAAAGTGGAATACTGTCAAACTTTCCAGTAATGTAAACAGACTCGTATTTTTCCATAGAAAAAGTGTATATGCAGGTAATCGTAATTATACACTTAAGATACTAATCTTCATGTGATATTAAATTTACATCATCGGGAATAATGCCTATCAATATTGTATGAGTAGGTTATTAATGATATTAATGAATATTAACAAATAATAAGGTTTCAAAAATTAAAATTGTTAGTGTACCTTAATTACAAAGAGAGTTCACATCCTATTGCAGTAAAAGAATTCCTGTAATATCAGGCGATATTGCTATGTTATGTTGTTCAATGGATTCTAGTTTAAAGTGCAATTATTCTAAAGAAAACGCATACGACAACCCTATTGGTCTTGCCCATTAGACAAATTAGTTATATCAATTATTTGGCCTAAGGGTTTAATACCGGAGATTTTCATCCGGTAATCTATACTAAAAATTGAAAACCCCACAAAGCACAGAAGTTATATTTCAGAAAGAGTATGTATGGAAACCATGTCAATCAATCGTATGAGGTAATTATGTTCATTGAAGTTACGGCTTTATGCAATGTTATGCCCCGGCTACAAACTTAACAATCCTATATCCTAATTAGGAACTAATCTTGTTCGGCTGCCCCACCCCCTCTCCGGAGTGCGAAAGATGCTGAGAAACAAGGTGCCGCTATGCAGAACATGACATGGATTTGGGGGTTCGTCATCCCAGTCAATTTTAATTTATTTTTAAAGTTTCGTCGATCTGATTTATCAACTCATTTTATAGGAAAGATGAAATGAAATTAACCCTACAAAATATAAAATATAGAAGACTGGTTGAAGTAATGATACATTCAGACTTTCCCCTCGTCATTCCAATTATTGTCATTCATGTTCTATACATCTCAAGTGAAATTCTGTAAGCTCAATGTAAGTTGAATGATTCCATACTTCTGAGTGCCTACAGCAACTGCGCAATAGTTCAGGCAGACTTCCGCAATAGTGGGGCAACCCACCGGAGTTTACGTAAAATACTATCAAATTAATCTCCTCGTAGGTACGTAATCGCCCTTACTATGTACTTATAATTACTGCATAGTTGAATGCAACCTAAGGATTTAGTTAAAATTTGCTATTATGATTGTTTTTCTCTTGCCCGCCACAAGCACCCCGCAATGGAGAAGCGATCTCAGCAAACTTGAAAGCACTTAGTATACCTGTCATTAGTGATTTCTTCAGGGTTGCCTTGCTGTAGTTACCTGGAATGAGTAAACTACTTGCAGATGTCTTGCAGATGTACTTCAGTTACCACCGAGTGCCAAGTAACCAACAATAGTCGTGCGTATCTAGAGTGTAATCACAGAAAGAAAACTCCACATTGGTTGTATCCCTTCATCCAGACAAGGCACTAAACAATTACTGAATGTAAAGACCATGGTTATTTGATCTGTAGCGGAGGCAGATAGGTATTAATAGTAAACAATAGAAAATAGAAGTCGGTTTAATAAGTTTGAGCTAACTCCTACAAAATAAAAGTTATATCAGAAAATAAACTTGACTTCTCCACAGACACAGTTAGAGCCTCATAAAGTGAACTATCTATGTATCTATATATCTAATTCAGAGGTATATACTCAAATAATGAACTAATTATTCATAGGTTGAAGTCGAGCTTGTAGATCACCAACTGTAATTGACAATTCTCTGATTACAATTGAGCGCAAACATTTCGTTTTTTTGTAACTGTCGCTAGTTCCAAGAGTATTTACCACAAAAAAAGCTTAATAATTGTAAGGCTGAGTTTTAGATGGTCTAGAAGGTTGGTGAGAGTATTCTTAGGATTCGTTGGGTAATTAAGTTAGGTGAAAAGGAAGCAATTGATTTTCAAAGAAGTTTGATGAATTGATGAATTTCACTATACGGAACAAAGGATAAGATGAAAAGAAGTCAATTGTACTTAATGAATGCTAAAGTAGCAACATTCAAGATTCTATGCATTACCCCAACTTTCTACTTGATTTGTATAACTCTACTTAACTAGGCTAGATTACTGCAGTTGCAAAATGACTCGAAGGTTAAACACTACCTAATTAGGTAAGAGATATAATTGTTAACCCAAAATGTATGCATGTACCGTCATGGAATTAATGCAAGAGGAGGAGATAATGCTGCACATAGCGGGAAAAAAATTGCGTTTTGAATTTAGGGTGCGGTGTTTCCTTTAGTCCATGGGAGATCAATTTACGTATATCTTGACTGCAACATTAACAAATCTACAAGTGAGTTTTGTACAAATCCTTATTAATGATTTATTGTTGAGATGTAGAAAGGGATAAAGTTTGTGGAGTATGTGACATTCACTGGGCTGCCTCAAGTTTGCTGTTGCAGATTGCAGAGTGCAGCCAAGTAGTGCTTGAATTTAGTGAGTGACTAAGATAGTGAGTACTAGAATGACCGAGTATTGAGTAGATAGGTATAGAGTTGATGAGTGACTGAGAAGAGAATTAATGAGTATTGAATAGCCAGTTGCTGACGTCAGATAGTACAACTGAAGTTTCTCTACAACCGCGACTTAACCGTTCCTTAAAATAGAGTGGGCTACCCCTTTACTACATGCCGCGGTCTTCGGCAAGCTGGGGGGCAATAAAGTTACCTGGCGAAAAAAAGTCTCTAGCAAAAACAGTAAAATGCAGAAAATAATGGGCAAAAACAGAAAAAAAAATTAATTAAAAATAACAATACTAATAATAAAATAATAATAAAATAAAAAAAAAATAAAGTAAAATCACTAATTATTGTTAATTTTCAATTCTGTCCGCTAACTATCGCTAAGAAACCGGGGTATAAAGACAGGAGGATTTCGTATAAATAACTGGCAACATCTCCTAAGTTAATGGGAATAGTATACAAACAATAAATTTGCAAATTAATTTTCATTAGTTCAGTAATTTTCGTTACACCAATCTAAATCACTCGGTAAATTCCAATTTCATTAGCCTATCCAATAATTCAGTAACTGACTCATAACAAACCCAGTAACTACAACACTAACTATGGATTTCACAACGGGATCTCTGTCCCATGGCAAGGACCACCATGACATTTTGGACATGGTGACAGCCGATATGGACTTTGAACAAGCATTCATGATGTACAATTCACTTCAACAAAAGCAAGCTCAAAGTTCAATAGAGCAATTACAAAAGGTGCAAATGTTGAATCAAAGTTATATTCCAGAAACTGATCATCAACATTATGGAAGCCATGACTTTTCCGATCATCGTAGTCAAATTTTGAATACCCAAACCTATCCAACTAGTCACCGGTTTGATGCCGAGGATGACGAAGACGATGATATGGAAGAACATAATGAATTTGATCAGTTCTTTTCCAATACAGAAGCAAATGCCTTGGACAGCTTTTTGGATAACTTGACTAACTCAACTAATCCATTACAATTTTATAATATCGGAGGAAGTAGTTCCCATACTCATCAGGAATTGCCTATATTCGACTTACACACAATGAAGGAACAGCAAAAGGTGCTGGTAGATCATGAGAATCTTCGACAGGAATTGACGGATGCATTCAGTCATCCTTCACTTAAGGGTCTTAATCTTAATTCCGGATCATCTTCATCTTCATCTTCATCTTCATCATTATCATCATCAACCAATATTAATCCTCATAGTCAATTACCTACTCCAGTCGATTCTCGACAATCTTCATATTCAACTACTACCGGATCTCTTATATATGTGAAGCAACAGGATTTGCCCACTTATAGTGATGATCAAGAAATTGAAGATAATGATAGTGATATGTTAACTCCTCCTTCAAGTGATGTTGAAAGTAAACGGTTCAGATCCGGTACCCTCGGAGTCATTGACGGAACTCCAATCAAAAAGAAGAGAAGAAGTTCAACCAAACCCCTTCTTTCTTTGGAACAAAAAAGGCTCAACCATTCTCATTCGGAACAGAAGAGAAGACAATTGTGTAAATTGGCATATCAACGATGTTTGAATTTGATTATTGATATTGATGCCTTCAACAAACTTCCGGAACTCAATGAGGCTGAACGCAAATCAAAGCGAGCCCGGATCAATAAAGAAGGATTACCCAATTTGTCAAAACACAATGCTCTTGTTCGTATTAGTAACGAGATGCTTCTCATCAAGGGGATGAATGAGAAGTTGGCGCAATTAATTGAGCGTTCATAGTTCATAATTCCGGTCTATTATAGAGTATCTACTTCTTCTATGTATTAATGCACGACGTAATGAAAGTCTAGTAGAGTAAATGTAGAATGAGTAGAGTAAAGTATGACTGAAGGGGGTTTATAGTTGAGTTCCGGTAGTGACAGTAGTCGGATCTTTAGTAGAGAAAACATCCATGACGCAATACTCAACATGGCCAACGCGTTGAAATTTCAATCTGTCTCGATTTTTCAAAATCCATCATCAACTGTACCCACTAACTCCATTACTACCAATACCAAAATGCCTCCTAAAAGTAAACCGACCACACCGGTCGTGGAGGATCCCATTGACGAGAAGTATGTATTGAAATTCCCGGCCTTTTCCGACCAAGTCCAGACTCTTCAAAAGCTTGGACCATTGATCTTGGCTAATCAAGCTAGTGAACAATATTCGAGTCCGGAATTGATTCAACTTAGAAATAGTTATAAATATATCTATGTAGTTAATTGGCTATACCATTGTCGAGGATTTGTGCGGTTACAGTCGGAATACTTTGATGTAGACGTGTTTGAATTGGAATTATTGAATTATTTCCCTATAGTCAATTCCGGATATGAACAGGATGGAGCAGTTAAAGATGGACAGTTATTTATTCAAAAATTGAAGTTGAATTTAATTTCAACTTTACAGAACTCGAAACTTTCATCATTAAACAATTTTGAGACTATATTCAAGTTATGGTTCGGAAGTCAGACGCCTCTCGGAGGATCCGATGAAGATGATGATGAACAAGGACCAGTAGAAGGACAAGAAGGTGAACTACCAGTACAAAAGAAACAACAGGAAGTAGAGACGAAATTCGATGAATTGAGTATTGCCGATAAGTTTGAGATTATCTATATTTTAATATCTACTATCTCCAGTTATTCCAAGTTCCGGGATTGGATCGATAAGAATAATCTTTCGGTTGATAATCTTCGACTTGTACCTATTTATACTCATCCAGTAGGTTCTACAGGTTCAGAAGATTATTTACTTTTATTTGATAATACTAGATTATATAAGAGAATTATTCATTATCATGCTCTTGTTGTTCCTAAGAAACGTAAGTTATCACCGGTTGATCCTAATGTGACATTTAAACCAAGTCAATTTGATGTTGAAATATCCGATATTCAATTTGAATTAGTTTATAAGAATGTTTATGAATATAATTCATTTGTTAAAGGGTTAAAGTTAAAGAAACTTAAGCCGGTGCTTGTGCGCCCGGAAGTGGTGGAGTCGGTGCTCGGATCTGAGATAAAAAAGAGACGATACTTAACCAATAAGAAGAAAGAAGTTCAATTATTATCATTATTATCGACAAGGAAACGGTCACTTCGATTAGAGATTAAAGAGAAACAAAAGCATGAAGAATTGGAGAAGCAAAGATTACAAGAAGAGTATGAATTAAAGTTGGCTGCTCAGAAACGGTCAGAAAGACGGACTCGATCAACCGATACGAGTGGATATGTTCAACGAGATTATGGGCATGGATTATCGAGAGATGAGAGATTAAAGTTGAGGAGAGTGGGGACACCTGTATTCACGCCTACGCCGGAAGTGAGAGAGGTAGAGGAAGTAAAGGAGGTTAATGGTGAAGAGCCGGTGGTGGTTGAGTCGGAAGTGAAGTCGGAAGTTGTTGATGTTGTTAGTGAAGATGAAGTTGAAGACGAGGAAGTCACTGAAGGAGTTAGTGTAGTTGAATCGGAAGCCAAGCCGGAAATTGTTGATGTTGTTAGTGAAGATGAAGCTGAAAGAGTTGAAGGTAAAGTTACTGCGAATGGACATAGTGAGCCAGTGACAGAAGTACCGGAGACATCAGTTTAGAGTTTGAAGAGGTATTGTACAGTTACAGTAGATAGCACTAATAATATGTAATCATTAGAAACTTATAGTAAGTAATGTATACTAGAACAATAATTGTATGAGAAACAGTAGTACATAGTTAGAGCATTGGTGATACTAAGAGTAACTAGTGAGTAATAGCAGTAGTAGTTTGATTACACAGTAGCAGCAGTAGTAGTTTGATTACACAGTATCAGTAGTACTATACACTAACAGTACACCGAAGTAGTGAACCGTTGCACTTCAGTAATACACTTAATAGTATACTGCTATTAACTCTCAGTAACCGTCAGTACAGTAACTCTACAATCGCACAGTTAAGTATAATGACTACAGTAACACTAGTGGAAGTACATACCTAGCCAGTCTAATAGTAACACTTAGTAGCAGTAGTCACCGTACAACTAACATAAGTAGTAATATTAATAGTACATGATAGGAGTAATATTAATAGTATTACGAGTACTTAGTATCTATTCTACTGGTAAGTTTTAGTAAGTAAGTATATAATAGTACATAGTAGTCGTATCCATTCTAATGTATCCATTCTAATGTACCTATACCAATAGTAAGTTAACAGTATACAACAGTCATAGTAGCAGTAGTAATAGAATATTATGTAATAGTAGTAATAACAGTAATATTAGTAACAGTATACCAGTACATAGTATACGTACATAGTATACCAGTACATAGTATACGTACATAGTATACCAGTACATAGTATACCAGTACATAGTATACCAGTACATAGTATACCAGTAGTACATAGTATACCAGTACATAGTATACCAGTAGTACATAGTATACCAGTAGTACACTTCAGTCTTCAGTTCAGTAACATTACAAAACACATTATCTATCGTATGTGTATTCAGTATCAGCTATGTCTAGAAGTATAAGTAGTAAGAGTAAGAGTAAGAGTAAGAGTAAGAGTAAGAGTAAGAGTAAGAGTAAGAGTAAGAGTAAGAGTAAGAGTAAGAGTAAGAGTAGTAGTAGTAGTAGTAGTAAGAGTAGTAGTAGTAGTAGTAGTAGTAGTGTACTATTCTACTATTGTAAGTGTAACAGTGACTGTTCTACCATTTTACAATAGTAACAGAATAGAATAGAATAGAATAGTACCACTTTATGTCTTCTGCTCATCATCTCATACCTTTACACATATAAACCTTTCTTAGATTCATATATACCATACTTTCTTATACTCTCTACCTGTATAAGTTACAAGTATACAACACTACTGTACTATACTGTACTGTAATACTACACTCTACTCTACACTCTACTCTACACTCACTCCACTCACTCCCTCCACTCTTATAAATATATTAATGCTATACTCACAAATTCAATTCCGTCAAGATCTGACTGGCCAACGTCTTATAATTCCATGTATTCCCCAATAACTTCTTAAATTGAACTCCATATAATCCCACTAATGGAACTTTAACTATATGAATTTCAAATTTTAATGGAGATTTACTACCTCGTTGTCTTTCATTACCACTACCACTGGCATTAGATACTGAATGTTGATGTCTAGCTTTCTGTTCAAGTTTAGAGGAAATTAACATATCACTACCTCCTCCATATCCATTTAAGGAATCAGCAGAATTATCATCTCCTCCTCCTCCTCGATCTTCATATTCATCATACTCAAATTCATCATCTGGATATAACCCTCTCATAACTTTAGTGGTAGCAGGAGTATTAGGAGGCATAAGAACTTGTGATCCATTCTTTTTCCTATACCCTCCCACCGAAAACTTTCTACGATGTCCTCCAATAGAATTAGAAGATTTATGAGAAATTTTAATTGACGGTGATAATGGTTGACTATTAAGTTGTAATGAAGGTTGTCTTGAAGGAGTTCGTTGTTCTGGTTCAGGAGTCTTTGTTCTTAAGATCTCCTTTTCATGAATTGATGATGAAGTCGATTTAAATGCATCTCCATAAAGTTTCCGTTCTTCACTATTCTCATCTCCATGACTATCTCCAGTTGTGTGACTTTCTCCATCTACTCCTTCTGCTTCTGCTGCTGCTGCTGCTTCTGCTGCTTCTGCCTCTGCCTCTATATGGTGTTGTTGAATAAGTAAACTATCAAGTGGCTGAACAGAAGGTGTATGAATACATACAAATCCTCCCTTAACTTCTTGAAATCTAACTCCCAATTTACTCAATACATTAATTATATTATATCTAATCACGGGTAATGGTTTGGTGGATGTGGTTTGTACAGAAAAGAATCCCTTTAAGAATAATGTCTTACAATGCTCAATCGATGGCATACTATTTGGTTTAGCATTATTGAATTGTTCAATGATTTCTTCTTCTGTTAATTGAGCTATCTCTTGATAATCAACATCGTCTAGACGTACATCATCAAAGAATCCTGTATTATTACTTGAAGTATCTCCTGTTGTGGTGGATCCTCCTGCTCCTGCTCCTCCTCCACCTCCACTTCCACCTCCTACTAATTCATCACTATTTTGATTAGCCATAGCATTGGGTAATGGAGGATATTGACTACTAGTACCTCGGTTTCTATTGTAATTATACGAATCCTTACGTATATGTCCTCCCACAGATTTGGCTCTTGCCGTTGGATGAAGCTTTCTACCTCCACTTTCAATACTTAATTTATCATTAGCAGGTATAACAGTATTCCCACTATATTTAGGTACTGGAGGCATGATTTCTACGGGGATAAATCCATGGAATTTCGCAGGAGCTTTGGAATTAGTTGATGATGATCGTCCATGCTGAACTTTACTACTATCATTAGTATTAATGGTAGATGATTTACTCTTGGCTGTTTCTGTAGAATTAGTACTGGAATTATTGGCTGAAGTACCCAAATTAAGTCGAGAACTAGTGGATTTTTCCTTCGCAGTAATCTTCATACTGACTCCTCTACGAACCATTGGATCTCTTCTACCACTGGCACTGGCACTGGTATTGGTATTGGTACTGGTACCGCTAGTGCCAGTTTCAAGTGTTGGTAATGGAGGAGGTGATCGATTAGAATCTCCTGATGGAGGTGGAGGCGATGAAGATTTCTTCTTATACGATAACTTTCTTAAGATGGAATTAATTCCGGCATTCTTAGCCGGATCTAAAGTGTCTCGACCATTATTACTATCACGAGGACTGAGTTGTTGTTCGGGGATTACTGATTCCGGTAATTCCTTTGGTGGAGGTGGAGGTGGAGATTGAGAATTTCTATGAGTAGTTGTTGGAATCGTTGAAGTATGAGCTTGAGGTGGGAAAGAGATGGCAGCTAATGGAGCTTGAGCTGTTAATAATTCTGCTCTAGCCTTTTCAGTAGAGATGGATCTTACTGGTACATCCAATTTAACTGCTTGTAATTGTTGTTGTTGCTGTTGTAATTGCTGTTGCTGTTGCTGTTGCTGTTGTTGAGCTCTGACTGCTTCTTCCTTAGCCTTTTTCCGTTTCTTCATCTCATCTACCAAGTAATATATGGAGATTAAGGGATGGAAACCTCCTGTCGGATCGGGTAAAATATGAGCATTGGATGCCGAAGCATATTCTCTCCCTTGATCAGTTAATTTATACCAATTTTCACAACTCATTTGATATTCTACACTAGTTAATACATTAGTTAATTCTTCAGTTATATGTTGAATTGATCCTAAATCAAATGAAGCAATTGTCTTAATAATTTCTCCATCTAATGGTAAAGTTAATGGGATTCGTTTAGGTAAATAACTGGAAACTTTATAATCATAACCTTTATTCATCCAAGGATGTTGTAATACTTCAAAAAGACTGGCTCTCTTGGTGGGATCAACGACTAACATTCGAGATAATAATGATATACATTCTCGAGATAAGAAATCAGGATATTCTACATTGCCCTTTTTAATCTTTTCATGTAATACCGAAACTGATTGATCATCAAATGGAACTTTCCCACAAACTAATACATAAAGTACCACTCCAAATGACCAAATATCAACTTCGGGTCCAGTATATGGTTTAGCACTTAATAATTCTGGAGCAGCAAAATATAATGATCCACAATAAGTCTTTAATAAAGATTTAGGAGAATATAAATTCGATAATCCAAAATCAATAATCTTTATATCTCCCTTTTCATTAATCATAATATTTTCAATTTTTAAATCTCGATGTACAACATTATTACGATGACAATAATCTAAAGCTGATCCAATACCTCTGGCGAATTTCCGGGCATGTTTTTCCTTTAATGATCCATGTGCTACTATATAATCTAACATTTGTCCTCCTTCAACATATTCAAATAACATATAATAATGATTAGTCATGGGAACCATTTCATATAATCGACAAATAAATGGATGAAATAATAATCGTCCAAGTGATCCTTCTCGTATAGTTCGTTTATCTCGTGCTATTTCCTTTTCATATTCTTTATGTCTTTGAGCTGCTTCTTGAGTACTCGTAGGTGGAGCATCATTGGCATGAGCTCTTTGATATAATTTAGCAGCTCGGGGGATGATTTTAACTGCACAAATCTCATGGGTTGTATTATGTTGAGCCAATTTAACTTTCCCCATTGATCCTGCTCCGATGGTTTTAACAAAATCCCAATCTCCAATAGATTTTCTATAGAATTGTTGTTGAGCTGGAGGTTTTTGATTGGATTGATTGGATTGTTGGACCGTTGCGGCCGCAGGCGTTTGAGCTGGTGATGGTGCTGGAACAGGTACAGGACCAGGCACCAGTCCTGATTGATTTGATACTGGAACTGGTTGTGTTGGAGGAGGGGCATGAGGTTTGCTGGCCTCTACGGAATGGTGATGATGATGATGATGATGTTGCAGAGACTGTGACTGAGACTGTGACTGTGGTTGAGTATACCGAGGAAGGTCACCGGATACTTTGGAATGTCCCAATTCCGGAGAGTTGATAGATGCTGGAGGTAAGAGCTCATTACGAACAGATGTATTGATAGGAGCCGGCGGTGGAGGAGGAGGTTGGGATCGGGACGGGCCCGGTGGGGCTCTGGGCGGAATGCTTTTGGAGAATGAGGGGACTCTCTTATGGATCTGTTGTTGTAATGATTGTGGTTGTTGCTGCTGTTGTTGTTGAGGTGGAGGAGGAGGAGGTGGTGGTGGATGCAGTTGCGGAGTTACTGGCTGCTGAAAGCTGAGATTGTGTTGTCCAAAGGGTTCTGTAACATAATTAGGAGATGCCATATCTTCCAGAGGCTGTCTATGGTTGAGATCCGACCGAGAATTCTTTAGAGTTCCACTAACACTTCTAAGCATTCTTGGAGTTGCTGGTTGATTCTTTGGTTGATGACCGTCATTATGTTGCAGTTGAGATTGAGAGTTGGCCACTCCCAGCGGGGCGGAATCATAACCAAATGGATCCATAATGTTAGCCAGTGATGGGGCAATACGATTGAGGTTCCTATGGTATGATTTGGGTCAATTCCAGAGGTATTATTGATAGATTAGTTAGTAGTTAGTCGTAGTCGACGGTAAAATTCAGGTGGTGAATTATGGGCAGGGGGGTGTGCGGATACCGTACCGGAGGGGGCGACAGATCCGGGGGAAGAGGGCTCGGAAATAGTAGTAGTTATATTACGAACTAGTGCTACGTATATGCAATTAGTACTAACTGCTACGTATATAACAGTGCAATTACTCAGCACACTTAGTAGTAATGCTACGAGGTAGTCATAGTACAGTGTACAGCACTATACGTACTTGTACTGTACTATAGTGTACTGTATGTCTTGTTGGTTATGATTATTTTAGCTAATGCGTACTACCACAACTACAACTAGCAGTACATTTACTTCTACTACTACGGACTATTAGTACTATCACTCATAACCAGTAACTTAATATGAGCACTACAGTTACAGTGCCACAGTACTGCACTACTCTACTATAGTACTACTCCACCATTGGACTTCTGCACTACTCTACTATTACAGTACTCAGTACTCAGTACTCATTACTCAGTACTCAGTACTACTCTACATACTACTACAGTACTCCATACTATTCTCTTAATCAATACTTATATTAATTTAACTATATCTCTAATGATGATGTTTCAAGTGAGTTTGGTATTCCCAAGTATAACCTAATAAAATGATTCCAATGGCTAAATGAAGTAATGGTTTACCAGAGGCATTATCTCCATCAAAATAGGCTGCCTTATATCTAGCAAATGGATTAGTTGGTTTCTTAGCAGCTGGGGCTGGTCCAGTAGGTAATTTTTTATAGAATGAAACCACTTCGGCCATTCTTTTGGCATTTGGATTTGATCCAAGGTTCTACAATAATGTTAGTAAATCTATCTATATTAATTATATTAGTACTAGTCAACGACTCGTCTCAATTTCTTTTACATACCTTTGCCGAAGCAATCTTGGGAGGAATGATGGTAGACAATTGTCTTCTAGCGATAAATGACATTGGCGGTAGTGAAGGTAATGGTGGTTCGCTAAAGTATGGTCGTAGTTGGTGGTGGATTTCAATTTACAATTTTTTCATTTGGCTTATGCGCACGACGGTGTTGAGTTCGAGCTGTGATTGGTGGGAGTCACGCGGAGGGTGCGCGTGACTACCAGTACTACTACTATACTATAACTACTACTAATACTGTAACTACGAATACTGTAACTACTCTCTAAGTCTATCTTACTATGGTGAACCATTAGGCTATAGTATGCACAGGCTAGTATTACTATAGTTGTTTAGCGTACAACAGTCACAGTAACTGTTATATGGAGAAAAGCACGTGACTCATTATCCTACACTACACTACACTACACTTTCTAGTACTACAACTCTACAACAACTTATGTCATACTAATCTTATACTGATACATGCATTAAGCTATAATATACACAAGTGACGCAAATCACTATAATTAATTAGTGTTACTGTTACAGCACTTTAAGGTACTGTGACAGTACTTCACTCTTCACTTATATACAACACTAAAATCGTTAGTACTCCCTCTCTCTATTAATAAACTTTTATACAACTCCTATTCATACATACCATTATTACCTCTGATAAATACATCTCCATACGTTCTAGAACTTTCTCCAGCAACTTCTGTTCCATTCTGTAATACAACATTCATAAATCCATCAATACTTTGTAATACTCCAGCATACTTAACTCCATTATGAAGTTTGACTGTAACGGATGAGCCAATGATATTACTTAAGAAATGGGAGGGGTCGGTAGACATGCTGATATATACTGATGGTTCTGATTTGTACTGATAGTTATACTCACTGTTCGTTTGATACTGATACTGCCTGTTTAAGGACGGTCGGTGAAACTTTTTCTAAGGAGCGTCGTGTGTCCACCACATTCACTATACTGTTTGTTATACTGTTTATTATACGGTTCTATACTATACAAGTTATATTACTCTATTCTATACTATTCTTCGTTATCTGTGTAGTTAACTAATGACTCAAGTAAAGTGAAGAGTCGGACAAGTTCCTGTAATGATGTCGGTGGTTGATCCGGTTTATCGTCCAGAAGTAAGTCTCGCTTAACGACTCCGACCACTAACCGGTTTACCTTCGTAAGTAAATTACGACCCTCGATTATACTAGGCTTATAACTAGGACCCATAGCCAAAAGAATAGTCACGACCAATTGGAAGATTGGAATGATCAATTCAATAAGTGAAATAGATGATTCCGGACTTTTATTAGTAGTAATGGATTTAGTCACATCTCGAAGTCCGAGGGGAGTATCGAGTTGGAGTGAGATCCGGACATTGTTCAAGTCATGATGTTCATCGATATTGACGGTTAATCCCAAGTCGGGATCGGAGCTAAGTAAGCGAGATTGCTTAAGTAAGGAAAAGATTTCACCTTGAATCAATTGAAGAGATCCGGCTTTGGATTGAGCTACTCGGATTAATAAATATAAGGTTGATTTATAAGAAGTGAGCTCGTATATCAATGTATCAAGACCAATACCGGACCCTTTATGGTCGGAATTCTCACACATTTCTAAAACTTCATCAGTTCTTTTAATTGATCTCATTAAAAGTAATAAAGAATTACTCTTAACTAAGCATTCAAGGACAAAGTTATCACCTGATAAGGAAGACACGTGAACTAATGACTCTAATAATAATATAGATGTGATCCGGGAGGCACCCTCGGAATAGATGGCATCACTCGTAATTACATCAATAAACTTTTTATCAATGGATTTAATTATAGCAGCAGTTTCAATTACTAATTCTTCATTATGAAGAACTTTTATAAGAAATTTATTGGCTAATATGTATAAATCCGAACGTAAAGTCGGAACGGAATTGGAATTCAAGATCCCCGTAATTGAAGTTTTCAATAAGGGAATTAACCGTCTCATCCCCAAGGCAAAATCTTCTTTACTATTAACTTCCGCCATAACTTTATGATCGTATAAATCAAAAAGAAGCACCGATAATGAAATCAATTCTTCCGAAAATGCAATATCCGACTCCAAATAATCATTAATCTTCGGTAAGATAACTTGTAAAATCTCTAAAATGAATTTCTTGGAATATAAATTATGATCCGTAATAAGAATCTCTACCAATTGACACCAAGAATGTAAAAACAGTAATTGAAGCTCCTTTAATCGAGTACAGGTTAAATATTTGACTATAAACTCATTAATTCGATTGCCTTCAATTACAATATCTTCCATTAATTGAGTCTTATTATCATCTTTATGGGTTTGACATACATATTTGAATACTTTATTAAGTACTGAAAGATCCAATTCATCTTGTTGAACTGTTTCAAGTATAAGGGATAAATTATATTTCCGATCAAACGCTTCAAAATGATGAATTTCAAAATTAGTTAGATTATAATTAAGTACATCTAAAAATGATAATACTTTAGGAGTTCCACTAAGATAATCTTTATTATCAAGTAAGAGTTCCATATAATATTCTTTCTTGGATCGAGATGTTATATGATGAAACTCTAATGTTAAGTATTGTAAGATTAAATTTCTTTGACTAATAAAGGCAAAGAACGCTTGAACTGTATCATAACTTTCTATAAAATTATTGTCTTGTCCATCCCGTAAATCTCCATTGAATTCTATTCCATTCCATAAAGTATCAATATCAAGTTTTGGTTGATAACTTATTAATTGTTCAAATAAATTATCTTGATCTCGTAAATGCGCCACCGTCGGACCGGAACTGAGAGGTTCATGACTTAATTTAATGACTATCTCTAAGATTAATGATGAAAGTTTGACCGGTCCGACATCGATACTCGTCGAATGAGTTATGATATCGAATGTGAGGCTTAAAGTCTCAAGAAGCGATTTCAAAAGGGTATTCTGTTGCAGTTGTTGATTGATAGAAAGTGTGCCCCCTCGGATCTCATAGCCCAATAGGAAATGGGCTACATTGGGTTCATTTCCGGCTTGATTTAAGTTAGCAAGAAGGAATTCTAATACCTTATATTTCAAGTCAAGTCGGTCGTCTAAAGTATCAAATACGGAAATGAAGGCATACTTAATCTTTTCCGACTCGTCGATACTCTCGAAGGTAGTGAGAAGTCGATTCTTGACAAGGACCGGATCCAATGAGGCAGGAATCTTAGTCACAAAGTATGGTGATGTCCGAATTTTATTCAATAATGAAAGTGATACGCTGGCAATACGAGACCCGGGGGATTGAATCCCGACATAGAGCCCGAAATGGGCCACCGTAACTAAATTATACAAGTAGATTTCATAGAAATCGGTAGTACCTGTAGTTCCGAGGGCCTTGGGTAAATAAATATTATCAAAGATGGATTTAGGAGCTGCCAAGGCGAGAGATAAGCTAGTCCCGAATCCGACTGGACCGGAACTAGTACCGGAACCGACACTTCCACTACTACTACCATTACTTTGATTCTTTAATATGGGAACAAGCTTATGTAAGAACACATGTTGCACTTGTAACACTTCATCCAATACAATTAAAGAAGATTCGACCAACAGACGTAATTCGGAATTGGAACTGATCGCCTCAGTTCCGGCATTGACAATAGTAAATAATGCCGACCATGTTTTCTCATAGAATAAGTAGTTAAGAATGGCCACCGAGTGATGTAATTTGACGTACAAGTCATAATTCAACCGGACGGTCGGTAAGAGGGAGTCGAAAATATCTTGCGATGGTGGAGACCGTAAAAGCTGATGAACCGTATCGGAAATGAATGTCCAGTCTACCGATTTTAATGCCAGAGTAATAATATTAACTATGGTTGTTTGTAAGGCAAGTCGGTCTTCTACCCCGGAAATGTCACCACTTCTTGAAAATACCGTGACCAACAAATACTCAATATACGGCCAAATACCGATCTGATTATTGATACGATATCCGGATCCTAAGTCTGCCGGATAGAGTAAAGTGTAAGGCCGGAATGCCTCATTATCGTCATCAAGCGGCTCAAGCAACTTGCCTATTAAATTCACAAAGTTGGTCACCTGTGAGAGATGCACAAGATTGATATCAAAGCCTTGAAGGATTCTTAAATTTCCTCTAGTAGAATATTTAGGTTTAGAACTTTGCAGTGGAAGCAAACTGGTAGCGCGATCAGATCCGGGGATGGTACGCGAACCAGCAGTAGTAGTACCAGCAACCCCGGAATTGCCCTCGGAGTACAATCCATGATATACCCAACGATCAACAAGTCGCCAAATTTGATACCGAATATCCAAATTATGATCATCACCAATAAAGCTGCCGAGGAAGTTAAGTATTAAGTTGGTAAGGACGATTCTGTTGTCTTCCGATGCCAATACCCTCGGTAAGTCGACGTGTTTGTTGGTACTATCCAATACGGTCAAGAGCAGACCCCCGGTAATGAGATTATCAAATTTAAGAAAGGCAGTCACTATGGGTAAGAACCGATTGAATATGATAGATTTGATTTCTCGGGATCGGTCGGTAGTCGATGATAAGTTGGTGACTATGGCCGATACTAATTGGAAGAAGCCGGAAATGAACACCACTGAATCCTCGGCCAACTCGATAATGATCCGACTGGCTACGGACTCATCAAGATCTTGTTTGGCACTACTACTACTACTAAACCGGAACTCGTGCTTCTTCTGACGCTGTTTGAGCTGCTCATTCAAATCCAATTCAAATGATTCTTGTAGCGAGTCAATGTAGTAGTTAAGAGAATCACAAATGGAGTCGATAGAGATCTTGGAGTAGTCACTCTTCTTTAGGCTGGACCCGTTGTTGTGCACAAGTGTCTCCCAGATTTGGCTGGCAGTGTCATTGCCTCCGCAGGTGATGGAACCTAACAATAAGCAGAAAGTGGCGGTGATTAAGGGTGAAGTATTGTTGCTTAAACCCCATGCTATGAAACCGGAAATGTCATTGGCGGCCACGTCATCCGACCAGAACAATCCACACAATTCGGGCCGGTGGTTATAGGTATAAGCAAAGGCAAGATAGAAACGTTCTAGATCGGCTCTGGCAGCTATTTCATCTAAATCAAGTCCATCTGATTTAGTAGTAGTATCATCTTTGGTGAGAGATCCGGGAGTGTCGTCGGTCGGATCTTGTTTCCCATTTAATGAAGATAAGACAAAGTCTTCTTCCGAATCTCGGAGTGATGTCAATATAATAGCAGCATTAGAAATGAATTGACTAAAGAATAAATGAAGAAATGGTGCTACTAAGGTATTGTTGAAGTCGGAAGATACCCGGAATGAAGTCGTATCTAATAAGATCGATACATTTTCAAATCCCGGTTTAGATGATGATGTATAGATAAGATCTTGAGATGATGGATAGACGAATTTGACTGGTACAAGACGAGGAAAGAGCTTTTGAAGAAGAGCTCGGAAGTCATAGACATTACTTCTTTCATATAATGCTTCCGTTTGAGGAGTAGCCGTATCGGCCGAATAAGATAATAATCTTTCAAAGGCTCCATAACTAATAAGCCATTCCATATACTTAAGAATATCATCTTTAAAATCATATTTGGCAGTTCGAGATTCGGATTGCTTACACCAACCAATGAAAAGGGTGAAGAAGACTAATCCGGAAATCATATCTATTCCGGTGAGCTTTGATTTCGATAAATCTATATCATTATTAGTATCAGCAATAATATTATAATCAGTTTCGAGGGTCGTAGTAAAATATTTATATAATAAATCCGCCTTATCGGAATTAACCAATTGATTAATATACTTTAGTATACCTGGAATATAATGAATAATTAAATTATCATCATCTACGACATTTTTCTTAGCCGTATCGACTACTTTGGTGAAATGAGTCACGGTACCATAGTTGTCAAAGTATTGATCAAATAAGGAATAAAGAATTTGACCCAAGAGTTCATGATCCATAAACAATTGATTCTTAATGAAATTGATGGAATTGACAAATGAAAGATTGTTGATATCACTGGACACTCGTTGTTTATCAATGAGATCATTGACAATGCCAATTAAGTCATAGACCTTAGTGTAACTAGCTAAGATATTATTGAAAAGTACTTCATAATCGCTAGTATCCAATACATACTCCAACTCATGATTGGTCACGAGATAGCCCACGATATTTAGGATATATTTGGCCCGAGAGAAGTACGCTAATTTGGCACTATCACCTAAATTGGTTCCTCTTTGAAAGCTAAGATTATTGGCATAGTATACTAATTCTGCCACGGCTATTTCATCGAGATTAAGCTCTCCAGCTAATGACACACAAATCTCAATGAATGGTCGGTTCAACTTATACTCATCTCCATTTCCGAACACCACCGGTTTGGACTCATCAATAAGTTTATTTCGTGAGTTATCACTCCGTGGAGGTGTTACCAATACAGACACTAAATCATTCTTAAGGGTTCGGACCGCTTCGTAATGGCTGCCGTCATGTAAACTGATTAAGTCGTAACACTCGGCAAACGCATCCGATGTCCAACTAAGTACATTCAGACTCATTGCGATAGTTAAGGTGGAGATTTTGGTGGGTTTTGGTGGGTTTTGGTTGTTTTGTAGTGGTGAAATTTCTGGCGATGTTCGAAAATTTTGTTTACGGTGAGTGTGGGTCGGAATGACCGGTGTATAGTATGGGGAGTGTGAGTGACACAAGTCACGTGCGCATATATATATATATATATATATATAGATATGTCTATACAACGACTTATATACTATATTGGACTGTATATTTACTATCCCTACTACTACTGCTACTAGTTATAGACTTCATACACTTCATACACTTCATACACTTCATACACTTCATATATTCACTACTAACTCACCTACATGACTAAGACATAGATACCAAATTCTCATATTGAAGACAGGCCGTCAATTGTGCAGAGATCTTAGGTGGATACTCCGTGTCAGAAGGAGAAGCATGAAGGTTAGGAAAGAGTTGGACAAGTCTGGCAACTACATAAGATGCTTCAGTAAGAGCAAATTGTTGACCAAGACAGATCCGTGGACCACCATTAAATGGTAAATAGGCCCAACCCAACTTTCTTGTTTCCGGTTCAAACCATCTTTCTGGACGGAATAGATCAGCATCCTTTCCATAGTATTCTTCAAGTCTATGAAGTGAGTAAACAGAGTACATGACCGATTGACCCTTTTGCACCAAGACAGGATCTAATCCATCGGGTCCTCCACCTCTTGGTAATGTAGTATCTTTAGTAGCTACTCGGAAGTTTTGAGGTACTGATGGATACAACCTTAAAGTTTCATTCAATACTGCCTTTAAATATTCACACTTCTTTAATGCTTCAAAAGTAATCAGTTCAAGATCCGATTCATCTCCAGATCCAAACCTTTCGTAAATCTCTTCCTTCAATTTATTCCAAATCTGAGCATTTCTAGACATTTCATAGAATGCAAATGATAATAATCCAGCAGTGGTATCTCTACCGGCCACTAAGATATTCAATAATTGATCTCTCAAGACACGAGGATCTCTTGTTTCCTTAACCAATTCATACAAAAAGATATATCCACCTAAGGATCTCTTATCTAATTCATCTTGACTAGTGTTAAGAGCCTTTTGAACATAATAATCAGCAAATTTGTGTACAGCCTTAGTCGAATCTCTAAACTTTCTATCATTTATAAGAAAGTACAAATCTTGTAATACTGATCTAGAAGCCAAATAATTCTGAGATACATTGAAGGCATTAGCAAATCCTGTTCTACCATCAAAATCAATATCAGGAGTTGGATATCCAATAGAGGCATCCTTTAAAGAACCCACTGATTCTCCAAAAAGGAATTCTGTGGCTGAATCTACGGTAAATCTAAAGAATAATTCTTGTAAATCAAACAATTGTCCTTTATTCTTTCTAATATGTTGAGCTAAAATCTGAACATGAGGTTCTAAAGCTTGTACATGAGCCACTTGATCTCTTGAAAATTGAGGTCTAAGCATAGCCCGGGAATGTTTCCAACCTTCACCATCTAAAGTAAAGATCCCATCTCCTAATAATGGATAAAAATACTTATGTCTCTTACCCAAGGCAAAATCATTAAATTGAGTTGCCAAAATTGCCTTAATATTTTCAGGATCTATAGTATTAACAAGAGGAAGATTAAAGATTAAAAATGTAAAAGTATGTATATGGGGGTTAGTAATGAATTTATACCGTTCACTACCATACTCACTTAATAATCCTTCCTTCTTTTTCTCTAAAATAATAAAGGGAAGACGAAATCCACACCAACCATCATGTTCAATATTTGCATATTCTTTAGCACCCAATTTTCTTAAGAGGTATCTTCTATTAGCATAGCTGTATAAATTATATCCGATGATAAGGATTGGTAATACAATGTACCATTTAGTAGCGTATTGGGTAATTATGTCTGTAGTCATAATTAAAAAAAAATTGTCCTTCCTTATCAATTTGTTAATATGTCAGTTTGTTACTAAGTCAATTTATCAAGTGTTGATTAAAATTACTATTCCTTATCAATTTGCATCCTTTCGGTATATATTTATATAAAATGTCTGACCCTCACATGGTATTACCTAAATCGGATAAGTTGAAATTAGGTTTGGAGAAGTTTTAATTTGCTACATATTTTCGCGGGGAGTGTCTGTCTGCGGCTGCGCATTAGAATAGTAATATGAACTTATGTCTTTACGAACAGACTTCAGGTCACCAATAGTATTGTTAGGTAGACAATTATAATCACACCGGAGTAAAGAACAGGGGTTTGAATTAGGCTTATGATTGTAATTATAAAGTATTTATGGTTAAATGACGGAGTTTATTACTGTTTCCAAGATGTTTCTCAACTCCTATTTCCTTAACTTGCATAAATTATGTTCTGATCCGGAGTTGTAATTGAACCGAAACTTGACGGATATATTTTTGCAAAAATCATACCATACATTACGATTGTTTCCTACGGGAATTAATTGGATTTACTCCTGGATCTCTTAAGTCCTATGAATGCCTGCCATTTCCAGTAAGTTCATAGTAAGTCAAGGTAGGCTTATCATTATGAGCCGCAAACTTCTCCGCAAATTTGAATTTAAGGCTGATATTTTGTTCACACATTCTAGTTGAGCATTGTTAATGAACATTGCTAATAATCTTGTATATATCTGTTAATTTCCTGACATTATTTAACTGCAAAGAGGTATTTTAGTAATGATTCTTACCATAGTATGCAACCGGCCGTAAGGTTTGGACGGACTTCAATCTGCGGCCGTAAGTAACCTTGCTTATGACAGACGCACGATGCGGAGGTAACAAAGTCAGCTTGAAAAATAAATTTGTGATATGAATTCTTAAAAAAATGTCACATGAATAAGACAAAAAATCGCAGCCAAGATTTACTTAATGATGACTACATTATCAATATGAATAAAGTATGTACTAAGGTAAATAAATATATGTATATATAATTAATAATAAATAAATGAATAAGCTATATAAACTCAATCTGATTAATAGTTAAATAGTTAAATATTTAAATAATAAATTAAATGTTTTATACAACTGGTCCAGCAGCCTTAACTTCAGCAGTAGCTTGATCAGCATATCTTTCGAAGTTTTGGGCAAATTTACCAGCTAAGCTCTTAATTTCAGTATTGAAAGCTTCAACACCACCAGTCCAAGCCTTAGTTGGGTTTAATAATTCACTTGGAACATTTGGACAAGACTTTGGAACATTCAAGTTGAAGGTTGGAACAGTTTCATATTCAACCTTACTTAATTCACCAGAATGAATAGCATCCAAGATAGCTCTAGTGTATTTTAATGAACATCTCTTACCACCTCTAGCTACAGAGTTACCAACCCAACCAGTGTTTAATAACCAAGCATCAGATTTAAATTTGGTAATCTTATCAGATAATTGTTGAGCATATTTCATTGGATGTAAAACCAAGAACGGTTGACCGAAACAAGCAGAGAAAGTAGCTTCTGGTTCAGTAACACCTTCTTCAGTACCAGCCATCTTAGAAGTGTAACCAGAAATAAAATGATACATAACTTGAGCATTAGTTAATTTAGAAACTGGTGGTAATACACCTGAAGCATCACAAGTTAATAAGATAATATTAGTTGGGTGAGTTTCAGCTAAACATGGAATTTTAGCAGATGGAATGAATTCAATTGGGTATGCACATCTGGTATTTTCAGTAATAGCAGAATCATTATAATCAACAACTTTAGTTTCTTTATCGTAAACAACATTTTCTAAAATAGCACCGAATTTAATAGAGTTGAAAATTTCTGGTTCCTTTTCAGCTGATAAATCTAAACATTTAGCATAACAACCACCTTCAATATTGAAAACACCATGATCAGACCAACAATGTTCATCATCACCAATTAAAGATCTCTTTGGATCAGCAGATAAAGTGGTTTTACCAGTACCGGATAAACCAAAGAATAAAGTAACATCACCAGTTTCATTACCTTGATTACAAGATGAATGTAAAGTTAAAACTTGATGTTTAATTGGCATTAAGTAAAACATAACAGTGAAAATACCCTTCTTCATTTCACCAGCATATTCAGTACCTAAAATAACCATTTCCATAGCTTTAAAGTTAATTTCAACAGAAGTAGATGAAGTCATACCTTTAGTGTGAACATTAGCTGGGAATTGACCAGCATTATAAATAGTGAAATCTGGTTCACCAAAATTAGCCAATTCTTCAGCAGTTGGTCTAATTAACATATTAGTCATAAATAAAGCATGGTAAGCTCTAGCACAAATAATTCTAACTTTTATTCTGTATCTTGGATCCCAACCAGCATAAGCATCAACAACAAATAATTTTTCTCTAGTTCTCAAGTAATCTAAAGCTCTTGATCTAGAAATTTTCCAAGTTAATTCATCAACTTGTTTATTAACTGGTCCCCACCAGATATTTTGAGTTGAAGTTTCTTCATCAACAATTCTTTTATCTTTTGGAGATCTACCAGTCTTTTTACCAGAGAAAGCCATTAAAGCACCAGTAGATGAAATAGTTGTACCCTTTTCTAATAAACCATCTTCATATAAAGTTGGAGGTGGAGCATTATGACGAATTATAGTTTCAGAACCTAAAGATAATTGTTGAACTAAAGGATCTTGAGTAGATTTAATGGTTGGATGACCAGTAAAGTTAATAGATGATTCGACAGCAGTTGGAGGAGTCATTGTAAATTTATTTAGAATATATATCTATGATTATGAAATGAATTATAATCAATGAGCTAACAATAACTATTAACAGAATTTCAATAAAGAGGATTTAACCTTATTTATATACATCATCACCACCATAAGTAGTACTGGATAAAAGTTTTAGTTGAGGTCCCGGTAATATGGAAGTCCCATAGTTAAAAAGAAATTGCAAATGAACTAAAAATTTCCAAGTCTGGGGTAAGGAAAAGTGCGGAAGTAATCACCATAGTTAAGAGGATGTTTCCGTAATTTTACGTGGTTAGAATTGCTTATGTAAGCCCCGGAGAGTGCCTCGGAGAAAAGGAACCGGCCATTTTATAAGTTACTTTTAAAAATTATAGTGTGACCTTTAGGGCTAACAGAGGTTATGTTAGATATTTGATTAACTAGACGAACTAAGGCAACACTCAAACAACATTCAAGTGTTGCAGTCAGATCCTAGAATAGCCAGTCTGTCGTCTATATAGAGATATGTCACGTCACATATTATAGAGCAAGCAGTAGAGATCATTAACTCACTAGCAAAAAACTATTAACTCTCATTAAAATATAGTTGTCGCATCACTTTCATATGGAATACTAAATCGGAACAAATCATAAGATGTTCGGCGGTTATTTATTCCATTATTGTTAGGATTATTTTTAGTTAGTTAAGAGGAGATTCAATGCTCAGAGTAGTAGTTTACTATCCAAAACCTTGTGAGCTTTGCCCCCTTTCTTCTTGGCACTAATCATTAGATCACTAATTAAGTATTTCCGTTAGCTGATGGTTAATGTCAAGAAGTATTTGTCTGATGTATAAACTAAATAACCTGCCCACTCTATCAATATCAGTATCAAAACTTTATGGAAATCCGCCCATTCAACCTGCGGATAACGCAAAGAGCATTCAGCCCCGCCTATTTTTGTTCGCCCGCCTGCTCGCAGTAGCTTCCCCCCCTTTTTTTCCCCAGATTTGCTGGTGAGCTGGCAAAATATTCTTCAGGCTCGGAACACTACTCCGTTAATATTTATTATTACCAACAAATTGTTCCGATATGACATATCTATTTCGGAACATATAGGCTGCAACCGATAAATACGTTTATTGTCGGAACCTAATTTGTTACGGGGAGGGGCAAATAAGGTTAATACATAAAAGGTTTTTGTTACCTTGTTGACGTTTGATTGCAAATTTTAACAATAATTACATTATATTACAAAGAAGGTACAGTACAAATATACAAATATACAAATAGACTTATTCTAAAAATGTTCGCTCAGCGTCATCTTTAGAATCATAATAATCATAATAATATTTCCATTCTCGGAATCCAATCTCTTTAACCCCATTAAAACTCTTATCATCATTAACATCTACCATTACGCATTGATTAACTTGAACTTCACTATCATTTAAACTAGATTTTAAAAAGGTAATCCCACTACAAATTAATCCATATTTAAAAATCTCAGTAAGATTAGAATACAGGGGATCAATTACTGGTCCGACTATTCCTCCAATTAATGGAACTCCTGATAAACTCGAATTCGAATTAGAATTAGAATTCAGTTCACTACTTTCTCGAGAATTTGCATCCAATGATTTTTGGTTCGATTGTAGTAAATCTTCAGGAGCCACACATTCATCCATAAATGGATAAAATTTCGATAATTGAGATTTATTAGTAAATAAAATAATACTTCCAATAACACTTTGATTAGTTGGTTCTAAGGCAATAATAATTTTAGTACCATGAGGTGAAGAATTTCCTAAATGTCTAATGGCTTCTAAATATAAATTCTTTAAATCTTTATTATAATCAGAATTCTCAACTTTAGTAGCTCTTTCAATTAATTTTATTAATTTCTCAGGATCACTACAAATATCAAAACGAACTCCAACAATCATTAATTCTCGAAAGATCTTTTTTGGTACCAGCCATTTATCCAAATCATCAAGAACCATAACATATTTCTTATGAAGTTTATCACTATTTACATCCCATCCAACTGAATGCATAAAAGATATAACTTTATTATTAGTTGGTAAATTTTGTAAATTAGAAGATTCTGGAAATGTTAATAAAGGAAATGATCCACCTAATGCAATAGATGTACATTTCTTTTCTTTAATTAAATATCGAATAGCTCGAGCATGTAAATTCTTTCCAATACTTTGAAGTCGTTTAGACTTATCAACAAGTAAAAATAATATATTCCCTCTCATTTCAGGTTCTTCACTAACTTCTTTAGAAAATGGTTGAGTTTCTTCTACCCAAGTTAATACAATTCCATATAATATATTTAATGAAGAATTTCTAACCACAAAATGTTTTTGAGTCTTGGAACTAGAAACTAATAATCCATATAATCTTCGATAAAACCCGGCTTTTTGATTATCAAGTTTACCATTATCAATCGGTTGAATATTATCTGGATCATTAATATTAGCTTTCCAAAGCTTAAGGAATCCCGTCCAATCACGATTTAATACAAATTCATCAACTAACCATCTTCTTCTTGGGATAGCATTCCGTTGCTTTTTAAGGACAATGGTTTTATTACCATCATTCTTTCTCTTTCTAGTTTTAGTAATGAATTTCTTTTCTCCTGGTATACAACCTTCAGCTTCATAATCTCCCATTAATACTCCTGTAATTTTCTTTAAGGCTCGATTTGTATAATCAAAACAACATAAATAAGCACTTCCAATTGTCTTATTATAAAAGAAATCATAAGGTGACAGGGTAGCTACTATAACCAAAGGTTTATTTAATCTTGTATTGGTATTACCAGTACTATTATTAGTAGTGTTACTACTACTTGATGGAGCATTAAAAGATGCAGGATTAGCTCCACATAATATTGATACATACTTAACAATCCCAATTTGATACATATTACGTGAAGCTTCTGAAGTTACAACTATAACCACTTTAGAATTTTCTATTAATGATTCATGTAATGCAGTTAATCCATTGGCTGTATAAGTTGTATGTAAAACATTATAAGGTTTAGATTTAGAAATCCCATGATCAGAAAGCATCTCACCAAATTTTTGAAATACTTCTTCTCCAGTATAAAGTTGAGGATTTGGACCCTTTTTACTAGAATTTAAATTTGGATAAACTGGATTAAGTAAAGGAGTTAATAATAAAATATTATCTACGGGATCATCCTTTGAAGCAGGTACACTTAAGAATTTTGTGATTGGTAATGTACTATCAAAATCTCGAATTAATGTAATGGATTTTTGATAAGCTCGTTCCGATAATGCTTGATGTTTTTCCCATTCATCGGGGAACTCATACCGAAATAATTTAATTTCATCTTCCTTTGCGGATGCTTCACCCCGAGGAAATAATTCAGACCATTTAGGTAATTTCTTTTGTAATCTTTCAATTCTATTAGAACTTGCAAGGATAATTTCTTCATCAAGATTTCCATTAGCCATGGCCTTTTGTAAAGATTCTATAGCCTCATTTTGTAATGCTAAATCATGACATACCATAACTAAATCACAACCAGCAGAAATTGCCAATACAACTCCTTGACCTAATCCAATAGAATGATATAAAGCATCCATTTCTAAACATTCACTAATAACAAATCCATCGAATTTTAATTCTTGACGTAATAATTGATTAATTATTATAGGAGAAAGACATGCATGAGTTTCATCAGGACTTATAGTGGGGACTCCACAACCAGCAGCACTAATTCCATTAACACATTTGGCTTCAATTAATTTGGCAAATGGTAAACTATTAAAATGTTTAATTTGATCTAATGAATCACCAATCATGGGTAATTCTAATAATGAATCAACTGTTGCATTACCAATTCCTGGGAAATGTTTCCCAACTGTAAATAATCCTCCTGCTTGTAATCCTTTAGCACATGCCATACCATATTTAGTTACATCTTCAATAGTGGTACCAAAACTTCGAACTCCAACTAATTGATGAGATAATTTTGTAACTACATCTAATACTGGACCTAAGATTATCAGAAATCCAATCTTTTTAAGTTCAATAGCTATTGCTTTCAGAATTTCATAAACTAATTCTGTATCTCCTGTAGCTGCTAATGCCATAGCACCAGGATATTGAGTTAAAAATTCTGGATCAAATAATGAATTCATCATTCCTCCTTCTTCATCTATAGCAAATAATATAGGATATTTATATTTCCCCTGACTAAATGCAATATATTGTAAATCTCGAATTAATTTTGTCATTTGTTTAACTGATACGGCATTCTTTCTTGATAAGATCATCGAAGAGACATGATGCTCCACAATTAAATGGTAAGCCTGGGGCGTGACATATGTGCCCTGAAACCCAACACACAATAGTTGTCCCACGTTTAATGGAGGCTGACTCATCGATATGGCATGATCTATGTTGTATTGAATAATTTTTAATTTTTAATGTTGGGGTCCAAATTTATTTCCACTATAGTTAAGGTTTACGCACATTGATTACCGGGGGTGACCGCAGCGGCGCTTTTTCACGTGAGACGCACATTGGAGAAATTGATAAGTCTACCGATAACCCCACCGGAAATCGGAAATCAAAATAATTCACAAATAAAATAAACTGGTTGTAAAAATTTATAAATTTATTGAAATATAATATCATTAATAATTTATTAACTTAATAATTTAATAATAATTATTGATTGTAGTACGTAGTAAAATGGGTATACAGGATTTATGGGATGTTCTCCGACCGGCATTCGATGAACGAGTATCCATTGATAAATTTACTGATCAATTTATCCGACTCAATGGTCGAGTACCTCGATTAGCCATAGATGCCTCCACATTTTTATTTAATTCAAATCTTGTGCCAGATCGTGATAAGGCTTCTATTGCAATACGGAATTTCATGAGTAAAGTCTTAAATTTAGTGGCATTAAACCTCTCGATAATAGTAGTTTTCGATGGATGTTTCCGTCCTAATAAGGATAGAGTTAGTGGATCATTAGAATCAAATCGAACTTATGAAGATGATTTGATAGAGTTTAAAACTTTAACAGTCGATCAATATAAAGATTATTCGTTTGAAGAAGTAGCCTTAATTAAGGAAGAATTATTCAAGTGTAAAATAGATTATTTACAGGCAGCTGGTGAGGCTGAAGCTCAATGTGCTCAACTACAAACAATGGGAATTGTAGATTATGTGGTAACTAATGATTCAGATGCATTTGTATTTGGTATAACTGCTGTACTTCGTAACTTTAATAGATTTAAAGATGATTCCTTAGCATCTCCTCGTAAGGATTCTGTATCATCTACAAAATATTATTATGTAACTCCAGTTAGAATGTCACAGGTTGAACAAATAATTGGATTAAATTGGGAGAGATTAGTATTATTGGCTAGTTTAAGAGGTGGTGATTATTCTTCTGGTTCTAAAAAGATAGGTATAACTCATGCCAAAGCAATTGCCTTGTGTGGAACCAACTATTTAGATAAGAAACCTATACAAATGCTGCCATCTAAGAAGTCTAAATCCAATCAACAAATGGAAGAATTTATTCCTCCAGATTTCTCCAAAGAATTTTTAAATATATTCTTAAAGGAAAATCCCACCAATAAAGGAAACTTATATGTTGAACCTATGGAAAGAAAGATAAGACTTCAGAAATTCCTTACGTCTCTAAATTCAATTATTAGATCCAATTCTAGACTGTTATTTGGTCGTCTACTAACTCTAGATAATGATTTGGTTATTCAAGAATATTATACTATGTTGTATCTATTTCCATTTGTGGATAAAAGGCTATATAAATTCTTACCATTATCTTTAAGCTTTGGAGAATTGCATGCAATTGACAAAGATATAGTAATATCTCGATCCAAAAGTTTCACTTTAAATTCTGGTTTGCAACAATTTGAAAGGATAAATAGTAATTACACCAACTCAATAGGGTATCTGATTATTTATTTGGAGAATAATAAAGAAGAGTTGCAGATTATAAGTCATAAATTTGAGCCAACAGAAAAGGTATTGCTTTATACACCCAAGTATTTTATTCCTCCTGAGTTTTATTGGGATGCCAAATATGTAATAATAAAAGTATTAGCACATAAGGCTTTTCCAAATGAAATTGCTTGGATAGATAGGTTCAAAAGTGATGAGAATCAAGGAGAGTTATTAAGAATAAAGTATGATAAATATAAGTTACCTTTCAATAAAGAAGAAGAAAATGATGATGATAATCTAAAAAGCGAAGCAAGTGTATGGTGTATCAAAACTCTTATTGAATTAGTTAACAAAGATGCAATAAATCATTTTAAATTAATAGAAGATCAGAAAGCTAGAGCTAAAAAGGAAAAGAAATCTCCAGTCAAGGCCAAAACACAAAAGACTAAAGTTGATGATTTCTTTAAGAGAACTACGCTTGCCCCTTTACCATTATATGCAACACCGGAATCAGTATCCAAGGGTCCAATTTCATTTCCTTTATCAACTCTTGTAACTAAGAATAACACGAATAAGAATAAGAAACTGCAAATATCCATACAGTCCTTCTTCAAGGGAAGAATGGACGACCCATTCCAAGACATACAACAGTCGAACCGATTAGTAGCTAGCGAGATACCATACTTAGAAGCCAAACCTTCTAAAAGGTCATCATCAGGTGGTGAACTCAATCCCAGTCCTACTAAGAAGCTTGCACCTAGAAGAATTATTGCAGAAATCGAAGAGAACGAAATCGATCTTACGTCTGATACTTTATATGATCTTTCCCTACACGAAGCAGATGACAGTAGCTTGATGGAAATCAATATAGAGGAGTTTAATTCTAAGAGATAGCTAATATATAGTCATCAGTATGCGACATATAGATACCACCTGTATATTGATTACCATTTAATGAAAATATGTCTAAGTATCTACTAGGTTGATATAGAATAAGATTGAATAGAGCAAGTAATTGCACATATAAAGAATATACTTACAAATTAGTTTCAACATCAACTCCAATTGTTTTATAGAAAATCTTTCTAGCCAATTATGCGTCCATTTATTCGTATATTTAAAATTAACCTCAAAGATAAACAATGCAAGTAAAAGAAGATCTTCTGAGAATATTTCATTTAAGGGAAATAGTCAATACAAGCAATAATTTAGTTGTAATCTAATTAGAATTAATTCATTGAACTTACTCTTTCTAAATAATATGTATTTAATCTTTTGTATCAATTAATAAGAGGTCACAATTCTTTACCACTAATTTGAATCCATTGACATGGTACTACATTCCTATCTATTATGAACAGGTAATCGTAGAATGTGAAATATCTTAACTTTGTAAATCTGTTTATATTATCTTTTATCCAAGATATCAAACGTTTAATACTTTTCTTGATCCCTTTACAGTTATCCTCGCCATTAGGATAAAATAAATCAATAGAGAAAAATGAAGTTGTTTCGAAAAGAGGTGATATGTTAATCTTGACAAGCTCAAGAGTGGATCCACAATACTTAAATAAGGCTTTCACTAACTCGATGTTGTATTTAAGTCCGTTTAATGATTCCTTTGGTTCAATGTCTAAACAAAATTTTTGAAGTGGAGTATTATATAAATGTTTTAAAGTACTTTTTTGAATTCTCAATAATGGATGATTTATGATAAGTGTTTCTAAGTTTTGCATTGACTTTATCAGAGTCCGGAGGAACCTCTTTAAATAAGTACAATTACTCAATTTAAGTTCTTTGATGTTCTCATTACGAAAAAGGGCCAAAACTTCGTGTAATGGAAATTTATTGACCGTAAAAACATCCAAAGATAATGAGTGAACTCCAATAAAGATTCCTTGTAATTGTTTTATATCGTCAGAGCTCTCATCTGATATACAAATTTCTAATTTCTCCACTGAGTGTAATCTATTCACCTCTTTCTTTAAGTCATTAATATAAGCGTAAGAACCCTGAGGTAAACATATCCGTAACATACGAAATTTTTGAATTGATGTTTGATTAAACTCTTCCAGTAGCATTGATTGCCATCTTTTACAAGATATAACATAATTTTCTTTCCACAGTTTAACTGGACAATGCAGACAATCGATAGCTTCTTGAAATTTAGCATTTTGGGGTTCGTGTAAAGTATTTAGAACTGTAAATTTTGTATAGAGAAATGAATTCATTTTCCGATGGAGTATTATAGGAAGGTCTGTGTATAGAGCCCTCTTGTATAATTTATTCATACATAATGAATGAAATCTTGAGTTGACAAGACTTAGGTCTAATACATCAAGTTGATTCAAATGGTCGATAATTTGTAATAGAACTTCATCAGGCAAGGATTCCAAACTGGTGGCTCTTGTAGGTGAATATATGCATTCAGTGGTGTAGGATTCAATAAATATTCTGAATAATTCATACAATATGGAAAATATCATATTTTAATGCTTTAGAGGTTTAACATAATTCTTATTCAAACTACAGTCTGAGAGGAGTTGGAAGTACAGAATATTTTGCAACTCACTTTCATTTGCGTATGCTTGCGGCAACATACAAAAAATTTATTTGGATTTCTCCTTTAGGATACTGCAAAAAAAGGTTTAGGGCGCAAAAAGGGAGCTATACAATCTTTACTATTGAAACGATATCAGTCGATATTAATTGATCTACAATATCTAATGCATTAAATTTACAATTTACTTAGTCTAGAAAGCTTTTACCATGATGATTAATGTAGTGTTCAGTCTCCCTTTTCTGATCTGAGCTTATCTATTAATAATAGTTGAGTAAAATCATACTGTAAATTGATTACTTATACAAGACATTGTAATACATGTAATGACAATTGTCACTACCATTGATATAGTTATATAGTTATATAGTTACACCCGACAATAACAAGCCTGTCATTACCAAATTTTTATGTTGACCTAAATGTTAAAGTAGTCTCAGTTAATTTTTTGTAACAAGGGTCTTGCAGCGCCTAATTTATTAGAATAAATTTTTGCAACCTAAAGTCCTTCTTTAACAATTACATACACAAACAAGTCAATTTACTGCTATGAATTTCATTCTATTATATTTATTTTCCATTTCACAGTGGATTACATTAAAGGCTATAAGCCGCTGCTTACTTTTTGGTGAAACTATTGCTGATGTATTTAATTCCTCCTTAAACATAATCACTGCAAGTGGAACTTATAAAGTTCCTACAATAATAATAGAAGTATTTGAAATTATTATTAAATTATTAAATTTAGGAATTACTTTTATAGAATATAACAGAAAGTTCTATAAGAAACATCAATTTCAATTGATTGAAGAAGAGCTGATTCCCCAAGCTGGTATAGCAGATATTATCACTGATACTGAAAGTTCTACTGAGGAATCAACTATTAATGCAAAGGATTTTAAAGACATGAAAAAACAAATCCAACATATTATTACCCAACAAGGGAACCAAATTAACAGGTTAGACGAGAGACTTAGCGATCTCTGTCGTCAGTCCAATCCTTCATAAGCCATAGCTTTTAGGATTTATTTACCTTTATTGTAATTTTCCCAGTTAATATTTACTTAATCTTTAAAGAAGATTTTGGTTATTTGTTATGAAGTATAAATACTTTGATTTTTTGCTAAAAATAATTGATACATTGATATTGTTTAAATGTTGTTACAAACATTATATAATTTTATATAAAAACTAATATATATTTTAAATTTTATTAATTCTTATCTTGTAGTTTCCAGAAGAAATAGAGATCCTATACAGCAAATGTTAATAACATCAATTCACATAAATAGAACTTGGAGTCAAAGTTACATTTGTACAAGTTTGCAACAAGGCGAAATGTATTGACGCAGCCACGACATTTACATGGGTCTGGATGCACGACATTTCCCATTTCTCTACGCTCCTGGAGTCTAATGTCGTCTCCATACATAAAGAGTTATGCTTAATAACTACAGTTAGTAACTAAATCTTATCAATTACTATAGGAAAACCATTCAGTAGAAGATGGAGCCTACTAAGAAGATTTACGATGAATCCGACCTTGTGAATTTCCGGAAAGCTCACGCATATAATGCCATATTTAATACTATAAATATACTTATTAATAAAGTTAAACATACCGAATTACCTTATGGAAGTTTAGATATTCAATTAGTTACTAGAAAGCCTCAAATTCCTAATAATAATAATAATAATACCAATAGTATTGAAAAGATTCAACCACCTGTAATATCTGAAAGCCCCCTTAATTCCGATACGAATATTAATCCTAATATTCAAGGTGTACTCAATATATTAAATCAATTAAATCAATTAATAACAGAGACTCCTCCATTACCAGGAGCTAGAAGATTTGGGAACTTAGCATGTCGAAAATGGCATGATAAAATCAATGAAACTTTAGAGAAATTAATTGAAACTAATTTATCTATTACTAATAGGGGGAAGCAACAATATGTACTGGATCTTAAGTATTACTTATCCAATGCATTTGGATCAAGAATGAGATTAGATTATGGAACTGGTCATGAATTAAACTTTGTAGCATTTATTGGAGGTTTATTACAACAAGATATAATAGAGGTTACTAAACTTAATGGACAAGAAGTATTGATTATGTTTGCTAAATATTATGATTTAGTTCGAAGATTAATTCTTGAATATAATCTTGAACCAGCTGGATCTCATGGAGTTTGGGGACTTGATGATCATTTCCATTTCATTTATATACTTGGAGCTTCCCAATTTATCGATGATAAATCAGCTCCTCCTGTTCAACAAGTATTATCAACCCAAATCATTAATGAATATAAGTCTAAGAATTTATATATAAATGCCATTGCCTTTATATTTAAAATTAAACAAGGACCTTTTAATGAACATTCTCCAATCATATATGATATTCATACTACAGTATCACTTTGGAATAAAGTATTAAAGGGATTACTTAAAATGTATGAAGTGGAAGTATTAAGTAAATTCCCCGTAGTTCAACATTTATGGTTTGGAAAACTTTATGCTTGGAAAGATGTGACTACTGGTGAAGACTTGCCAGTATATCAGAAGGATAATGATCAAGATGAAGTGGCATCATCCACTATTACAAGTACCACAACTACTGCTACTGCCACTGCTATTCCAACTACTGCTATACCAACTACAAGAGCTCCTTGGGCTCAACCCAATACTCGTACATTTAATAATAGAGATAGAACTATTTATGCTAAACGATAGTTCTAATTTCTAGAAGTCCGGAAATTAAAGGCCGACCGACAGAGTGGACATGTACTACTATTAGAACTCTTAAACCATTTATATAAACATGCGGCATGGAACTTATTCGAACATGTAGGACATGTTTTAGAAGGTAAGGATAAATCTTGATGTAAGATTGAATAACAAATTGCACAATCTTCAAATCCTGAGAAGTGTAAATTAACATTTCTATTAAATAATTCAACTGCATCAATAACTGAACCATTAGTTAAAGAAATAACTCGTTGAGATGCAAGTAACCATGCTTTCCATTGATTTTCTTTAACTCCTAATCGAGTTGGACCTTCAACTACAACATTATCTAAGGGATAAGATGCAGGGATTCTAATTACCATTTCCATAGTTTGCTCATCAATAATATATACCGAACGGATTTCATTGGTTATAGAATTAATCTTTAATGTAAGATTATTATCATTCAGTTCTAATTTAGTCTTTGATGCACTAGCTTCTTCTAATAATTTACAAAGTAAGATTGGTGATATAAATCTTGTAGTAAACTTTTCAATTTGAGATTTCAATTGTCGATCTCTAATACCATTAAACCAACTTTGAGCTTGAGATCCTCCATATTTTAATAATAAATAGTATAAATGAATCAATACAAAGGAGATTTCTTCATTTATACTTTCCCCAAATCCTTGTTCAATATTATAAGTCTCAATAATTATATCCTTAACATCAATAGATTTAGTAATATCACCAGAATTAGTTAAAGATCGTAAGAATTTCCCACTCAGACTTTGATTGGATACATCGACATTATCAAATATGAAATCAAATATACTATTGAATGCTTCTATACTATTAAGTTGTTTAATATATTCATTTCTTATGGAATAAGTAACATCTTGAAAGTATACTAACAAAAGGTACCAACTCCATATATAACGACAAGTATCAACTGAAGTCATTGGAATTGGAATTGATGGGATTTGAATTTGTTCAATTAAATGAGGGGGAAGGGTAAGACTAAGTGAAATACCTGATTCATTATCTTCATCATTATTAAGGTGAGATTTCTGTAATTGATATTCCAATACAAGATCCTGTTGAGTAGCTCTAATGGTTTGCAATAAGAATCCTACGGCAACTCGTTGAATTTCTACAAATTTAGTATGATAGAATACTTCAAATAGTTCATGATCTTTCTCTTGTAATACTTTAATATTAAGCTGAAGACTCAATAATACTCGAGATATCACTTCAAAGTACATTCGTACAGCTCGATTATTGGCTTGTGTATCATAAGTTTGAATATCCTTATTGGTAAATAATTCAAACACTTCACCTTTAAAGTCATCTTCAAGGTGATCTAATTGAGATCTCTTGACACAAGTATGATATAGCTTTAAAGTATAGAATCTTAAATCAATACGACTAGGTTCAGTAATGGAAATTCCAAGGTTTTCATCCAATACTGAACTCACTAATTCCCATAGTTTATCAGGTAAAGAATTCCCCATCAGATTATCAATTAATCCTATTAATAATCGACAAATTTGAACTCGAACACTAATGAAACTAGTCTCATAAGCAAGACTGGATTCAAGCCATTTGGTCAATTGATTAAGCACAAGATTTAACCGTTGTGGAGGTATAACTTCAACTCCAACGGTATCGGTATCATCTCCATGAAAGAAGTTAAGACAAAGAGTTATCCATTTAAGTCCATCAGTAAGAATCTTCAGTTCTCCCTTAACTCCAAGGATTTCAGCTGCCACATAGTTTCGAATTCGATCTAATTTACTATGATTAATGAACTTAGTACAACTACTAAGAATGGCAGCTAATTTGAGTGGTATAGATAATAGAGCATTGAAATTTATGGCTAATTCTTCAAATTGCTTAACACTCATCTCTTCAAACACGTTATCCAAACAGGCCTTGAGCACTCGAGCCGAGTAGAACCCATACAGATCATTAGTTTGAAGATTGTGTGATAGAATACTCAAACTATTAACTTCTGTAGGATCCAATTGATTAGTTAAGTAAAGAATAGCATTATCATGTGAGACACGTTGACTAACTGCATCAATTAAGGATCGTCTAATTTCTACTAATTGACTACTGACATTATCAATATCGTCAGAGTCATGAAGGAGTAAGTAATCATTAATATACTCACTGATAAGACCTCCTGCCACCAATAAACCAGGAGTCACATGCCCTTCCAAAGATCCAACAATGAACTTACCCACCACCAACATCGACTCATTAAGTCTGGTAGTATCTCCTGATTCCACAAGGTAGATGTTCTCCATTAATGGATTGGAGAGAGCTAAGAAAGACGTGGAAACCGATTGTAAAGACTCAGAAATTAACTGTTTAATCTCTTCTAATGGTATATCATCCGATTTAAGAACAGTAACTAGACCAGAAAAGTCAGTAACAAGTGAACTATCAGTGATATATTGCCATACAATCCGATGGAAATCAGGGATATTATCCCGAATGAGATTGATAAACTTAAGACAGTCTTGATTGGACGATGCTTCCTTAAGAGCCACCTTAATTATAGGTCCAAGACTATCCACATGAGTGTATAAGGAAGTTGGAGGAGTTTTACATACTTGAGCAATGAATCGAAGTGAATGATCTTTATCCAAACTCACACTCTCTATCAAGTTAGCAAATACAAAGGGTTCGGTAAGATATGAGAAACAGAGTGATAACTGTTGAGAGTCCAACGTATCTTGTTTGGATAAGTGCAGTACATACTCATAGATGGCAGGATACAGTTCCCATTGATGAGGAAATCCTGGCACGATCCTTTTAATGGTTTCAAGATATGATGATAAGTAGTCAGGCTTAATTTCCGATAACTTAGCAAACACGTTATTAATGACCTTATCGTCGATTTTGAATGATGGAACCTTCAAATATGCATACAAGAGTTGAAGTGGTTCATCGATGAATTGAGGAGTAATGAAATCCGCCAATTTATTACTGAATTCGGAAATATCTTGAGTGGCACCATTACCATATACGGCCAAATACCCAATTAAAACTTGAAAAAGTTTACCAGTAGCCATCTTCTCAGTAATCAAACGAGTTATTATTCTTGAAGTTACGGTCTCGGTAAATCCCGCCTGTTTGATAATCCGGAAATACGTATCCACAAGCTTATCATAAGAGCTCTTGAAATGCACAGACCCCACTACCACCTTCAGATCTGAACCAAATGCCAATTCTACTATGGAATCACTAAACTGATCAAGTACCGATGATACACTAGCAGTCAGGGTTAAAAAGGATGAAACTTGACCAATCAGATCGTCTTTCCCTGCCCGTACTCTAGCGATGGAGTCTATACTATAGTATATAGCCGACTGGAATATAGGCCCCAAATCAAGTTGATCATGATCAAATTGTTTATATAGGAATAGGAGGAAGCCCATACATGCGTGAGACAACTTTGGGTTGACGGACTTTTCAAGTTGACTACAGAGGATGGAGTTTAGCGACTCATAATCTGTCACAGACTTATAGTCTATAACACTGGGAGATAGTTTAAACAAATCAGTTAATAAAGTATAGTAAGTCTCTGACAGATTACATGGACCCAAAGTCAAATAGTTAAGAAATCGAGAATTACTCTTAGTTCCTCCAAGTTGCCAAATATTCTGATCAGAACTATACTTGGTTAAAGTAAGGAGACAATCCCAGAATCGTAAGATTACTGAGGAATATACTATGGGATTAACCTTATCGACTTTAAAGCTAACTTTCTTAATGAATCGTTTACATACTAATGTATATACCTTATTTGAATCATTAACTATAGTTAAATCGGAAGTACTGAAAAGTGACTTAACTAGTATAAGTAAAGATGCAAAAAGATTTAAATTTAATCTATCAAAGGAACTGGATGAACCCAAAAGATTCCAGAGTTCTTCCAGTTCCAATACATTCAGTAATTTAGTAATATTCTCAGTATTTAATATAAGATTTCCATCTCTCAGTAAATGAATAATTCTGGTAATCATTTGTAAAGATCCATTCAATAATCGTTCATATTTCGAAGCAGAATCTTCTTCGTTGGTGTATCGACTATCACTAAGACTTTCTGATGTTTCTAAAGTCACTACAGCCACAAGAAAATTAACTATTTGATCAATAAATATAGACCATACTTTAATGGATACTCGATCTGAATCATTCTGGAAACTTGCCAAGAGGGAATTATAGGCAGCATTGGAGACAGCCTTCTCATTATCAAAGATCCCATGAAGCCATACGGCTATAGAACTCTTAAGATACTTACTAAATGCTTTACCTCCCACTGTATCAAGGAATTTACCTTGAACTTGATGACTAAGAGCTCGAATAGTCTTACTATTCTCAGTAGCCAATTTAGGGTAGAGTTGAAGCCATGACATGATGGTCAATTCCTCTTGGAACACCGCAGTCAACTCACTACTACTATTGTTAAAGAGCAGTAGAAGCTCAGTAAGTGACTTCTCCTTCGTGATAGTATCCTTCTTAAGTAGTGATTTAAACACAATCACTAATGCTGAATTACTCAACACTGACACATCCGGTAACGCAGTGAAATAGTTCAAGTATACAGGGAACCCATTGTAGCCCAAGTCACCGAGAGACTCTTCATATTCATAGTGAGACCCCATACTTTACTGGGTACTAGTATTAGTGTTGGTATTAGTATGTATTTCTATATATCTATATATTACTCATAGTGAAAAATTACCGAGACCTGAAAAATTTAGTGAGGCTAGAAAAAAAAATTCTAGCGACAATTACGTCAAGGCTCGGTAGAAGTTAGCCACTGCCTCTGCTGTTCTCACTTTACTAGGATGGAAATTGTAGACTTCTAGGGACTCCTTAGAGGTAGCCCGCGATAACGCTACGTAAACTTGACCATTTTCAAATGTTTTAGCTAAATTAATCCGTAATCGTTCAATGGTTTGTCCTTGAGCTTTATGGATAGACATGGCCCATGAGAGTAAGAGTGGTAATTGTTGTCTAGTAATTTGATTCAGACTACTGGAACTAGAATTAGATCGCCTATTGGTATCGAGTGTAAATTCTTCTTGTTCTACCATAATAGCCATATCTTTGAATTGAACTATAGGAAGTAAAGCCAGTTGTTGAATTACAGCCTTGGCACAGAGTGCTTCGAATATTCTCTTTCTCTCAAACGGTATTTGAGCATACACCATCTTCTGATCATCTGACCAATCTTCAGTATTCCGAATTCGGGATGAAAGAAGTCTTAATTCATCAAGCATATCTGGATCATAAGGTCCGTATTTATTTCTTACTGATTCCCAAAGATCTCGAGTCATGAAAAATAATACTTTACCTACTGAACCATTAACTATGAGTTCATCTCTATTCTTTAAGTACATTACTTGAGCTCCCTCCTTAAGAATCAATACTTCTTCAGCCATTAAATTATTCAATTGTTTCTTAAGATCCGGATTCTCATTGGCTTCAGGACTATCTATAGCTCTAAATACCACTTCTTTAGATTTCAACTGTCTTAACCTAGCTTCATTAGCTGCCTTAACTTCAACTCGCGTAGGATATAATTCTGTTGGTTCAATCCCATCCTTATAAACTACTCTTCTCAGTAAAGCTGTGAATTTATTGATAATAGTAGGATCAAGAGTTCCATACCGTAATGAATTTAACATCTCAATCAATTCATTATCTCCCTGTTGTCTAAACACTTTAGTTAATAGAATAGTTTTACCAATGGTTCTGGCCCATGCTTTAGATTGGAAACAAAAACATGACCCCTGGGAAACAGGCGGTAATTGGAAGAAATCTCCCGTACATACAATTTGAATTCCTCCAAATGGTTTATTATTCCCTCTAATTTGTTGACCTAATAAGTCCAACTTATCAAAGAGTCTTCCATCAATCATTGAGATTTCATCTATAACCAACACCTTAAGTGACTGCCATTTTCTAAGCATTTCTGCTCGTTTTTTAATCCTAGCTACAAGGGCTTCTACCTTCTCAGTTCCTAAACCGATTCCTAAAAATTTATGTAATGTTTGACCTTGAATATTTACTGCTGCCATCGCCGTGGATGCAGTAATTCCTACACGGTCATAATAAATTCGTCTTAGTATTACTACCAATTCTCTAAGTACTACAGATTTACCTGTTCCAGCACTTCCAGTATAAAATACATTTAATTTCTCTTCTACTACAGCCTTAATTATAGACTGTTGTTCTTCACTGAGTCCCAGTCGCTTGGGAGCTTTGTGACCATTATCGGACAATGAACTACTGGACCGTTTCAAATTCATCCGAGGATTATTGGTCAACTTCCTAGTGGAGATTTTTAACTCTGTTGGTAAAACATCTCTTACCGGTTGAGAAGTTCGAGAGTACTTCTCGAGATTGGGATTCCGGAAATTGGTGATTTCCGTGGATGTATCAAATGAAGTATCAGAACTGGACACGTCATTAAAGTCTCCAGAAGATGTAGCACTAATTACGGAATCTGATCTAGTGACTCCGATAGGTTCTCCATTAGTAGATTTGATTCTACTGGATGAGAATTGTCCACTAGATTTAGCAGTAGTAGTACTTACGGGTCGGAAGAAGTTGGCAATGGTACGCTGACCACCGGAACTAGTCTTCGCAAGCTTCTGTCTCTTCATACCTTCAATTACTGATCTGTTCCACTACGTCTTATGTCTTTCTGGTTTACTGACTTGTTTGATCTAGCGAGCCCATTAGCGTAAACATCGCGACGCGCTAAAAAAAAAACAACTGCCTAGCGGCATTCCCTAACCAAATGCCGGGGAACAGCACCATTAGCGAAGAAGAAAGTTATACTTTGTGAGCCGTACGTAATTCAATTTTAATAAGTGTACCAGTAAGTTTACTACTACCACTACTACCTGATAGTCCACTAAATTACCGACAATCTATACTACCAGTACTATCAGTACTACCAGTAATTTACAGGTAAGTGTCCACTAAAAACTTAACGACTCACTATGAAAGAGGGCCGACCCTCTGATGAGGTCCCTCGACCTCATGATGACCATGTAAGGCCATCAATGATTCCTGGAGTCATCACTAAGGGTATCAAGAAACTTTCCAAATCATCATCCATCTTAAATTTTGGATCTATTACTGATCCAACTACTCAAAATGATCCTCAGTCCACTAATTTTCAGGCTCTTAGTTATGAGTCTATGCCTAATAATCATACGCCTCCACCACCTTTACCACCATTTCCTCCATTACCAGGACCTTCTACTGGGATACGACAGTCTTCTATGAGTTCTTCATCATCAGTAGAAGGTCGTCATAAAGATGGAGAATCATCCAATATCTATAGTAATCTTAGTAGTAATGGAAGTTTTTCATCATTAGATCCAAAATCCAAACCATGGCATCAACCAGATCCTAAATTAGCATCTATAGGACTTAATTTAGTAGGATTTGGATTATCTACTGATGATTTAATGCCTCCACCTACTATAAAGAAAATATCAGTAGTAAGATCTCCAAAATTAAGACCAACAGAATCTTATACTTCAATACCAGATCTGCCAGAAACATCTCCTCATCCAAATTCTTTACAATCATTTGCAGCTGTTGCTTCTCATATGAATCAAATGCCTCGACCAGAAATAGTCGATCAATTGTTTGAAAGATTATTATCTAATCGAGTGTTTTCTGAAAAGGCTTTAAAGACTCTACGAGATCAATCATCTAAGAGGAAATGGGAACTTTTACTACGAGAAAATGAGACTAATGCTAACTTTGATTTAGGAGCTTTAACTAGGATTGCTTATCGAGATGAAGGATCATATGGTAGTCGATCAGATAGATCAGAACGATCAGATCAGGGTTCAGTTCGAGTATTGAGTACTGGATCTAATTCTAGTGCTGGAGCCAATTCCAATACTAATGCTAATGCTAATGCTAATTCTGAGATTTCTCATAAGAAATCATTAAAAGTAAAAGATGGATCACCAGAATGGTTTGTTATGAGAATAATCTCCAATAAACTTACCCTTAGAGAATATAGAAAACTTGAGAAAAGACTCTTTGAGGATCGTCAATTACCCAAACAAGGCATTAGTTGGGTTAATTCATTTCATAAAGCTCAGGGAGAAACTGCACTTTCAGTAATACTTTCCCGAATTAATCGAAAAAGTATTAAATCTAATGAAGAATTTGAAATTGAATTCATTATTGTTAAATGTTTTAAGAATATTTTAAATGCCGAAACGGTTATGACGGGAGATTCTGAATTTGCCCTTGTTCGAAATAAATCTCATGTAATTCGTTCAATGATTTATTCTTTAGTATCTCCTAAAGTTTCTACTAGAATTATTGTTACAGAAGTATTTATATTCTTATCATATTATGAAGGAGGACTTTTATTAGAATCTATATTAGAAAGTTTAGTTCAATTACAAGATCTTTTAGGAGATTTTATTCGATTTCAACCATGGATTAATGCATTAGAATCATTTGTTGATCAATACTTTGCAGTTCGAAGTGAAAGACCTTCAAGTGAAGAAACTCTTCAAAATTATTCATTAATTAGTTTACTATTAGTTAATGCCATAATTAATGGAACTAATGATATTTCTACTCGATTATCACTTCGAAAGGAATTTACAGAATCTCGATTATTAAAAGTATTTGATAAACTTAAAATGCTTAATGATATTCGAATTAATGAAGAGATTGAAAATTATGAACAATATGCTGAAGATGATTATAATGAATTTATTGATGTTGGAAATGAAATAATTAGTAAGAATTCAACGGATTATTCTATTATGAATTTACCTAATTTATTAGATCATGTAAAGAATCGATATCTGATAAATTCTGATAATGAACATCAACACGAACATGAACATGAAGATATAATTAGAGGCATTTTAAGTAAATTATTATTTCTTCATGATACTGATAGAAGTAATGCAGAAATTGCTAGTTTACTTAAATTAATTGATTCAGTAATTCAACATATAATTGCTGAATCAAGTATAATATCTTCAGATGCAACATCTATATTAAATTTTTCAATTCAAAAGATTATTGATAGATTAATTTCTGAAGATACTGCAAAACGAGTTATATTAGAAAATCGAGAATTAACTCATGCTTTACATAGGTTAGAAGAAGAAAAGAAAGATCCTCGAATAAATTCTAATGGTGAATCTATTGAATCACTCAAGCATGAACTTAAACTTAGTGAACAGAGTATATCTAATCAAAAGAAATTGATATCTCTATTACAAAGAAGAACTACTCTACTAGAAGGAGAATTAAATAAAAAGGCTAAGGCCAAGGCTAAAGCAGAAAACCCACAAATCGATCAAGATTATGATTCAGATACTGAATCATATGGATCTGGATCCATGAGTTCTCTTATGACAATTACTAGACAACTAGAAGAATCAGGTCAAGTTAAGAGAGCCAGAGATCAAGTCAAATCTTCTATGGTACTTAATAATGGTAAGGAGATGTTCCCTATACTTGGAGGTAAGGGTAAGAGTCTGCAAACAATCGTAGGTATCCCTGATGAACCAGGAAGTATAACTCCAGTAGATGTGCCACCCCCACCTCCTCCACCTATACCTCCATTCATGCAAGTATCTGGTGGTCAACTTAGTACAGCTCCTCCTCCTCCTCCTCCACCACCTCCTCCTCCTATGCCTACATTCATGGAAAAGGTTCTGACCAATGTACCGCCACCACCACCACCACCTCCTCCTCCATTACCTCCAGGATTTTCCTCTACAACCCCATCTGCTCCTCCACCACCACCTCCTCCATTGCCTCCAGCATTCGCATCACCAACTCCTCCTCCACCAGCGCCACCGCCACCTCCTCCATCTTTAATGAGTACTCCAACCAAACCGAAAACAATTCCAAAAGAACTGACACATGAAAAGGAAGCAACAACAACAGGAACAACAGGAACAACAGGAACAAATAAGAGTATCACTAGTACAGTTTCAAAAGAACCAATGCCTACGGGTATTAGACCCAAAATCAAATTGAAACAAATCCACTGGGATAAGATAGACAATATCAACAAAACATTCTGGAAGGATATAGAATTTATGAAAGTATCTGATATGTTAGTAGAAAAGGGAATTCTTGAAGAAGTTGAAAAGGCATTTGTATCCAAAACCACCAACATTAAATTTAAAAAAGTTGATAAAATTCAAGAAGATGATGGTGATGAAGATAAAAGTAAAAAAGTATCACTTTTATCACGAGATTTAGCTCAACATTTTGGAATTAATTTACATATATTTGCCAATAATTCAGTAGAAGAATTAATTGATAAAGTCTTACGATGTGATAAAGAAGTTCTTGAAAATATAAGTGTTCTTGAATTCTTTAATAGTGATTCACTTAATGAAATTAGTGATACTATTATTCGAAATTTCATGCCTTATTCAACTAGTTGGGGAGTTAACGAAAAGCCTCCAAGTAAAGATCCTCATGAATTAGAAAGACCCGATAGAATATTCTTAGAATTATGTTTTAATTTAAGAACTTATTGGAAATCAAGATCAAGAGCTTTGCTTTTGAGTCAAACTTATGAGAAAGATTATTCTGATTTATCTAAGAAACTTCAACTTGTAGATGAAGCCAATAGACATTTAAAAGAATCTCAAAGTTTAAGAGATGTTCTTGGAATAATTCGATCAGTTGGGAATTTTATGAATGATACATCTAAGCAAGCATTAGGATTTAAATTAGATACTTTACAACGATTAAAATTTATGAAAGATGAAAAGAATTTTATGAATTTCTTACATTATATTGAAAAAATTGTTCGTAGTTCATTTCCAGAATATGGATCATTTGTTGATGAACTTGGATGTTTATCAGTGATTCAAAATATTTCCGTTGAACAATTACAAGAAGATTGTTTAGAATTTAGTAAATCAATTACTAATGTAAAGACTTCTATATTGAAGGGTAATTTAAGTGATAAATCTAAACTTCATCCTCATGAAAATGTTCTTAATGTTATTACTCCACTTTTAGAAAGAGCTGATGAAAAGAATAAAGTATTGCAAGCTCATTTATCTCGAACTTTAAAGGATTATTATTCTTTAATGGAATTTTATGGTGAAAATACTAAAGATAGTGTTTCAATTGAAGGATTCTTTAATAAATTTGTTATATTTGTTAATGAATTTAAGAAGGCTCATGTAGAGAATATTCAAAGAGAAGAAGAAGAAAGAGCTTATGAGGCTAAGAAGAAAGCAATTGCTGATTCTATTAGGAAAACTAAACAAGCTCATGATAAACTTGAAGAAGAAACAGGAGAAAGTTTTGATGCTGATGCATCTGATAGTGATGGAGAAGATCAATTAGAAGATTTTACAGGAGATAAACAAGAGATTGGTGGAGTGACAGATAAAGAAAAGAAATCTAGTACTAGTAGTAGTAGTAATTCAATTAAAGATGGTGGTAGTGCAGTTATCGATAATCTTCTTGAAAGACTTAAATCTAGTGCTCTGTCAATTGCATCTTCCAATTCAAAGGATCGTAAATCTAAAGATCGTCGGAGTCAAGCATTATCATTTTATTCTACAATGTCTTTAGAAGATCTTTTAGATAAACATAGTAGTAGTCTTGTACCTGGAGATATGATTGTTAAGAGTGCATCAAGTAATATAGAATATGAAAGTGTTAATTCACTTAAGAGACGTCTTACAGAGAGAAAGAAAACAACTCATACGTATGGAAGTGCCAGTGCCAACACTACCGATCAAATAATGGTAAGAGCTCATTCAATGTTACATCAATTACGAGCAGAAGCTAGTTCAGGATCAGGATCAGGATCAGGATCTGATGAGATATTTTTTGAAGCTGATAAATAATATTACCCATCTAAAACTTAACTCTAACTCTAATTGTAAATGTATATGTATATAATTAAAATTAAAGTCACATGCACATCAGAGTCAAAACGTGGGGAGTATGGCTCCCTGGCTTTCTAATTTCCGTTGACTCTGCGCCGTATATCCTTTCGGGGTTCCATTTTTTTTCTGGCGGAGTCAAACACCACTAGTCATTGACTTCTATCGCCCGTTGGACTATCTTATCTCTCTCCATCTCTGTCTTACATATGCGTTATATCTCTCTCTCTATCTCTTCATTAAATCTATGATCTATAACTGTGTTGTATTCCTCTAATACTCAACTCTAAGACTCACCCACCCCTGCCAGCCAATCAGAGGCCCCCTCTGCCGGATGAGTCATTTGTGAAAATTTTTTGCTTACCACCACCCAATTTTCCGAAGAGGGCCTGCACAGGAGGACGCAATGTCGGTTTCTTTTTTTATAATTTATTATATTTTTTTTTTTGTTTTATTAAGCTTAATTTCCATTATGACTTGTGTACCATTTTTACTGTACATTATATATATTTCACAATTTTCACAATTTTCACTATTTCACTATTAACCATATTTTATTTGGTAGTAACTGTTGTATTAAGTGGGTGAATTTTGGGTTGTTGATAAAGCTACTGACTCATTGTAAATCAGTAGGGACCATTGTTGAGACATATTTTTTAAGCATAATCACATTTTTTTGCATCCAGTTATGTTGTCCACATCTCGTTGTTCAAAGCAACTATTAAATTATAGATTAATTAGACAATTTCATAATTCTAATATTAATTTAGATGCCATTGTTGTATCAGGTACAAAGTTAGCTAAGACTATACGTAGTCAAGTTGGTGAAAAAGTTATACAATACAATCAAGCTCATTATGAAGAGTTTGCTCATCTCCAAGAGATTAGTTTTGAAAAATTGAAATTTAAACCTAATTTAACTATTATTCAAGTTGGTAATAGACCGGATTCTTCAGCATATGTTAGATCTAAATTAAAGGCTGCTCAAGCTTCAAATATTCAATCAAAATTAATTAAATTTAATGATGATATTACTCAAGAATCTTTATTAGAAGAAATTGATAGATTAAATAAAGATCCAAAAGTAAATGGATTATTAATTCAATTACCACTTCCAAAACATATTGATGAAACTTTAGTTACAAATTCTGTTACAACTGATAAAGATGTTGATGGATTTGATCGTTATAATGTTGGAGAATTATCAAAAAGAGGGGGTAAACCAGTATTTATGCCATGTACTCCCAGTGGAGTTATGGAATTAATTAAAACAACTGGAATTTCTTTAAGAGGTAAAAATGCCGTAGTTATTGGTAGATCTGATATAGTTGGAACTCCAGTATCAGCTATGTTAAAAAATTCTGATTGTACTGTAACAACTTGTCATCGTCATACTCAAGATCTTCCTCAAATAGTTAAACAAGCTGATATTGTTGTAGCAGCAGTTGGGATTCCAGAATATGTTAAAGCTGATTGGATTAAACCAGGTGCCATTGTTATTGATGTTGGTATTAATTATAAAGATGATCCAACTGCTAAAAATGGTAAAAGATTAGTTGGTGATGTTGATTATGAATCAGTATCTAAAGTGGCAGGATTTGTTACTCCAGTTCCTGGTGGAGTTGGACCAATGACTGTGGCTATGTTATGTTCAAATGTTTATGATGCTGCCATTATACAAGCCAATAAAGCTCATAAACATACTTTCCAACCATTACCATTAGATTTACAAACTCCAGTTCCATCTGATATTGCTATTTCAAGAGCTCAAAAGCCAAAGAAAATTACTAAGATTGCTCAAGAATTAGGTTTATTAGAAAAGGAATTAGAACCTTATGGACATTTTAAAGCTAAAGTTGATCCTAAGACTGTTATTGAAAGATTAGATGAACAAGTTGAAGGAGATGCAGAAGAAAGAGGTCATTATGTATTAGTGGCTGGTATTACACCTACTCCATTAGGTGAAGGTAAATCTACTACCACTATGGGATTAACTCAAGCTCTTGGAGCTCATTTAGGTTATAATTCAATTGCAAATGTTAGACAACCATCAATGGGTCCAACATTTGGAGTTAAAGGTGGAGCTGCTGGAGGTGGTTATTCTCAAGTTATACCTATGGATGAATTTAATATGCATTTAACTGGTGATATTCATGCTATTTCTGCTGCTCAAAATTTATTATGTGCAGCTGTTGATACTAGAATGTTTCATGAATCTACTTCTAAATCTATTTCAGGATTTTATAAAAGATTGGTTCCAGCCAAGAAAGGAGTTAGAACATTTACTCCATCAATGATTAAGAGATTAGAAAAATTAGGTATTACTAAGACAAATCCTAATGATTTAACTAGTGAAGAAATTGAAAATTTTGCTAAATTAAATATTGATCCTAATTCTGTTACAATTAAGAGAGTAGTTGATTGTAATGATAGATTTGTTCGTGAAATTACTATTGGAGAAGGTAAGAATGAAGCTGGTAAATTTCCTCCTCGTAAGACTGGAATGGATATTACTGTTGCATCTGAATTAATGGCTATTTTAGCTTTATCAACTTCATTAAAAGATCTTAGACAAAGAGTTGGTAAAGTTGTAGTTGGAACTCAAAAGGATACTGGAATTGCTATTACTGCTGAAGATATTGGATGTGCTGGAGCAATTACTGCTTTACTTAAAGATGCTATTAAACCAAATTTAATGCAAACTTTAGAAGGTACTCCAGTTTTCGTTCATGCTGGACCATTTGCTAACATTTCTATTGGAGCTTCATCAGTTATTGCTGATAGAGTTGCATTAAAATTAACATCTCCATCTAATCCAATTAATAGTGGAACTAGAGGATTTGTAGTTACTGAAGCAGGATTTGATTTTACTATGGGAGGTGAAAGATTCTTTAATATTAAATGTAGAAATTCTGGTTATAAACCTGATACTGTTGTATTAGTTGCAACTTCAAGAGCTTTGAAATTACATGGTGGAGCTCCTGATGTTAAGCCAGGCCAAGCTTTACCTAATGAATATGTTACTGAGAATTTAGAATACTTGGCTCAAGGTTGTGCAAACTTGAAGAAACAAATTTCTAATATTAAGCAGTATAATGTTCCTGTTGTGGTTGCTATTAATCAATTTGAAACTGATACACCAGCTGAAATTGAATTAATTCAAAAACAAGCACTTGCTGCTGGTGCTGATTTTGCAGTTCCATCTAATCATTGGGCTGAAGGAGGAGCAGGAGCTCTTGAATTAGCTAAATCAGTAGTTGAAGCAGTTAAGAGTGATCAAGCTAAACAACCTCTTAAATTCTTATATGATGTTAATTCATCAGTTGAAAATAAGATTTTAACTATTGCAAAAGAAATGTATGGAGCTGCATCAATTGAATTATCACCATTAGCTAAACAACAAATTGAAACTTATACAAAACAAGGATATGATAAATTACCTATTTGTATTGCTAAAACTCAATATTCATTATCTCATGATCCATCTTTAAAGGGAGTTCCAACGGGATTTACTGTACCAATTAGAGAAGTTAGATGTTCAGCCGGGGCTGGATATTTATATGCACTTGCTGCAGAAATCATGACTATTCCAGGGTTACCTACTCATGCTGGGTTCATGAATGTTGAAGTCAATGATGACGGAGAGATTGAGGGACTCTTTTAATAATATATATTGCATTGTACATTATTTATAGACGGTTAATAAAATAATAAACTAAGTAACTAACTAAGTAACCAAATAAGTAGACAACTAATTGTAAGTACTTTCATTATCAATAGATAAAGTTCCATTAGCAAAATTATAACTCTTACCAAAAGTATTTGATAAGCCAATAACTTTTAAAATTACCAGAGCCACATCAGCTCTTGTTACTGTACCAATTGGTTCATTATCATTAGTAAATAATTGAATTTTACCAGTAGGCTTATTATCAACTAATTGAGTTGGTTTTAAAATTGTAAAATCTAAACTATTATTAAATTCATTAATAAGAATTCTATCAGCATAATGTTTAGCTATATAATAATTTTTAATGGGAGATTTTGCAATAAATTGACGACTTTCAGCATGAATTGCACTAATTAATATATATCTACGAACATTTGCTAATACACTAGCTTCAAAAGTTTTAACGGCTCCATCTAAATCAACTTGTAATAAATTCTTTCCGGCACTTCCAGCTGTAAATACTACAACATCATGACCTTTAATAAGGTGAGAAATTTCTTCAACTGATGCTTCATCAATAGTTAATTGATGAGATTTAACATTGTGAGCTACTGATGCGATCAGATTAATTTGTGATGCTTGTTCATGATTACGAACAACTGCTGATACTTTATGTTGGTTGGAAGCCAAAGTAACAAACAATTGACCGATCTTACCGTGTGCTCCAAAGACGATAATGTTTTTAGACATTGCGGAGACAAACTTAAATAAGTAGGAGGAGAAATAGAAGAAGCAGAAGAAGGAGAAGGAGAAGATAAAAGTTAAAAGTATATTACTGAGAGAAACTTAAACCAGAGCTTACAAATGGATTTGTGGGGTGAGCCACACCGATGGAATGTATGGAAAGAAGTTCAACAATGTGACTGTATAGTGTAAACTGTATAGTGTGTACAGTAGCCTGAGTAACTGTATAGACTGTATAGACTGTATAGACTGTATAGACTGTATATGACTTAGTACTGAATACCTATTACTGTAGACTGTATGTATACTGACTATATATTACAGGCGACTCAGTCGTAGTAATCGTGTTTAGTAGTAATAGACTTAGTACACTATAATGTACTGTACTAAACTGTACTGTAGTAGTTGACTGTACTGTCTCTTTATTTCTACACTGTCTTATCTACACTTTCTACAATATCATCTATTCTTATTATTATTGTTTATTACTATAATACATTTATGAGTAGAGAACTCATCAAGAGTGTCCCATGCTAATATACAAATTTATCATTGCAGTTTCTGTGGTGGTGAATTGGCTGCCTTATGTTGCACTTTAGGTGATCCAGCCATCAGTGATCTTTGTGAATTAACAAAATCTCCATTGGATCTTGGCGTTTGTGATACCAGAACTGCCTTTCTTGAAGTAGGACTAGATGTTACCCGAGGTATACTAGCCACTGCGGCAGCTCGAACTTGTGGTGAAGATGATTGTTGTTGTTGCTGTTGCTGTAATTGTTGAATCTGTTGTTGCTGTTGCTGTTGTTGTTGCTGTAATTGTTGTTGTTGAAGACGATTAGCCAATTGTTGTTGTTGTAATGCTCTCATCTTTGCTTGTTGAATATATGCTTGTTGTCGTTGTTGAACGGCTTCTCTTAATAATCCATAAGATTTCGATAATAACATCGATCCAAATCTAATTGATTGTGTATCATCACTAATAGAATTAAGTTTAGAAGGATCCATACTAAATGGATCAAGAATTCCTCGTTGACCTTCAGATAAATCATTATCAAATTTCCAATTAGAATCTAATCTCTTAATTGTATCAATTTTACTATCATAAACATTCAATATTGATGATGAATTTGTAGGAGATTCAGATTCTTCTGAATCTTTCATTTCTACATCTTTATCTTCATCTTTATCGTTATCTTCTGTATCATCAAAGTTTAAAAATGAATCAATTTCATCATCTGGACGTTGAATTAATCCTCTTCTATCTACAAACATTTGCCCCACTCGATTGAGTCTTTTTCTAATTCTAAAAATTGGTTCTGATAAATTAGCTTCTTCATCAAATTCATGAGGATTAGATTTCTTAAATTGATGAGCATAACCACTATTATAAGCACTAAAATTATTAGAATCAATATTATTCAATAATTGAGCTATATAACTCATATTATTGAATTTACTATTATTAATTTTATCTTGAAGTAAAGACAGAATATGAGGGAAAGCCTTTGAAGGAATTAATTCTCCATTCGAACCTCGGAACGTTTTAACTCCTGGTAATGGTTTTTTACTTTCTTCAAGTAATTTCTTTAAATTCTCACTAATATAATTCGAAGTATTAATTTGATGTAAATTGGCTGCGGCAATTGATGAATATGGAATATGTTTAGATTCTTTAACATTATCATTAGTAGATATATTAAATGATGGTTCATGAGGATCATCAGTAAAGTTAACATAACCTTTATCTTGTTCTTTCCTCTTTCTTAATTTATCCAAGACTGCCCGTTTAATAGTTTCATTCTTTTCTTTTAATACTAAAGATACAGTTACAAGTTCCATATCTGGAATCTTAGAAGGAGGTAATTTAACATATGGTTGAGTTGAAGATGGTGCAGTTTCATTGGCATGAGATGCTTGAGGTTGAATATTTCCATTTTTATCTTTATTAACGGCATTAGTTCCAATGGTTGCCGTTCCTGGCATAGCACTACTAGAAGATTCACGAGAATCAAGTCTCCTTTTATTATCCAACTTCTTTTTAGCATTTTCTCGGATTTCTTCTTCTTCTTCCTTAGGTTTAATAATCTTCTTTCTTTTATGTGGATAATATAAATAATCATCACCTTTAACTCCTACAATACGTTTCAAATTCTTACCTTCACTACGTAATTTGAAAATTGAATTTTCAACTTCGAAATTTTGTAATTTTAAAATTTCACGTTGAGCAACTCCTAAAATCAAACTTCTAGCTTTATATAAGGATTTTTGTAAAAGTCGAATTCTTTCAGCTCCTAAAGTATCAGCTCTTCTAGTTTTACGTGCTTGTCTAAATTCACGTCTTCGGAAACAAACATATGGATCATTATCATTATCTTTTTCATTGGCATTAGGATCTTCAAATTTTAACATAGGATTAATTGATTTCCCCTTTCTTTCAATTTTTCTTGATTTCCAATGTTCATAAATTGGTTTACCAAATAATGCAAATAATTTAGGGATTGATCGAGGTTCCTTTATTGAAGAATTACCATTATTCTTATCAAAAATCGTTACAAATGGTTCATACTTTAATTCTTTTGATAATCTTTCTTTTAATACTGTAGTTGATATATATTTTATATTACCTCCACTTGATTGAACATAAGGATTATTTAATTTGGTAGAATTATTATATTCGTCTATAATATATGAAGATAATTCTTCATATGAAAGTATATTAGTTGGATCCATAGATAAAAATGGTTGTCTTTCTTCAATTGTCTTTTCTAATTTATCACAAATGATTTCAAATTCTAATTCTGAACATTTTCGAAGATTCTCTTCTGTATTTTTAGATTTTTTATTGATAGCAGGTGGTTTAGGATATTCTTTATCTAGTATTTCATTTATGAATTTTTCATCTATTTCATCCATATTATATTCAACGCCTATAGTATCTTCAACTGTAGCACTGAATTTTATATAAGATTCAGGTTCTTGAAAGAAATTATCATTATAATATTTATGAGCTTCAGGCCATATTTTAGATGCATCAGGAGTGGGAATATATACAGAAGGAAGTGAATCATTAGTTTCATTAGTTGATGATGAATCCTTTTTATTGGAACTTGAAGATTTTGAATTTTCTTCCAGTTTTGATCCCATTAATGCTCGTTGAGCAGCATTAATAACTTGTTGTAAATGGACTTCATCTTCTTCATTTTTATCAACCCCAGTTTCAATAGAATGTAGATCTCGTTGTTGTTGAGCTCCTGATGCACTTAAATGATTAACTTGACTTGGTTCTAATTCATTATTTATATCATTGGCAGGTATATCCTTTTGTTTATATATGCTTAAAGGTTGTTTAACGGATATTTTCCTTTGCCGGAATCTGGCACCTGATGCATGCTGTTTGGCATTACCTGAATTCTTTGCCGGTAGAATTGCCATTATGAATTATAATAGGTAAATGAATGAATCAACCAAAAAAATTATAATAGTCAAAACTAGCCGGCCCAATACAATATGTAATCCCTTATTTCCCGATTGATTTTAATCAACTAATTGATTTAATCAATTCAACCTATTGATGGTTGGGGCGTTGTTAGAATCAAAATATAGGTGCCTTAGGTATTGCGGTGTGGATGTTTCGTCCCAAATTTTCACACTACTCAGTAATAGCGAAAATTTTCTCCCTGTCGTTGTCGTCGACGTTGCTCAAAATGGTAACAAAAGGAGCGGGCCACGGAGATAGGCAGGGCAAGGGTCGGAAATGGCAGGGATGATCTTGATTAAACGAGATCAGTTAGTTGGTAAGGCCTGTCCAGGGAAGATGCGCCCTTTAACTTGATTGATTGGGAGGTATAGTGACCTTTACAGGGGGGATAACTGAATAGTCAGGATAAAAATAGGGGGGCAAGAACAAGATTTTTTTTTAATTGGTCAGTTGGGATTAATTGAGGTTGGGAGGCGCGAAAGTCACGACACCTAGCACGTGACTTTTACCGCCAATAATTTAACTAATTAACTCATAATTTATTAATGATGAATAATATTATGACTGTATCGAATTTTCTTGATGTTTGAAGGGCTTGGTAATCTCAGTTAGGGCACATTATATGAATGGCCTTGCTTTTGTAGTGATTGCTCGTGGGTAGTGTCAGTTGGCCGAGATGAGACATCTCAGGCTGCATCACTACCACCCTTACTCTCCTCCAAGGTATATTGGTAGAAAGTTGAACTTACGCTTTATAAAAGTGCTTCTGGTAATCTTAAATACATTGTAGACATTTTAGATACTTTGTAACATAAATTGGACAAGTAGTGATGGTGGTGGTTGAAGTAGCTGTAAGAGAAGATAGTACTGTAAAATAAATCATTGATGTACCAAAATGAGAAAAATGGTAGGCAGGGACTGTGTACAGGAGGTCGTGGGGTTACCCATACATATGTAAGTAATTTAATGAATTTCCTCAATAGTCGCATAGTGCCAGTATATAGGTACAAGTCGACGTTACAGATGAAGATGAAAACCGAATAATATTGAGATCTAGGAAAGTATATAATGATTATGTTGCAATAGACAATTGTTAATAATTATACAATAAAAGACTGAAAATGATATTATTGAATATGTTTTAGGCTTCAACTGTATAATGATTAGATATACCAGGGGGGATTGTATGTATATGATCGTATATAGTTCTATATGGTATATCATGAAGATTGTCTTTACTTATTATTTAGTAATAAAGACGTACAAGATAAAGTCAACTTATATTTTAAAAATAATTTAGCTAGTTAAAACTGTATGAATATAATAAAATAAGTAATGTAAATGAAATTATTATAATATGATTCATGAGTTGTTTCCTTATAAAAATTTATAATATAAAAATCTATAATATTGGTTGATCTTCTCATCATGTAACCGCTTTTAAGTTCCACGATAACTTACATTCAAAGGTCTTTTGGAAGAGATGGGAAAGGTCGACTCATAATTTAGCAATCTGCCGTCGTATTAGTCGCGCAATTTGGTTGCAAACTAAAATGATTCTGGCGAGAAAGATTTTCCCCAAAAGTTTCAATTCATCTTTTAATCTCATTACCAGAAACATATAGAAAAAACATTATGTTCTAGATATCGTATATAAATCCATATATAACTACTCTGAAACATATAAAAAAACAACATATTTTTAGATATTGAGAGAACGAAATCAAACTTAGTTATGCCAAATGGCATTAAAACATATAAAATCCTCAGTATAAAAACGGATTTTACAAAAAATCATAAAAAGGTACAACTAGTGATCTTTTATGTTATTTCATGGATGAAATTATGAATTAGTGTCTTCTAATTGCAATAGCGTCCCACCTCGAAGTATTCCTTCGAGAATAAAATAGCACAACCAAGATCTGTATCAAGGGAATCTTCCTAATAAGTAGCAGTAACATATTTGATGACATAAGAGGTAAATACTTCAGTCAAAGTCGAAGTCTTACCAAGACCAATTGGATAAGTGTATTTGGTTGTAACTAAAGTTGGAATTGGAGTTGGGGAAGTGTAAGTACCGTGTGCAACGTTCTTATCAGTAGTGGAAGTAGTCTTAGCAGTGGTGGAAGTGGTCTTAGCAGTGGTGGAAGTAGTCTTAGCAGGGGTGGAAGTAGAAGTAGAAGTAGTGGTAGTCTTGGTAGTCTTAACAGTAGTCTTGGAAGTTGAGGTAGAAGTGTATTTAGCTTGAACATATTCGACATTGTAAGCAGTTAAAATGGTAGTGGAAGTGGTGTACTTACCGTTACCAATTGGGTAAACCCAAGCAGTTTCGTAAACAGATTCAATAACAACAGGTGACAGGTAAGTGTCACCACGCTTTTCAAGATTTTGAACTGGAGCATCAGTTACAGCAGGAGCTGGTTGAGCAAGAACTCTGTTGACGAATAAAAGGGCAAGGAGTAAATTAAGTAAATTTTGTAACATTTTTAGTCCGATTTGTTTTATATTAGATATAAGATAGGTTATAAGACTTCTATAAATGTCAATCAATTTATCATGAATTTAGGGTCCTTTTATAGACCAAATTAGTTAACTATTTGATCTTTTGAGGAACTATAGTTATTTCCAAAAACGGTTGTCATATGACCGTTTTCGATTGTTCTAGCCACGGTTTCTTCATCATGATATACTTCGTTTATTCCTATTTAAGAAGTAACCTTGTTCGATTTCTTCGTAACCTTAATTCGTACTAAAAAATGCAAATATCGATTGAAAAAGCATTATAGACCGATGATGACCGAGCCTTTGACTGCGGTTGAGATATCTTGCAGGATCTATGTACATACTTAAAGAAACATAAATAAAGTTTCCATTTGCATAAAGTTGTTCGATGCCCAGCAAAGTTTAATATTAATTGGTACCCAACTGCCGTTCCTTACCAGTAAGTAAGGGCAACCATTATTCCGTTTAGGGCCGAACATTAAAGTCCATAGAAAACCGAACTTCTCTTGCATATGCGAATCGCTAAAAAATACTTGGCGATTCTAACAACTTAATCCTCTATATATGGGCTTAAAGGATTTAGTTAATTAGTTAAATGATTTATATACCTTTACCCAATGTTTGAGGTAAGAATTACCGATAAAATAATGGCATCAACAAATTGGTTGCTTCTAACCAGTACTGTAATACAGAAAAAGTCGTGATATTATTTATTGTGGATGGTCCGAACAATCATGAGCATTTCTTGGACATATGCGATCGTAATTTTACAGGGGTTAGAGAATAGAGTGTTACTGTTCACTGCTCGGAGACTTCGGTAGGGCTATGTGGCAGTATGTGTAATATTAGTAGGTAGTAGCATTATGAGTATTAAGAGCAAAATGTACAATGAAATGACTTTAATGAGTACAATTACTGTAACATTAGTATAGTCAATATTGGTCCGTTCCCATTTCTATTGCGTCGTACTCACTTATACGCAGCATTATAACCACTACCATCACCAAACCCCAGCATCAGCATCAGACACTATAGTACTGACGTATATGCCTACGAACAATTGCCACCCATCAATCCCTTTTTCAATACAGTATATCCAGGGTCACTGCCTTATTAGGTTTCAACATTAACTATAGTCTAAAGAATGAATCATTTAAGAATGATGGAAAAATTCAAGTCGCTTCATTACTACTAAACAGTTTATTTTTACTTGGTTTGATATGTATTCCCCAATAAGTAGAATGTAAAAAAAAAAGAACTTATCTTTAGAGAATACAAATCCAGATTGGATAGGGAGACAGATATTTGGGATACGAAATATACCTAAGGGGAAACCTCTTTTAAAAAGTTATCGCTTTTAAAAGGTTGGTAACACAGAAATCATCTGGTAGTAAAAGAATTTATAGATTTGTAATGATGAACGACGCCCTAGATTTGATAATCAAGGGAGTGAGTTCTGGAGCAGAACTCTCTATCCAGTGATTCTTAAGCGTAGATTGTAAATTAAGGGAAATACCTGAATTGATGTCACCAACACATTTCTTTATGTTCGGCTGAACTGTTGCACCGCCGCAGCATTGTTTTTTTGCAATATGAGGCGTAATACTAACAGTTATAAGAAAATACAGACACTGTATTAGAGAATGTTATGTATTGTAAATCTAGAGAAAAAAAATTCTAACAAATATATCGGCATTGTCTTAACGATGATATTTGATTTTTATTTTTCAACTTAATGTCTGTGCTGTGGTATTGCGTTCTACGCTGTGCTATGCTAAGTCATCAGTAAGTAGTAAAGTTCTGTTTAAATCCGCTTAGTTACAGATATCGAGCATTGTAGGGTTAGTAACATTGGTTATTCATTTAACAATTATACTGATAATAGGCGCGATCTATCTATTACAGGCGGAGCTCGAATTTCTTCAACAAAAATATTTCATATGCATAATTCCTTGTTAGAGTTATTAATGATGAATTATGTAATAATAGTAATAAAAATAATATAAACTAATAAGCCATACCCATATTCTTCTCCTTCTCTATTCACATCTGGTAATGCAACATTTCCACTAGCTCTATTTAATAAGTAGCAGTGATATATTTGATGACATAGGAGGTAAATACTTCAGTCAAAGTTGAAGTCTTACCACCTCCAATTGGGTAAGTGATTTTGGTTGTAATCTTAGTTGGAATTGCAGTTGGAGAAGTGTAAACACCATGTGCAGTGGTCTTTGCAGTTGTCTTAGCGGTGGTCTTTGCGGTAGTCTTAGCAGTGGTCTTAGCGGTGGTCTTAGCAGTAGTCTTAGCAGTAGTCTTAGCAGTAGTCTTAGTAGTAGTCTTGGTGGTCTTCTGTGTAGTCTTGGTAGTTGAAACAGAAGTGTATTTAGCTTGAACATACTTCACATTGTAAGAAGTTACATAGGCAGTGGAAGTGGTGTACTTACCGTTACCAACTGGGTAAACCCAAGCAGTTTGGTAGACAGATTCAACAACAACAGGTGACAGGTAAGTGTCACCACGCTTTTCAATTTCAACTGGAGCTTCAGTTGGAGCTGGAGCTGGTTGACCAAGAACTCTGGTGACAAATAAAAGGGTAAGGAGTAAATTAAGTAAATTTTGTAACATTTTTAGTCCGATTTGTTTTATATTAGATATAAGATAGGTTATAAGACTTCTATAAATGTCAATCAATTTATCATGAATTTAGGGTGCTTTTATAGAGCAAATTAACGATTTGATCTTTTGGGGATCTTTTGTGGATCTATTACCATAAATTGTTAACATACGTCACTTTTTGATTGTTATAGCCACAATTGGTTCATCATGATATACTTCGTTTATTTCTCTTTCAGAAGTAACCTTGTCCAATCCTTCTAAACCTTAATAAGTACTCAAAAATGCAAATAAAGCATCATAGACCGATGATGACCGAGCCTTTGACTGCGGTTGAGATATCTTGCAGGATCTATGTACATACTTAAAGAAACATAAATAAAGTTTCCATTTGCATAAAGTTGTTCGATGCCCAGCAAAGTTTAATATTAATTGGTACCCAACTGTCGTTCCTTACCAGTAAGTAAGGGCAACCATTATTCCGTTTAGGGCCGAACAATGAAATCCATAGAAAACCGAACTTCTCTTGCATATTGAATCGCTAAATAAAACTTGACTTAAACTTCCATATATGGTCTTAAAGGATTGAACTAATCAGTTAAATGATTTATATGCCTTTACCCAATGTTTGAGGTAAGAATTACCGATAAATTAATAGCATGTACAAATTGATTGTTTATAACCAGTACTGTAATACATAAAAAGTCATGATATTCTGTATTGTGGATGGTCCGAACAATCACGAACATTTTGGATAGATGCAATCGTATCATACGAATTGAACTTCATAGATATTAGAGAACAGAGTGTTACTGTTAACTGCTCGGATATTACGGTAGGGCAGGGTCGGTATATGTATAGTATTAGTAGAGTATTAGTAGAGTAAGACGTACTAGAATTGGTGACAGTGGTAGTAGAGTATGCAAGTTAAGCATTAGCGACAATTACCAGCATTAGCGACAATTACAATGAGCATAATGAGCATAATGAGCGTAATGAGCATAATGAGAATAATGAGCACAATGATAATGTACACTAAAATGACTTTCTCAAAACATTTCTACACCTCTTATAGCCGAATGTCGCAATTAAAATGCTAGTGGCACAATTAATTTGCAACCGTCCCTAATAATGAGGAGTCTTAAAATTAAAAATAATTACCTCGGCTGCATTTTAAGTATAATTAGTGTGATCAGCATAACTACATTACTAACTAGTGAAGTAAGTGTTTCGCTTCGCTGCAAGTATTGTTATATCAAAGTGCAAGTATTGTTATATCAAAGATGTAAAATTGAATACTAGCAATTTTTAAAACTACGTACCGCAGGCTCTATTATGAATGAAGACCATAACATAATAATTTTAATAAAAAATTAAATTGTGTATTTTTTATTAAATAAAAAAATATTACTACCTATGGAATCGTATTGGCGTGAGTACTTCTACACTCTGCCAAAAGATTATTAGAAGAACAACGACATTCAGATTTTAGAGGTGCGCTAATAGTTTGGGAAACTCCATAGAGTCAGTATTGGTCCATTCCCAATTGTACTGCGTCGTACTCACTTATACGCCGCATTATCACCGATAGTAGCGACAAAACCGAAATATTTCCCCTAATTGGACCCCCACCATCACGACCAACCCCACTAAAACCAACACTACCATCACCAACTACCACTGAAAACACCATCAAATCACCATGACACTGACATATGTTCCCACCGAACAATTGCCGGCCATCAATCCCTTTCTCAATACCGTATGTCCCGGTTTCTCCACTCAATTAGATGCCAATATTCACTATAGTCTAAAGGATGAATCATTTAAGAATGGAGAAAGTTCAGTTAATTGGCCATTAAATGGATCAAATCTGTCCTTAAATTCCATAGCCACTCTAGCCGATTCATATTTGAATATTTCACGTCCTTCACTAATTCCTGGATCGAATGAATCAACTACGTATGTATCATTACCATATCATATTACAAATTTATTTAAGAAAGTAGTGAAAAGTAAAGATAAACAAATGGAGGGGAATATTCACATTGGAGCCAATGTTAATCCATTATCTCATGATCCATTCCGAGTCATTAATCTTAATCCTGGATGTTTAACTAGTATGTTAGAGCTCCATCCATCTCGTACTAAGAGTAATAATAATAGTAGTCCTGATCTTTCACGTAATACATTTAATAAACTTACAACTAATTTCAATCGATTTCTTAAAATCGCTGGGAATGCCTCCACTAATACTGTCGATCCATATGCTGACTATTCCAATTTAATTGATGCAAAGAATTCATTAATTGATCGAATAATTGATTATAATCCTAATAATTATTTGGCAGAATTAAGGTCGTTAACTACCACTAAATTACTTATATCATGTCATGTAAATGTCTTGAATGTAATTGCTATTGATGGTAATTCAAATTATAAGTTTACTAAATCAATTAAATGTGATAAGCCCATCTTACCGTATCATGAAGAAGCTATTCAACAACAGCAACAACAACAACAAATTCAAGAACTGTCAGTTCCAAAGGCCACCAAACCAGTTGAATATGAAAAGGTTTATGAAGAACTGTTGTTAAGACTTCAATTCCGTCAGAATTCATTCATTACATCCGTGAAAACTGTCTTGAATAAAGCCAAAGAACCTCTTGTGGTTATTGGATTTGATTCTAGTGAAGTGATTGTAATTAATTTAACTCAATTGAAATTCCGAGTATTTGATGATTTGGGATTCCATCCAGTTGGAGATTCGGTATCTACTCCATCTCGTCCATCAGTATCTGCATTGAATTATTCATCTTCATTTAATCATGTAGCTGTTACTTCACTAGAATTAATTCATCATCATAATTTTGAAATGTTGGTCCTTGTAGGTTATGCTAATGGAGAAGTAATTATTGTTGATCCCTATTCAATTGGTTCTACTACCACTAAAGCTAAGTATACTAAACGGATTGTGGGTAAGGATTCATTTATTACTTACTTTAAGAAGTTTGATCTTAGTCCCTTTACGAAACTGGCTAGTCAAGTTAATGATAATGATGATGATAACAGTCCTAATTATTTGATAGGACATTTCAAATTAAGTTTAAAGGCAGTTACCAGTATAACATCTACTTTACTTTATTCACGATATTCATTAATTGATGAACTGACAAGTCAACCCATGATTATTGCTATTGGTAGTGATGATGGACTTGTACGATTTATTGATCTTATATTTACTCATGATAGAAATTATGGTAAACCTAAAACAACCATACTCACGGATTTAGTTCTGAATTACTTTAATGATGGAATTACTGATATTGAATTTTCTCCTGATTATAGATTTGTATGTATAGTTGGGAAGGGGGATTTAATTGAAATGTTTAAAATGAGTTACTATAATGTTAATGGACTTCTTGCTAAGAACAGTTCGAGTACTAATCATTATTCAAGTACTGATAATATTGGATCAATTAAAGGTAGAAGATCTCGTAGTGGAACTCTTAATAGTGTTGGATCAGCTGGACCTCCAACGGCTGCTAATTTATTTTTATCTCCTATAACTTCAAGTCCAGCTGGTCCAGGACCAGAATCATTACGAGATCATAATCATACTCCAAGACCAAGTACTACTACGACCACCAAAGATTTATATCCTCCATTAATTAAAGAGATCCGAATCGTTGGAAGATTCAAAGGTCATACCAATACCATTCGATCCATTAAGTTTGTCGAGGAAGAGAGTAGTAACAGTAGTTATAAATTGATAAGTTGTGGGTATGATGGTAAAGTAATTGTGTGGGAGTTTGACTATAAGGCCTTACCTAAAGTTAAGCGCAAAGAGGAGCGGAAAGATCGAGGAAAGGATAAAGAAAATAAAGATAAAGAAAAGGATAAAGAAAAGGATAAAGAAAAGGATAAAGAGAGAGGTAGAGATGATATACGAAAGAGAAAGTCTACTCATGTTCCAGGCCTTGGATCAGGTGCATTGGCTAATGCATTAGCTGCTGCGGCTACTCCTAACAGTCCTAAGATTCATGTCCTGCCAGGTCCTGGAACAAGATTAGCCTCTCCTAGTGCGATGCCGTTAAAGACCAGTACCAGTCATCATGGACGTCGAAGGTCTATGAATGGAGTTGATGAATTTGCCAATATGACCACCATATTAGCAGCCACATCTTCCAATACCATTAATGAATCCTTATCAAAACGAAGTTCACGAGTCATGGATGAAACATCAGCTGATCAAATAGAAATCGTTACTTCACTCTATAAATCCCTATTTGATTTACGACTTCGTCGTCATTATCGACAATTCGTTAAAAAGGGAGTTACAGTTAAGTATACTACGATTATACCGCCTATAGTTAATGATAAATTAGTCCCCAGTATTGAAGTCCCCCTTATGAGTTTAGACTTATCGAGTTTTATTGATGATGGAAAGATTGATGGAATTTACGTCGACTCGAATGGATTATGGGTATTTGGTAAAACAGGCGATATATTTAAGTACACGATCCATTAAGGATATATAGAAGATAAAATAAAAAGGCATTAATTACTATATAGTAGTAGAATTGTATTAGTAGAAATGAAATAAACGATGCAGAAGAAGTGTGTAATGAGTAGTTGGAAAGTTAGAGGTACTGATTCCCATCCATCCCAAATCCCAACTCTTCCTCTAATCGCATGAAATCAGCCACCAGCTCAGAGTAAGAGTTGTGATTTAAGTTGGAATACGAGAAGTCATCGAGTTCCTGAGGTTTGGGCATGTTGTAGTCACTGTCACTGAATTGGGGACTTGTGTTTACCGGCACGTTATTGAGGATGTTGTGGTCGTACTGTTGTCTTTGTTGAGCCACTTGGAACACCTGATGTTGTTGTTGCTGTTGTTGTTGCTGTTGCTGTTGTTGTTGCTGCTGTTCTTGGGCCTGTTGTTGCTGAGCTTCAGCCTCTTGAAGCTGCCGTTGTTGAATCTGTACTTGAAGTTGAATCTGTTGTTGCTCTTCAAGAGGTTTACGGACAAACTCACGAAAGTTCCGAACTTCTTCAAGCATCACCTGTTTGATTTCTTCTTCATCTTCCAACTTTTCAAACGAAGCGAAATCAAATTTAACTTGACATACTGGTTCATCTTGAGGATCATGCCAGATCTTGAGATACGAATGACTCAATGCTTCATCGACTGTAATCCGTTTAAATGGATCGAAAGTTAACATCTTCTCCAATAAATCAATAGCATGAGGGTTTGCATTAGGGAATAATTCTTTAAAATCCACTTTTTGCATATGTTCTAACGATCTAACATATTCCAAAGCTCGATGAGAGCTTATCTTTTGTAAACTTTCTTCAGCTGGAGTTCCCAATACAGCAAGAATCTTTAATAGTTGATCGATATAATCTTTACCCCTAAATAAGGCTTTACCTCCTAAAAATTCTGCCAATATACAACCAATTGACCATACATCTATAGCTTTAGTATAATTAGTCATACATAACATGATTTCAGGAGCTCTATACCATCTTGTTGCCACATATTCAGTTAAGAATCCTGCATTCTTTTCAGGATTCTCAGAATAACCTCTTGCTAACCCAAAATCACATATTTTTAATTCACAATCAGCATTTACCAATAAATTACTCGGTTTTAAATCTCGATGTAATACATCAGCTGAATGAATATATTTCAATCCACATAATACTTGATAAATAAATGATTGATAGTGTTGATCAGTTAATGGTTGACCAGATCTGATGATTTGATGCATATCACACTCCATTAATTCTTCATATAAGTATATTTCATTAAATTTACCAGTGATTGGATTGGGGATAACATCTAAATCATAAAGACAAGTAATGTTCTTATGACCTCGAAAGAATTGAAGTAATTTGATTTCTCGAAGGGCTCTCTTACAAAGAATCTTTTTACTAAAAATATTAGTAACTTTCTTTATAGCAACTTGACTCCCAGTACTTGTATTAGAATCGGAACCATCATCATATTGAGCTGCACATACAATTCCATATGCTCCTTGTCCCAACTCTTTAATGACTTTGAAATTCTTATTAATAATGAAGTCTTGACCATAGACTCGACTTACAGATCGGTCCGAATAGAGATTACTAATGTTTCTCTCAATGTCTTGCTGTAGGACATGTCCGGTGGAAGACATGATGGAAAGACGATGGATTTAGGAGTGGAGGGGGTTTAGGTGGCAATTGAAGGGATGAAAATTTGAGATTAAAGTTTCGGAGTTCTGGTGAGTGATCTTCTGAACGAACGGAACTGATTTAACGGTTCTTAATGTTCGGGTTGGTGAAGAAAGTCGGTATTCAGTCGATGGGTAACACGAGATTTAGTCAGATTTTGGGCCAGGTTTTTTTCCCGGATTATTTTTTCGTACTGATTATTTTATGTGCACTTATTTTATTTTTTATTTTTAATTTCGTAATTTTTTTTTCACTTTTCAATTTTCACTTTTCACTTATCAGTTAGAGACCAGTGAAATCAATAATACAATTGTAGAATGTCTAAGTAGTTCTATGAGCAGAAAGTATAGTATGTATATAATGTATATAATTTATAGTGTAGAGTATGTAGTATTCACCAATTGACTATAAAAATATTGTGGAATGGAATGCAATGGATTGGAATGGTAGTTTGGTGTAGTAATGTTCGTAACTCTACTGATATATATATATCAATTATACAATTAACACATACTACATTGTCTAAATCGAATCATATTTATAGTTTAATATGAATTGGATTCTACTCCTGAGTTTAGTAATAATTTACATAAGATTAAGGCACATTTCATCTTTCAACAGTACGTAATATAATAATAATAACAATAACAATATAATAATAATAATAATAATAATTATCAACGTATGTATGTACCGGCTAAGTGGAGTATATTTAGAAACCTATCAAGCTAATAATAATAAATAATTCTCGTAGTTAAACAATAGAATCTATCCAACGGTATTCTTTTAAAGTATTCCTATTTTGCTCAGGAACGGCTCTTTAATGCATTAATTTATATATAGCAATTTGTAATTATCTTAACCAGCAAATAGCTTGATTAATTAAAATTTAAAAAAAAATATTTTACTCATAATCTACCTTCCATTTTAGGTTAATTTAATTTCATGCAACTCTGGGGTTAAAAAAGTGGTACTTCTACATGGCTTATTATTAGAGATATTCCTATACGTTTTCATCTAGTTGCGAAATATTTCATCCACTGAAGGTTGAACAGTCAACTGGACTGTCAAGTTCTAACTTTAACAAATAAGCCTTACGCTTATCACTTCAATCTCAACTACTTCTAATTAGTACTAAACGTAAATGTAAATATAACTTAATCTAATTCAATGCAAATATATTAACCCCAAAACTATCTAATTTCCCGTTTTCTATTTTTAGAAGTTGATCGTATATAATTTATTCTACACATGCGCACTGTATATAATAAAAATAATTCCTTAATTATATCAGTAGATTTTCCTTTTTAATCGCATTTTGTGCACTATTATAGGTCAGAATAGCCGTACCTGCTAAAGAAATAATGAGGAGGAACTAATGGGCTTCTGTTAATATGGCTCCAAATACATAAAGAATTTCGGACTCACTGCCAAGAGACGTTTCGGTACAGAAAAAAAATTACAATTGAGTGTGAAAATTTACTCTTGGTAACTACTGGAATGAGCTGTTGGATTATGTCATAATATGCCTCATCTTTACCGGAGTATCAAATCAGTACAATTGTGGGGGATCCTACTGAAAAGTTTTCTCGACGAGATCAAAACAATCGTTGAGATTGAGATCGGAAATATTATCTGACATCCCCACCCACATAGCAAATAAAAGGAAAGAAAAGAAATGAAAAGTCGTAACTATAGTTTTATGTAATGTTAAATGTAGGGGTAGAGAAGAAAATAAAATAACCAGCTGAGCCATCGGGAAACGACTCAAATATTCTCTATATCAAAACAACAACCTGAGTCAACGTAAACACATGGTTCCATCAACGAATTTCACCTTTTAAAAGATGTATGATGTAATACGGCGATCTACCAGATTAGAAAAAAAATACGACGCGGAAAAACTACGTTACATATTTTGTTTAAGCTTTAATTGTTAGGTCAAGAAACATCGCTTGTCATGAATAGAAAGATTATGTTCTATTAATAATATTAGTACTTGCTTAATTGCTTAATTGCTTAATATAGCTGATCATCGACAGTTTAGAGAAGCTTCTTAAACTCAATCTGTTGGAGAACTTTATATGTGCGGTTCTACTTGCTGATTATTTTCTTTTGTAAATATATGCATCACTCTAAAAATAGCTTTTATATATATACATATAAACATCTCGAAATATGTATAAAAACTATTTGTTTTTTTGTCAAATGAAAAAATAATAAAATAATAAAAATAAAAATCTATGTAAATATCTATATTGCCAATAAGCAATGTGATTGGTTGAAACTTATATTTAATAACCATTGGATTTGGCCCAATTAGTCAATTCGGATAATCCATTGACAATGTCATCTCCCGAATTCCCAAACCCAATACGGATAAAACCTTTATTGCCGTCAAAAACTTCTCCCGGAACACATAAAGTTGCGTGAGTTTCAGCCAATTCACTACAAAGTTGGAAAGTGTCCAAATTTGGAATATTAATTTTAATAAAACATGTAGTACCTCCATTAGGTTTTATCCAAGAAAACAATCCATTGGATCTGGTAATAAATTCCTCTAATACTTTTAAATTTTTAATACAAAGGTCGTAATTCCTCTTTAAGATTACTTCATAGTTCTCAAGTGCTAAAGTGGCTACTAAATCATCCACTAATGATACACTAATTGTGTTATAATCACGTTTAGAAAATAAATCGTAAAGCAATTCTGCATTTCGAGTTACGATCCAACCCAATCGTAATCCAGCTAGTGAGAATGCCTTAGAACTAGATCCTGTTGAAATTGTCTTTTCATACCCGTAATTTACAATGGATTTTGGCTTATCTCTATCATCTATTGAATGATACAATGGGCGATACACCTCGTCACACATCAACCAAATATCACGAGATTTACATATCTCAACGATCTGTTCTACAGTCTTATATTTCCAAACTACTCCGGTGGGATTATTTGGATTATTTATAACTACCAATTTCGGTGAATTGGTATCAATTAATTTAGTTAATAAATCAAGATCAGGCTGATAGCTATCTTCAAACTTCAATTCGAATGGGATTACATTATCCTTACTTTGAGAAAACACGCCTGGAACACTGGATAATTGTTGATACGTTGGACTCACAACCACAATTTTATCATTAGGATTGACTATCGAATAGAATGTTAAAAAATTGCCACCAATTGCACCATTTGTAATGACAATATTTTCACCAGTAATTGGTACTTCTGCATAATCTTGATTATATATCTTGCTAATTGCATTTTTTAAACGAGGCGACCCCTTTATGTGACCATATGTTAATTTTGTATTAAATAGAGCATCATGGAATTGCGATTGAAGTCTGTGCTTGTCACTTTCGTCTTTCGAAATCAAATCTAATAATTGGTTAATACTAATGGATTCCGAGCATGTTTCCCCCATATTATTTTTAATGTTGGTTTCATATTTGTCCATGAACTGTTCAACAGCAAAATCGTCTTGTTTGACCATTTCAGATACACCTAGGTTTGAATGTTGTATGTATTGACAAGTTGGGATTAATTTTTCAATATTTCAATAGATGGCAAAAATAGGTGGGTTGATACTGCTTCATGCTCGCTCACTGTTGCCTTCAACTTTTAGGTTTTAACCGAGCAAGTAACGCCGACAGCCCAAAATTAGTCCCCATTTAAATGATGCAAATTACAGGCTATTATAAACGGTCGATCAAGATATCTTCACGTACGTTAGAGTATTATAGCGTGCTACTAATGAGCCTCATGTGGTGCAGATCTCCGATTTTTCAACTGGTCCAATTTTCTGTATCCAAACTTTTTCAATAACCTTTTTAAGCGTTCGCATAAATCTTCTTGTGACTATACAAAGCATAAATTTATAATTAATGTAGACCCACATGGTGCTAAGATCTCAATTGAATAATGTTATAATTATTTTAGTTCAATTACATTCCAAGTTCAAAAAGACCTTTAGCTGATGAAGTGCAGAGTGCATAACTGTGCATTCGATTAGACAAGCTGCATGAACAAAGCAAAATGTTCAAAGCAAATAATTTAAAACATACAGGGGGCTGATAAATGTAATAGCGTTGCAGCATCACTAATACAGTACAACATATTTATAAATGCAGTGGTACATAAAAACTTACTAGCCAAAATAGAACAAATGGCTATAAAATAAAAACAAAAAAATACTAGTGATAATTAAAGATACGGCGGACTACATTCATGTGTGGCGGTATACGTACATTAACATACACTGAGCTTGAGTCACGACCGTTTTTCATATTGTACTCTTCAGTGCTTATTAGATGCCCGTTATTTGTGTAACATGATATAATAATTGCTAATATGGTGCACTTTTTAGCGATCTTATCCCTTGACAATTATGTGATCCATATGAATCTGGCCGTTCATGTAGTAATGTTAGAGTTTCTAAGTCATCTCTATATAATTATAGAAATTAGCTCAAGCATATGAAAAATATTGAGAAATTTTTGTTAATTTATAAAAAAATAAACTTCATTGTATTGCCGTGAGAGTATTTGTTTCTCCAACATTTGGACCTTATACTTTTAAAGAGCCAATAGATTGTGACCCTTAGGTTATAGCTTGCGGACCAAAATCTGCTACCCGAACCGTATCGTATCTGTCAGCTGGGGCACGCAACTTTCATTGCTGCAACAGTTATACGCCTCACTTTTTGTATGCATAGATCCAATTAGGGGTTTTTGTTTAAGCATATCTTATTTTACACCTTTAATCGAGTCTATATTAATTGAGGAAAGTTTAACAATCCATGGGCTTTCTTGTCCTTCCATTTATATCTAATAGAGTTGTTCAATAACATTTGAACAAGGACGGATTTAACGATGCGATGAATTCTTGTCAAAGCGGAGTTCGGCCATTGACATTAAAGAGTCTGATTGAATTTGGGTATATATTGCTTAAAAAATAAATGATTAAATTTGGAGAAAATACAACTACAAAAGAACGTGAAATTAGCGATTTCAGTATAGGCGACCCAATACAAACCAGTCATGTTAATTTCTTATTGTTTTTAAAGGTGTTTGAAAACTAGTCACGATTGGGATTAAGATTCAAACCAATTAATAATATAACTTCAAGCAATAGATAAAAATCTCAGGGACATCTGCCTTAAATTGTAGTACAAAATGATAGTAAATTGATGTTCAATATGTGTGCAGCACCTATATTTTAGGAAACTAACTAGCCGTTTTTAAATTCACAGGCCCCTTAGCCCCTGTTTTCAAACTGATTCGTTGATCATTAATTTGAAACAGAGATACTATTACCGGCATTTATGAATATCGTGCAATGTTATCACTTATCGTGCCATTTGCGCTTTTGAATAGTGATGATCCAGAAATAAACAATACGTAATTGTGAAACTGAGATCGTCAATAAATGTAAGTGAAATACGCACTCAATGCATAATTAAGTATGTTACCAAACTACAAGAGCATTTTAAGAAGGGTACCGAGACCACAATGAGTGGAATCAAAAGTCATGAGTAAAATGCTACATGGATTTACGGTTAAATATTTATTAGAAAATCTCTTGTAAATTTCTTGTTCTTCGAAGGTATTTTTTGGTCTTTTGTAGTATGTGATGATGCTGCCATGATGCTGCGAGTTTGTGCATGTAACATACGATTATTGATAGCTTTGACAGAATCTTTTTCTTTCTTTCAGGTGTTGGACTGAATGTGACCAGTTATTGGATTGAATTAAATATTGTTGTAAAGTTCTTTTATACTAATTATTCTTTAATTATAATTATATTGCCGTGTTCGGTTCTTCTAGCCCAGAAAGCCAATAAAAAATAAAGCGGAGGAATTATTTTTAGAACTGTACGGGGACCTCCCCGAGACGTATGAGATGCATATCCAAAAGCTAAAAAAAAAAAAACTTGATGTATAACTTTAGCATTAGAAATCAAATATTATAGAATTATGGTTAGGAGTACAAGGCAAATTACCTTTGAACGGATATATAGACTAGCTCATACCAGTAATGCATTTCCGGTGGCTATTTTACGGAGATATTTATTTATCCGTAATTCTATTTTCAAGCAGATGGAATAGATATCCGTCATTTTCTGATTATGATTGCTGTAATAAACTCTAATACGATAGATTTCAATATTTAGAATTTCATAAAATTCATAAGGTGATGTAAGTTTCTCTTCTATGATCACAAAGAAGTCACCAACTTTGAAGATCATGTGGCTCAGAGTGAAACAAGGCAATGACTCTAAATGCCTCTTGAAATGTTAGAGCTAGGAGTCTTCGTTGACAGGTACGGCTTAATCTCAATTCAGACCTTAATATTACTGGCATTTAGAGTCAAAAGATGCAATTCGAGTCAAGAAATCAAGTTGTAGATATTCGTTGAACTTTATGTGCTAACAAAAATCAATGCAATGTTACATTTTTCGGCTAGTAGAATGTTTCCTCAAGTTAGTTTCTTTTTTTGCCGATGCGACAGATACAGATTTTCAGTTAAGAAGATACACCAATGGCTGTGCTTATTCGTTAGATATGTTTAATGGTCCAACAGAAATCAAATGAAGTAAGTAGTCTGTTTAGAACTAAACAACTTTTAAGTTTAAGGAAAACGTCAAAAATAGCAACTACATTAAATTAATAATACATATGAATTCACGGGCTCATAGGCGGTGACGCCCTTTGAACACCAGAATGCATAAAAAACCCAGAACAAAGAAATAGAATGGCAAAAATAAATTTGAATTGTAAATAATATCATAAATTTGCACTCCAGGCATTGAGCGCAATATCGTATGCGGGTAAAGCTGTAAGCGCTGGTCTGCATTTTTTTCCGAGTTTTACATATACCCATACCAATTACAACCATATAAGCTAGATGGCAGCGAAGAATTCGACAAAAGAAACGAAAAAAATAATTACAATAATGCCAATACGTTATATTATGGTGTAGCCAAGGGATAAATACCTCAGATCACGATTTGTGCAATCAGAGTTACAGTAGTTTGGCCACGATGAGGGGCATTTTAGCAACAAAAATAAGCGAAGTTAAGTCTATAATTAACTTAGAATATGTTTTTATTAATTTAATTGTAAGGTAAGGAATTAAATTAGAACTCATTCAAGGGTTTTAGTAACTGCCAAACAAATAGGTTGAATGAGACAAAATTGGTAAGCCTCCATATAAGAGTTAGTCCATGATTTAAGTCCATTATATTTCATTCTATAGTTTAAATTAATTAATCAGTGACTAACAAAAGAAATTCTAAAATTATAATTAGTTTAACTTATTTCAAGTGTAACAGTAAAACAATGAAGACAACGATATCCTTTCAGCTTGCAAAAAGCTTATCATTGGCAACAAAAAAATAATGTGAAATAAAAAATAAAATTGAAAGTGACTGAAATAACATTAAAGGGAAAATAAAAATAAAAGACCAAAAAAAAAAGCCAAAAAAAAATAATAAAATTAATATACAGTAAAATAATATGAAGGTCCCGAAAATCTGTAGGTGCACGTCTGGTTTCAGGCCGCTATAATAAAATTTAAAGTCTAAATTGAGTCACTGTAATTGAGCTCAGATTTACTAGTTTAATTTAACTTTTCTTGTATAAATTTCTTTTCATTAGATCCCAATTAGTATAGCATTGATAGATGAAGGTTCAATATATAAATATAAAATCACATCCAATGTTTAAGAATTTTAAGCTTTGATTTTCGTTCTCCTCTTTTCTGAAGGATCTGACAATTCCTATAGTCTTTTTTTGGTAATTATTTGTAGTAATAGAAGCTCGTTATAGACTTTGCAGTCGAACTTCAGTTCCAAGACATTAGCGCAAATACATTTCCTTTAACTAATCCAATTCCATCAAATAAATAACGCCACCAGTCACGAATTGTATCATAATTGTATCATCTATCCTTTTTAATTTTACTTTTAATTAATTTACATTTACATTTCCATTTATATTTATTTAAATTTAAAACAATTCATTGAATTCATCCCAATAAAAACTCAAATTGCGCCAATCCTCAATTGGTGTTAGTTTCCCTGGCATAATCACATCACTCAAATTCGAACCCACCCTCGAATCTAATACATCCCCAGTAATATCCACAAAAGGTATCAGCACTACCCAACAACACACCACACCACTAACAACCCTTTATCAATTTATTGCTTTCAACAAACTTTGTTGCAAGAAAAATCGGGAACTCATTTAATTATTTAATTATTTTAATTATTTAATTTTAATTATTTAATTATTTAACTAACTAATTAATTTACTTATTTTTATTTTTATTAAAATTAATTTAAATTCTTTTTTTTTACGGCTTTTCCAAACACTCAAAAACAGCGACCACTTAAAGAAACACATCGTTCGACTCCGACGTTATAACCGTTCTTACCCACCAGATCCTTCACCAAATTGAAGATCAGGCACGTCAGTCGCCTCCACCACCATCATGGACAATTCTAGCTCCAAAAACATGGACGATCTCGCATCATTGTTCTTACCAGATATCTTGCACCCGATGCAAGCTACCCCAGGAGGGAGTGCTACCGGTACAACCACTAGTTCAGAAGCTCAACAAACTCATCAACAACATCAAACAGATCATCAATATCAACAAAGACACCGACACACCCATTCTCAAACTCAGAATCAAAATCTGGCTCCTATTCTGACAACGGCTACTTCTTCACCAGCCATACCCGTTAAACATGAAGAATTTGATACTTTAAGTGCCGATTTTAACTTATTGAATAGAGATACTGATTCCAATACATCACCGACTAATGCCAATGTGACATCTCAGAATAATCCTGCTACTTTTACGGACTTTCTTCATAATAATAACTTTATAAACAATACGGCATCATCTAATTCACAATTTATAAATCAACTGTTAAATTCACCTATGCCTAACTCCACTATAGGGAGTACTCATATGGCCAGTAATCTTGATGCATTGGATCTGTCAGGACAAACTCAACAACCAGTAGCACCTCTTGGACATTCTCATCATTATAATCCATACATGCCCTTTGAACCAACAGCTTCATTAATTCATCATTATCAATATCAACAACAATTAATGGGATCAGGTTATCCTCAATATTATCAAAACCAGGCCATACCACCGCCTCCACCACCTCAATCATCATCATCAACTCAACTCCAACTGAATCAACCATCTCAACAACAGTATAATCCTCAAGCTTCGACTAATCAGTATCAACAAAATAGTATCACTTCTGCCAATGCTTATATGAATACATACCCCTATTCCAAGACACCTAGTTCCGAATGGTATGATGGGTTCTTAGCCAATTCCAACAGTAATAGTAATACTAACTTGTATAATCAGAGTGTTCAGGGGTATGACCAATCAGCTATTCCACAACAACAGCAACAACAACAACCAACACAAATACCACAACAACAACAGCAACAACAAAACCAGTTTTTACAGCCATCCCAAACGCCTCAGACTGATGGAATTCCTCAGCAAACTGACTATACTCCAGTTATTCCTAAAAAGAAGAAAGTCAAAGCTAAGAAGATTAAGGATCTCAAGAGTTCTGAATATGAAATCGATTATAAGCCCAACAAGTTACGACAACTATTGGATTTAAAGAAAGTAGACAATACCAGTAAAAGGAAAGATTATAAGATTGTTGATAAAGATAATAATAATGTGAATATTGATTTCAATGGATTTTTAAATGGACGATTTATAACTAATGATAATGATAATATCTATTATTTACTTACTAAGAAAAAGGGAGATGCTGAAGATATAACCAACAGTCCTGATTTAAAGGAATCTATAAAGGAAGATCCTAAAGTTATATCATGTTATCGTAGAAATTATATTCAAATTGCTATTAATATGAATATTAACGGATTTAAGAATAAATCCAAATTACTTAAATTACAAACAAGTGAATATGGTTATACTATAACTCGAGTTATTAAATATTTTAAGATTGAAATCTCGGCCAATATATCTAATAAGGGGAATGTTCCAATATTTATTAAGGGTAAACCAGATAAGAAATTAACTCCTCAACAACAAGCTAATTTAGCAGCAGGAGGACTTAATACTCATGAGAATAAAGATGATATAGTTCAACCAACTTATATAAATTCTCGTGAACATATTGTAATACTTAATGATGAAGCAGAAATTGATAATGGACAAATTGATAAATATTTTATTGTTAAAAAGATACAATTTAAGAATGCTACTCCTAATAATGGGAATCTTGCCTTTCAAAATTATTATCATTTTAATGTAAAATTTAGTTGTGTAGTAGCAGATTTATATTATGATGATTATGTTGATGATGAATTAAATAATGGATTAAATGGTAATTCTAATGGTCAAAATCCTACTAATGGAGCTGGAGGTGATACTAATGAAATTGTATTATTCGAATTAGTTAGTGAACCTATAACTGTAAGAGGTAGAAATCCAAGTTTTTATGCTGAACGGAAAGATATTACTATTAAGGGAAGATCAATATCATCAAAGAAATCCTTTAAGAAATCTCGGAAAGTTTCATCTAATAATATCTTGAGTAATGATGAAGAAGAAGAAGATTATGATTATCAGGCAGAAGATCTTCGAGATCATGAAGCCGATGATTTGGATGAAGAAGAAGAAGAAGATTCAACAACTCTTCATGGTCATCGAGATCGAGATCGAGATCGTGATCATTCTCCATCCTCATCAGGTGATGAAGACTCTAATACTGAACAAGGTAATGATAATAGTGGATCTGATGGTAATCTCAATCAGCCATATCAACTTCAAGGACAACAGAGTTCCAATAGTAATAATACTAGTAATAATAATAGTACTAATAACACCAATAGTACCAATACTACTACTAATACTAATAATACTAATACTACTAATACTAATACCAATACTGGACAACCAATATCTCCCTTAGCGTATACCACAACTCAATCAGCCCTTGATTTAAAATCTGTCAATCGTTACAAATACTTCCCCATCTCTAATGTATACTATTTACCACCTATTAATGTGGTATATTTCCCTCATCGAGCTCATCAGTATCAACAAGGACAAATTGAAGATGTTTCTAATCAGGATGATGCTTCACTTAATGAAAGAAGAAAGAGTTCGAATGTATACTTCAAGTAATTGTATTATATAGCAAATTTTGTTTATTTAACTAGTTAGTTATGTGTCTTCATGACAAAATAAATAAGTACCTATATAGTAATAGTTATAGTGATAAATGGTATTAATATAATATAATCTAACCTATTCCTTAATCAAGATAGATGCTGCACCCATACCTGTACCGATACACATCGAAGTTAAACCAAATTCACCCTTCTTTAATAATCTTAAAATAGTTGCATATTGTCTAGCACCAGTACAACCTAATGGATGACCAATAGCAATGGCACCACCATTAATATTTAATTTTGATGGTGGAATATTACAAGCTTGAGCAGAATAAAGACATTGAGCAGCAAAGGCTTCATTAATTTCAAATACAGAAATATCATCAATGGTTAAACCAGTCTTTTTCAAAACTTTTGGAATAGCAACAGATGGACCAATTCCCATAATTTCTGGTGGAACACCAACTGATGTACATAAAACAAATTTACCTTCAATCTTATAACCATTCTTTTCAGCTAAAGATCTTCTCATTAATAAAACAGCAGCTACACCATCAGAAATTTGTGAAGCATTACCAGCAGTTGTAACACCATCAGCAGAAAATGCTGGTCTTATTTTACCTAATGAAGCAGCAGTTACACCCTTTCTTGGACCTTCATCAGTATCAACAATAATCTTCTTATAAGTAACATTATCATCATCATCTTCTTCAGCAAGGAATGATTCAAGTGGTAAAATTTCATCTTTAAATTTACCAGAAGCAACAGCAGCTTCAGCCTTTTGATAAGATTCAGCAGCAAATTCATCTTGAACTTTTCTACTAACATTAAATTTAGCAGCTACATTTTCATTAGTAATTCCCATAGGAATCATACATTTTTCAAAAGCAGGATCTTCTTGATAATGAACATCAATTTTAGCAAGAGATTGAGGACCATAATTAGCAGACATTGATTCAACTCCTGATGCAACCCCACAATCAATTTCTCCAGCAGTAATTTTATTGGCAATATCAGCAATGGCCATTAAACCTGAAGAACAAAATCTATTAATGGCAACAAAACCAGCAGTATGAGGAATACCTGAAGCTAATGAAGCAGCTCTATGTTCAGTGGCACCAGCTCCCTTATTTAAAACATTACCAACGGCAACATCTTCAATTAAATTTGGATCAACTCCAGTCTTTTTAACAAATTCCTTTAAAAAGGTAGCTAAAAGATAATCAGATCCAACATCTTTAAATCCACCTTTACCACCTTTAGTTAAAGCACTTCTATAAGCACCAACAATAACAACATCATCAGGATTCTTTTGTAAAAGAGCTTGCTTAGATGATGGACTTAATTGTCCAGATAATTGATTGAGTCTATCCATAATAACAGTAATATATTAATTCTACTAATATAACAAATTTAATATTTATAATTTAAATTGTTACTGATGTCAGTGATATTTTAAATAATTTCAATTCTAGAAATCTGGAGAAACTATCCATAATTTATAATCACTGCAACGGCCAGTGTCTGTATTAGCTTGTGAAAGATACCACAAATGGGAAATGTTGATCTCTCCGCAAATTGAAAATCCGAGGCACTGTACAGTGCGCTTAATTTGTTAACTATGAGTAGACCGAGGTACTTGCGGATCTAGTACACTATCGGTTATTACCCAGTTGAGTGACAGATCACGAGCAGAAGCGCGCGTGACTCGCCACTCCCACTTTAATTGACTATATTTTATAATTTAAAGTTAAAGACTACTATTAACTATTGACTATTAACTATTGACTATTAACTATTGAATTACTAATAATCATAGAGAATCATTATATACATGACTCAATTACATACTACGGATTATATGGATTTTTTTCTTAGTCATCTGTATAAGTATACTACAGACTGTAAAGAGTATACAGTAACTAAAACATTACTCTACCGAATCTCCGTTTATTGATCCTATACTCTACGGCGGATTAATATACTGTATTCAAAGCCGATCATAGACAAACTTTGACACATTAATAGCATTTCGCTATACACTGTTCATAGTTCTCCGCATATCCGCCATCTTCGGCGGGATTAGATGGAAAAATCTCGGCACATGACTAGTAAGTCACATGTTCATTCACGTGTATCTTTCTTATCCTAAAATATCTTATTTCAAGTTCCGTCGTATTTCCACAATACTCGGATTATCCTCCCCACCTCGGATATGCCTTAAACATCTGCAAAAAATTGATATGAACAAAATTTTATTGAATATAGGAAATTGAAAGTAACAGCCTTCATTAAAATATGGATCAGTCCTTAATGTTGAGCAATTAAACTTTATGATGCTTGTACTCCTCTATTGGTAATTCTTTGTTACTCTTTCTTCATTGACGCTTTACTAGAAGCACCACTCAGTTTACCAGCTACAGGTGCTGGAATATAAATAGTTCGTAATTACAAATCTTGTGAACATAATCAGGTGCTACATAACTCACAGTGTTTTGTACGCTACCTGTATTACAGCCTACAGTTTGATTTAACTTCTATTAATGTTAAGTATACATTCATTCACTAGGGATTATGGCTGGTTTATATGTTTAACATATATTGCCATCCCATGTCGTGATTATTGAAGCATGCTTTATATCATGCTTTACTTGGCCAATTGAATTAGAAAATGACGCAGTTAAACGCCTGGAATTAAAAGACTATAAACAATAGGTATATTAAGAATGATTAAAATTACAAATTTGTTAACAATCACTGGATTGGAAACAAAGAACACTGTCTGTTCAAATTTCTAACAAAGATTTGTCTACCAATTGTTCATACAAACCATAGATTTGAACAACCAGCTTTTTGACCTCAATTTCCCAAAGTGCCTTGGAATGTAGATTTTATGATACTAATTCAGTAATAGAGGATCATCTATGATCTATTATGGAATTCAGGTTGACATGTGAACTTGTTGCTACTTCTTATTGAACATTCAATGGCACTATTATCGACGAATCAACTCTTACTTTCATTACATACATATAATCTTCATCAGTTTATACGTCACATTCTTGTCATCTACACAAACTATCAATTTCCATATCTGGCGGACTATTTATTTGTTCAAGATCACTATAACTGAAATAATTGTACATGAAAGACAATCTCTAAAATCACATAATTAATCAGATGATTCTCTATTTGAAGATCATTGTGAAGTTCTGGATCTATAATAAGTTCATCACGTATCCAGCTTTGATCAGATTTCTTATTATTTAAATCTTATTATTCTATTATTAGCTTGAGTTATGATCTTTTTGATTGATAAATTACAGTGATAAAATGGATTGAATTTTGCTATATTGTATTGATCATCTTATGAAGATTGTTTGGTAGGATACATATCTACCTCTCAAAAGAAAATATACCGATAAATGGTTCAATATGATCAGGTCTACCTTCAGGGCATTTACCTCTAAAAATTAAGGTGGGTACTTCTTCTTCTTCATACTTGTCTTCATCACTCTCTTTACCATCTACCCCTTTATCAAGATCAACATCATCGTCTTGCGCCCTATCACTATTATCACCCTTTTCCAGCAGACTAGCAGCATTACTATCTTCGTCAATTTTCTTACTAGTCTCGTTTGTATCTTCATCCTTTTGATCTTTTATTTTCTTTGTCTTACTAGCATTCGCATTTGATGAGCCACCTTCCCTCTGCAATTTGAATATCTTAGTAAAATCAATTCTTAACATCCCTTCATCATCAACAATAACATATAATTTATACTTTTGATCAATGAAATCATTTGAATCATTATAATGAATAAGACCCTTTGTTGATCCCGTAATTAATCCCATAGTTGAACCAATCCCCATTAAATTAGTACCATTTATTCTAATATATAATCCACTTAATCCAAATGGTGAACAATGAATCTCAAGATCACATTCATTAGCATAATTAAACATTATCTGTTGCGAACTGTAGTCACTTGATGTAGTCGTACTGGAATCCATATTAACACAAAATGTCTATTTAATTCTTTTTAAAGTATTTATATTATTAATTAAATGTTTGAGTATCTATTTAATCTCCTACACTAACTTTATTATTTTTTGGATAATTTCCTTCCTGCTAATTTAATTAATACAGCCAATTGTTGTCGTATATATAATTATTAAAATTTTTCACTTCTCCACCTTAAGGTGGTTTCTTGCTTGGGTTTGGTATTTTTTCCTGATGGAGGACCTAACCCCCTGGGGCACTAACATCCGCACTGCAATACTTTACGCCATTGTATACATTGTCATACATACATTTACGAGAACAATTTACTAAGCCCTAAACCTGTTGACGAAGAGTTGTAAAATTATGTTTCCAAACATTAAAATCTGAATTATCTAAGCAGAATTGTCCCATATAATTTGTTATCCAATTTACCGTTGTTAATAATTCATTATTATTTTTTGAAATAACATCAGTAAAAAACTGAGATACATTTTGACTAAAATTACGTTCAATTTGCTTATAACTCTTTGTAATTTCAAATATGGTTTTCTGATCTTTAGAAGTTTCCTTATTGGCTTCATACTTAAGAATTAAGTTAGTATTGAAATTATTAGCTATATTGATATTTGATGGAGATTGTGGATAATCAATTGGAATCTTAATCATGATATCTAATCCCTGATTTAATTTCCATAAATTGGGGATTGATTCTGCTTGATGACTTAAAATCGGCAAGGTGATTTTATATTGACTCTCTTGTTTATTCCTCTTAAATAATTTGGTATTATCTTTACCTAACTTATTAATTAATTCTTCTACCAATTCATCTCTAGCTTCAATAACTTTTGGATCAATATTATTATTGTTTTTAGGTTCCACTTTATTTTGTTTATGTTCTTTCTTCTCCGGACTTGGTTGATGATTTAATGTCGGTTCTGGTGATGGGGCTGCCACTTTTTTCTTGATATTTTTAACAAATTTAATGGTATCCTTCTTCTCTTGCTTTAAAAAGAGTTCAAGATACTTATCTAAAGTTAAAATAATTGATAATAATCCCAGACCTGAAACTAATTCAATTTCTTCATCTTTTTCTATCAAATTTTGAGCTAAATTAACTATTCTTCTAAATCCAATTTCAATATTTACAGCAAATCCACGAGGTATTTCTTCATTTAAAACGACTATTGAAGGTCTCTCTTGAGGATATTTTGCAGGTATACTAAGATTAATTTTTAAACGATCTAAATCAAATGGGAAATCTGGGTCAGATGGTTTAATTATGAATGATAAATATAATACAGAATCTGCATTATTCTTAATGAATTCTAAAAAGTGCTTCTGTAAGTTTGACAATCTGGCACTATTCTTATATTGACTCTTAAAATATTCAGGTTCATCTTCTTCTTTCTTCTTAATATTTTCAATGATTTTCTTTGTCGGTACTCCATTGATTGTTATAGGCTTGAATGTTCTTACAAGCTTTGAAACTTGTAAAAACTTTGGATCTTTAGTTGGTTCGTAGACTGGAGTACTTGATCGAGACTTAGGACCTCTAACTGGACCCCTTTTTCGGTTATTACTTGGTCTTTTAGGTTTTGGTTGCCTTGGCCGTTGATTACTATCACTATTACCGCCAGTATTGGCGTTATTGGAGTCACTCATAGGTACTTCGATGTTGCTTAGTTAACTGGGAAGAGACTGACTCATAGTTTTTTTTTTCTATGCAATATTAAGAGCGCAAGCTTAACTATGTAAAATACCGAAGATGCGAGAAGTTTTTATACATTCAAATATTATGTAGTGAATAAACCTTCAGGTATAGCATGTCATGGATTTAAACCATTGGCAACATGATTATTTTTTTGGTTAACCCTTATGTAAAAGGGTCTGGAGTCAAATCGGACTTACGACTCATCGCGACTTATATTTATTTCAAGGTTTAGATCGATTTGTACCGGGAGGATTACACTTTGAAGAGTTGCCAGATGGATTCAGGAACTTTGAAGAAGATATAATTAACAAAATAAAAAGTTTCTGTATTTCTACTATTGTTCTGTAACTGCCACATATATATATATGTAATATATTTACATAACAAAATATAAATATTTGTAGGAATTGCGCTAAAATTCCTAAAACCAATTGTTAACGACTATATATTTCGTGACTATAGCTAATTGTTCTGATAAACTCATTCATATCCAGTCCTCTCCCCAAAACATTAACATGTCACTCTAAAGTCACTGTTATATTAGTCTTATTAGAGATCTATATGATTGACTAATAATGACTAAAAGGGTAATAGAAAACGCACGTGACTTTTTATAATTTGCAATCATTTTTGTAAAGCTTTGTGTAACAGAAGTTTTAACTGTGGAGTCAATCACAATAAATAAATATAAATTATACATTGAAAAATTTAAAATAATAGATCAAGAGACTATAGATCGGTAATGTCAGTAATGCTGCCAGTGGGGGTAAAGTATGAGAATGAAACTGAATTACCAGTGAAGACCAAACGAGCAAGTGTAGCTTGTAACTTATGTCGTGATAGTAAATTAAAATGTATAAATAACAATGATAAAACTCAATGTGAAAGATGCACTTTGTTAAAGCTTGAATGTTCATATACTTTAAAGAAATCACAATTGAAGAAAAGAAAATTATCGAAACATTTTAAAGATTTACCTGTTGATACAAGTAATGGTAGTTCTAATAGATATAGAAATAGTAATATTATTACTAAATCTCCTACTCGTGCTCCAGGATTAAATATAAAAGCTCCTATATTAACTGTAAGTTCCAGTAAAGAAAGTCTGAATTCAATAAACGATAGTCCTCATAGTCCACCAATAGCAAAACCTGCTTTAAAACCATATCATTCAATAATTCTACCGGTTAAATCTATAATATTAGAAGTAGCAGAAATATATTTTGAAAATCAATATAAAGGTATATTCCCCCATCTACATAAACCTTCGATAATATCTTTCATAAGATCTCCAGAATTTGATCCAAAAACTTATATTACTGATTATTATAATGATTGCTTTGATACTTGTTATACAGCATCTTTAAAGTACCCTGATCCAGTAATACTATTAGCTATTTTAGCCCTTTGTTCAAGATTACATCCAGATATGCCTAAAATGTATGGAAATTTCTCAGAGGATAAATCACCAGAAACATTTGTCCCAAACTTGAATAATATTAATAATCCTAAAACAGTAGATAATGATAATGGAAATGCAGCTTCAAATGCATCTAACTATTTTGGTTGGCATGCAAGAAATATTCTAAAGGAAGTATTTGATAGCCCAACGATTCAACGAGTACAAGCACTAACTATATTAAGTAGCCATGAATGGGGAGAAGGATGTGCATCTAGGAGTTTTTTGTATGTTGGAATAGCAGCAAGAATGGTTTTACTTTTAGGATTGGGAAATGAAAGTGGCTTATTTATTAAAGAAGAAGAAGATAAAAACTTAGATGAAGCATCAAAATTTATTTGCATTGAAGGAAAAAGAAGGACAATGTGGGCTGTATACATGATGGACAGATGTAATTCTAGTGGACGTGATAGACATTCATGTATTAAACTAAACGACATAAAATTAAAACTTCCATCAACCGAGAAAGATTTCATATTTCGTAATTATAAGCAAAAATCTTTAACCTTTGAAGAAGCCAATAACTATATTCATGATCCTACAAAACGTCATTTATTAAGTGATACTTCATGTTTTGGATTTTTAATTATCTTATTTGAAACTTGGGCCAGTATAGCTAAATGGGCAGGAGAAACTGGTGGAAAACTTGAAAAATTACCTCCTTGGGAGAAGGAATCTCCCTATTATAAATTGTCAAAAGAATTAGATACTTTTAGAGATAGTCTACCAATTCACTTACAATTCAATCACTTTAATTTAGAAGCTCATATTGCTGACGGGTCAGCAGCTGATTTTGGATACTTTCATGGTTTATTTTTTTTATGTCGAATTTTTCTTAATCGAGAATATTTCTTTTGTACTCCCGAATCATTTCCTGAAGGTTGGTGGGAAACAGAAACAAGAGTGTTACTAGAGACTTTGGATGATCTATCTTATATTACAAGAACTTTAAAGCCTATAAATATGATGGTAATAGCTCCATTTACAGGTTTTCAAGTTTTTACAGTCGCAGCTACAAGCTTTTATTTTGATGCATTTCCTAAAAAATTACTAATACTGAATTTCCCATTTAAAAAGCCTAAATCGGAAGAAGCATTGATTATAGAGGTTGAACAATTAAAAAATAAATATAGAAATTTAGCTGCTGAAGCTCTTGATAATTTAGCAACGTGGAGAAAAGTATGGGGGTTAGGAAATGGTTGGTATACTACCAGTCTAAAGTTGCAAAAAATGTTTGCAATGGTTGCGAAAGAGAACTCGTCTGCTGTGGAAGATGATGATTTGAGACATTCAATGCATGATTATGGTATTGGTAAAGTACAAGAAGAATTTAAACCCGAATATGTTAGAGATAGAAAAGATATGAATATTCTGAGCTTATTAGTATCCGATGAAAATAAAGAACCTCGTACTGCAAATTTTAGAGCTACTCCAAGTCCATTTGTTCATGAATCATTAAGAGAGTTGGCATCTCCAGCTGGTTTGAATTCGCCTTCTCTTGATTTCATTAATAACTTTGACTTGTCTAATATATTCCCGGGTTGGAATGATCCTACCAAAATGTGAATCAAATATTTTAACTCTACATAGATTTAATAGATAAAAAGAATCTATATATTCCTCTAATTAATAAGTACACAAATAAATAATAAGTAAATAATCATTGATCATTATTGGGTTTAGATCTTAAGATGTCTCTCAATAAACATAAGATAAATGCAACTCCACAACAAGTACTGAAAAATAATTGTGACAATCTAATTGCTCTTTCATAATCATTAAGAACTAACGTTTTAATTTCTGGAGCAAGAGTATTTATGGCATCAGTAGATTTAGTAATAGCTCTAACTATTTTATTAATTTCATGGTTTTTCAAATCCGTGAACTCTTGAAGGTCGTGAGTTACTTTATATTTGAGAAAAGCTTGAATAATGACAGACACACTAGTGACACCAAATACACCACCTATACTTCTCAGCAAATAAATAGTTGAAGTGGAAGTAGCTTGATGCTGATTTCCATATGCGAAAATAAAAGTAAATAAAGAACTTGGATAAGCCATTCCTTGACCTAAATTTGAAGGCATTAAAAGTAAATCTAATAACCAATTTGGAACGTTTGGACTAATCAATAATGACATAAAATTACCAAGGGCCATAATAAAGGTACCACAATAAACTAATTGTTTAAGTAGACCATATTTGTTCATTACGACCCCAGTGATAATACCACCAATTGGGGTAGCCAAAGAAGGAATAGCTAAACGTAAACCAGCTCTTGAAGTAGAATCTCCCAATACAATATGAAATAATAAAGGTAAAGCAAATAAATAGGCATAAGCACATAATCCTAGTAGGAAATTTTGAGCTAAGAGTAATACGGTAAACAGACTTTTAAAACGACGAACTGGGATAATAGGTTTAGCAGTTGTATGAAGTTCTATATGAATAAAGTATCCCAAAAGTGCAATACCCAATATTCCTATCAATATTAATCTATAATCCAGCCAAGCAAATTCATTCCCTCCCATTGTTAAAACACATAATTGAAAAGTTAAAGCAAGAACCAATACCACTGAACCTTTCAAGTCTATTTTAGTAAGAACATCTCCATTCAAATGATGGTTTGATTCATCAAATCCAGCTTGATTACGAATATATTTATATCCAAAATAAACTGCTAATGTAGATGGAGGAACTTGTAAAATAAAGCACCAACGCCAACCAAAATTTGATGCAATTAATCCACCAAAACTTGCTCCACAAACTGCACCAAATCCAAGTAATAAATTCTGTACAGCTTGGAATAAACCTCGTTTTCTTGGAGTAATAACATCAGAATTTACAATAGTTGATAAAGTTATTAATCCACCCCCACCTATTCCAGTTAAAGCTCTCATTAAATTAAGAGTCATAATATTGGGAGCTAATGAACAACCAAGACAACCTAATGCAAAGGTTCCAGAAGCAAAAAAGCAACATTTTCTTCTTCCAATAACATCAGAAAAAGAACCATAAAGAGGTTGAAAGGCAGTTGAGGTAATTAAATATGAAGTGGTTATCCAAGAAGCTAAATTTGCTGCATTAAACTCATTACCTATAACTGTATAAGTTGAAGCAGTCACTGTTCCATCAAATCCTGAAAGAAATACATTAGTCATTAATGTTAATTCAATCCAGAAGAAGTTAGGAACAGAAGAAAAGCCTTCTTCTTTACGATTTAATTCATCACCATCTTCTTCACCTACCTCGGTTGAATCCAGAGCTCCATAACCAGATATTCTTTCTAGATCTTGCTCTTGCACTAAAACGGTTACTTCAGTATCCTTGGTAAAATCAGCCATTCCACGGATACCAATTCCAGATTAGAACTAAAGATAATATATAGTATTATAAACTTACAAAATTAAAAATCTTCCTAATAGCTCTGAAAGAATTTCTTCCACTGACTGCTAAAATTTAAAGAAAAAAAAAAAAGAAACAATAGAGTATGTATATGTGTGGCTAAATTGAGTAATTTAAACTAAACACAGTTATGATACTTAACCCTTAAATATAGTTTAGAGTAATATAAACAAAAATCCAACAACTTACTTATTAAAGGAACTTGTCACATTTATATAGAGACTTTCACACCCTCAAGAATTATTTTTTTTTGGGATATTTAACGGCCCTTATGCATCGGCCCTTATATTACTTTCCATTGTATACCCTAACCAAAAAAAATTGCGCAAAGGGGTAAAATGCCTTATCTTAAAAATGCCTTAAAAGTATGTCTCTTTATGCTGGTTGTTTAATACATGTTTAATTTAACAGAGTCGAAATCTAACAATTCATAAAAATTAATTAATTAATCATACACGTATAATTTTGTATATTACTATAGTGGTTTGAATCTTTAACAGTTGATTCTGTATCTATCAACTTTTACTCATCACAAGACTATTTTGGCAGTTTAGTGCTTTTAATTTTATTACTGGTGCATATTTATTGTTAGTGATCGGTTAATTAAAACTAGTACCACAAAAACAATTTTTTTAACGTTACATTCGTATAATAACCCATATAAAAATCCTATTTTTTCTACTTAAATAATAATAGCCAAGACAGCAATTAATGCACATCCTATACTAAATGAAATTTTGTAGGCATCACTACTAGCAGTAACTTCTCTCCTTTGAACGCCTGTATTTGATGTTGCAGATTTAGATCTTTTAGCGATAGGAGGCAGGTAACTTGATGCACTTGAGGTGCTTATGTCTGCAGTTGAACTAACAAAATAATTGCTAGAACCGGAACTTGAAGTTAAACTGCTAATTAACAGAGTAGGTATATATCTATCAGAATCAATATATGTGGTAGTATTAGATTGTAAAGTTGTTGTAGATGAAATCAAAGTAGTATTGGTGGTATTGAAATTGTAGCTACTTGTTAAAATTTGATTATAGACAATCGCTTCAGAAGATTCCGTATTAGTAGAACTACTAAGAGTAGTAGTAACATTGATTGTAATAGTTGATGTAGTGGTTTCCTCATCGGCAACAGTAGTATTGAGATATGGACCCTTTTGCACATTTTGCACATTTTGCACATTTTGAACAATTTGACTAGAACTTGTAGACAGAGCAATTGGAAAAAGAGTAATATATACAGTAGTTGTTTCGGTAACTACAACAGTCGGATCGTCTATGACACTGGAAGACGAAGATTCAGTATATGGTTCTTCATAAGTTGAGACAAATTGAGTTGTATACACAATGCTTTCGACTGGTTGAACCGAAGAATAATACGGTTCTTCATATGTTGAAACAAATTGGCTTGTTGGTGCAACATACAAAGAAGCTTGCAAAGTAGTTGAAGTTATTGACTGTGTTACAGACAGCGATGTCCATGGAACAATTGCAGCCGACGAAGCAGGACTGTTGGTTGACAATTGTTCTTCTTTAGCATCATTGACAAGTGGGTTGAAAGTAGCAGGGATTGGAGATGGGTTCAGATTTGTACTACTGGTACTTGACGTAGTCAAAGTAGTTAAACTAGAAGATGCAACAGTTGGTTGGGTGGTATCTTGACTTCCACCTAATAAATTTTTAATAGATTGCAAGAAAGAAATAGATCCAACATCATTGTTTGTTGCAGTGGAAACATCCCAAATTGAAATACCTCCAAACTGAGAACTAGATATAATAGAAGAAATAGTACTTTGAATGGTATTAACATCCACATAACCTGAACCAGCTGACAGTGATGATCCTGGTAAACCGACAAATAATTTAATATTTTTATTTGGTGATACAGTATTAGCATAATTAACCCATTGGTCCCAATTAAATTGGCCCCCACTTAATGAACAGTAATTGTTGTAAAATTGAATGAAGGCAAAATCCACGTTGGCCTGTGATAATAAATCCCCTACAGACTGGTCAGGATAAGGACATTGAGGAGCAGCAGATATATAATAAGTCTTTGAGGAGTCTGAGCTGAAGTTTTCTCGTAATTGAGTAGCTAATGCAGCATATCCGTTTTGATTTTGATTTTCAATATCAAAATCAAAGCCATCAACTACAGCATCATCAAATGGTCTTTCTGAATCAGAACCACCACCAAATTTGTTCCATAAGGTACTGGCAAATTGTTGAGCCTGTGAATCAGACAGGAAACCATAAGTACCAACAGCACCACCAAGGGAAAGAAGAACCTTAACACCAGACTGTTGACAAGTCTTTATATCATTTCCGATTTGAGAACAGTGCAACAAACCATCAGAAAATTGTTCAGAACATTGGTTTCCGAAATTTAGTTCAAGCGTAGGAAAACCATTCATAAAAGATATTATTATAATATCGACATTACCATTTGAACAGTAGGAAGCTAAACTACCTTGGCCAGATCCTTGACCCCAATATGCAACCACATTATTGGAAGAATTAATATCAAAGGAAAGTGATATACCAACTAGTGAAAGAAAGATTATAATGAAGGAGTGACTGAATATTTGATTCATTTGCTAGATATGTATAAGGATAGACAAAAGTTAGATAAAAGGAGTGAATTAGCAATTGTCACAATGGTTGATAAACAGTAGTATTAAAGAATGACTAGAGGAAAAGTTGTATCAATAAGTGAATGACCGAATTTAGTATGATCCTAGAGTTTGAACGATGTGTTTGTTAATGTGGAATCATGTTAACTTTTATATTTAGTTAATGTGTCAAGATCTGATCTCACACAGGGTTGTGAAGAGAATAAATTTTAAAACATAGTTGCGAGGTAAATTATCCTAAACAGGAGGCGTAATGAGTATTCAGAATGTGAGAGAGATCAATTAGGCCCAATTAGGTCATTTCTAAGTGGAATGGACTATGAACTCCTTAATTATTATGACCCCTACATTCTTAAAGATGCAAAAAAAAACATAAACCGAAATGTTTCAGACGCGTTTTGTTATTGTTTGGAGAAGCTTTTCGTGTTAAGGTAAATATTGCAACCAAATTTCTTAAAAGGATCAGATGCGCGTAAAATTGACCCATAAGTATTTATAGAAGCATTCAATAATAAAATTACTCCTAGTTAGCTCCTTCTTGTTTTTATATACTATAACCACATGTGTATATGTGTATGTATTAGAATAAACATATTAATTACAAAATACGAAATACGAAATACTTATAGACTTTGATACTTTGATTTACAAACTTAAAAGTTAGACAAGCCATAATAAAATCAAATAAATCAGACCTCCGACAGATGCGACGTTTGCAATATTAGCAGATTTCGAGGTACTAGTAGCTGTAGTTGCAGATTTAGTAGTTGAAGAGTTAGTGGTCTTTGAACTAGAGACTGCAGAACTTGAAGAGTTTGCAGAGCTTTCAGAACTGTAAGACGAACTAGAAGTGGTAGTGTCATTTGTAGAAGAGGTTGCTTGCGTGGTTTCACTTGTTTGAGCATCTGCAACTTGTTCACTTGTAGTCTCTTTGGCCTCTGTTTGAGCTTCCGTTGTTGCTTCAGAAGAAACAACATTAACAACAGTTTGTGCTTGACTTTGAGCTTCAGTGGTTGTTTGAGCCTCAGTTTGAGCTTCAGTGGTTGTTTGAGCCTCAGTTTGAGCTTCAGTGGTTGTTTGAGCTTCAGTTTGAGCTTGAGCTTGAGCAGTAGTAGTTGTGTATGTATTGTATTTGGAATAAGCCGATTCAGCTTGACATTGATTAGAATGTAATTCTGCTCCTCCAACATTTCCACCAGTTCTGCAATTTTGACAACTAGCTAAATTATTCCAGAAACCATTGTCATTTATGTTACACATACAACTAAGGTATGCAGAAGTATCTGAACCACTTGCATATTGATTACAGCCATTTTGAAGATAATTAGCAGCTTGAGAACATTCATTGGCACAACCATCTACTTCTCTTTTGTTGAAGAAGTCAATGAATTCTTTAGCAGAAATCGAGTAACCTAATGAGATGAATAAAGAAGTGGCAGTTAAAATATTGTACTTCATTGTATTAGTGAATGGAAAATCTAGTGAATTAATTAATTATTCTAATTGAATGATAAATCAAATCTTATTCAAAATTTACTGTTTCAAATGAAAGAAATATTTGTCGGTTTTTATATTCATCAAACAGTTCTCAACAGTTAATTGAGCGAGGCCTATAAATATATCTGTTCATTATTCACTAAAAACTATAAGCACTTCAGAATTATGAAAAAGGAAATTTTAAGGTTAATTGAAGAAGAATATTATTTCAAGACAATACAATACTGCTATTAATATTTTTTTGCAAATATCAGGCGGATGATATGCAAAGTTAAAATTCATATACTGCATTATCATTATTCATTCCCACAAGCCCGTAACTCTAAACTTCGCATATAAAAATCATGCATCCTATATTAAAAAGTATAGAATAAATCGAAGATTTGTGAATGCAAAATGAAAAATTCTTTTTGCGAGCTTTTTTATTCGTACCATATAGGCATTAATTGCCTGTCCGATAAAATACGAACTTTAGTCTTTTTCTAACTTAAATTTGAGACAATGCATCACTGGCCTCGTTTTTATATTTTTAGAAATCTGGGAACATTCAAATGAATTTGGAACTATGCAGAGAGGATATTCTACAACACGTCTGTTATCTTTGAACTCTTCGTATGTTATTATCATGCAATATGATACTTAGTGAAACGGAAAATTTTCTTAGAAAGTCTGGTTCAATTATACGGAACAAAACGTATCCTGTTTAAGGAAGACTTTGTGACGTATTACATATTTCGTGTTTAATTGGTTCGCTGTAGTTTAATTAAGAGAATTTAATCTTTTAAAAGTATAGAAGGAGAAGAAAACTGCGCCAAGAAGGAATTGAATGATCGAAATTTTTGGAACAATTAACTGGCCCAACTTCTGCATTATTTTCAGGGGTTTACTAGATTGTCTATTAACGTATTTTGGCTTAGAAACTAGAAACTAAAATAACCGGAACACATGATTCTAGAGACGCAATTAATTTATATGTATAATGGCTTAGGTATATCCTGCACGGCGAAATAACTCACCATTGTTCAGATAAACTCAAACTAAATATACCGCAGTTTTGTAAGTTCTAAATAAGTACTAAATTTATTAAACCATATAAATGATAGGATAACTAACATCTCCGGTGAAATATCACTTTTTCAATTTATTAATGTATTGGTGGTTAGCTCGCTCATAGTCGGTCCAACGGTATATGGCATCATTTTTAGTGGCTGAGGTACTATTTTGATAGCTTAAGCATAGTCTAAACTATATAGGTTAAAACTCGTCAAAGAATAAACGCCAGAGTAGAGTTCCCCTTTAGATTTAGATGTATTCAACAACAAAGATCTGGCAAAAAATTCAGCATGTTTTTCAAATCATTAATAAGGAGCAGGCGAGAGTTGTTACAAGAAAATGTGGGGTGCGCTTTGAATCTCCAAATAAGGAGAATGTATGAGAAGCTACCTAAAATAGAACTTAATTACTTCAAAAATGAATAATATCGATGTTGTACAAATAGTAAAGTTGCATTATGTCTATTATGTCTATTATGTCAATTGCATACTGTTCAATTTTACTCTTACATCAAGAATAGTATATAAATGGAATATAACACCATGGTCCCAAACCCATAAATGTAGTATTGATTGCCGTTTTAAGACAATGTCGCAGTTCCATATGTCTTGCTCTCCTCCTTTTTTTTCCCTAATCGGAACTCCCCCCAAAAAGTCACGTCTAAGAATTGTATCATGTAATCAATTGCTGTCAATTCAGTTAGATACATCATAATTGAGTAAATTACGATTGGTAATTCGTTGTACGACATTCTTATTCTACGTATATAGTTCAGCACCATGCAGAGGGAGAGACCAGAGCCTTACACAGCATCCGTATTTGAGTATCACAGGGATGACTTATCTCCGCACATGATAACAACCACTCCTCCCCCACTTGTTACCAATCAATTGAAGAATTATGCAAATGAAAATGAAAATGAAAATGAAAATGAAAACTATGACTGTGATGATGACAACCATCCAGAAATAAGGCTGTCTAATCAATTGGTGGATGATAAAGATCGTTTTGCAGCAAAGGTATCTGATGATGGTAACAGTAGATTAAATCGTCATCGCAATCATCAATCGCAACCACAGTCACAACATCTTGTTCATCACCACTCCAACAATCAATATCATCATCATCCATTAGTTTCTCATGACTACTCTTTAAGGAAGTTATTAAGTTCTCATCTGTCTATTTATAACGCTTTAACTAATCCTGATTTGGATGTATCTCCTTTGGTTGGTCGTGATTTCTCAACTCCTCGTTTAACCCCCGAATTAATAATGGATCCAAATTTTTCATTAACTTCGTGGCAATCAATTAATAATTCTAAACTTCCATCTCCAAAACTTTTATCAGATGATGATCATTCTAAAAATAACAATAGAAGGCCCCCAACTTCTTCTATATTGTCTGTGACTACTTCAAATGATGATAATCATATAGAAACTACTATGATGGTTTCTTCACCTAAATCTTCTAGTGTGATGGTTTTTGAAACTGACGAAGAAGATGCCATTCCTGTTAATGTTGATCTTACTGGAGAAGAAAGTGATGGTTTTACTTCTCATATGCGTAATGCGGACTCATTTATTATGCCTCGATTATCAGTATCTGAACAAACTACAAATTTTAATAAGACCAAATCTTCAAAAGAAAATGATATACTTCAAGTTGTTTTATTAAGTTGTCAGAATAGTTATACTTATGAAGTTAATCAATTAATCGAAAATATTCAATCCGAATTAAATTCATTTCTTATTAAAATAAATCATATTAATGTGAGTAAACTTTCAACAACTTCATTTCTGAAATTGGATAGATCTATCGTGAAGAATTCCGATTTAATATTTATTGTCAATGATGGTTCATCTATATTTTTAGAATATCTTGTCCAAATATTTGGTGAAACATATGATCTGCATAATGTAGATGAAAATGAAAGTCCAAAATTAACCATAATTAATATGATGACGGTCAATTATTTCATAAATTTATTTGAGTTAATAAATTATCTGAAACCTTATCAAATTTGGAAAGCTACTTCATTGAAGCAAGAGAATTTATTACATAAGTTTAAACGTTTTCTTCAATTAGAAAGTGGTAATGTTCAACCAATGTCAAATAATATTAATATGAACTTGGTATTGACAAAATCTTCGGCTTCATCTGATATGAAGAGGTCAACTACGATGTATTCTAATTTGATATCTTTGAGAAAACCGGATTACAAAGGCATTGAAAGACAGTTTAAGTTGGATTTACAAAGTTCAACTACATTTAATGATCCTTTACAGATTACTTCTAATTTCTCCCATTTCAATATTTTGCAAGCAATTCTAAACAAATTGATTGAAGTTGTTAATACTAAATCATTGGAATTAATTTCATCTTCTTCGTCTAAAACTTCTAAATTGTGGATTATTTGCAGCTTTAGTATTGGAATTGGATTTGGAGTTGGAATTGCTAGTGGAGCAGCTTCCTTATTTGGATATTATATTTATGATTTATTGATTACTGACTATGATGCTGTTCCAAAAATTTCTGATATTGAAACAATACAACCTGAGTTTCACTCCAAATCTATTGTCGACAATATTGCTGGTCAATATACAGAGGATTTTCTGGATTCAATTTCTCAGTTTTACAATGCATTAGATTATCCAAATATAGTAGACGAATTGGTTAATTTCTCCAAGGATTACTCATTTTATTTGAGATATTTCAGTTCTTTCGTTTTAGATTATTTTAAGGGAGGTCTTGAAAAGTTGATAGGATTACTCATCTACAGCAATCACTAATGTCAATTTCTACTTACCTCAAATTTATTCTTTCTTTTGCTTGTTGTTACATGTTTATTTCTAATAAGTTGGTTCAAATTTACCGGTTCCATTGCATTCAATTCAATTAATTTATTTTTATTCATTATTACATTCTTGCTTATGATTGCATAACAAGTTTGCATGTTCTTTTATTGTTTTTTATACTGTGTTTTGTTTCATACTTTTTATCTACATTTTTATTTTGGTCTCATAGGTTTTTTCATAGGTTGATACCGGTTAATTTGGTAACGTTGTCATTATGCTTTAAAAAAGTTAATATTTTTGTATAGAAATATTCTTTTTTTGTATAATAAATATATATGGTCATAAGCTTTATTAATTTATCAACGTTGTTACAAATACTTTGGGAATGTTTGCTTACTCATTAAAGGTATTGTAAAAGCCGGCTTCAGCAGTCAAGAAAAGTCACTAGTAAACCATTAAATGTGATTTCTGATGTAACAGTCTCGTCAACTATGACCTCAGTTATTTGGAAGATCAGCCTTGGATGACGTATACTGTGTTATGGTTTACATCTAATTTCATTTTTGAATTCTAAATTTAGGTCGAATAAAGACTGGTAAGCTTTTTAGTTCAAAATGGGAAATAAGAAATTCGCTTCTTTATGATTACTGTAGATCATCTGACTACATTCGCCTGATTGCACAATACTACCATGTGGCTAAGATCACAAATATTTTCATCAAGGTAAATTATGGAGTAATTCGGGGTTAGTTCTGAGTTAGGATATAAGAGTGTAATTCGTAATATTTAACAATTGTGTAACAAAAAGTTCGCAATTGTGGCTTGTAGACCGAATACATAATTGCAAAATAAATCTATACCAAGTTTTTGATTTTAACAATTATATAAAAGCTGAGTGAAATATTGAAAATCAGACATGAATAATATTGAAGTAATTCTAATTAATTGGGTCAATCCTTAGTATTAATAAATTAAAATAATATACAAAAATGTCCTTTAAAGTCTCAGGTACAGAATTGTTCGATGCTCACTTTCTTAAACAATTACAGAAATTGAAAGTTGGTGGTATTACTGCTGATGAAATTGAAGAACAAAGAAAAAAGATTAGATATCCTGAATACCTCGGTGCTTACAAGGTTGAAGAAGAAGGTAAATATAATAATTTCAAGAATGTTGATGGAGCTAAGAATGATAAGGGTCATTTAGGTGATCCAACTTTCAAGAATCTTTTTCCTCAAGGTTCCAAAGTTAAGACTACTGACTTATCACCTAACTTTGGTACTGAAATTGAAGGTGTTCAACTTAGTGAATTATCTGATGCTGGTAAAAATGATTTAGCTTTATATTTAGAAACCAGAGGTTTAGCAGTTTTCAGAGATCAAGATTTCAGAGATAAGGGTCCTGATTTTGCTAAGAAATTCGGTGAATATTTTGGTCCTTTACACATTCACCCTGTTAGTTTTGCTGCTGAAGATCATCCAGAATTATTGGTTACTTATAGACCAGCCGGTGGTGATGAAAGATATGATAATGAATTTGCTAATAGAACTGGTGCTTATGGCTGGCATTCAGATATTAGTTTTGAAGAGTATCCTGCTTCTTTCAGTTTCTTCGTTGCCTTAGAAGCCCCACAAAGTGGTGGTGACACAGTCTTCATTGATCTTAGAGAAGCCTATAGACGATTATCTCCAACACTTCAAAAATTCTTCGAAACTTTAACTGTTATTCACACTAATTATTATCAAAATCAATTTGCTAAATTAAAGAATTACATAGCCAGAGTTAAGGCTGATTATTTTACTGAGCATCCATTAGTAAGAACTCATCCTGTAACTGGTGAAAAGGCTTTATTCTTCTCAAGAGCTTTTACTCACAGTATTAAGGGTCTTAAGAATACAGAATCTGATGCAATTCTTGGTTTTATTGAACAACATGTTACTGGTAACCCTGAATTCCAAGTTAGAGCTGCTCACAAAGGAACTGATGCTAGATCAGTTATTGCCTGGGATAATAGATTCTTATTGCACACTGCTACTGTTGATTTCTTACAACATAAGACTCCAGCTCGTCATCATTTTAGAATTACTGTTCTTGGTGAAAGACCCTACTTCGAAAAAATTGAAGATAAGGAAAACCTTCATTCAAATGGTTCTGCTAATGGAAATTCAAATGGTCATTCTAATGGTCATTAAATATGCATGTAATTTTTAAATGATCAAAGACTAAGTACTGGTGACTCGTAAATATTTGAACTTTTACATAGTATTTCAGCGGAAAGAGAGAGTTATGAGAGTTATGCTTTTTAATATATATAAATTGTGTTGAATTTAATTACAATAATATAAAAGTATACTTACATGTATTTAAATGTGGCATATATTATTTAAAACCATAAGAAAACAAGTACTTGGATGTATTTAAAATAGATAATTAAATTAAAAGAGATAGCTAAAATTTATTGAAGAATATCATTCTCATAGGAAAAGGTTAAAATTTCTTGGGCAATCTCTGCTGGATGAGTTACGGAAGCAAAATGTCCAGCATCAAGCTCAACAACCTTGACATTCTTAAAATCTTTCTTGTAAGCATGAGCTCCATCTGGAATGAAAATATTGTCATTAGCACCCCAGACTGCTAAAACGGGAATATCAAGCTTTCTAAATAATTCGTGAAATCTGGGATATAATTCCACATTCTTTCTATAATCAAGAGCGAGATCCAATTGATTTTGAACATTTACTGAATCACTCAATGCATGATAATCAATTAATGGAGCTTCTGGATCAACTCTGAAAATTTCTTTCTCACCATCGAAGTACTGAGTTTTGTAGAAATCTGAATCTAATAAAGCATTTCTAATATTATTTAATGTTTCTTGATACTCCTTCTTTTGTTCATTATTTAATTCATGGATATCGGTTAGACGCCATGCCCTTTGAAAAATGTTCCAGAAGTCTTTACCCAAACCTTCAACATAGGCATTACCATTCTGAGTAATAATGGCAGTAATTCTTTTTGATTCTTTCAAAGCAATTCTGAAGGCAGTAGGGGCACCATAGTCAAATACATAGACAGCAAAAGCATCAAACTTAATGGCTTCCAAAAATAATTCAATTGAGTCAGCTATATTCTGGAAAGTTATAGAATATCCCTTTGGGGTAGTAGTTTGTCCAAATCCAGGTAAATCAGGAGCAATTATATGAAAGTAAGGAGCTAACAAAAAGAGAATTTGCTTGTACTGTCTAGATGAAGTTGGAAAACCATGTAAAAGTAATAACTTAGGTTTGCTAGCTTCGCCAGCTTCCAAATACAAGATATTGACTCCATTATCAAGCAATTCTTCTTTATAAAAAGGAATAACATTTTTATTAATTTGAGGAACACCCATTATTAATTAAGATTCAATACTATCAATATAAAAGACCACTGACATATAATAGTTACTTTTCGTATAAAGATTCCTGACAAGTTCATTTGAAGGTGTTATATAAGGATATTAATATTCCAGAAAAAACATAAACTAACCAACTTTCGTTTTTCCAAAGCTTACTAATCTTGGAATGATTACAAATACAATTTTATAAAATAATAAATCAATTCATCTGAGTTGCCATGCAACGATCTACCTGCTCTTAAGTAAATAGCATGTTTATGTTAATAGCAGAGCATCGCTGAGAATAAAAGTATTGATTGTGGTAGCAATTTGTGTGAAAAATGAAAGAGTCGCACCTAGCGAAAATGGGTGCACCAAAAATACAGAAGAGTATCGATACAGCAAAAGGGATAAGACTGACACTTAGTAAATAGATATAGCATTAAGTTATTTTATTTTCTAATATATTTTATGTATATTGGAGTTATTGGATTAACATCTGACAAAACACTTCTGAAGAAAAAAGGTTTTGTTTAGTAATCAACAAAACATTAAATTAGTAAGATGTCGATTTCTGCTACTTAACAACATAGAAATAATATCTCATTAGGATTGCATATAGACAATCCATATTCTAAGTCATTTAGAAATGCTTTCCTATCGGTTGACTTAGTGCGGAAATAAATACTCTATACACTCTAAATTTATCACGGCAGACTTTAATAAATTACTAAAATTAGGTGTACTAATTTGTCACTTTTATTGGAGTCCGTAAGTTATACCTTAATCACAAGCATTTTACATGTTTTATTTAGACACAGTATGATAGATATGAGTAACCCTTACTGATTTTCGGAGCGACGCTTCAGTAGTTTGAATATAGCGATACTAGTATTTAAAAGAAATTATGGAGAACGTTTAAATTTAAATGCGGGGCTCAAACCCCGAACTTTTGTGCGTGTTCCTCACATCATGCAGAATTCAAATATAGAAAAAAGCATACTGCATTAAGAATATATACAGCTAATCTATTTTCGTCATAATGCTGGATTTGGAATGAAAGTAACATTCTATATTGACAAATATCAGTATCTGTTCGTAATATTATGAAAAAAAAAGCGACCGAAATCTTATAAAATCCGCTTAATACTTTAAAATCTATCTTTCAAGGCTCATAATCACTAAATTGACGATGATCGTAACTCGATTGACGATATATGAAATTCAATTTCACAATTATCCCAAGAAATACACCTGCTCTACATTCTTGTAGTACTTTTACTTTTGTTAATATATATCGCCGCATTGAGATATTCGGATGATTTCCAACATTCATATTCGAGTCAGTTACTATGCAGTATTAGCTCAAGCCTGTACCTTACCAATAATTTGCAGTCAAAACGGTCGTGCGATGGTTTTGTAAATGTTATGCAATAACTAAATATACTTTCTCGTAAATATAAAAATCCTTGTTCTTTTACATATTGTGGAAATATTGTATGGCAAACTTGAGCGACTCAGCATTCCCTTGTTTCACATGTTTTCATATCCGGAATCTGCTCTTTTCAGACATTAGTTAATTTTTTGGGCCGGAATCATAAGGCTAAAGTTTGTATGGTAATGGAAGATTCGAGGTAATCAAAAGCGACGCTAAGATAGGATGATTTATTCAGAGACATTTTGAATTTGGGTAATATTTACAGGTTAGTATGGTGGTGGCTACTGGTAGTAAATATGCTGTTAACAGATTTTGATAACGAAAAATACTTATTGAAACCAATGTATCTCAATTAAAGACTCCTAATAATTCTGGTGAAGATTTTTCCATTATTAGCTGAGCACAGTAATATATATAGTTTCTTGCTCTAAAATTTGAAGTGGGTGGCTCGAAAAAAAATTGAATAATGCTAAAGTCCATAACAATTGTCATTATTACTTAAGTTTCTCGACTTGGCTTGTCAGTTAAGAATAGGGTGCTTAATTTTGACAAAGAGAGAGGTATTATAATTAAGTTGACGAAAATTTTAATTTCACATTAGTCTTGAATATATTTTCAATTTTATGAAACATTCTAATTTCAACTAAGTTTAGTTTCATATTTGATGGGCTAGACATGTATATTATTATTCTAAAAGAAAGTAGATAGTAAGTGAAATATCCTAATGAAGTGAGATTTTTAGGTAATCTGATATCTTGCAAGTGTTAGAATCATTCTATATAAATTGGTGAAGCTATAGGTTTCCACTAAACCAAATCGTTTTCAGCGAGGAGTATGCCATACATTTGAAAGTTCTTCTTAACCACTTTGAGTAATAATGAGGAGACTGAAGAAAAGACTAACTTGCAAATAACCATCCAGAGTAAAGATAATGGCTAAAGTTGCAGCTTAAGAAGCTGAAGCAGCTGGTTGGCTCAAGCCAAATTTAAGTTCGTATTTGCAATGGATCTAATACGGTTGATATATTTGACCAATTCTAGAAGTTACTATATTTGGTATTATCCATGTTACATTCTTTCCAAGAACAGTATAGCAAATCCTAGTAGAAAAACCTAATACAAGTCAATTACTCTAATAGAATATGGACTGACATACACCAAGAAAAACATGAAACAATCCGCTTTATTGATAATGATAGTTCTTAAATATCAAAACCACAAAATTTAGCTTTTTCATAACCAGTTGGTGAACTTCTACTGTAAATCTTATGAACTATTCGATATTTGTAGGTCGCGAAAATAGACGATAATCTTAGATATAAGATAGCTAAGAACTATGTTGCATAATAAAAAAATATTATATGTATGAATGATCCTCATTTTTAGCAGCTAAATAGCCCTTGGTGATTTGCTACTCCAATGGCTCCACTTAGTTTCTCTAATTGTATAAAAGGTTCAAGCTATACCTTGTTTGTGAAATTTAAAAGTCCATTTCTCGATCTGCAAACTATTCCCAGTTCTTGAATCTCAAATTGAAAATGAAAGTGGCTAGCTTGATTTGTGCAATTGCCATACAGTTCTTATCCACTTTAGCTTATGAAATCGTAAAAGATGAAATCGACTATGGTTTCTGTTATTATGAGCTAGGTGATATAAATATCGCACCAAACGTTGATTATTCCATCATTAACAACGCAATCACAGAAACTGTTGGAGACCTTCATGTTGGAGAGGGAGGTGGCTTTTATATCAGTAGCTTTTGTGACCTTATCGGTTTGCATGTCAGTATGCATGCTGGTGACGTACATAACAAAGGAATTATTTCATTCAATTCTCTCGAATCAATCCTTCCAAGCACTTATATCTTCACTACTATAGAAAATTTTATTAACGATGGTAGTATCTATATGGGCTCAAATGGAGCTGTAGTTCCTGGTATTTTCACTATCAACGCCCCAGTTGTTACTAACAATGGTTTAATGGTATTCTATCAAACAGAAAATTTTGGTGGTAAAGTGATCTTAGGTGGAACAAATTTATTAAATGGTATTAGCAACAATGGTCAGATTTGTTTGTACAATGAATTATATGAACAACTCTCTGATATTAACGGTTCAGGTTGTATTACCTCACAAGAAAATTCCACTGTCTTTATCAAAAATCCTTTGGCTGACATAGGCGGTCAAACTATCTATTTAGCTGATCCTAGATCTTCTGTCATTGCAAATCCGGTTCTTTCTGGACACCCAATTAATGTTGCTGGTTTTGGTGAAGGAAACATGGTTTCCTTGAGTACTACATTGCTTCCTAACGTCCTCGGAGTCACTAGACCATTCTCCTATAATGCCCAAAGTGGACACTTGACACTTTATAGTTTACCAGGACTGCAAGTTTTCAATATCGGTACAGGGTATAACGAAGATGATTTCGAAGTCACAACAGATTGGAGTGCTGTTCTTAGTGGGGTATTTCTTCCTTTTAACGCTGTCACATACAAAGGGCCAGTTCCAAATCCAGGATTACCAAGTAATTGTGCTTTATGTAGTGAGCTTCCTCCTGTTCCTGGGAAAACCGGTACAGAATATACTACCACAGTAACTATTAAATATCCTGATTATGTTTGTACAGATGTTGAAGATGTTATCATTACCTCAGATTCTCAGGGTAGTTACCATATTAGCAGCAGTCTCATTACTGAAACCTGCAGCTATGCCGAAACCATTCCACCCGCATCTTCCACTGAAGATAGTTCATTACCTTCCAATGAACCCAGTTCATCACCTTCTACTGAAGATAGTTCATTACCTAGTTCATCGCCTTCTACTGAAGATAGCTCATTACCTTCTGAAGGAGCTAGTACCGTACCATCAACTGATGTTAGTACATCTCCTTCTGAAGAAGTTAGTACCGTACCATCAACTGATGTTAGTACATCTCCTTCTGAAGAAGTTAGTACCGTACCATCAACTGATGTTAGTACATCTCCTTCTGAAGAAGTTAGTACCGTACCATCAACTGATGTTAGTACATCACCTTGCACTGAATCCACTTCATCACCATCTGAAGAAGCTAGTACAGTACCTTGCACTGAATCCACTTCATCTGAAGTCTGCACTTTACCTTCCGAAGGAGCTAGCTCATTACCCTGCAGTGAAGCTGGCTCATCTCCTTCTGGTGAAATACCATCAACTGAAGGAGAACCTGAATGTCCATCTTCAGATGAATCTTGTCCCTTCACAACTACTATCATTACTACTGATTCAAATGAAGAACCTTGCACTTCTACTGTTGTTGTCGTTGTTACAACTAATGATAATGGGGAAACTTATACAAGCAATTCAATCGTTGAAAATGAACAGGGAGGTAGTGTTTACACAACTACTATTGTAATAACCGATACTGCAGGAACCCCAAGTATAGTTACTGGATTTGTTAGTGTAGGAATTGACTCTCAGGGTAATGAATATACCAGTTCTGGTATCTTACCTAGCAATCCTACAGCTCCTGGAGATAACAATGGTGGTGCAAATGAATCTTCGCAAGCACCTGGAACTGTCCCTGGTGAATCTAGTGGCCCTACTTCTCCATCAACAGCACCAATGTTTGAAGGTTCTTCGACCAAAATCCAAAGTTCAATTTTATTTACATTAGTTTCACTTTTGATTTTCACTATTTTCGTTTGAAGTGATAATAAATTATTAACAATTCAACTCCGTATATGTTTAATTCTTCAAACTTACTTTCGTTAATTAAGATTCATAAGCAATATTTCCATTCGATTTAGTTGCATTTCATTCTTTGTGTTTCAATAATTATTCTTAAATACCCTAGTCACTTCACTAATTTTGGTGTATTGAATTTCGAGGACTTGCTATTTCTTGTATTATTTTCACTATTCTTTTCGGTCTATATAAACATTAATACAAAGTTTTAATTAGACGTTTAAATATTTAAAAATGAAACATTAAAAGTAGAATAATGAAGCGTTGTTATTATTGAACTTGAGATAACTACTGATCCTTCTGACTTTTAGCAGAAAAGTCTTCGGGGACTTCCTTTGCTTTGATTAAGCAATTAGCGCAAAGAGATAATGGGGTACAGAAATTTTATAAAACTGTGGAAATATATTTCTCGGATTTAAGAGAATAGTGTTAAAATTTTAGACTTATCCCCATGAATTTTTTCACTTGGCCACTCTATAGAATTCGGGTCTACAGTAATTCTTAACTCATCCATAAAACGTATTTGCTAAGTACATGCCGCGTATTTAATTTCAATAGTGGTTGTAATCGATATTGTCGTAGTTGCGAAATTGACCAGAGAAGGCCTGTATACTTATTATAAATTCATGAACTACAAATTTATTTTAAACGTAGAATCGGTTGACTAGGATTATATTCTACTAAATAAACTAATATTCAATTTACGTAGAATATTTATACACAAATCACAAGCGATCAGGGGTGTGGTTAGGTTAATTAGAAGCAAAAGAAAGTGTTAGTTAATTTTAGATGAAGTTAAGCTAGAGTTAGATAATAGTAAATGAAAGTAGAAGTAAGTTACAGTATGCTAAAGTAGGTCATATAGTTATTAATAGATGAGTGACTTTGTATTGTTCCATTAGTATACGTTGAAGTTAAAGAAATATAAGAAAATGTGAAAAGAAGTGATTATGAAGTTACTAAACGTCAATAAAATATAAGAAATGTTAGATTTTATATATTCTAAAAGATTTGTATGCTTAAGCCTGTTCGGTTTGATTAATCTAATTTAAGTACGGAGTCTTGAACTACGAATAATTTCTCATCCCCCAGGAAAAAAACTTATAGATAATGTTAAAAAGGTGTAACATAAGGCGCGCAGTATGCTGTCGCGCAACCAACTTAGCAATAAGACTATTGGCTAAACCATGGATTTGCAGAGTGTCTGAAATAATAGGATAACATTAGAGACTTTTCAATAGAATGTAACCGTAGTTATAATGGTTTTTATTTCGTTAATATGCGATAAAGTTACATCCTTATTTCAAAGTCAATTTAGGCAGAACTTTTGCGAAATAGGTCATTAATAAATTTAATATTATAATGTATAGTGGGAATACCTATTTTGCATCCATAACTGAATAAGACCATACCTTTCTAAGCCCATAAGGATGATATTGAGAGATTTAGGAATGGTGATTGTAAAATTTAGAAGCTACTAAGAAGATAACAATGATATAAGTCTAGGAAGCAGATTTATCGATGGAAGGTGCAAAGAGGAAACGTTCTACAGCTTTTATCACGCAAAAAGTGGGGAGATGATACGAGTTCTTTAAGTTTGAATTCTTTTTCCTTTACAGAATGTTAAGATTCAGATGGAGTTGAATATATCATAACAATATGCTTATCATAACAATATACTTAGACGCATATAGCAACATAATTGTCTTAAGGATATAAATTTGTTCATAAGTGTAGTAGATAGAAGAAGTTGACCGATTACTTAAGTACATAATTTTTTACGCACTATTTTGTACAGGTTTATTAAAATTAAAAATCTGGCGTGATGGACTACTTAAGTCCATAACCGAATTTGATGCTGCAGGTCAACTTTAGCGTTTGGGATTTACGTCTCTTCTCATTAAGTCACTTTCTTACTTTGGTAGAGCACACTTCGTATTTTTAGATGGATCAATTTCTTGGAATTTGACCGCTATAGTTAAGATCAGAAACTCCTTATTTTTATTCTATAATTAGTGACAATGCGACTTTGTTATTTATTTCTACTTCTGTACAATAAGGCCTTAGTGCATGAATTGATGCTAATCTTAAAAGTTGAGAATATCGTACCAAAAAAGTAGTGCTAACCCATATAGGTAATTGAAACGTTTTTCGGTTCGTCTCATGCATAGAATACATTTAAGATTTTAAACTTACATTATAAATGTGCTGGGCAGGTTCGAATGTTGTCATCTTTTACCATCCTTATTGGATACATACGTAAATCTCTGATATTTTATTACAGTGTGAAAAAAAATAAAATCCCTTCATTGCCAAGAAAGAAAGAGATTCTTGCACATCGAATGATATTCAGCAAAATGATATTCAGAAAAATGATTTAGGATCTACTGTAATATTTGGAATCTGCATAGGTTTCAACTTTCGTGAATAGCAAAATATGTTATGTTGTGTATCATTTTTGATGTTGTATAGGGTCAAATAAAGCGATAGGATTTCAACGGATATATATATATATTACATATATTACATATGTACCTTGTGTTTGAAACAGATTTTGTGACTCAAGGAAAAGTTTATTTTTGAAAATATTCGTAAACTGCAATTAAAATTTAGGTGGGCGAAACTTTTCTATTCCTTAGTGTTCTTGAAATTAATTGTCACAATTAAAATCAAACATATTACACTGCTTCGAATAATAACTGTAGATAATTTGTTTACAAAAGTTGAAGTTGAAGTTGATGAAGTTGATTAGTAACAATGATAGTCATTAAAATAAATTTTCGGTTATACAATGAGTTAACATTAGTAACATGTTCTATTTGGATATCGATGTAGCAAACGTGTAATACTTTTTATATGACTGTCAATTTATATACATACGGTCGTTAGTATGTAGATATGATTTGTAAAATTGAGGGTTCAGTCTAAGCCTGTGCAGTCCAAATATTGTGGCGAATACCGTTTTCAGCCTACTCAATTAACACCACTTGAGCACTCGATTTAATACTGCAAAAAGGGTAACAATTTATAAAATTCCTGATATAACTAACACAAACCTACGCAGTAGACCAAAAAAATAAAATTCATGCATTAGCGATGACTGCAAGCTAAGAAAAATTATGCTGAGTGAACGTAACGAACCACTTTTTCGCGATATGCAGAAAGAAAAAATAATTCTCTGAAAAGAATAATTCCGTACAGGGCTCTCTTTATTTTGGAACTACCATGAATAATAATTCAAATCATGATCAACTTCCGCAACCCCGGAATTATCACACAGTCATAAAAAAAGCTAACGAATGCCAAGAGTAGTAATAAAATAATCATTCGCTTTTATTAGGGTTCGAGGAAAGTTAATCATATTATGTAGCTCGAACGTTTGCACCACTCGAATTTTTAACGCAATATATTCGCCCTCGTCTACTGACATAGAGATTTATGAAACTATTATAATGAATATCACTGCTTTATGGAAAGCTTATGATAGTAACTTATATGCTAATATAACTGATTGATGATGCAAGATTTTATAGATTGTTAGTTGAATCTAGAAAATCTATGTAGTAAGTAGAGTTAACATGCAGGTGACTAGGATTGTGGGCAGTCATCTTCTTGTTTTTATTCGTACGCAACCTGGAGTATACAATAGTCCTGAGCACACTGTAAATGACTGCAAAGTTCTGTTGGATAGATTATCAATTTTAGATACAATTTATCGTTAAAACTGATGTCTCTATCAAAGTTTAATGTTCATAATGGACTAACATATGGGTATGATAAGAATCTTCTAGGTGAATAAACATAATTTGATGTAAAAGTAAGTCAAAACAGAAATTCAAATGGAACTTCTGCATGATTGCTATACCTTTATAACGCTTTTCAAAATATATGTTGGTGAATCATTGATGAAAGTATATTATCTTCTATTAAAAAGTTTCCAATGTGAAAGTTACATCTTTTAAATAAGAAAGCTATCCCACTAAATCTTGTGCGTGTCTAGTTCTAACTGAGTATGAGTTGATTTTCTAAATATTAAGTACAAACAAATTTCAAAGACTTCAACGTTGAAGTCATTCATTTATTTCCTAATTTATGATGAATTAAGGGTATAAACGTAAGCATTCACCGCTAAAAAGATTCGTAAACATCCTTTCTTTCTAGCTAGTTCATTCAAAGTTTAAATTTTCTTATGAACAGACAAGCAGAATATATTTGATGCAGAATAAAACTTTAAAGTTAAACTCATTCTACCAAGTGCTGCTCTAAACATTATTAAATGATAGTACCAAGGGTACACCAAACAGGCGATAATTGTTTTCTAAACCAATTTACACAAGCTTGTAGAACAATAACTGGTTAAAGAAATACTTTTTGTCCAAAAGATATTTAAATGACGGTTCTAGTAATACAATGCTTAATTGGTTATCAGAATGATTGTTTTTTTTCGAAAAACTTAAAGAGGTACTACTCTGTTCCACAATTTGACAAGTGAAAACTTATATAAACAGTAAATAAATTGTTTAAGGTAGCAAACCTATTTGTTCTTCTTTATTCGTATGTATTAAAAACCTTGTTTTTTATCACTATCTATTAGAAATTTGCGAATATACTGCATTTACCGAATTAGCGAACCTCTTTCAATTTCTTGAACACAAAATATCCAGTTCGAACCACAACATGCATGTTAATGGTTTAAATGTCGAACTACTATACAAGCCAAGAGTATGTTCCATATAAACTTTAAACTTCTTTAAAGAGGTAAAAGTTTTGATTTGTTGAGGCTTATGAAGCCGATTTATCTTACATTAAGATGCATTTTTTATTAAAATTTAGCAGCCTTTTATGAAATTATTGCACCATTCTCAGTATTCAAAGTACATTCAGATAAGTTCAAGCAATTTAATATATAAATTAAAGATTATCATGAAATTCTAATATACTTGTATAATGTTAGTCTTCATAGAGTTAAATATCAGAAATGAAGTCTTCAAGTTTAGGAGCAATATTTTTTGCTGCCTTCCTATTGCAGACTGTAGTTTCTGGAATCACAAAAACCAATTTAGATATCTATAACACTACTGTAAGAAATATCACATACTTTTCAGGCGGCGATTATGGTATCGAATGGCGTGCTAATATAACTATTCACGAACATGCAGCCTTTATATATTACAATTACGATATGCATGGGTATAATACCTTCTTTGAAAATAATGGTATATATTATTGTCAAAATATCGGTGGTTATCCATATTTTCAAAAAGATCATATTTCCGGTCTGACTTATAAACTTAATGAAGGTACAGACGTCGGGGGATTTATTAATAGTGGTACCTTTGTTTATAATGATAACAATACCGCATGTAGTCAACCTACTTATACGATACATGGACATTACTTTATTAATGAAGGTACATTTATTATGGCAGGTTCTCAAGCATGTGATGGATCGACAAATAGTATTAAACCATTCGGAATTTTTCACAATACTGGTGTCCTCTCATATTTTCAATATTTTATGACTACCGGTAATGCACCGAGTACATACTGGGGTTCTGATTCGGCTTGTAGTACTAATGTGGCTACTGTTGTCAACAATGGTTCGCTTTGTTTGTGGAACAATAACCCAGTATATCAAAATTCTCCATATGCTGGAAATGGATGTATTGACATTGGTAATCAAAGTACATTTGTTATGAGGTGTCAACATATGTTTGGTCAGGATGGTGTCTTACAAACAATTTTGCTTAGTACAAATACTTCTGTGTTGTATATTCAGAATCCTGAAGACGCTTCTCGTCCACCCGCAACTCCATATATTTTAAGTGGATGGGGAAATAAAAATCAGCTTACTATCAATTCTGGAAGTCCAACTTGGACTTACGATGGTAATATTTTAACTATTACTGTTCCACATAATAAATTCCAGTTTATCATTGGTCCTGGATATGACCCGAATTTGATAAGTTGGAGTAATGGAAAATCCTGTAATAATCTAGGGTTATCAGGTGCTCGTTTCGTATACAATGCTCCTCCTCCAGATAGTTCAAGACCAAGCGCATGTTTAGTATGTCCAACTGCTGTTCCTTTAGTATATGATCTTCTTATGGATCAACCTGATTACACGACTACTTGGACAACCACAAATGCAGATGGTTCAGTAGAAACTAAGTCTGGTCAATTTAGATAGTGGGGATCATTTAATTTTTCAGCTAGTATAGATATTAGCCTGTGTGCAGGAGAGCAGATTTACTATGTAAAAAATCAATTTTCACCTCGCAGGACAGAACTTGGGTGCATTTTGATTTTCCCATAGTTAAGGGTGCAAGTTGAGTCGTTTATATGCCGTACTAAAAAAATAGTCTAGTATAATTTAGATTGACCAGAAATTTTTATGAAGTGAGCTATGTAAATGTTTATTAACAACATAAGTAAACTACACTATTATTGATATGCAACATTTTAATGGTTTTTAAAGTACATATGTTATTTTGGTTATAGTTTCACCACGATCCATTTGAGTATGACTTTCAATTGTTACGGATTCACTAATTAGACATCATTGTATTTCTCATTATGATTAATATATTAATTACTATAATGTTATACAGCCATTGCAATTCAATGACTTTTAAGCTGGTTTTGATAAGATTCGTTTAGTATGGACTTGGGTCACTAGGTACACTTGTTTCAGAAGGTGATTTATTACTATTTGTGGAGCAGTAGTTTAATGGTCAAGAGTTATAAAGTAATTAGTGTAATATTATCCAGATAAGGCAATTCAATGACTTTTAAGCTGGTTTTGGTAAGGTTCGGTAGCTATTGCTTTTGGTCACTAGGTGCACTTGTTTAAGGTGATTTATTACTATTTGTGGATCAGTAATATAATAATCAAGAGTTTTAAAGTAATTACTATAATATTGTCCAGTCAAGGCAATTCAATGACTTTTAAGCTGGTTTTGGTAAGGTTAGGTAGCTATTGAGTTTGGTCACTCGGTGCACTTGTTTAGCACTCTAAGTTTTAATGGTATAGTTTGCTGGTGTTGATTGTTGGTAAATTTGGTATTTTTGTATATTAAGGGTTGTATTTAATATAGAAAGATCATCTTTTTCTTTGGAAGTTATTTCAAAAGATGTAGAATGTAATTAGATAAGTTATATATGTATAATTATTTTAATAAATGATTTGGTTCACATTTTATGCTCTTCTCTAGTTTGTAATAAATTTATGATTAATGTAGATTTGAATTTTTGGTCGTGCGTAGAAATTGTTAGCTGTAATTTTTTAGTGAGCAGAAAATTAAATTTATATTTTAAAGTATAGTAATTAGAGTTAGATAAGTGGCACTATGTACAATTGCTAAAGTAGTAACATTGGAACGTAATGTAGTTTAGATATTAGTTTGGAACATAATGTAATTTAGACATTAGTTTGGAACTTAATGCGCTTTAGAAGTAAGTTTGGAACATAATGTAGTTTAGATATTAGTTTGGAACATAATGTAATTTAGACATTAGTTTGGAACTTAATGCGCTTTAGAAGTTAGTTTGGAACATAATGTAGTTTAGATGTTAATTTGAAATTATTTAGATAGAACTAATACAATTTAGAATTAAGTAGTAGAATTTACTAGAAATTTAACAATAGCAAGTCAAGCTAAGTTAGCACTGAAGATAGAATTGGTTTAAATAGTAGTAATTAATGAGTGTTGTTAAATGTAGTAGTAACATAAGTAATCTTGTTCTAACTATCGGAAAGCTAATAGAATTTAATAAATATAGATATTGTTGTCACATAATAGTTGTATTTAAGGTGACTTTAATTAAAGTAAAGGAACTGTAGGATGGAAGGTAGAACAAATTAATTAGAAATATCATCATATGGAAATAGTAATTAAGTAATTAAAGAGTAATATAGAATGTCTATTAGATATTATAAGTATAGTTTTAGAGGTTATACTGAAGGTAACTTAATGATACTTTAAATATAAGTGTTATTCAAGGATATTGGAGGTACCCAATTGGAATTAGAAATAACTTCAATAGTATTAGCTGACGTATCAGTGGTATATGATATAGTTAAAAATGTAGAAGTAAGTAGCGCTTATTTTACAAGTCTAACTAAAAGTAGTGTTTATTAGTGATATGAATTAGAACAAGAGTCTAATGGATAGTAATCTTTAATTGGGAAAGTAATAAAATATACTATTGGAAGTAGCAGTAAGCTAGCAATAACTTTTATTGAGTATAGTAGAAAATATATTTAACTTGTATAAGTAATGATTAAGAGAAAGTAATGATTCTAAATGGAAGAAGTGAAGTCAAGTTAGTTAGAAATATATTGTAATGTTAAAATTTATACTAGAAAGAATTTTACATACATATATAACTATAATTTTATACTTACTTTAATACCATTTTAGTCTTCTTATCCAAATGGTAATGCATTATGCTGGTTTCCTCTTCTTTCACTTGTTGGATCATTATATATATGAAGTACATATACCCATATGTCCCTCGATATTCACTTAATATAACTTTAAGAAAATCATCGTAGCTGTGAAGTATCCATATTATTTCTTGATTCCTAAACATCTTAGATAAGGTAATAAAACACAAGTCTATATTGTAATAGCCAGTCAAAAGAATGAAACTTAGTAACTGTTCCATCATGCATTCACCTTGATGCATCAAGTGGCATCTTTTGCATGCTCCTTTAGTTTGTTTCTGTCTTAATCTATCTTCTAATTGTTTCATTTTTTCCTCTTTGACATTGTTGTCCATCAGCCATCCTACCTTACTACTTACTCCCCTCCAACCATTAATCACTTTAAGTGTTGTCAGGAAGTTTCTCCTTTTAGTTGTATCAGCCCCAAGCCTATTATTTGGCTTGGGGGTATACAATAGATTATACAAATCTTGACTTAATTCTTGAAAAGGGATATTATGATGAGTTAAGTTCAACTGTTTGTTGAATCTTAGTAATACACAGCTCTTCATTTTGGCTCTAAACAGCTCCTGATGTACATAATTAACTACTATATTTCTTAGTTCTATAGCCCTTTCTATATTATCCTGATTAATATAATTAAGTAACTTTTTGGAGGAACTCAAGACATATGGAATAAGGAGTCCCATAGTAAATCTGTAGTTGGGACATTCTATATTGTGGGTTTCGTGATTGAGTCCACATCCATAGCAGATCACCTGATTCCCAAGACCACGGTAATAGTAGTGTTGGAAATTATAAATTAAGGCATTATCAATTCTTAATTCATCCTCAAACTTAGCTTTTTTAAAACGTTGTGGATCCATCATTACATAGATATTATCATTATATTTCTGGAGTACTGAAATGACCGATTCATCTGTTTGAAGATATAATGATTCATCTGCTGATTGGTTATTTAATATCCGCTGTTGTTTGGAGGCAGATTGGTATGACTGTGTTTCTCCTCTTCTTTTCAATATTGGTCTTGTTGAATCAAAGGTTGACAAAGGTGACTGATATGTGTTGGTTGTATTGGACAGACTACCTGCAACTTCATTTATTGATGATTGAGCTAAAGGTATGTTAAATAAAATTCTATTGCTAGCTGGTTTATTTAGTGATCTATTAATCATACTAGGTGGAACTTGATTGACGACAGGCAAATTATCAAACCAGTCAGTAGTGTCTGTCTCATCCATTGTATTATCAGCTTGTGTTTCTACTTCAATTGGTCTATCTGTTTCTACTTCCATTGGTCTATCAACTTGTGTTTCTCCTTCAATTGGTCTATCTGTTTCTACTTCAATTGGTACTATCGGTTGTGTTGGACCATTGCTTCTGCAGACACTGCACAACAGTACTTTGAGTTCTGTGCACAGTTTGATTTCCAATTCTTGGGACCAATTTTGAACCTCCGACAAACATGTAGGTGACATGAGTTTCTTTTGAAATTCATCTTTACTTCTATTGGCTACAAGAATCAAATCAACTGTCGATGCCTGCCCATCTCTACCAGTCCTACCACTGGCTTGTATGAGAGTTTCGGCGTCATAGCATTGGTCTCCAATAATTAAATATCTAAGTGATGTTATGTCTAATCCGGTAGTAAACCCAGTAGTAGCAATTACAACTCTTAATTCACTATTGTATACCTTTTCTATAACACTCTCTTTATCAGCGAAATTTAACTTGGAATGGAACATTTCACAATTAATACCAGCCTCTTTGAATTCTTTATGATACTCTTGTACCTTTCTTATAGTGGGTAAGATAACAATACTAAAAGGAACTTGTAATACTTTTGATTTAATTATTTCAGCAACTTCTTCTTCTCTTTTGACAATGGTTTTATTAAGTATTATATTTGGACGAACAATGGAAGGACTTTCTAATCTAATTAGCCTTTTGGGATTTATCAAACTGTTCAATTCCCTTTCATATGATTTAGGGTATGTCGCTGACACAAAGAGCATTTGAAATCGTTTGCATTTAGCAATTTCTTCATTTTTGCTCTCTCTATATTGATGATACATAAAGTGGGCCTCTTCAAATATAATTCGACGTACTGACATATGGTTGGAAGCTTCAATGGTTTCTATCAATTCATTACTAAATAGTTCTAATTGTACTATTAGCATATCATATGCTGTGGTGTAATTAATAGTACCCTCATAAATTAATGGTACAACTCCGTAACGTTTTAGATGTTCTAATATATCTAATCTCAAGGAAATAAAGGGTACTACAACTACTGAGACTTGCCTTTTGCTACTTGGAAACACATAGTTTTCCAAATAGCTGGCAACCCCATATGTTGCTGTCTTTCCCTCAGAAGTTCTTAAACATATAGCTATAGAGTTATTTCTAAGAACCTCCAAGGTAGTAACCACTTGTATTTCTCTAGCTGGAAAATTCAAAACCTTAAGATAAGCGTCTTTTACATCCGCAATGCTAACATCTTGCCATATTATGTTTGAACTATTAACTTCGGGGGTTACATGATTAGTCAACATCTCATACCATCTATTGCAAACTTTCCTTTGGAGTAAATTGTTACTGACATTACTTCTGCTTTCATGATTATAACCGTAATTGACCAAGGCCGTTGTATTGGAATGGTTGCTCATTCTATTGATTTCACTGATTATTTGTTCAACTTTATTAAAGTCAACAACTAAAGAGTGAACCAATGAATGTAA